AATTCTTAGATTATATTTTAGAATTAGAATCATAAAATAAAAATCCATTAATTATAACAAAGATGTTTGGTAGATTTATTTAACCAACTTTGTCTATTTCAGATGATATGCATATTGATGCATTTTTATATAAATTATAATTCAATAAATTACAAAATGTATATAAATAAACTGATTAAGATGAAATAACTAAAGCAACAGATTTATTAATGAAAATATTAATTAAAATAAAATCAATTTAAGAAGATGATTTATTTGCAGAAAATGAAGTTATTTAAAGTATGGGAATATTTATTGTTCATTTATTAAAGTAGAATGCTTATTCTACTCCATTAATCAAAATGATAACTGGTATTGAATTGCTATTAGAAAAAATTGAATTATGGGATAAAACTGTTCCAAAAGAATTTAAAATCTATGGATATGATTTGTAAAACCTTGTTATTAAATGGAGAAAAATTGAAAGAGATGGATGGAAATACATATTAGCTAATAAAATACAAGAACTATGGTGTGTAGAAAGTATTATATTATTTAAGTTATTAAGAGATTTAACTCATAATTCTCTTAAAACTTATTTAAATGAATGTGACATTGGAGTTTTTGAAATAAGAATAATTATGTTAAGATAGATATTAAAATATTTGAATTTATAATAGAGATAATTGATTTCATAACATATTGAATAAAGTTCAATATTTATAGAAACCTATAATTAATAATTAGGATCTACAGTTTAAGGTTATATAAAAGAAGTAGCAGAATATCGTAAATTAGTAAGTTGGGAGTCTAAAAACTATATTATTGTACAATAAACATCTCACAAAATGCATGGAAAACTAATTAAAGTTTAAGGTAGATTTAGAGCTTATTTGAATGAGAAATTATAAAAAGTTGTTATCAAAATACAATTACAGGATGAATTTACTGATTGCATAGATGGATTTTTACTCAAATCTAAATAATTTTAATAAAAGCCTTAATCTAACAAATCATTCCATTCCATGCTTTAAAATTTAATTGAGTAAAGTTTAGAAAGAGTTAAGAATTTGAAAGAATAAAAATCTAATTCCAAATTAGCTGCATTAAAGAATTTTTAGGAATATATTAGTACATTTTTAGGTTTAAAAATGCACTAATCATACAAAGAAGATAATTATCTATTACAAAATGAAGCTCATCCATTAATATCAAAAGCTTCATTTTATTATTATAAGGCAATTTCTGTTATGGAATAATCAGCTCTATAAATTGGTAAATATGTTCCTCCAGAATATAGTACTAAATCATTTTCATTAATATTAGATTATATTAGGAAATTGAATCATTAATTTAAATTGATTAGGCCTTTAATTAAGATTGAAAATGAGTCAATATCATAATATATACAAGTAGTTCCATAAGATTATCTTAATTGCTTTAAAGATACAGATATTTATGATTAATTAAACGAGTTTAATAAAAATTAAGATGAATTATCTTTGTCTAAATTGCTTGATTAAATTGAATCCAAGTTTCATAATTACTCTGATAAATATGAAAATTCATACCATATACTCAAATAACTGCATGAATATCTATTATAAATTAAGATTAATGATCTAAAGTAGAATGTTTTGAATGAAGAAAAATAATAAGTAAATTAAGAGAAGATATAGATTGTTTATATAAAATATATGAAAAATCTTGAATAAGAAGAAAATCTATTAGCAGGGGAAATTAAAATATTAAATTCATTTATTAAACATGGAATTGATTAATCTAAGTTAAATTTAGTAATCAAAAATTTAGAATATAGTTGTAAGTTTTTGTATTTTATGACCAGTATTCTATGCAATATAATTGTTAAAGGATTTTGTTAAAAAGATGATGATTAAGATGAAAATGGAGAAGATAATCCAGAAAACTTTTAAGCAGGCACAGGAATTGGAGAAGGAAAGGGAGAGTAAAATGTTACAAAAGAAATAGAATATGAAGAATAATTATTAGGAGAACAAAAATAATAATAGTAATAATAACCTGAAGAAGAAGAATAAGAATAGGAAAAAGAGAAAGATAAAAAGGAAGATGCTTTTGATATGAAAAATGATTTTGATGGTTAAAATTAAGAATAAAGTAAAGATGAAGAAAATGAAGAAGAAGAATAAGAATAAGAAAAGAATTCAATGGATGAAGGATTCTCATCTGTTAATGAAGATAATGAAGATATGAAATAATATTAAGGAAGTGAAGAAGAAGAAGATGAATAAAATGAAGATGAATCTAAATCAAATAGAAAGAAATCAGATATAGAATTTAATGCTGATGAAGAAAAGGATGACAAAAAGATACAAGCTAAAGAGGAGAGAGAACAAAAATAAAATAATTAAAAGAGAAATATGAAAGATCTAAATGAAGACAGTCATAATGTAGATAGCCAAATGGAAGAAGAGGAATAAGATGGAGATGAAGAAAATGAAGAATCAATTGAAGATTCAGGAGAAGATCTTAAAGATTATGCAGGAAAAGGAGGAGAATAATTGGAATCTATGGATGAAGAAGATGTTGAAGAACTAAATAATAATTAATCATAAAATTAAGATCAAGAAAACATAAGTATGAATGAAGAAGAAAATCCTAATCCAGATGAAATGCCTATAGAAGAGGAAATTAAATTTGATGAACCAAATATGGAATAAGAGCCTGAGAAACAAGATATAAATGAAGATATTATGTAAAAATAAGCTGAACAGTTAGAAAAATAAGATATGGACAATATAGAATAAGAATAAGATCAAAATTAAAATTAATTATTTACAAATTAATAAGATGTAGAAAATTAATTAAACGATTAAGCATAAGATTAGGGATAATAAGGAGAGGAAGGAACCTAGGATAAAGATGAAAATGATAAAAAATAAAAAGAATAAGATAATAAAAATAAGAAGTAAAGAGAATAAGGAGAAGATGGAGGTGACTCTAAATTGGAGATGATTAAAAAATTATTTGATGCTATGGAATAACACTTAACAAAAGAGGACATGGATAATTTCAAAAAAGATCTCAATGTTCATGATAGTGAATAAGAAGAAAATGACAATGAAGATGCAATTCATGATAATGATTACAAAGTTTCTAAGGATTAAATCCAGCATAAAAGAGATAATACCACTAATTTACCAACTAAATTTTAATAAAATGAAACTCAAGATATGAAAAGAGAAGGAGAAGAAAATAAAGAGAAAGGATAAGGCAAAAGTATGGATGAAGAAAAAGTAGAAAAGAAAGAAGAATAAGAAAAAGAAAATCAAGAAAATATGAATTAAAGTAACAAAGAATTCATTATTCCACAACCTATCGAAATTGAAAATAAGAATTAGAGTGATATCCCAATAGAAGAATATATCAAGTAATATTTCAGATTGGGATATGACGTAAATGGAGATATTAATTTATAAAAGGGATTAGAAATGTGGCCTAAATTGTAATAAGAAGTACTTGAAAGCTCAATTCATCTTTGTGAAGAACTTAAGTCTATTTTAATAGCTACTTAGGTCTCTGCTTTAAAAGGAGATTATAAAACAGGAAAAAGATTAAATATGAAGAAAATAATACCATATATAGCAAGTAATTATAGAAAAGATAAAATATGGTTAAGGAGAACATAACCATAAAAAAGAACCTTTTAAATACTCTTAGCTTTAGATGATTCATTAAGTATGAGTGAAAATTAAGTTGGCTATTTATCACTTTAATCTTTAACATCTTTATCGTTAGCTTTATCTAAAATGGAGGCAGGATAAATAGGGATAGCCAGTATTCATGAAGGAATGAGATTGTTACATGATTTTAATAAACCTTTTACTTAATTAGATTGTCCATTCATTTTGGGTTAATTTAATTTTGAGTTTGAATCTAAATAAAGCAGTGAATTATCATTAATGAGGTTTATGAGAGAATCTATTGATTAATTCAAAAATATCAGAGTTTCTAATGCATAATAAATTTGTTTTATTATGTCAGATGGTAAATTCAACAAGAAGATGGTGAGACCATTAGTGAGAGAAGCTGAAGAACTCTAAATATTTTATGTCTTTATAATTCTGGATAGAGAAGGTATTAAATTGATCTATTTTAGATTAATCAATAACTAATATTAAGTCCACTCATTATGTAACAGTTAATGATAAATAGAAGATTGAAATTAGAAATTATTTAGAGGATTTCCCATTCAGATACTATATTATAATCAAAGTAAATTTATTTATTTATTGAAGTCTCCACATGAATTGAATCATGTACTTGTAAATATTCTTAGATAATACTACCAATTATTAGAATGAGGGTATTTTTGTGATTGTATATAAATACATTTATATAAACATTAATCAAAAGGTAATTATTCTTTTTGATTTTCTTGCTGGTAATTCCTTTCTTCTATTTTTTTTGATTTCTTTATTTTTTGTTAAGGGAATGATCTCTTCCATAGCTCTGGCTTTATTTTCTCTTCTAATTTCTCTTTTTGATTTAACTCTTACTCCTTCCATTGCATTAATCAAATCATCTGCTTCATCATGTTAAACCTATTCATTTTATGGTTAAACATCCATTTCAATTTCTTCTTCAACTTCTGGTTCTGGTTTGAAAACTACTTCCTAAACTGGCTTTCTTCTTGCCCCAACAAATTAAGTGGCTGTGTAAGGTAAAGATTAGCTTCTAAAATCAACAATAGGTTAAGGTTTTATTTTAGGAATCTAGGCAGTTGGGTCGTTTGGATGTAAAAACATATTTTTGGGTTGGGTAGGTCTTTGAAATCTCTAAAGTAGATAAAAATGATGAGATTTACATTTTGTATGGTTGCTTCTAATTTTTAATTTAATTCATGAAGATCTTAATTCACTTTAATATTTTGTAGATGCTCTCTTTTAAGTGATCTCCATCTACGCATAACTTTAGATCTTTATGATTTTGCCATGAATTAAAAATTTTATATTTATTTTATAATGCACCATGAATATATTTTCAATCGAATAATTTGGCCAAAAATCCTTTATCCTATTTCTGTTATTGCTATTATGGTTGCTATTACTATTGCTAATTTAATAAAATAAGATACTTAGGTTGGTGGAAATTAACTGGTTTATTGTTACTAAGGTGGCTGACTCACCTTAGGGGTTTGGGTAGGAGCCTGATTGGTTTAATTGGGTTGGTTTGGTAATTTCTATTGTGTAGGTTGTGTTACTTATCCTTATTAAGTGATAATTTATTATCCTTATTAGGTGATTAATTATTATCCTTATGGTTAATAAGCATAAACAGGAGGCTATGTTTAGACAACAGGAGCACCCACTCGAGTTTGAGACGCTTGGTAAAGAACTGGTTGTTAGGCATAAGCTGTGGTAGTAGTTACAGGAGCTTGAACAAATTGTGAAGTTTATCTGATTCTTGGACTTGATGTTTAATAAACTTGGGTATGGATTGCCTATTAAACAGGTAGAGGTTGCTAAATATATTAAGTAGTGATTGGTTATTGATATGTTGAATAATAGGTTTGTGGAACATTCTAAATTATTTATTGTTAGACAACTGGTTATGCCACTTGTGTGACAATAGGTTATTAAACAGTTTATACGATAGGTTATTAAACAGTTTAGACAATAGGAGTGGCTGTTTAATATGTTTAAGTTGTCACAATTGGTTAGATTTATGTTTATTATACTTATTATACATTATTCTAGTGGTTTTACACATATATTTTACTTAAAGCACATTTTATCTTGTAACTGTTTAGTATTCAACTCTTTCAGCGAATTTTTCTACTGGCATATATTCAATCACTTTTTCTTAGATAACTTAAGGAATATATTCAGTTTCATATTAGATGGCTTAATATTCAGTAATCTATCTTGTTATAGGTACCTGAATTTATCTTCTCACTTCTTCATATTCCATAATTGTCTTTTCATAAGGAATGTACTCAATTCTCGACTCTCCTTTAACTGCTTATCCAGTCTAGGTTCAAACAATTATTTACTGAGACAATGTTGGAACTTATCGCTGATGCACCTAAAACTGGTTGATTAACTAACATTCCACCTCCTTAATAGAATCCACTTTGACCCAAATTCTAGTTTGTTACTAATTATTGTTAGTAAGTAGAATTTCCCAACATTATGGGTCTTACGAATTAAGGCTAACCTGCTACGGCTTGAGGTGCTCCATATAAAGCAGGCTATTAAACAATTGCTTATGGTTGATACTCGGTCATTTCCTTTTTAATAAATTTTATTTTAATTATTTTGAATCCCATCAGTTTAATTAAAATACATGCAAAGTTATTAAAATGAAATGTTCCTAAAAAATACAAATTAACAGTGATAGGCAATCAGATTAAGCATACAAAAGGAATGCTCATTTTTAATAGTCAATAATTTTGTAAATCAAGTTCTGGAAATAATTATTAGGTAACGTTGGTGATGTATTGTTCTGAGAAAATTAATAGAAAAAGCTTGGTCTCCTTATAACGAGCTTATTTTGGATAATTTTAAAATATATTCGATTTAGGATTATTAGATATTAAAATGGATGATTCAGTAATGCTTAGTAGCCTATTCATATCAACAAATAATTTTAAATTATGTACATTCATTAAACAAACAAAGATATCCTTTTGGAGAGGACAAGTAGAATAGATTTACAAAATAATTTTTTAGTGAGATCGCTTAGGCTGAATTCGATTACTTTATCATGATTATGAATTAATTCTTTACAACTCCTCCTGTAACTGTTAATGATCATATTTTTATTTAATATCTTAATTCCACAAAAGGATGGATCAATAATTGTTAGAATTTTTGAGAAAATGAGTAATATCTTTAGTCATTCAAAACCAATTTATTTTACAAATGCGATCAAATTATATTTTTAGAGACTTTTTGAATGGATATGTATTTATACAAACAACTTTACATAAGAATTGATTATACCAACGGATACACATTTTTAAATTCTTACAATTTAATTTCATTTTGCTTTTTAATTTTTTTTTAATTTAAATTTATAATATTATCAACAATGCATTTATGAAACTGCTTTTGTATTACTACTCAAATATAAAGGAGATTGTAAATTGTAAACTTTATTATTTTAAACTAGAAATATAAGAAACATCAACTTAAAAACTTAAATAATGATAATGATTAATATTATAATTATATGCAAAAGCGTTATCCTTGTCATTTAATTACTCAATCTGTTATCAATATTCCGCATACTTAGATAACAGTTGTTAGAAGTATATCCCCTTCGTAATTCGAACTTTAGAAGGTACTATAAGCATATAATCTAGTTCCGGTATATTATCCGAATGATCAAACTAACTGGAAGGATAAATATTATGAACTTAGACATCAATATTGGCTATTGGAAGACAAATTTAGCAAACTAGAAGATTTATAATTTAAACATAGTAGATGTGAAGTTGTCAGAGAAAGTGATTTAAAATAGATTAATGAGCTCTTTACTTAGAGTTAACACGATATTAGATAACTAAAAAACTGTTTAGCCAAAGTTGATACATAAATGAATGAGGATTACTAACTTAAATATTAATAGACGAATCATCAACTTGAAACTATCAAATCTGAATTCATTAAAATGTAATAAGAACTTCATTAATCACTGTAACAATCCGTTTAAGAAACATAAAGGAGGTACCCATAATAAATTAACTAATTAATTATCTCTAATACAGAGCACTAACGTTAAAACGAATAATTACTATTAATAAATAAAACCCTACAGTAATAAATAGATACTCTTCATATTCGATACACTGAGTCTTGAAATCAATCTAATGAAATACTAGAATTATTAGCTTTAAAAGTCTTAAAAAATGCAGAAATTGATAGTTTGAGAGTATTAGTCTCGGAAAAAAAAACTTGATTTCATAACTTCGCTCTAAATATTTATCTTAATATAGATGATTTTTTAATGTATCTGATATAAAAAATAAAAAACTTAAAAAAATTATGCAGAAAATTCTCTTTCATTCTTATATTTTTGCATATCTTTAGACCTATTAGATTATTATAATAAATAACTTTATAAATATAAGAATTAAAGAAATCATAGGGTAAAATCATTATCTTTGTTATCTATTATACAGAAATATAAAAATGTAATTTTAAAAAATTAAAAGAATTAATAATTGAATTACAGAGAGAAAGCAATAATTACTAATAAATGAAATATGATTATTTGTTGTTATTATTGTGGAATTAAAAATATTATTTGTTTAATANTATAATATTATCAACAATGCATTTATGAAACTGCTTTTGTATTACTACTCAAATATAAAGGAGATTGTAAATTGTAAACTTTATTATTTTAAACTAGAAATATAAGAAACATCAACTTAAAAACTTAAATAATGATAATGATTAATATTATAATTATATGCAAAAGCGTTATCCTTGTCATTTAATTACTCAATCTGTTATCAATATTCCGCATACTTAGATAACAGTTGTTAGAAGTATATCCCCTTCGTAATTCGAACTTTAGAAGGTACTATAAGCATATAATCTAGTTCCGGTATATTATCCGAATGATCAAACTAACTGGAAGGATAAATATTATGAACTTAGACATCAATATTGGCTATTGGAAGACAAATTTAGCAAACTAGAAGATTTATAATTTAAACATAGTAGATGTGAAGTTGTCAGAGAAAGTGATTTAAAATAGATTAATGAGCTCTTTACTTAGAGTTAACACGATATTAGATAACTAAAAAACTGTTTAGCCAAAGTTGATACATAAATGAATGAGGATTACTAACTTAAATATTAATAGACGAATCATCAACTTGAAACTATCAAATCTGAATTCATTAAAATGTAATAAGAACTTCATTAATCACTGTAACAATCCGTTTAAGAAACATAAAGGAGGTACCCATAATAAATTAACTAATTAATTATCTCTAATACAGAGCACTAACGTTAAAACGAATAATTACTATTAATAAATAAAACCCTACAGTAATAAATAGATACTCTTCATATTCGATACACTGAGTCTTGAAATCAATCTAATGAAATACTAGAATTATTAGCTTTAAAAGTCTTAAAAAATGCAGAAATTGATAGTTTGAGAGTATTAGTCTCGGAAAAAAAAACTTGATTTCATAACTTCGCTCTAAATATTTATCTTAATATAGATGATTTTTTAATGTATCTGATATAAAAAATAAAAAACTTAAAAAAATTATGCAGAAAATTCTCTTTCATTCTTATATTTTTGCATATCTTTAGACCTATTAGATTATTATAATAAATAACTTTATAAATATAAGAATTAAAGAAATCATAGGGTAAAATCATTATCTTTGTTATCTATTATACAGAAATATAAAAATGTAATTTTAAAAAATTAAAAGAATTAATAATTGAATTACAGAGAGAAAGCAATAATTACTAATAAATGAAATATGATTATTTGTTGTTATTATNCAACTTAAAAACTTAAATAATGATAATGATTAATATTATAATTATATGCAAAAGCGTTATCCTTGTCATTTAATTACTCAATCTGTTATCAATATTCCGCATACTTAGATAACAGTTGTTAGAAGTATATCCCCTTCGTAATTCGAACTTTAGAAGGTACTATAAGCATATAATCTAGTTCCGGTATATTATCCGAATGATCAAACTAACTGGAAGGATAAATATTATGAACTTAGACATCAATATTGGCTATTGGAAGACAAATTTAGCAAACTAGAAGATTTATAATTTAAACATAGTAGATGTGAAGTTGTCAGAGAAAGTGATTTAAAATAGATTAATGAGCTCTTTACTTAGAGTTAACACGATATTAGATAACTAAAAAACTGTTTAGCCAAAGTTGATACATAAATGAATGAGGATTACTAACTTAAATATTAATAGACGAATCATCAACTTGAAACTATCAAATCTGAATTCATTAAAATGTAATAAGAACTTCATTAATCACTGTAACAATCCGTTTAAGAAACATAAAGGAGGTACCCATAATAAATTAACTAATTAATTATCTCTAATACAGAGCACTAACGTTAAAACGAATAATTACTATTAATAAATAAAACCCTACAGTAATAAATAGATACTCTTCATATTCGATACACTGAGTCTTGAAATCAATCTAATGAAATACTAGAATTATTAGCTTTAAAAGTCTTAAAAAATGCAGAAATTGATAGTTTGAGAGTATTAGTCTCGGAAAAAAAAACTTGATTTCATAACTTCGCTCTAAATATTTATCTTAATATAGATGATTTTTTAATGTATCTGATATAAAAAATAAAAAACTTAAAAAAATTATGCAGAAAATTCTCTTTCATTCTTATATTTTTGCATATCTTTAGACCTATTAGATTATTATAATAAATAACTTTATAAATATAAGAATTAAAGAAATCATAGGGTAAAATCATTATCTTTGTTATCTATTATACAGAAATATAAAAATGTAATTTTAAAAAATTAAAAGAATTAATAATTGAATTACAGAGAGAAAGCAATAATTACTAATAAATGAAATATGATTATTTGTTGTTATTATTGTGGAATTAAAAATATTATTTGTTTAATATTTGAACATTATGCATAAAAATTATATAAATAGTTTCAATAGAGAATTGAGATGGAATAACATCATATTCAAGAGGAATAATAATTTAAAGATCTCCCTAAAATTAAGAGGATTGTTAAGGTGAAAAAGAATTCCAAAAAATTGGCAAAAAGGAAAGAATGAATACAAACTAAACAAGCATATATTAATTTTACTTAATAATGTTATATATTTATATATATATATAGTTTATTTAATTTATGGTTAATTAATTTATAATAAAACAAAAATATCATTTAAAAAGTAATATTTATTATTTATTCTAGTAAAGATGAAAAATAATAATGAGTATTTTTTAAATAATTAATTTAATTAAAAAAGTGTTCTTTATTAAAAATGTTAGTTTTTGATCACTTAGTATTTTTTCAATCGAAATTTAAATCAATTTCCACTTTTTAATTATGGATTCCTTACTGTAAGTGATTACTTGTATAGTTTAAGAATTATTTTTCAATCTCCTCATTTTTATCCTTCATGATCTAGAAATCATATTTTTCAGAGCATTTTTCAGTGCAAAAATTACATCCATTCAACATTATTCCATTTCTTATATCAAATTATTAACTACAACTTACACATTAACCCTAATATAGATTAACTGCTTACAAGATATAAATTGTTATATTTTTGATAGCATTCTAAATTGCAAAACTCGTTGCAATCAATCTATATGAAGTCTTTAATTAATAATTTAAAACAATTCCAACAAGCTACTTTTTTTATTCTGAGTAGTTATGCATTCTATTCATCATAGGGCTTTTATTTGGTTATCGAGATTTAGCTTGTATTATTGTCAAATTAATTTTAATCAGCACAAGTTTAGACACTAATATTTGAATTTTCTCCAATATGATTTTGATGCATATAATTAGAGATTTCTTCTAATTAATCCAAGATGAAGGATTAGTTAGAGGATTATTGAATGCTTTTATACTCTTCTTAGTTTTCATTTTATTAAAATGTTACCTTCTTAACACTTTTTTATCTTTCTTTTTGTAGGCTAGATCTTTTAATCTGTTGAGTGAAACTTTAATCAATTATTGGTTCTATTGTAGTTGAATAAGGATACCTTCCAATTCATCATATTTAGATTCATTTTATATGATAGGTTCATTCACTTCTACAGATTATTTGAGTTCCCTAATTTTTTTCATTAATCTAATTTAGTGACCTAATGGTATTTCCATTTATTGCAGTTATTCTTTTTGAATGTCAAAAAGGATATCTAATTCTTCAAATCCATTTTCTTTAAATTTTTAGACATAGGTATCTAATTTGATTGATTTCAAAAATTATTCAATAGGTTCTGACTTATTTGAAGGAGGCCTATCCTTAAGTACTTGATTAATTATGTATTTTACTTCGATTATTTGGAGTTGTTTTATTCTGCCATCTAAAGCTTTCTGTTGAATCACCTGATTATTTGCTTATTTAAGATCGTTCCATCTTTTAGGAATTCAAATTTTATTTAAGTTTTGCCAATTTGTCTGCCTAAGAATATATCTAATTGTACCATTTTTTGAGCTTCTTCTTGCATTTAAAGAGCATAAGGATTGGTTGTTTTATTGGATGATGAACCTCTATTTTTTATCATAATATTATATATTATGGATTTTGATTTCAACGAAGCTCAAAATTCATTTTAGTTCCTCTAAGTGTAAAATAAGTTACCAATTAAGATGTCTCACAAACTTGAACTACTTCAAGAATGCATCAATAACTAAGTAATTGACACTTCTGTTTTCCATTCATTGGAATTAGAAGAGTGTCAAGCATTGATGAAGTTGAATAAACAGGCTCAAAAAGAGATGTTTATATAGATTATTAAGGGATATGCTTATGTAATATCTTCTTTATTTTTCCAAAGGCTAATATGATTCCATCAGCCATAGGAGAAATTAAGGGAATTATTGATGTAAGGACTAAAGTGTTGAAAAGTTGGAAATAAAAAGAGTTTAAGATAGACTCTAAATAAAGAACCTTTGAAATATTAAGGAAAAAGAACAGCAAAAAAAAACCAAGAATTATCTACCTATAATATTATACTGTTTAACCCTAAGAATACAAAGATAAGCGATATAGATTTGTTATTATTGCTAATTCTGAAGGTCATGGTTACTACAAAACATTGGTTTGTGGATCTGATGATAAAGCACTTTATGACAAAGTAATCCAGGCACTTAAAACGATATCATAATTCAAGGACCATGTGATGAGGGGAAGTATCCTATTAGAATCAAATGATTCTAATCAACCAAGAGTCATTAATAATTAACAATCCTTAATTACAACTAGGTAAGATATGAAATTAGTGACTTAATCAGAAATTATTCCACAAAAATAAAACATGAATATTAAAATCACAAAACAAACATTTGAATCAGACTTAAGACCAAATCAATAATCACAATAACAATATTAATAATAAAATCTTTCTTAGAATATGAAACAATAATCCAATCCCAATCAATAATTTCTATAGAATGATTCTCCAGCTAAATAACAGCAATAGCTCTAAAATATATAATATTAATAAGTATAATAGCCTGTAATATCTAATTTATAATAGTAATAGTAACAATAATAATATTAATAACAATAATAATAATAACAATAATAATCCATATATTAATAATAATATTATTAATAATAATAATAATAATAATAATAATAATAATTCTAAAAAAATTAAGATGAATAATATAGATTGTAATAAGATTCATTACTTAATCAATAAAAAATTGATAAACAAAGATAATAATAAGAATAGTTAAATTACTAATTGTTATAATAAGAACAGTAACAAAAGATTTAACAATAATCATTGATTCAATAAGCAAATGAAACATGTTAAAATAAAAATGAATTGAAATATCCTTAAGTTTTTCAAATGTTGTTTGAAGAGGGAAAATTTAATTCTGATTACTTTTCTATATCAAATAAATAATTCACTTAAGTTTATTGTAAAGATGGAGTTCAAATATTGAAAGACTAAGGTAATTCTCTTTGCTTTAGATCAACCTTAACCATTTACAATGCAGAAATTGATAAGGTATTTCAATGTTTAGCTGAAATTGATTTTGTGAAAAAATGGAATGCAGTTATTAATCCAAATGAAACTAAATTATTAAATATAATGTAAAGTGAGAATTGTGGAATAATTTATGAAAGACACAAGCCTTATGGTTTACTTTATTTGCCCAGAGATTTTGTGTATCTCAGATACGTTACATACAGAGGAGATGACATTCTGATTGTGGATAAATCGATAGAGAATGAAGATGCCCCTCCATACATGAAAGTGATTAGAGGAGAGATTAATTATTAGCTTACGGAGATAGTTAACAATTAAAATAATATTATAGTAAGAATTGAAACAGAAATAACAAATGGTGGTTTATCATCTGTGAGTTAAGACTGTGCAATTACCTAATGGTATTTAAGTGAACTTTCACATTTTCAGCAATTTTTAAAAACATACTCTGCTGTTTAAGAGATAATACAATCTCCTCTTTTATAAGTTTTAAAAAGTACAAAAGTAAATAAATAAAAAGAAATAATAATCATAGATTAAGGAATATCTAGTATATAACAATCTTAATAGCTTTACTAACCACAATAAGTTTAATATACTGATATAAATTAATAATAATAGTAAACTATTCCATAATAATAATAAATACAGATATAAGAAGGATATTAACCTTCTCCTGTAACTACTCCATCTGAATTTTAATTTAAGTTTGAATAAGTTAATTAAACTCATCAGATAACTTTGGATTCATTACCAATAATAGCTACTGTACCAGAAACAGCTCCATTAATTATTGAAAATCATAAAGAAATAAATGAAATCTAATAATATAATAAAGATATTGATGATGCTGATTTAAGTAATTACACTCCAAGTGATTTCATTCAATAGACATTACCAGAATTATCTGATAAGGAGATGGCTTAAGTAAAACAGATGATAAAAAATATTGAACAAGGTTCATATGATTATACTGTTAATTGTATTACTCACAGATATGTTTAAGAACCATAAAGGGCTAAGGATGAATATATCACATAGATAAATGGAGGACATTACTTTTTAAGATAGGATTGGAAAAGAGATATGAAACATGGGGGAATGATATTTTATAATTAAAAGAAGATAGAAGCTTAAAAGAGAGTTATTAAATTTATGTTAAAATCAATAGGATCCAATTTATTATCTGGTAAATCTATATTAAATATATCATTACCTGTTGAAGTATTTGAAAGTAGATCTAATTTAGAAAGGTTTTGCTATTCATTTACATTTGCTCCTTAAATCTTGGAAAAGGCAGCTAAAATAGATAATATTATTGAATAAATGAAATATACAATAGCATTTGGATGCAGTATTAATTTATTATAATTATAGGTTCAATTATTATGTATATGTCTTTAGAAAAACCCTTCAATCCTATTTTGGGTGAAACTTATTAAGGTTTTATTAATGGATGCCCTGTATATGCTGAATAAGTGAGTCATCATCCACCTATCAGTGCTTTTTAATTGAAAGGTAGAGGTTATGATATTGACGGACATATTGAATCAGCAGCCAGTATGCATGCAAATAGTGTTACTGGAAAGAATATTGGATTTATTAGAGTGACTTACCACAATACACGTTCGAAGCAAATCTTTATTCAATGTCCAGGAGTATTAACAGGTACTGCATTTGGAACAAGAGTGTTTAATATAAATGGAAGATCATATACTATTGATTTAGTACCTATAATTATGATTTTTAGGAAAATAATTTAATTGCTGATATGGCATTTAATCCTGGAAGCAAGAATGTATTCAATAAGAAAGACTTATTGTAAGACCAATTTATCGGTTATTTGTATAAAGTAAAGCCAGGAGTTTTGAATAAATATAAGAAGGAAGGTTATGCTAAATATACTGGAATCGATTTTGATAAGGATGTTGAATAAAGAGTAATAGATTTATTAATATATTAGTATTTTTCAATCAATGGGGTCTGGAATTAAATGGTAGAATTTGATGGGGTTAAATTATTTGATACACTTGAGATGAATCCTCATGTAATGGTTAATCATCCATGTCCTTTACCATCAGACTCAAATTTCAGATTGGACATTCTTTATTGGAAATTGAGAGATTTTGATAATTCACAAAGAACTAAGGAGATTTATGAAATCAAGTAAAGAAATGACAGAAAATGGAGAGAGAAACTTACAGGTAAGAAACATTGAGTTTTTGTATTGTATATTTTAATATAAAGTTTAATATATGGATAGATAAAAAGAATTATACCAAAAAGCTCTTTCCCTTATTAAATAAGAGAAATATAAAGAAGCATATGATGAATATTTAGATGTTTTGCTTTTGAAAGATTGTAAATCTCTATTTTTATGTATAGAAAAAAACATAGAGTACAATATGTTAAGTGGATTATGCTTTTAGAAGTTAAAGAATTTTAAGAAAGCTGAAGAATTTTATCTTTACACACTTGAAAAAAGGCCTGAAGATCCTAAAATATTAAATGCTCTCTTTAAGTTAAATAAGGATGATATTAAAAATAAAGAAAAAGCAATTGAGTATGGATAAAAGTTAATAACAATTTAGTATAATATTATGTTATGTTTAGCAAAAAAACAGATATTGGAAAGGCTATGGATGCCACAGTTGGATATTGTGAAATATTGCATGAAAATTAGGAGAGGAAAATTTTAGATGTTCATTTTCTAGAATTATTGAAACATGGAACAGCTGAATAAGTTTATAAGGTAGCCAAATTTTATATTCCATTAATAATTGATCTTAAATTAATAGATGTTACTCAACCAAAATCATTTAATTCCTTAATACTCCAATTTTCACAAAAGATTTATAATTAATTGCCAAATTTTGAAATAATAGAAATTATAGCAAGAAAAGTAGTATCAAAGTTTCCATTAGACTTTAGAGATATTATATTCGGATTAGCCATTTAGAAAGAACATTATGTTGTATTATTTGATTGGTTAGAATTACTTCCTTCAAGCTGTTTCTTATTAGATTAAGTTTTAAGGTATTGTCACTGCTTTCTTGATTATAAAATTAAATTCTTATTAGAATAATGTATAATTTTGTTAAGTGATGCAAATGAAGGATTGACTTATATGAATTATTAAATTTATGATGAAGAATAATTTAATAAAACTACATTGAAAGCATAAGCATTCTTAGCATTTATGAGAATTTATGCATCTTAGATTGTATAACAATGTGGAGATTAGTTTTTATCAGTCATAGATAAATTACTTTAATAAAAGAACTTTGATATTATTGAAAAAGAAAAGGATTATACAATTTTAGAATTGCCTCTTAAAGTTGCTTAATTATTTAAGAGTGGAAATAAAGAAAATTCATAAATGGCAAATACATTGATGGTTGATTTCAATAAGAGAATGAAATAATTAAAGAATTTTGATTTTGATGTTTCTGTATTAGAAGAAGTAGGAGCTAATCTTGGATATGATATTTTAGCAGATCCAGTTGAATTGATGGAAATGAAGAATCTTTTAAAAATAAGAATTAAAAATAAAGCTTATTCACTAGAAACATATGAAAAATATTTTGATTATCAAATTAAATTAGTATCTTTGATTAGACATTATGATGAAGAATTATCAATGTAATTAATTTTTGAAAAGATTCTATCTGATGATCCATAAAATCTAAAAGTTCAAATTAATTATGATTGGCTTAAGTTTTCAGAAAATAAAATATCACAAACACAACTTGTTGAAATATATTAAAAATATCTCCCTGCTCCACCAAAGATTGAACAAATTATTTTTAAAAGAATTGGAACAATCAAATTAATAAATAATCAAATAAATGAAGCAAAATCTTGTTTTGAAAAAGTATAAGGTGATGATTATGAAGCCAGTTTGGCTCTTGGTATGATAGCATTCTATTAAAAGCAATATGCAGAATCTTTAGAACATTTATATAGAGCTTTTAATTATTGCTAAACTAATTACCATCTTAATTAAATTATAATGTTTGTATTAAATAAATTAAAATAAAAAGATAAGGCTTTGGAATTTGCTATTAATATTTATAAATTATAACAATTTTAGAATGTCTATTGGTTAAGCTTTACAATAGGATAACATTTAATGTAGAATGTTTAATTTGGAAAAGCTCATGATATATTATAGAAAGCAGCTGATCAATTTCATTTTAATGTTGAGAAAACTTATAAATTGTATTATGAGAAGAAATTTGATTAAGGAGATTTCTCTATTCCTTATTTTATTAATCAAAATGATAATTTGTATTTATCTGATTATCCTGTGTTTTCATCAAATTATTTGGTAAATTAAGGTATGATTGTCTTAACTGAATAATATTTTTAAGATGAAAAATATCTAAAATTATTTAAATTAGAAATGAAATTAGCTGAATTGAAAAAGATACTAGGACTCTAAGGATCAGCTTTAAAGAGTTTAGAGAAAGCAGAAGAATTACTTTTAAATGAAAATAATAATTAAATATCAGATTTAGATAATTATTTGACTTTGAAATGTGATATAACAACAAATAAAGGAAAATTAATTAGATTTACTTAAGAATTAAACTAAATATAAATTTAAAACAGATGGGTTTGTACACTTAAAACAAAGAAAATAGATAAATAATATTCTAAACTTTTGATTTTGCATAACTTTGAATGTGCTTAATTATAATTATATGGATAATAGGAATACTTTAGTTAAGAAAGAATGATTCAAGGATTATTAATGTCAATACATAATTTTGATGATTAAGAAATTTAAATATTAATTAAGAGCTATTTGTGTTTTGTTTTTGAGATTGCTTCACAATAAATAAAGAATCAATTAGTCTATGGAACAGATGGAGTTTAATAATTGGCTTAGAAATATTTAAGTTTATTTGAATTGATTTCACCTTAAATATAATTAAATGTTTATGCATGCGAATGTTTAAGAGAATTCTTTTATTTATTAGGAATATATCATGATGTCTAACATTTTTAACAGAGTTTAAAATACTCTTAAATTGTTATAAAGTTATTATGTTAGATTGATATAACAGATTAATTTGATTTATAAGAAACATTTTAACATATGAGAAGTATTTTAAATGGATAAGATAAAAAGTAATTAATTGTTAAAAATAATTTATAATCTTTATTATTAACTAGAAGCAGACTTAATTTAGATAATATAAAATATTTAGAATTAAGTTTATCTTTATTTCCAAAATGTGACAGCTTATATTGTATAGCTGCTTAAATACGAAGAAATCCAGCTTTCATTATAAAAGCTCTAGAATGTAATAAGAAATGTTAAGCTGCTCTATATCAATTAGGATTATTATATATAGGTAGATAAAATTACGAATTTGCATTTTAAACTCTATAAAAATGTATAGAAGTTGAACCTACAACATCAGCTTTTGCATATTTAGCATTATCAATAATTTTATTTATTTATCTACAATAAAATTATAATATTGAGATATCTGATTGCAACAAAGTGAAACAATTGGATTCATTACATTTTTATTAAAATTAATTGACATAAGCAATATCTTCATATTTAGATTATGTTTCAACACTTCAGAATACTCCAATTTAAAATATTTTAAGTATTATATATAGAAATTTATACTTGGGATACACAGTTAAAAGTGAGGCAATCCTTCATGATGAAAAATTTAAGTAGATGCTTAAATAATTTCCATCTGAATATATGGAGATTTTGTATTGTGAAATTCCTTATATTTAGAATTCAACAGAATTAGAAAAGATTTATAATAAGTATGCTAGTATAGTATAAATAAAAGAAGAAATACAATTATTGATTACTTAAATGAATTAGTATGAAAATATAAATAATAATCAAGTTTAATGGGCAGCAAAATTAAAATATTTAATTCATTTATTAACATTAAGTATTGATAAAGTAACAAATTTAAAAGAATTAGTAGGAATTATAAATGATGCATTTGAAATGTTGGTTAAAAATATTATTAAATTAAGATAAGCAACAAATATTTTTAATTTTGATGTTTTATTTATGGGTTTTGTCAATAAATGGTATCATTATACAAGAACAATTTATTTAAAAGATAATTCTCATAAAGATTATTATTTATTTGTTGCTAAGTTTTAATAATAATGTCTAAAATTAAAAGAACTTAATGAAGCATAATTGATAAATTATATTGATTAATTAATGGATAAAAATAATAAAATTACTTAAGAATTAAAACATAAGTTATAATTTATGGAATTGATATATTAAGGAAATTGGTAAGAAGCAATTACTCATTTATAATTGTGTATATTTCATAATCCATTGAAAAAAGTATATAGAGACATTCTTAATAAAATACACTTAACATTTTATGAGTAGAAATATGTTCAATAAGAAATTTTAGATTTTAGAAAAACTAATTAAGCTACTCTTTGGTTGAATACTATTATAAATGAATTAGTTTTAGAGAGATCTAGAAATATATCTAGATTACCTTTGATATTAAAAATAATTAAATTTAAGATTTTACCTTATGCTGATAATTTAATTGCAAAACTTTTAGTTAAAGTCTTATGTGACATTGAATAATAAATATCAACAGAAGGATTGTTGGATTAAATAGCTATTAAATATAATATAAATAAAGAGAAATATTGGATAAAAGCCTTGATTTAAAAAAAATTAAATGAAAAATAAAATGTTAATCAACTTATTATATAATATAGAGATAAGTATCTTGAACAATATGAAGATTAAATTTAATGGAAAAAGACTGCTTTATTATTAATAGTATAAATTAATTATATTTAATTAGCCAATTTTAACATAATTATATTTTGATAGAGGTTCATAAGGTATGGAATCTATATTATAGTAAATAATGCAAAATTATTGTTTATATGCATAGCAATTTTTACCAAAGGATGAAAAACTTAAGAAGGCTAGATTTATCTACAATATGTTACATTATGGTTGCTACATAAAAAAATTAGATGATATTGAATCAATCGGTGTTACATTGACAAATTTAAAAGAAATAGCTGATGAAGTACTAGTTTAAATTACTTTTTTAGTTTGTAAATTAAGGTACATTTAATCCAACTAGTTTATCAATATATATACATTATCATGTGGCAACTGAAAAATATTAGGAATTAGATAAATGGTTAGAAATTACTAATCAATATATTTATAATAATGATCCAATAATTAATTGGGGTTAAATCATAAGATCATATCATTAAGTAGAGGAAAAGAAAGATATAAACACTTTAAAGAAATTTGTTACTTTTGTACAATAATAATAAATTCAGAATCCTAAATTATAATCTTTAATACATTATTTAATTGGATAAGCAGTAATGAATGTTAATGATTGGTAATAAAAGTATTCTAAAGAGGAAGTCTTAAAGAAATTTTAGTTAGCTTTATTATTAAATCCTAATAAAGAAATAATAAAATCATTATAACCTCTTTAGACAATTAGATAAGTTAAATAAAAGTTAAAATTAAGATTGGATTAATATTTTGAAGATGTTTAATAACCAAAAAGAAAATTAAAGAAAAAAGTAATGGATGGTCTTAATAGTGATTCAGATGAGGCATTAGTTGATCAAATGGATTATGAAGAAGATTAAAAAGAATTTCAATAAGAGCATGGAATGACCCTTGAAGAACATTAATAAATAACTGAAAGTGCTTTTATTGAATAGTAAAAAGTTTATGCAGAAGAGTAAGTTATGTATCTTGATGAATAATAATAATATCTCCATTCCTTGACTTAAGAAGAATAATAAAAATTAATTGAATTTTATACATAGAATTATGATTAATTATCATATGAGTAATAATGTTAATTTATGATATTGCAGGGATATCAGATTGAATAAATTGTGGAATATTTTTATCATTAATAATAGCCAGAATAAGAATAATAATAACCAGAATAAGAAAAATGAGATAAGGTTTTTGTTTAAATATCATATAAATTAATATTTTCATTCTAAATATATTGTATATTTTTGACTCCATATATATTATTTATAAAATATAAAATTGATCTCTTTAGACATTCATAGTACAATTTAAAATTTCCAAATAAAAATTCTTAAATTATATTTTAGTTTTGATATAAATTAATTTGTGCTCGTTTGTCTATTTGTTTATTATAAAGAATTAATATTGTATATGGATAATACTTATTTATGAATAATCTCATATTGTTGTTTCTAAAGTTATTCCAAGAGGAATTGGAAGAATTCCACACTTAGAGGGACTTCTTCCATCGACTGGCACTTAGGTGGCTAAGGTCCATGAGAAACTATAAGTTAAATAGATTATAAATATACGTGTTATTGAATTTTCCTTTAGCAGAAAGACCAACAGTGTTATTAAGAAAATTGAATCTTGCCTTAACATCAGCTCCTTAGAATTTGGTTGAAGCAGCTAATAGGAAAGTGAATCTGCTGACTGGAGTATATTCAATTTCAATTCCATATTGATTAGAGTTCTTTCTGAAAACAGCATCAAGTAGAAATTTTCCAAATCCAAAATTGCTAAATAATGGGAAAGATGGGATTTGATTGGTTAAATGTCTAAAGAAAACATCATAATTTTAGGTTTAATATCCAACCAAAAAGTCTAACTTATCAAATTCTTATCTGCTAAGACATAATTATGATGCAATAACATAAACCCAATTATTATGTTTGACTTATGATCTCAATAAGAAGTTCACTTTGTCTTAGTTTAACCATTCAAATCCTAATTTATTTTATATATAATAGTACTTGCATGACTTAAACATTTTTATCCTTCATAGACTGATCCAAATCTAATAGTTGATTTTGATGAACTATTATAGAATTACACATTAGCAAATAAATTTTATTGTTTGATGATATTAAATTTACCAAAATCAACATGAACCTTAGTTTATTCTTTTCTTGTGGCAAACCAGAAATAATAATTGTTATATGGAAGTTAAAACTTTGTTTCTTATCCTGGAGCCAAAGACTTATTGATGTCTAATGTCCCTTTATAATTGGCAATGCCGCCACCATTTGCTGAAGCCTTAACTTTCAAAGTAGCTTTTCCTGTTGAGAAATCATCTTCAATAAGCTTTTTAGCTGTAAAATCACCCAAGGATTACAATGGGGCTGGTGACAAGGATTGAGGGGTAGCCATAAATATTAATTAATATCTTTTTTAATTATTTTCTTTTTGGTTTAATAGGATATGAATAGGGAAGTAATAGTAAGGTAATATGTATATATTGGATTGTTATTTAAATTAATAATTAGATCATAACTCTAATTGTGGTCCTTTAATTTATGATTGAGTCCGAATTTTTTCATCAAAACTAGTTTTTTGTTTAGTCATTGCTTAATATTATCTAGTCTTTTCCAATCTATGCTCTCTACTTTTCTACCATAACAAGAGACCAAGCCCAATAAATATATACAGCTTAAATATTAATGATATGATACTGCTGCAGCAATTATACATGCGGTGGCACTTCTCGAATAATCTTTCGATTCTCCTCCTGCCACAGCATATGGATAAAATGGGGTTTTTGCATTTACAACTAAGAATAGTATAAACTAAAATTCTACTATATAATCATACGAATGCAAGTGCTGCTAAGAAACTATTCACAACCCAAAATTCTAAACAACCCATTTATATTAATTATGAAATCAACTTTTACAAGGTCTGCATAAAGAAGTTTAGAAGAGCAACCAATTAGTTCTTAATTCAAAGCATCCTCTCAGTTACATGCTGCTCTTCTTAATGAGTATAAACGACCTGAAAATTCTTCTATGCCTAAAGTGACACTTACATCTACAGGAAAAGAAGCTGTCAGATAAGCTAGACTTGAAAAAGAAGTTTAAAAATTTGAATATACTTTGTAATCTGAAGTTGCTTCATTACCTAAACATCCAGCACCTATATATAGAGAACAAACTAAAGTAAGTTATCAAAATTTAATATCAAGTTACTTATTGAAAGACAAAAGGATACTAGAAGAGAGAATCATTTAAAGTTTTGTGATGAATTTGAGAAATGGGTTAATCGTCTAAATAAAAATTTAGAAGAGGCCTATAAAGATATTAAAAGAGATATTACAGATTTCTTTTCTGAATCAGATCAATAAATAACTAATTATTATCAAACACTTACTGATGAAGCCTTACTTAAAAGGGAAATAGAATTTGTAGAGAGTATCCATTCAACTGTGAATGCACATAGAGAAAAAAGAGAAACCAAAGTTAACACGCTTGATAAAAGACTAGAAGATTTAGAAAAAGAGAGATTTAGATCCTTAGAACTATTCTGTAATAGATTTTAAGAAGGTCTAATTGATGTGGCATTCTAATTAGAACCTGAAATAACTGCGCATGTGGATGTATGAGCTCTTATTATACATTCAGACTTTCAGAGAAGAGTTTCGAAAGGTTGTGGCAGAGAAGAGAGCAGACAATTAAGTCTATGTTCAAGAGGTCAATAGATAGCATTAAGAGACATTTAAATAGTATGACGAGACACAAATTTAGAAAGAATAACGATGGAGAGATTTAAAACATTAACATTACATTGAAGAATTTAATGTTGATATTTAGAAATTAGAATATGTATATCCTGATGAAAGAACATAATTATATGATAAATTTAGGAAAACATAAAAGGATATATTTAGAGAAAGAAAACAATTATTAGAGAAACTTAATTCATATGATTTAGCTGCATTAACAAAAACAATAGTTGAAAAGTGGATAGATGAAACTAAATCATATAATGAATTAGCATCATAAACAATTGATGTTTGTTGTAATAATTTATTAGAGGAAACTAAAAAAACACATAATTATTGTATGTAAAGATATGAATTAATCAAATCATAATTATTATATGCAAGAGCAAAATCAGAAGAAGAATTAAATTAATTATTAGAAGAATAATTCCTACCATAAGTTAATGGTTTAAATCAATCTGCTAGAGATTTAATGAAATAAGCTATTGATTATTATGAAAGAATTGATCAATAATAAACTGATATACTCACTAATTATGGATAATTCTTTATGAAAATAGCAACTAAAAATGATGAATACAAAACTGAAATGCAATTATTAATGCATAATTATGAAATACAAAAAGCATAAGCAGCAGATAAAAATGATGAAGTCTTAGAAGAATTAACCAAAAAGTTAAAGGAAGATAAGTAAAAACTAACTGAAGCATTACATCATCCTCGTTTAGAAGAATGTTTAACCTAATGTTATAAGGATTTAGACTAATTTGGAGAAGAATATGAAAGATTTCATTAAGATAATTAGTCTATAGCTAATTAACATCCAAATATCATCAAAAATAAACATTAAATATTTGAAAAATAAGTGTTAAATATCTTTGAATTAGTTGATCCATAAAAGGAATAATTCCTATAAGAAAAATATAGAAGGATAGCTGAAACAAAAATAAAATATTTAATTGCTAAAGAAGAATATAATAAAAAAATAGAAGAAGAGAAATTAATTGAAGAAGCCAAGAATAAAAAAGGAGGTAAACCTCCTGCTACAAAACCTAAAGATCCAAAAAAGTATTAATAAGTAAATATAGTAGATTTTAATAAGAATTAGAGGATAGAATGAAATAATTATTAAAGGAATAACCACCCTAAGAAGTATCTAAATATCATAGTTCCCTTGATTAATAATTTGTATTGTTTAGATCTACAAATGAAATTGCAGAACGTCTGTACATTCCTCCAGATGAAATGGAATAAGTACTAGCTAAAGAAAAGTAAGAAGCTGATGAAATTGAATCTTATTTATAATAATAGAATGCACCAAAAGATCCTAAAGCAAAACCTACAGCTCCCCCTCCTATTGAATTACCTAATTATATTCCAGAAGAGGATGTTCCTAAGAAATCAGTTGATTTTGCTGAACAACCTCCTATAAATGTGTTAAATTAAGCTGTTTTAGAAAAGGATGCAATAATAACAATAGAATATTTATCAACATTATTAAATTAAACCAAATAGAAATTATTTGATTATATAACTAGTTGTCTTAACTTTTAAAATTAATAAGCTAATGAAAGTGATAATGAATTTATAAAATAATCTGAAAATCAGAGAAATGAAAAGTAATCTTAAATTGAACCATAAAAATAAGAAATCAAAAATACTATATATATATTAAGAAGTTAATAAATTACAATGCATAAAAAAAGGTAAAATAAAATATTAATTAATTAGATATGAACGATATGCAAAGTAATTAGTAGAAAGGATTGATGATCAAACAGAATAGATTAATTTTTTATTGGAAGGTGGATTATTGGATATGAAAGATTATATATAAGAGTAGTAAACATTAAAAAATAATTTATAATCAGCAACAACTTTAGCCAAATTATAAGGAATTCAAAATACTGTTAAAGAGAACTATTTTAAATTTGGAGAAAGTAATATTGTTAATTTATAATAGAAATTAATGATTTAGAATAGAAATTAAGTTATTTGGCAAATTAAGAATTGGATGTATTATTATAAAAAAATAAAGATTTTATGAGAGATTGCAAACCAAATGAATATTTTAAAGAAGAATTAGAATGGTATCAATAAATGATGGATGAACATAATGCTACAATTGTTAAACATAAAGAGAAAAGAACATAAAGATTAGAAGAAATTAAAAAAGTATTGACAGCAAAAAAATAAGAATAATTGGATAAATTTGAATAAGAATATATAATAGCAGTTGAAGATTTAGCAGCTAAAGATGGTACTGGAAAGAAATATGGAAGACCTAAAAGAATAGCTTAAGAAAAATTAAGAACAGAAATGACTAAATGTGAAAAAGCATAGGAATGCATCAATTTGAAAATACAAGAATTAAAAGATCATTATGATTTATTCAAAAAAAAATAAGGTGATTATTTTGCTAATCTTGAACCATCATTTTCTATAAAAATTAGAAAAATATTGAGTGGAACCTTAATTTGTATCAAAAGATATGCAAATCATATTGAAGCACTTAAACCAGATAATAAAGTTGTAGATATGCCAAGGACTACTTGGAAGGAAAATAAATTTGATACTATTTTAGAAGTTGAAGAATAATAAGAAGATAAAAAAATAATTGAAAATGATTTAGAAAGTATGGGACCATTATTTTATGCTGAAAAGAAATTATAAGAAAGTTTATTAGATATTGAAAAGATAATTAAAGAAGAAGCAATTAAAATTTATGCAGATAAATAAAAATTCTTAACTGGAACTGATAAAATTCCAGATTATCTTAGAGCATATATTGAGAATATGTAAAGGAATATGAATGAATTTAGAATATAATCAATTAGAGAACTTAGGAATGCTTGTGAAGAATTATCAGAAATGTCACCAAAAATTAGTGAGATGATATTATTATCAAATCATTAAAGATGGATATTCACATTATCATTAATAAATACTAATTTATGGAATGAATTATAAAAGGAATAAAATAAATAAGAGAATCTTAAAAAATTACATTAAAAATTATTAAGACCTAATTTAGGAAATCCATAATTAAAAGAAGAATTAGAAGATTTAAAATAAAAAGAATCAAANTAAGAATTGGATGTATTATTATAAAAAAATAAAGATTTTATGAGAGATTGCAAACCAAATGAATATTTTAAAGAAGAATTAGAATGGTATCAATAAATGATGGATGAACATAATGCTACAATTGTTAAACATAAAGAGAAAAGAACATAAAGATTAGAAGAAATTAAAAAAGTATTGACAGCTAAAAAATAAGAATAATTGGATAAATTTGAATAAGAATATATAATAGCAGTTGAAGATTTAGCAGCTAAAGATGGTACTGGAAAGAAATATGGAAGACCTAAAAGAATAGCTTAAGAAAAATTAAGAACAGAAATGACTAAATGTGAAAAAGCATAAGAATGTATCAATTTGAAAATACAAGAATTGAAAGATCATTATGATTTATTCAAAAATAAATAAGGTGATTATTTTGCTAATCTTGAACCATCATTTTCTATAAAAATTAGAAAAATATTGAGTGGAACCTTAATTTGTATCAAAAGATATGCAAATCATATTGAAGCACTTAAACCAGATAATAAAGTTGTAGATATGCCAAGGACTACTTGGAAGGAAAATAAATTTGATACTATTTTAGAAGTTGAAGAATAATAAGAAGATAAAAAAATAATTGAAAATGATTTAGAAAGTATGGGACCATTATTTTATGCTGAAAAGAAATTATAAGAAAGTTTATTAGATATTGAAAAGATAATTAAAGAAGAAGCAATTAAAATTTATGCAGATAAATAAAAATTCTTAACTGGAACTGATAAAATTCCAGATTATCTTAGAGCATATATTGAGAATATGTAAAGGAATATGAATGAATTTAGAATATAATCAATTAGAGAACTTAGGAATGCTTGTGAAGAATTATCAGAAATGTCACCAAAAATTAGTGAGATGATATTATTATCAAATCATTAAAGATGGATATTCACATTATCATTAATAAATACTAATTTATGGAATGAATTATAAAAGGAATAAAATAAATAAGAGAATCTTAAAAAATTACATTAAAAATTATTAAGACCTAATTTAGGAAATCCATAATTAAAAGAAGAATTAGATGATTTAAAATAAAAAGAATCAAAAAGATTATCTGATTTTTTGGAATTATTATCAAAATATTAAGTAACTCTTTTTGATGAAAATTTCAATTAAGGAGACAAATATTTGAAAGCTGCAAATTAAAATTTTGAATTTTTATTACTTTTTTATGATTCACTCTTATTATTTGAAGATTTTATTAAATTACCTGGAGATGAATAAATATAAAAAAAACATTAAAATTTGAAAGTCTCTTTGAGATAAAAGTAGAGTGGTTAAATAATAGATACAAATTCAGAAAGATCTCTAAGTAAAACTTGGGAAGGTGTTTAATTGGAAATGTTTACTATAGGAGATAGAATTATATAATATAATTGGCAAATCAATTAAGTAGTAAAAGTAGATCCAAAGGATGCAAAAAATAAAGCTCCCGAAGCTAAGAAACCAGCTCCAGGAGGAAAACAATAAGAAATTGAGAAACCCATTTAGACAACTACAACGTATTTAATTTAATAAACTTTAGACCATTAAAATCATTTAAGACATTTAGATAAATATCAGCCAAACATGAATTTTTTAAATCAATTAATGAATTTGTTATTGAATACAAGAAATAAGTAGATTATGCAAAAGATTAAATAAAATTACTTAGTGAAAGAGAGTTAAAGTTCTAATTCAAATGGGAATAAAGCATTGCTTCTTTGTGATATTAATATAATTTATATATATATTTATGATATTTCCAACTGAGCCTTATATTAAGAAGAAGTTCTTTTATAAAAATATGTTGGCAGATAACTCAAAGATAGACTTTCTTAATTAATATAAGGTTTTGTAATAGATGAAAGATAATCACTCTAATAATAACAGAAATCACATTCATACATAAGTTACATAGGTAAGTCTCTATAAATAGATGTTCAGTATTCATTCTCCTCAGTCATCACAAATAATAAATAAATCATAAAGGCCAGGATTCAGTTCAGTAAAGCGTTTTCATACTCATAATTCTTAATAAACTATTCCGAGTAGACCTCCTATTAAAACTTCTAAATAAGAGAGCAGAAAGGAACGTAGAGCTCCTTTGCATAAAAGAAAATTAATTTTGAAATAATCATCTTTAGAAATCACAGATTATTTATAATATCTGAAAAGCTAAAAGAAATCTAATACTTCTATTAAATATTCAGATCTTTTAAAAGAAGAAATACCTATTATAACAATGAATTAATAGAAATAACAAAATTATAGAAAATAAAAAGAAGAATAAAGAAATTATTTGCAATTATTATTTTAATGGTAATTCACATCCATAATCCACTAGTACGAATATAGTGTCTCGTATTTAGAATGGAAGTAACTTTTAGGATATTATTAATACATGTACTCATCAATATCCTAATCTAAAACACACAATAGATTAGTTTATGCAAGATATTGAAGTTGCTTCAACTATATATACAAGTCAATCTTAATTAGGAGCCACTCTTGGTAGAATCACTGGAGTTGATCATAAAATTTTTTATTTGTTTTTCAGACCTTAAAATGAATACCCAGAATCTAATTTATTATATACTATTGATGAGGATCTCTGTAAAAATTATAAATTTATAAAACCAACCAAATATGATATTTATTACAGAATCTTTGGAGCAGGTGATTTACCATTAGAATTTTAAGATTAATTAGGATAATCCGAGCCTTAAATTAAAAGACATAAAATTAGACATTAATAAAATTAATTTGCTTAATAAAATAAAGATGCAAACCCTACTATTGATTATGATTTTGTTAAGAAGATATCTTACTACTAAAAAAATTTATAATTATTCTTAAAGTAGAAATCAGGCGATATATTATCCAATCTCAGATAATAAATGATAGACGAAAAGTAACAAAATGGTAATCTCATTAGACATACTATACTTTCAAAATTAATAGATTCAGAAAATTAATTTGGCCATTTCCCATTAGTAACTCGATAAAATAGATATTTATTCGAAAAGGTTGAATACGATCAAAGTATACTTAATAAACAAAAAAACTGAAAAAGACTTTCAATAAAATTATGTCTATATTTTATATTCTTTTTATATTTAATTAATCAATTACAATTTATTAATGTTATCATTCATATATTCAAATAAACACAATATTTTCTATTGTTATTAATAATAACATAAATTTCTTAATATAAATATCAAATATTTTCATAAGACTTTTCTTATTGATATCAAATAAATGCTTTTATCTTTTTATGCTATTATGGGTGTTTTAAGTTTTGCCATCTCTTTTATTAAAGGAAATGGAAAAAATTAGAAGTTTAATAATTAACCTATTTTATAAATACATTTATCAGATATAATTATTTTAGACTTTTAGTATTCGAAAAAATATAATTCCTAAGGTTTTATTGAATTATTTGAATTATTTACTAGGAAAATATTAAATGAATTTTTCTTTATTCTAATTTTATTCAATGGAAAATAAAATAATTCTTTTGATATTTAACAATTGAAAAAGAATAATAATATTATCTTACAAATATTAAATAGTTGTTGAATATCATCAAAAACTTTAATAAAACTTTATATTTAAAAAATATGTTAAATATTAGGAATAAAGAATATTGATTATCTTAATATTTCACTTCATTAAATAATAGGACTTTTTTAATTTTGTTAATAATTAGAAATAATATAATAAAAGTAAGGATTCATAATAATCAAATAAGATATCATAACAATAGTTTCTGAGGATCTGTGTATATAAGAAGACTACTTAAAAAACAATATTAATATAAATAATTTAATTAAATTATATTTTTTTTGAAATATTATTTTAAGAATAATCTGAGAATTTAAATTCTGATTAATGAAATATGAAATTAATTGTTTTCATTAGGTATCACTGTATGGAACACATCCAGTCCATGGTCTAGCAACATATTAATTGAAACGACCATCGAATTACAAAGTATTTGTAACTGTATTTTGGACTTATGTTGCATACAATAAGTTGTATTCAACTGGATCTCTGGCTAAAACCCACATGAAGAATTTTGATGGTTCACTAACTATAGCCCATTAATATTATTCATTTTTGACTGGACCTAATTAGACAATCCAATAATCAGCATATTCAAAAGGTGCTCCATCCAAATGTACTTTCAATTAACCTGGTTATTCTGGATTTGGGATGTAAGCATATCCTGTGATTTCTTTGACTTCACCTTAAGGAGATCCATATCTTTCCATATTTAAGACACTCAAATTTCCATCTGATTAAAGACCATATGTTGCTCTTGTGCAATAAGCATCTTTTTCAAATGTTAAATGAACCCAAGGACTGCTGGCCACTTCATACCAGTTACCCAAGTATTATGTAACATTAAGTGTTTATACACTCTATAATTAAGCAGATGCCAATCCAAGAAGTACAACTAAAATCAATTTGTTCATTTATTAATGAAAGGATCAAGAATTAAATTCTGCATTTGTTTCACAAATAAGAACAAAATTCTTCTTAAAATATTAATGCGTCATTAATTTAATTATTTATATTAATTAAAAGTCATTTCCCATTACTAATTTGGAATTTCTTCACTTCAATTGATTTTAAAAGAGAATATTTAAATATTTCTCTTGCTCTATCACATCCAAAAAGTAGACGTAAATTATTTTAATTTCCAAACCACAAAATTAATTAATTATGTAAAGTTTAATCTATCTCAAGTAAGGTCATTTTACTTAAATCATATGATCCTTTCAATTTGAAATAACTTTGTTCACTTGCTTGTTTTTTTTATGTGTCTGAAGTAAGTTTTGCATATTTCTTATTTACTGTTTGTTCAAGCATTAAATCTGGTTTTAGGAAAAACCTTATTAATGTTAATGAATAAATTGTTACCAATCTTCAAGATTTTCAGTGAATAATCTTATTTATGTTCCATCATTATGGATCAACATTCTTTTTTTGTGAAATTCTTTAAATTTGTTGAATATTGGTTTTTCAGGATTGTGAACTGCCCACATTATACATTTTGGTTAAATACCATTACTTATATGTAATAATGCACCTTGACTGATTGTATCATCAGAAAATTTTATATTACTCAAAGCTATTTAGAATTTCATAAATGATATAATTTTAGTGAAGAATATAATTGCAACTTCTAAAGAATCTTCATCTTTAAATGGAGGAGGTTAATCAGTTACAGAATAAAGGATACAAATTCTTTGATCACTTTCCATCCTATAACAACCTTCGATCTAAAATAATAATTTATTATTTACTTATGATTTATTAATTTTGAATATCAATTTAAGAGATGTAAATTCCATTAGTAATTTTGGATTTTCAAATTCAGGAGAAGGATTCTTTTTCTTTTTGATCTCCTCATCAGCTTCACATAATATAAAATATTTTGAAGTAACTACAACCAATGCAGGAATATTGAGACCTTTTTATGTTTGATAATAGCATTTTATAAAATGTTCAACATAATAATCTGGCCTTTAATTTCCTTATTAGTCTTCATCATCCTTATTTTTAATTAAAATTGATCTATTTAATAAACTTGATTGCAATTTTAATTGATAGTCAAATGAAAATAAATCTTCCAATATTTCTTAGATAAAAGATTATCTTATGAATTTTTTGGTAAAAACTTCCATTTTAGTTAATACAGAAAGAATTTAAAATTTTAAACTTTTACATTTCACTATATATAAACCAACTAATTTAATCAAAGAAGATCTTGTCTATGTTTTTATTTTAAAGAACTTTTCATCTAAGCTCACTGCAGCCAGAAGACTTTTTTCTGATTACATATCCCAAACAATAATCTCTAAGAATATAGTAAAACCTTATAATGGAAGCAAATTGAGTAAGATATATTCATCGATTTATCTATTGATCATAGTAGCTATTTAATTTCTTTCTTCAGGTCTTTGTCTTTAGAAATCATCAGCATAATCTTTTTCATATGTTTCCATAATTTTATCTTCATAAGATATTTTAGTTAAATTAGAAGCAATTTTACTCATGCATTCACATGCTTCTTTAATCAAAACCAAATCATCATATGTCAATGGAAATTTATCTTCATTTTATAGTTTAACAGAGATAATATCTAACATATCTCTAACTGCCTTGGCAATAACAAAAAAAGATGTTATAAACTATTTTTCTTTAGCACAAAATGAATATTCTAAAATTACATTCATTATTTTAAGATATTTGGCACCTATATTGCCATTATGCCAATCTGCCCATTAACAAATTAAAGTTAATTCTCTAATATATTCAGCTCTCTATCCTAATTATTCAGCCATTTTCTATCTTTAAATATTTGGTTTATTTATATCTTATGGACAATAACCTAATAAAGCATATACAATTCTCAAATATGCACATACAGTAATAGTTCTTTCTTCAAATTTAATACCTGTATAAGTAATATGCTCCTGAGTTATACTTAATGCTTTCTTTGCAAACATTGGAAAATGAATAATCTTATTTGGATTAAAATATGGTTTTTATTTAATAAATCCTCTTAATGGATCTGTAGGCATAGGCAATCCTTAAAATATAGTTGTTAATTTTTCATTCATTCTTGAAGTAGATAATTTTTTAACTTCTTATTATTTATTTAAATTATCAAAGTATTCATGAACTTATTCACGAATATAAAAATTGATTGAATTAAGCATTCTTTCAAAATTTAATTAATTTCCAAAGATTTCAAGGAAATATTCTTTTAAAGATAAAGATTTAGCTGAATGATTTCGACCAACTAAGAAACCCAACAAATTAATAGCTCCTTCTTAATCATAGAATAATTGATGTTAACTTTAATGATAAATAGAATCTTCTTAATTTTCAATAACTAGAAATGGATCTGCACTAGTTTTCATAGCATCCCATATTTCTGTTTATTTAGCCCTTCTCTCTAAAGCTATTTTCTTCCAATTTTTTTGAATTTCTTTGAAATCATATAAACCTGGATTTTTGACCTTACTTAAATCTTCAACTTCATCTTCAGGTCTCATTTCTAAATTCTCTGCAATTCTTATTAAAATTCTATCTGATACCTTTTTGTATGGCAATAATGCATCTCTGTTGAATAATACAGATATTAAATATGAACATTATTTACCAATAAATGATCTTTCAATATCTATATCTAAAGTTTCAGGTGTTAATAAACTATCTTCATTCAATAGTGAATTCTTCATACATTAAGCTTAATATAGTCCTTTTAGATTCTCTCTTAATAATGGTTCACAATGTAATGATTTTAGAAAATTATTAGTTCCAAAAGATAATTCTACTTTTTCTTAATATTCTGAATTGTCTTCACCTAATTCTAATAGATCACGTTCTTAATTTCTCTCTAAAATATCAAGTGCATATAATGTTGCATTTTAACTGAATACAGTTACAAAATCTTCTCTAGATGATGATTTCTCACCAACAACAATCTTAGTCAATATCATCATAATATTAGCAACTACACTTTCTGTTTTACCAGCACCTAAATTTCTATAGGAACCCAATAGAGTAACTAATTTACCAATTTCTTTAGAATCTAATTAAGAAACCTTAATTGTTAATAAACATTAAACTACAGCCAATCTAACCATATCACTAGGAGTAGCTAATACTATAAATAAAGCTTCATCTCTTCCATTATTATCTAAATTCTTACTTACTTCCATACATATATCAGATATTGGACTATCATAACCAATAGCATTTTTAGAAAAAAATTTAAGTAATTTTATGATATTTCTAAATACTTCATGTATTTTTGTATTTAATAATGAACTTAAATTTTTAGTTAATTTTTAGATAGTTGGATCTAATTATTTCATCATTAATACATAATAATCTCCTCCTAAATAATGTAATAATAATTCACAATTATGAGTTTTTAAACAGATATATTTGACTATTTCATTGTTATCTACTCCAGGTTATTATGTTTTAATGATTTTGTTTTTCAATAGTTTTCTAATATAAATAGCTACTGCATTTATTAAATAAGGATGTATTGCTGGAATTGTTGCCATTTAAAATAATTCATTAACTAAAAAGCTATCCTTTATTTATTATTATACAATTATATCTGTTTTCCATATTGTTCCATATACTTATATTAAAATACCCACTTTTTCATATCTCAATAAAATAGTATCTTTGTTTTCTTTAGTTTCAGGATTTAAAAGAGAATTTCTAAATTTTTTAAACATAAATAGATATTTTCTTAATTCATCTTCCACATCCTTAATAAAATTACATGCTGTTTATCTAGATTCCAATACTTCCTTTGTGCATATCTGACTCCTCTTCATTGAATTATTAATCAAATATAATACACCTATATATTATTCATCCAAATCAGATTATAATAATAATTTGAATAAAACTAAACTTTTAGTTATAATCCCTCTATAATGATATTCATTTGCAAATTTTTGGAATTCCGCTAATTAAGCCATAAAATTTAAAAATAACACATCTCTCTATTATTATTCTTCTCTTAAGTTATCCATATCCTTCATATAATTAGACATAATTTAATCTAACCAATCTACAAAATTCAATTGAGCCAACTTTATTGGAACCATTTCCTCATCATTTCTCTCTTCTACAGTTCTTAAAATACCTTCCATAACAAAAGTAGGAACATATTCTAATTCCTTTTATTACTATAATAGAGGGATACTATATTTCTAAATAATATTTCTAGCTATTATTGCCATACCAGTTCCACTTCTCACTATTTCTACCACCATTTAAAAACATCTTCTTCCAATTTCTAAGCATTTAACAATTGCTAATTAAGCTAGAGCTTTTAGAATTTATTCTACATAACTTTATTGATTTTAAGCAAAAAGAAAACAATTTTATAAAAAACTGTCTATATATTCTGCAATTTATTGTTACTTTTTTGGATCCTTATCTAAAAAACACAAATCAGCTTTATTTGGTTAAACAATTATCTTATTTACTAAATCATCTATCTTCCTAAGACAAGGAACAATAGCTTAAGGATCATTTATACATTTAGTTATCTTATCACATAATTATTTAGCATATTCTTAATCTTCTTCATCAGGTTCACTATCTATAAATTCTACATCTCCTAATACATCTTCAATATTGAAATTAGCATCAGGTATAAATAAATCTGTAGATTTGTTATTCAAAGTTTTTAGCATTGCAGATAAAGTAACAGCAAATGCAGTCTCAATTAATGGTTGCTTTTTTAAGAATGGATTTCTCAATATGTTTAGAGTCTAGATTTTCAATTACTTTAATTCTTCAAGAATATTTTTAATATCATAACCATGTACAAATTTTATTAAGTTATCATTGATTAATAATACTTCTAAATCTTTTGAGAATTATTTTATATCATTATTTTAGATTGTTGTAATAGAGTTATTAGAAATATCAATATATTTAAGTTAAGATAATGGACCGCAATCTGGGAATTTTTTTAATCTATTATGTGATAAATTTAGATATTGTAATTTCTTTGTTTTTAATTTTGCATCCTCTATAATATTGTGACTAACATCTAATGTTTTTAAATTAAAAAATTGATTCACTTCTTCAATCATTTTCAATCGATTTTTAGATAAATTGATTACAATAATCTTGTTTTTCAAATCAAGTTTCAATTAATCAAATGCTACTATACGAACAAGTCCTCCTTCTTCAGAAAAATCAAGCTCATCATCATGTTTATCAATTTGAATTAAAATTTGATCAAGAGTCAACTCAATTTCTTATTACATTTGAAATATTTTATGATTCTATATACTTGTAAAAATTAATTCAATTAATAAAATATTGACTTGATACTTAAATATCATAAGGTATGTTTTATTCTACATAGGCCATTTCGATGTGATTATCTACTATATATGTATGGAAATCCCAAAATCTTTCAGCTAGAAATATATATTATAATTAATAAATTACCTTATTTTTTATTATTTTTCATTCTGTATTTATGAAATGCTTATAGGGCCATTTAACCAAAATGATTTTAATAAAGTTTAAGTGATACAAGCATATCATTTGTTTCTAATGATTCTGCAATCATCTTCAGACCATTGTCATCAATATCATTCTTAACCATATCTAAATGGATTAATGTTCTCTAAAATGCAATTTAATATTTACATTCTTGCTTAAAGCTTATGCAATTGCTTTTGCTCCATAATGTCCTGTTCTATTTGATGTTAATATTAAACTCTCTAAAACACAATATTCGCCACATAAATATTTAGCAATAGCTTCACATCCCTTAAATGAAATTCGATTTGCTGTTAAATCCAAAACTCTTAATTTATTATTTTCTAATAAATGTTCTGTGATTATGTATATGGCATCACATGTAAAATTATGTTTTTGTAAAGATATCTTTTCCAATCCTCTATTAGAATGAAACATTTTGCCAAAATGTATTGCTGTCTCTTATCCAATAGAATGATAAACTGGATTATCTAAATTTAAAATTTATAATGAATTATTCTTCCAATTCAAAATTGATGTAATTGCCTAATAAATCTATATAAATTATTTACAATCACACCATCATGATCTATACCATTATTAGCTAAATTTAATTCTAATATTGATTTATTATTAAATAACATTTCAACAATCGACATTGCCCCTTTAGTTTATAAATTGTTAAAGTTCAAATTCAGATGAGTAAATGTTTGTATATCCTTAATCCCTTCTGCAATTAATTCCCCTCCTTCTACACCAATTTTATTACTCTGTAAATTCAGACTTTCCAATTAATTACATCCTTATTTATATAATAAAGTTTAAGTACCTGATAAAAATTTTGATAATTCTTGAACTCCTACATTAGTGATTTCATTAAATGATAGATCTATATGTTTGATATGTTCCTTATAATTCTGAATACAAGAAAGTAATAAAATTAAATCTTAATCTAAAATCCTCTAATTAAAATTGAGCTTGTAATTTCCTCTAAATATTAAATTAATATCATTAGTTTTAGTTTAATAAGTTCGAACTATTGCTTCATTTACAGGTTTTGAAAATTCAGAGCATTATCTTTTATAATCAGTTGCAATTTTAGGTCTAATAATTGCCCAATCCATTATTTTAATTAATGCAATAATAATTAACTTCTTAAGTTATTTTAGATCGTAATCAAGAATTCAAAGGAGTTGAGTTCTAATTTAACTCTAGAAAGATTGTCGTTGAAAATATTGATCCACTAGAACCATTATCAAAATATATTGATGCAGATAAGCTCAATGAAATTCTAAGTAATTTTAATTATTTGAGTAAGATTATAAAATTGAAGATTCTAAGAAAGGAGAAGAAGGCATCAAATTGAATTAGCATATTAAATATTATGATTTCTCTAGACCTCCTACTGGTATTCCTAAAAAGGCTTTTAGAGCATATAGTGCAATTGCAAAGAAAAAGAAATGAATATATATTATCATTATTAATGAAGCTATTTTAGTAATAAATTTAAACATTATGAGCATAACATTAAATAATTAATCACTAATACTCTATATTATATGAACTATAATTTAATAAGTTATCTTAATTTTATATTGATTTAGCTTTAGTTAAGTGAAATTATATGAGCTATTTGGAATAATTATTTAAATATTGTTCGTAACTTTGAGTGCTTTAGTTATATATAAATAATTTATAATAATTGAATGACAAATTCTAGAGTTCATGCTATTGATTCTCTAAAACCTCAATCTTTATCACATATGGAATCTCAAGAACAAATTTAGGAAAACCAAATTGTTGTTTGTAAATCTAATTAAAATATCAAATCCATCTTGAAAAAATATGATGGATAGTAAAAAGAAAAAAAGAAACTATAATTTAAAGATGAACTAAATAAAACATATTTGGTTGAAAATTGGAAGATATATAATACTCCTTTCGAAGAAGATGACAGTTGTTGCTGTGTAATATAATGAAATTTAAAGATTAATAAATTCATACTAATTAACTAAATCATAATTATGCACGCAAGTATTATGTTATTTCTTAAAACGATGGTCTTTTATTTGGATCTTGATCCCAACATTTAATCATTAAATCTTTTAAAAATTATGGGCATCCTAACTAAATTAAGTTTAAATCTGGTCTTCCATGATCAACAGTTACTAATTTCATAATTGCAGGAGGATTTGTAGATAATTATTTATAAGGCGTTTCTCTGCAACATATTTCCCATAAAACTATCTAAAATTAGATAAACTAAAATACTGCATAAGAATAAACATCTGCTTTTATAGTATAAGGTACATTCTAAAATACTTCAGGGGCCATCCAATGCTATAATTTATATAATATATATTACAAATGTTCCCAATATCCCTGTCATTATTTCACCATTATCAGCCTAAACTCTTGCAAGACCAAAGTCAGCTATCTTTATATTCACTTTTGATTAATCAAATGTCTATTCTAATAATAAACTAATATTTCTTATAAGAAACAAGTACTTTAAACTTTTCAAATCTCTATGAATCAATGGTGGATTCAATTTATGTAAATGTAACATTCCTTCTGCAATTTACCATGCTATTTTTACTCTATTCTGCCAAGAGATATCTAAATGTTTTTTTCGATGTAATAAATCGAACAATGTTCCACCTGCACAAAACTCTGTTACAATATATAATTCATCATCTTTTTAAGATATTCCCATTAATTAAACCAAATTATTATGCTTTTAAATTGTTACAAAAGCAGATATCTCTCTTCTAAATTCCTTTAAATGACTTTCATTCAAAGATTTTATTTTCATTTTCTTTATAGCCACTTCACCTCCTTTCCAATATCCCTTATATACTTCACAACTGCTTCCTGTACCAATTAATCTTTCTAATTTTAGTTGTTCGTGAGAAATCATCCATTCTTAAACGTCTAAAATATGATGATAATTTATTTACTTTTCCCCTACTTTTAAAAATAATCTACAACTTAAAAATTATTTTATTATTATTATTATTATTATTACTATTACTATAATTATTAACTTAGATCTACTTTTTATTATGAAATATTATTATTTTTACTCTTTTCATTAAACTAATTAAATTAATCCAAATAATTGTATTTTATTGGCTAAGAATTTGCTGATTAAATTCTTTAATTTTAAGGTATACCATTTTATTTATTTGCTCCATTTTTTTTTCCCCCCCAATTCAAAAATTCATCATCATTTAATAATTCCTTTGTTAATTTAACATTTTAATTGGCTAAGGGCGCCCTTATGTTATTTTACAATTGTTCATTTGGTTTATTTGGAAATTATTCTGTCTCATCATCATTTTGATGTTCTTCATCATCATCTGAAAAATCTAATCCTTAATAAGAGCCTTGTGATTATTGTTTAGTCTATTTCTTTTTCTACTCTGGATTTTTATTTAGATTTTACAGATTATCTTGTTATTGTTTAAAAAATTATAACTCCTCTTGTGCTTATTATTATTATTATTATTATTATTATTATTATTATTATTATTATTATTATTATTATTATTATTATTATTATTATTATTATTATTATTATTATTATTATTGTTATTATTATTATTATTGTTATTATTATTATTATTGTTATTATTATTATATTACATTAGAATTATTATAGGAACTATTTACAATAGCATCTACATCAAAACTAAATTTATTAATCCTTTCACTATATGGTTAAACTGATAAAACTGGTTTAATCGGATATTATGTTGCAAACTTTTCATTTCTTGGATCCAATTCTACAACTTCATCATCATATTCCATTACTTAAGTACTCATTATTTCCCCATAACTCTAAGGTATTTTAATTCCGTCGATTGACATTGAATAACTTAAATAATCATAAATATTGAATTCTCCTTTAATAGGCTAGAAAAATGGTACTTTTTTTAAAGTATCAATTACACTTCTTGGAGGATCAGGTATAATTTAATAAAATTAAGGAATCTATTTACAAGATTAAAAAAATTATGTAGTATTAAAAAAATTGTTCTGGTAATCATCTTCTAATTGTAGAAATACTTATTTGATTTCATTATTTTATAGAGGCACGCCACTTATATAATTTGTACTCTATTTTAAAGCATAATAAATGTGAGTGCACGTACATAATATATTGTATAATTCATCTGCCATAGTAATTGCAAATCCTAATTATAAATTAAAAAGAGATGATTTTTAGAATTAGAAACTAATTATGAAAGTATTAAACTATTTCCACAAATTATTTAGATTATTTAATATTGCTATGCTTAATTTTAATTTATCCCTAGAATTTATATTATTAAAGAAGGGAACCATAGCAAAATTACCTTCAAAATATTTTAAGTAATATTTATGGAATTTGACCTTTTCTATTAATATAATAGAATAGCTGTATAACAAATTAGTAAAAAATTGAGATCTAAATTTATCTTTAGAAGGTTTTGCCATAGATGTTTCTTAATAAAATTTAATCCTCTCTAAAATACAAAGGGGAGTTGAATTTTAATTATTAACCATTAATGCTTCTTATGGTCCTTTCTTTAAATAATTATGTAGCAATTAAAGGGCCTTAAAGGTAACTATCACAGAATTTAATTATAATCTGTTTGATAACTTTTCATAAAATTTTGGGATTTTGGCTTTCTTTTACCATGCTTTAACATGAAGAAAGCGAAAATATTTTTAATTTGGAGCAGCATCAACTTCTTCCAAACATGCAGCCACCCAAAAATCTGTCTTTTAGGCTACTTTACTAACTAATTTGACAAATTTTGTAGATAAAGATGACGAAGATGGATGTTGAAAATCAATCATCTCTAATTAATTGCTTTTATAATTTTCATTTCTTTATGTAAGTATTTCTTTATTCATTTTTTCATTTGTTGATAAGCTTCTAATATGAATTTGAGAAGACACAGGACTACATATTAAATTTTGTGTACTTCTAGTTTATAAGATAAGTTTGAATATATTCTTCAATTTATTCAGCACTTAATCTGTCTTTTGGGTTGGGAATTAATAGAAGCCTTATTAATTCTTACAATTTATTACTATAGAGACCCCATTTCGGACTTATATAACATAATTGATACTTCTTTTCCCAATTAGGATTTTAATCATAGCGTACTTTAAATAGAATGTAGTACATTAATTATCCTAAAGCATAAATGTCAACCTTTTTAGTTATAGGCCATCTTTGCGAAAAATCCTTTTGCTCAGGAGCTCTGACATGCTCAAAAGTGTTGGCTTCAATTTCTTCTTTAATTTTAGGAATATATTCATTTGGCAAATGATCGTATTACTCTATTACATTATTTCATACTTAAAAAAAGCAACGTTAAAAATTCCATAATTTAGCTTATTTATCCAATCCAATCAACACATTTTCAGGTCTAATATCGCGATGAGTGATGCCTAAGCTATGACATTATTTTAATCCTTTGCTCAAATCCAATAAAATCTACACTTATTTTTCTGCTTACTTTTAGGACTTGAGGTTCCTCTAAACCTTTTTATGAATCCTTCAAAATATTTTGGAGGACTTCAGCTTTTTCAAAAACTATTACTTTAATATTTTATTGTAGATCCCCTTCAAGTGCTTTGGCAATGTTGATATTTCCATAATCTTTGAAAATTTGAACGGCTTGTAACTCAGTATTCAAATACTAAATTAAAATTCATAATTTAAGTTATTACCTTCTCTTATCCATTGTCATACATCTTTACTACATAATTGTACTCAGATGTTGAATATAATCTGTATTTTGTGCCTTAAAAACAGACTTAGGAAAGGTATACGCTCTACTTGTTTCCAAAGATCACTTTTTGTTATTACATTATTAAAAATAAATATAATTAAACCTATTTTAATAATAGCAAAATTTCTTAAGTTGGGCAAATCTTTATAGAATGCAAAAAATAAATTTTGTAATTTCAAAAACTTTAAGAGTTCAAATAATGTGCATTTATCTTTAAAATTAATATCTAATGTTTTAGAAGCTATATCAATATTATAATAAATAATAAGAATATATGTAATTTTTTCCTTTTAAATTTTTTAATTTCTCTTCTTATAGTTGTTAGTAAATTAAAAAGAAATTTTAATTGAAAAAATTATAAATTTTCATAATTTAATATTCATTTTTTATTAAAAGGAGCAGAAGTCTCAAAAGGATTTCGTAAATGTAATTACAAACAGTTAAATTCGCTAATGTTTAGAAGAATTAACATTTATAGAAGATAGATTTATTGGAAAGTTTATGATTGTGAAAAGCATTAACATCTAATGTTCGAAAATCTAAATTCTTATACTATATGTAAATAATAAATGGTTAAAAAAATTGACATATAAATGTGAAAATTTATAATTTATAGGTTTTAGAGACAGGATAGGCAAGGCAGCTTGGGAAAATAATAAAAATTATAAGACACAAACTACAAGGTTATTTAATGTAGTTAATTTATAAAGTCACAAGGCCAATTTTCTTTTGGATCAATTTGAACTAAACTCAATAATTTATACTGTATTAAAACTACTTTTATCCTAAAAATGAAAATCTTCAATAAATACAAATAGAATGATAAGTAGATAAGAGAAAATTATCTATATAAGATTCCCTTATGAAACTAGATAGAATTACTATAAAATTTTTGAAAAGAATGTTGCAAATCAAAATAAAAAACAGGAGTCTCAAATTAATCAAAAATTGAAATAACAATTATTTAGAACTTAATTTATGGTCTAATAAACATAATAGAGATGATTAGGTATAATTTTACTAAAAATGATTAAAATATATGTAAATCAATTAGATTGATAAACTAATTTATTATTATTATATAAATGTTTAGAATTGGACGAATATTTCCCTTATCTGTTCCACCCGCTCATCCAAATCCACTAACACGAGTATTTTTTGATGTTGAGGTCAGTGGTAATCCATTAGGTAGAATAGTATTTTAGGTATAGAATTCATTAATATTTTAGCTCTTTGATAATGTTGCTCCAAAGACAGCAACAAACTTTTTGAGAATTGCTCAAGGAGTTTAAGTAGATGGAAAGAAGCTTCATTATTAGGGTTCATAAATTCAAAAGATTTTACCATTCAGAGGAATTTGGGGTGGTGCATTAGGAGGATCTATCTATGGAAAAACTTTTGCTGATGAAAATTACAGAATCAAACATGATAGAGCAGGATTACTAACAACTTCCAACCCTAAAATTAATAGCAATGATGCTGGTTTCATAATTACATTAGGTCCTGCTGAATGGCTTGATTAAAAGTCAGTTGCTTTCGGAGAAGTTATTTATGGGCTTTAACATGTGAGAGCCATTGAAAAATTAGGTAATAAATATGATTAGATGTTTAGGTGGATTATCAGGGGCACCAAAAAAATCTGTTATTATTAAACAAAGTGGTGTTATAACTGAACATGAATATCATAAATACGATATTATAGAGGAACCAAATATTTGGAATTTGTAAAGTCACCATTGATAGATATTCAATAACATAATATTATCAAAAAGCAGCTTTCGTTGGTTTATTAGATTATTTCTTTTCTTTATTTTTATCCAGATTATGTCCATCTTCTTGAAATTGGCGATCTTCTCGTGGTAAGGTTAGCATCTTTTCTTTTTTTATCTTTTCTTCTCTAAAATATCCATCAACTTGATTATTATCTTTTTATTTTGATTCATCCTCTTTTTTAAATTGATTTCCTCTATTAGATTTTTATCCATTAGAATTAGTATTGTCTCTCACATCAGAACTTCCACAACCCATATTTTTGAACAATAAATATATTAATTTTATAATCAATTTAATTAATGAGATATTTTCATTCATTTAATCCTCTATCAAATTAATACAATAATATTTATATAAACATATAGCTATAGCATATTTATAAGTGTTAAATTTGTTAATTTGAAATTATATTAATTAATCTTCTTATACTTTTAAATGATTATATGTTTAATAAATTAAGAATGATGTATATAATTTTGTAAAATACAATATTTTTTACTTTAATATAAAAAAGACTATTAATAATTCTCAATCATTGAATGTAATATATATATTTATAAAGAATGGTAAGATATATACATTTAATAATTTTTAATAAGATATAAGCTCAGTAATATTATAATTCGCTAATTTCATTTTCAATATCATGTCTTTTCCATTTATTAATCCTATTGATGCGAATTTCTTCTTTTGTCATTTCCTCATCCTCTATCTATTCCTAATTTTTCATTTTAATAGTTGGCATTTATCTTCCATTTTTTTATACTACTGAATCTAATTATATTCTCACTATTCTATTTAAAATATTTACATTTATAAGTATTTAAATTTAAACATTATTCACAAACTATCATATTATGAATTTTAGGTGCACAACCATGATGATATAAATGACTGCATCCCATAAATGCTAACATATATTAATTTCGAATTTCAAAACAAGTCTAACAAGAAGGACTGAAATTGACTCCAATTTATTACAATTCAAATAAACTCATTAGATTTTTCATATAATCCAATTATAATACTTTAATTAATTATTATTGATTATAAAGTTCAAATGAACAAGATGACAATAATTTACTAAATGTTCTCCTCAACTCTTCTAAATGAGTAAATGATCCAAATAATATTTTAATATTCATAATTATTTAATAAAGATGAACCCTTTCTAATAATTCTTCCAACATTACTTAATATACATTATTTAAAGATTTAAAAATATTCTTGTTATATTTGAAATCCTCTCTCAATTAAACCATTCTAATAACAAGAGTAAACCAATAACTAGTACTTTCTTCTTCATTAGAATGATTATCTCTACAAATTTTTAAACAAGGTAAAATTAATATTTAGATTTGTTCTATCTAACTTTATTAATCATATTCAATTACTTACATCTTTTTTAATTCAATACTAATAATCTATAAAAATGATCAATTTATAAAATTACATCAAAATACAAATTCAATGCTTCCATATAACGACCACTTCTTTCTTTTAAAAATGCCACTCCTTTCATTATTTAGAATTCTTCACATAATCTTAAACATTCATCTTAAGGAAAATCTCCATATTATAATTATTCATATGCATCTTTTGGATGATATTAACATATTAATTTAAAGAAGGAAATCATTAATTTATCTTCTACCAAATATTTATTATTTCTTTTTTCTTAAATAATCTCTGAAAGTAATTTCAATTTTAAATTTGGATGAGTATCTAACATTTCTATAGCTGCTTTATAATCCTCTTCATTATAATATTAAAGGATTTATCTTAATTTTTCTGCACAAATACTTACCTAAAATAAAGTTAAAATGTACTCTTACCAATTATGGAACTATACTTAATACATATTTTAATATTTCATCTCTTATTTAAGAATACTAACTCACATTTATCATTTATTCAATATAATCAAATATAAAAATCTTATATAAATTCTAATATAATTACTTTGTCATCTTCATGATTTGAAGTTAATAAACTTTATAAACAAAATTACCATTAATCTTTTATAAAATATATCTAAGATTTAACTCTTATAGATTAAATTTCAGAACAAGAAGCTTCTTGAATTATTGTAGATAATGCATCTTAATCATTTATTAATTTATCTTTAAATTGATTAATATAATCAACAAATACAGAATCTCTAATATTTTTATATTATATATTAAAATCTGGTTATTTGAAGTATTCTAGATTTTGAAATCTTTGATTACTTTTTTCAACTAATGTTTATAAATTAGTATATGGATCCTTAAAATGACATTTAACAACATTTATAAAATGTTCATATTTAATTGTGTATCCTAATTTCATAATTTCATAAACAAATGTACTTAATTAATCTAATATTGTTAATTTTTTTGATGAAGCTTCTAATAATAAAATAACAATTTCAGATAAACTTAAATCATCTACTTATAATTATTCATTTGCTATTGTAATTTTATGTTATTAAAGTTATTCATATTTCTCACGATTTGTAAATATTATTAATAATTCATTTAAAAAAATAGCTGAATCAATTTTTAGAAATTCTTCCAATGTATCATATTATAATAACCAAGATAATATTTCTGCTATTATAGAAGCCCATTATGTTTCTGGTATTTTCTATTAAGGAAATAATTCACCAATTAATAACATATGAAGATTCCATAAACATTTATAACCTAACAATTAGATTTCTTTATCTATCATTTATTGATTGTTTGTCATTTCCATTTATATTGATTTGAAATATCTTTCTAAAGACATTTAATCTCCTTTAATAAGTTATCTATAAACTGCATACATTTTGAATAGAGGAGTTTTATAATCTTCATCAACTCTAGGTGAAATATAAATTAATAGAGTAAATAAATTATTTTCTATACATAATTATTAGATTATTATAGGATCTAATAATTTTATATCTAAATTTATAATTAATTATTTTAAAATATTTAATTTGCTCTTCTAATTGATCAAATAAATCATTATATCTTTAAGAGAATCATCAGGAATAAATTTGATTGCATTCTTTAATATAAATGGTTCTAAATTATTATAAAATTGTAATTCTAAATTATGTTTTTAAAGAATTCCTTTAATTTCTCTAAATAAATATTCATAAGATTCTATTGTAACCATAAATTCAATAACTGTTGGAATAAGAACACCAATAGTTTGATGAGAAATACTAATTTCAACAAATTATTTGAGTCTTTCATTAAAATAAGGTCTTAAAAATTCTTATCTACCTGTTCTTGGTAAACCAGCAAATTTTAATTATTTACCCAAATATAAATATAAACATAATCCCATACATTCTGTCCATTTATGATTAGATGTCAATTATTCAATATAATCTTACCAAGTTATTAATTAATAATGAATAATATTTTATTATTAATGTCCATTTTCATCTATTTGAATATAATATAATTAATTATGATTTTAACATATAGTATTTTAAAAAGATTAAATTTTATCTTCACCTATTTATTAATCAGCTACATCTTATGATAATTGTGATTAGACTACTAATACATTATTTTCTATAATCTCAGATATAGCAATCAAAGAATATTTCTTTCTATCATTTTTTAAGAATAAAATATTATCACTCATCCATGATAAGAATTAAACATCATCATTTAATGTATAAGTAAGAACTACTTCAAAATTAGCTTTAAATTTTCCATCTTAATTTTCATAATGCATTTTTATAATTTCTATTACTTTTCCATTACTAACTGCTAAAACAGGATTTTCACTTTCAATCTACCATTTTACACATAAAAGTTATCGTTTTTTTACTTCATATGATTTTTTGAAAATTAAAAATATTTTAGGTTCTACAATTGCAACAAATACAATAGCTTTATACACAAATACAACAATTTACATATCTTTAATTTTAATAGATTCACAACAATGACATACTCCAAAAGCATTTTCATGAAATAAAGGATTCCTTTCTATACCATAAGTAAATAAATTCTTTCTAATTTTCATCAAACCCACTTTCCCTAAAGAATCACATACTAAGAATTAACAAATAAAATCCTTATTTCCAATTAACATAGTCATTGTAAGTGGTATACCTTCTGTCATTTTTTAAAATGCTTTACAAAATTTATTCTTATTGTATAATAGAATTTACTATTGCGAAATTGCCAATAGAAATTATCCATCTTCATTAAATCTTAAACATATTATAGGACAAGCTGTAATACTAGGATCTGATTCTAATTTAACAATTTTATCACTGATTAAATAAATGAATCCTTTTGTAGTCCCAATAGCAATAGTAGTGCCAAAGCAAGTAATACATTTAATTCTAAAGTCATTTTAAAAGATTGATGAATAAAGATCTTTAAGTTTACGATCCATTTTAACTTCTTGAAAGGTATTATTAGCCTATTTTTGATTCTCATAATGTTATATTAAATCAGAATCATCATTTTATTTTTGGATAACTTAATATGGTTCTTTTTCTAATTAATCCACGTAATCTAAGATGTATGGAATGTGTTTATTTTGATCAGTTTGTTTAATACTTTCTCTATTGCTAGTAGGATACTCTCCCAATGTGATTTAATGTAACAATTTATCTATTTCTTCATTGGTATATTAATTGTCAATTTGAGTTTCTGGTTAAATTGAAATTTTAGATTGATTCCATTATTATACCACTTCCATATTTGGTGTTCCTTTCAATAATTCTTCTATGTCATTGAATTGTTAATACTCATTTACTTTCTATGGTTAGTAATCCTTTATTATGCCTTCTAGAATTAAATGTTTATCAGCAAGTATTTCATCTGAATACATGAATAATTTATTAAAAGAAATTGCATATAAAACATATATATTGTATATGTATAATTTGAGAATAATAAAATGATAAATTAGATTAAATGGATAAGTAACAATAATAATAATAATAAAGTACAATTGTATATTTAATCAATATCAATATCCATATATACATTTTATAAAGATTTCATTAATTATTAAGAACTCTCTTTTTTTATATGTATATCTTATTATTGTAGAAATTTAGACACAATCAATTACCTAAAAAAATAATCGAAATCAATAATTATTGTTGCTGATTTCACAATAATTAATATAAGATAGAATAAAATTAGATTAAAAATAATAACATTTTATCAAACTAATTATTTAATTAATATTTAGTTGTAAATAGGGAGTCCCTACCGAAATAATGATCGTTTAAATATTTGTGAAATATATAAATGTCAATCACTTTTTTGTTAAGGCTCCTTTCTTCTAAAATTGATTATAAGTATTAGAATTATAGATGATGTTTAAATTTTGAATCTTAATTGATTGTTACATTTATAATTATTATTGACTAAATTAAGATTATCCTGAAGCTTTCATTTTATTTGTATCAGAATTCATATTTAATTTCTACTCTTTGAATCCAGGAACCAGTTTCTCTATTGACTACTAAATTTTAAGATGAATTTTTACTGCTTTCTTTATCTATTTTCCATCCTTCTCTTGTTGTTAGCCTTATATATTATAATTATAAGCTGTATTTTGCATATTCAATTAATTTCCCAAATAATTAGGTACTTTAAAACTAGTCTATATATTTAATTATCAATTATTTATACTTTAGTTCTAATAACATTTTATTATGTATTAGGTGATGCAGCAGTTCTATGAACACCTGCACTAACTTATCTCTTTTCTTAATCATTTTACATTTCCAATTCTCTCATAAATTCAATTGCTTCTGGTAAATCTTCAAAATATTAATGTCTAAGTGCTTATTTACAAGTTAAACGTTCAGCTGGTTCCATCTTTAATAATCCTTTTACAAAATTTATTGCTTTTTTAGGTAATTTACAAAGATATCTAAAATTAGTATAAATTATATCAAATTACCTTTATTCCAGTGTTTCTGGTTTAGATATTTCAGGAAATTTCATACCCAAAAAACGAGGATTCTTTGAAAATGTTTCTTATTAACTTTATGTCAATGGTCCTAACATTTTTTAAATGAGATATAATTGATCCATTTCATTTTCACCTGGAAAAAGAGGATTTCCATCTGTCAATTCACATAACAAACAACCTATTGCCCTTATTTTAATTTATTAAATGTACCACATATCAACACCTTTATCATAAATTGAATAAGATAGTAAGAGTTCTGGAGCTCTATACCATCTTGTTGCCACATAGTCAGTGAGATCTTAAGTTGATGCAGTTAAAGACTAAATAAAATTAGTATTATACTCTTGCAAAACCAAAATCACATAACTTTAATTAATGATTACTACTTATTAACAGATTTTCTGGTTTAATATCTCTATGAACTATATCATTCTGATGACAACAATATATTGACTTAAGCAACTGAAAAATTATTCTCTTAATATATAGTGGCTATCATTATAATGATACTTAATACTTCTAATCCTGAAGGTGATGACTCAAGAACTTCAAGTAAATTACGTTCCACATACTCAAACACTAAATAGATTCTCCCTTTTCTAATTAACTTCCCACATCATACTACCTTTTAAATGCTTCCTTCAATTCCACTATATTAGTATGTCTTAACAATCTAAGTACTTTAACTTCTCTTTGTATACTCTTTTTCACAATCTCATTCTCTTCAGTTTCCTTAAACTTCTTGATCGCAACTACACAACTAAATTTCAATTCTTACCTATTTCATTCGTCTCCTTATTTTTACATTTGAGAACCACTCCATAAGCACCCTCTCCAACAACTCCTAGAACTTCGTATTTATTCATTAATTAAATGAATAATTCAAAGTGCTTATCTTGTAACAAAAACATAGCTATTCTCAATTGCATGACCTGTTCTCTTATTATGTGTTTCTTTTGTGATGAGAAACTCCATAAAGATAAAGAAAATCATATCACAACAACTTTAACATTTACCACCTAATTTCCAACTTAATCAAATCAAAATAATTTAAATCAAACTATACAATAGAAGAAATTGGAGTTATAGGAACTAAAAGATAAAGAATAGAAAATGGCTAAGATTTACCAAGAGAAAATACTACATGCTTAAAAAAAATATGAGCATTAAATTAATTAGCTTGAAGAAAGATGTATTACTATTTATGATATATTTAGTATAATTAGCATCATAATTTATGAATTAAATGTAGGATCAAGTTGAAGAGCTTGATGTTGATAAAATGCAAAATGAATTAGAAGGTTTGGATAAGAGTTTGAAAATGGATATCAAGAAAGCTGAATAAGAATAATCTATACTTTTAGAAAAATCAAAAAATGCTGATTAACTTATTAATAAATTAAAATAAGCTACTGATATAGAGCAAAAATAAATTTTAAAAATTAATGAAGTATTAGAAGTATTTAAAGCATGTTCAGAATAATTGCAAAAAGAAAAAGTATTATAATTCAATCCAACAATTTATAGGATTTATTAATGTTGGATAATGAAAAACTTGTTGGAGAAGTAGAAATATTTGCTAAATTTATTGCTGAAAATGGTCCCCTTTTGGAAGAAATAAGTAAAGTTAAAAATGAATAATAATAGTAATAATAATAATAATAATAATGATATATATAATAATATTGATGAAGTAGCTTAATTAGTTTTTAAATTATTAAAAATAATTAAATCTAAATCTAAAGTTAATATTGTTATCTTATACATCAATTATAAATTTACAAACTCTTAAAATGTTAATATGATATCAAATATTAAATTACCCAATTAACGTATTAAACAATTTAAAATGAAAAATATAAAAAGATATAATCACTTAAAGATAGTTGTAAATTATAAAAATTCATATAGTTAATAAAATTTAAAGGCAAAATTAAATTAATTATTGATATTCATTAATAACACATAAAGATAATTGATTAATAATTGAATTAAATATATCATTATGAAGATTTAATTGAAAATTAGAAATTCATATTAGTTGATTTTGGTTGAAGATGTGAAAATATTTATAATAAGAAGATAGGAATGAGAAATTAATCATAATTAAGAAAGATTTTTCATTTAAAGTTTTCAGATAGGTATGAATTTCTTTAATAAAGTATTGATTTGTATTTAATATTTTCATTGATTATAATCATTAATTAAAATATAAAGAAGAGAGAATGGAATCATAATCTACTTACCAAGCTTAATTAAACTCTGTGTTAGATCTGAAATATGTATTTCTGATGAAACCTCGTTGTAAGGATTCTGTTGATACAAAGATTGCAATCGATTATTCCCCTATGTATAGTGAGTAAGTTAAATTCTAAAGTTCAGAGTTTTAGGATGTAAACAAAATACAGTGCCGATATTTAACAATGACGGAGAGCCATCGTAACCTGGCTTTATCCTTTAGATAGATTAAGTATTTTATTTTATTAAATTTTAGCCTGTGCATTTGGCCAATAGCATACATTATAGATCTTAATTTGATAAGAAATTATAAGAAGTTTAGGAAAAGAATAAAGATTTAGTAAATATATAATTACTATTTGAAGTTTATCCCAAAACCAAGAGGAACTAAAATCTATTGCAATGTTTGTAAATAATATATAGAGGATTATCTTTAAGTAAATAAATAATGTATAATATAAGCACACTGAATCTAAAAACCACAAATTGAAGTTTAGGAAGAACAAAGTCATCAATCTCATCCATTCTATGGCTGATGAATTTTAGAAGAATCGAAGTATGCCTCAAAATACACCGACTCTTCATTCCGATTCTGATAGATGTGGTTACTTCTCGTCCATCTAGGAGGATAGCGTTGAACATCAAGACAGCACATAGTAAGAACCACATACTATTAAGAAGATTAAGTTGAATGAAGATGTCAGCGTTTTCAACAAGATGGGCAACTCGTATAAAATAAATTAAAAATATTAGTCTTGTACATAGCTCTAAATAATCATTCAACGATAAATACGGAAGGTAGTGTCTTTGAAGGAACAATTATGAGCAGCATTATATATATATATATATATAAAAGAATTATCATTTTAAAAATTAAGTTATAAACTCGGAGTTTGGAATATTTAATTATATGTCTCTTGGATTTAAATGTTTATGTCTCTACATGCAAGCATCTAAAGAGTTAATTTGTGGTTATAACTTAATAAATTACCATACATTATAAAGTCTATCAAGAGCTTCAGTTACATCTTTTTCAGTAAATTAAAATTGCTAATTTGAATTTATCTATTCATTTTTAGTATTCAAAGCCAACAATAAACAACAAATAGCATATAATTATCTTTCAATAATAAGTTATTCATATCCCATAATAAAAAAGTCACAAAAATAATAAGATAACAATTAAGATTCAGTTGAAACTTTTAGTTTTGAATTTATTATTTTTAAGATTTAAATTGGAGTCCTGTAACTTAAATTATAATCTAAAATTTAAAGAATTTGCTATTCCATATCAATAATTTATTATTCATTATATTCATCTGCAGTAATATAAGCATAAGCATTACAATTCTCTTATTTAAAGTATTCCTTAGATCTTTCATTATAAACACTATTAATTTAATCAAATATATTACTCTGCTAATTTTAATGAGGTAACTCCTATTAATTATAAGTTCTTTTTACTTATCTTAATTTTTGATAATACTAAATCAATATATATGATAGATAAATGCAATGTTTCATCCATTAATTCAAAATGAATACATACATCAATCAACCAATCTATTAAAGTACTCCGCATTGTTTAATTAATTTCTATTTAGAATTCCAAATATTCTTTGAATTTTGGTTCTAAATAATGAATCTATATATTTTGATTTATAGCATTTAAAAAAGGATGTTAAATGATTTCTATTATATCTAATCTATTTTCAGGTTTTATACATAATAGTTTTTATAATAAATCTATTCCATCTTTACCTAAAATTGTATTAAGAGTTAATAATTTTTCATAAATCTATTTTCTATTCTAAATTATATCTATTATATCATTTTTATTTAATTCATTGATTTAGAGATTATATTTCTTCCATTAAGGGAATTTAAATTTGACATCACTAGATATTGAATTCCAATCATTATCATCAGGTGATCCCAAAAATTAGAATACTTCAAATAAATATTCAATTTCAGTTTTGCCATTAAATAATGGACTTCTTAAAGCCATTTCAGCTAAAATACATCCCAATGACCAACTGTCAATTTCACAACTGTAATATTATTTTCTAAATAGCATTTCTGGTGCTCTATACCATAATCTTTTAACTTCTCTATTTGATCTTTCTCTTTCTTTTGGATCTTCTGGTGTATAAGGAATTATAGGAAAGGTTTCTAATCTAGACATTCCAAAATCTGAAATTTTAACTATCTTATTTATAATGAATATATTATCAGGTTTCAAATTACGATGTAATATATGATTTTAATGTAAATATTCTACACCTCTACATATTTGCAAAAAGAGTGATTTTATTTATTCAATAGATAAATCTGTCTTTTTTAATTATTCTCTTAAATTCAAAGGGTAATAATCATATAAAATTTACACTATAGGATTGTTGATTTTAACTTATACAATAGAAGCTATGTTCTCATGAGATTTTAAGGATTTAACATATGAAATTTCTCTTAAAACAGATGTTTATATTCCATCATTATGATTTGCATTTGCCTTAATTGTATCTAATTCTCTAAGCACAAAGTATTAACCAGTTAATCTATTACAAACTTGATATAATTTCCCTTTTGATCTTCTTTCTTATAGAAATTTAAACTTTGAATATAAGTCATCAAATTATAGAGGATTATATCTATTATAATACTAATTATTAAATAATAATAATACATTCCAGAATTATTAATTTATTAGTTACAAATACTAATTGTTGAGTGTTCTTATAAGTTTATTAATCTCTTTAGGTGTTAAGAAAAGGAATAATTTATAAAGCAAATCTTTAGGTAATAGAAGCTTGTGTTTAACTTATTATTCTCCCTTTTTATTAGATGAAGTTTAAATTAAAATATTCTCTTTCCCTTTCTGATTTTCGAATTCTTTTTTTTTTTTTAACAGCATTATTATTAATATTTTATTATATATTCAAATAATAAAATTAATGATATATGTGTAATAGTTTTTATGAATTTTAAGAATTTCTATTAAATTGGAAATTTATAAATAAGATAATCTAATAAAATAATAAATACAATTTGAATATAATATTGACATGTAAATTAAGTATTTTTATATTAAATAATTCAAATATTTTCATGGTTTTAATCAACTTTATAAATAATTCAGGAGCATTGTTGCTAGAGTGTTTTATTTATCTTATCTAAAATCTAAAGCATGGTTCCTTTTACATAATATAATTAGATCTTAATTTGTAATTTAATTGTTTTCCTTTTATACTTAAATACATAATAATCTGGTCACAAATAATTACCAATGATATAAGATTTATTTCATACATTATGGATATTATTGAAGATATTCCAATTATTAAAATTATAATATTTATTTACATATATCTATTACTATTTAATTATAATATTACCTTAGATATCTGTTTTTAGAATTTTTAATATGTTTTAATTGGATTCTAAGATCTGAATCATTAATTCTATAATTGATGCTTCCTCTCCAGGTTATAGTAATCTTGAACTTCCTACTCCAAAAATTTAATTTATATCTCTTTAATAAAGAATATAATTACTTTTTTATAATATTATAATTTAATTTTGTTGATGGATACCAAAAGGTTTTATCTTCCATTAATTATTTCTTTAAAATTGGACTCATTTTATTTACCCACTCTTATGTTTATTAATTTTTTTTTTCAATTAGATGAGTCTCTTGAAGTACTATCCTTCTAACTAATTCTCTTTATTAAGTTATATTTAATTCAAATGGTAATGCTTAGTAAATATTTAATAATGATTCCTTTAAAATCTGAATCCCTGTTTTATACTATAATACATCTAAAAAAGAATCGTTATTATTATCAATTTATTCTGGCTCTGTAAAAACTCTACATTTAGGAGTTGAATATTTATTAGTTAATGATTTAGATATTCCTTAAATGATATTCTTCTCTATTTAATCTTAAGAAGTATCAATCTGATGATTTATTTTTAACTTACTTGGAGTGATTGAACTATTTCTCTTTTTTTTTGTGATTTCATTAACAGATATAACATAAAAATTCTTTTTAGGTTGAGATTTATTTCGATGAATAACTTCTGGAGCATCTTTGTTTTTTAAAGGAGAAACCCAAAAACTCTCAGATTTTTAAGTTTGTTATTTTGCACCTTTAATAGCTGATTTGGGTCGCTTATAAAATTTACTCTAAAGAATTGATCTTACTCTATTAGGTATTACATATTCTCCTTCTGAAGGTTTATATACTTCAACTCCTTAACTTTAAAGTCTGCTTATATAACTAAGACGCATTAATTAAATGTTTTATAAATAGTTAAGTACAAAAATCCAATATAATTATCATTAGAATTATTATTTTTTGAGGTCATTGATACGTTAATTACCTTATTTTTGCTTTTTCATAATTCTGAATATACAAATAACTAAATAATACAGCATTACTTTATTCTTAGATTTAATTTACTTCAATTTCAATATAAGATCCTTACTAGAGATTTAAGTCTTTAATGGATACTATAGAAAATTAAAGATTCTTGATTTTTATAATGTATTAATTTTTATCAAATTCTATATGAGAGATTTTATATAATTATATAAAAATTATAATAGAATTCATACATTTTTAAATTAATCTATGGTGTAATATTAATTTCTTAAGATAAATAGAGGATCATAATTTATTGATTGACTTAATTATTTAAGTTTATATTGCAGTTTAATAACTTGACCATATAAAATTAATTCTATTGAAAATTAATATAATTTAAGTTGCAAAACACAATTATTAACATTAATTATAAAATAAGATTTATCTTTAATATGTAATTTAAAGATATTATTTTAATAGGAATATAATATAATAATAGATAATATGCAAATAGATTAAAAAATGCATAAATTAGATTAATTAAATAAAATATCTTAAATAATCAAAATAAATTTTAAGATGATTAAATATAAATAATAAATTGGATATTAAATTATAAGATAATTTTACCAGTTTACTTAAGATATTATAATTAAATCTTTAAAAATATATATATATTTAGTTATTATATTTTGAGAGCAATAAACTGAAATAATACTCATTTTAATTCAATAATATCTTCATATTTAGTGTCTGAATATCTTTATTAATCCTTATGCCAAACTGCCATATCATCATCATCATCATCATCTTAGAATTTTTGATCAATTTGTTATTATGCTTTTTTATAGAACTATTCAACATTTTATTGTTTAGCTTATAATTAATCCTATTCTAATTCTTTTTCTACAATTTTTGGATCTCTCCAATATTAAGGCATTGACCAAACCTTGATTACTTTATCTTTAGCTGCTGTCAAAAGAGTTTAATCAGCATCTAGCCATTATAATTTTGTAATATCAGAATCATGAGCTTTTAATACATCTAAGTAATAATAAAATATATATAATACATAATTATTGAGATTTTCGAGCATCCCATATAGTAACAGTACCATCAATATTACCAACATAAATTTCACCTCTTTTTGATGACCATCCAATTTCTCTACTTTTTGATTTACCATTTAATTAAGCTACTTCTTTAGCATATTACTCTCTTCCAGGTAATTATATATCTACTATTAAAATAACTCCATTTTCATGACTAATTGAAAATAGATAATTCCTTTAATTATCTATAAAAAACCCTCTAATAAACAATTAAGTAGTAGGAATCTTAATAATTAATTTAGGTCGTTTCTAAATTTTTTAATATAAATAATATACTTTCTCAATATCATAAATAAATATTTCTCCATGTCTATCTCCAACAAATGTTTTCTTTCTTTCTTCACTACCTAAAAGACATGTTAATTCATATTAATCAGGTTCAATATCTAAATTATAATTTATTATTAATTACCTGCTACTAATTCTCCTTTTCTAAGATTTAAAACTCTATATTTTCTATCTTTAGATATTGAATGTAAATATTTCCTTTTATTATCATAATACAATCCCATAACTCTGTCTGTATGTTATTCAATTTCCATACTCTCAGTGAATTTCTTAAAACCTTCCTTTTCTGGTACATATAAATAATTTATTGATCCACTATCTAATCCTACAAGTAATACAGAAGCTGTTGCATCCCAATAACAAGTTATGGCTTAAGAATTGTACATCTTAACCCATAATCTTTAAAATTCTCCACTCTCTTATTATAACCAACATTCAACACATCCAACAGGTATTAATGCTTAATCTCCTTTTTCAGATTCCCATGGAGCTTTCATATTTGTTAAATAAGCATCTAATCTATTCATTACTGAACAATCTGATGTAATAACAAACATTAATCCTTATTCTGAACTTATTGTAAAATCTCTAATTCCATGCAAGAATCCTTTGAACTCAAATATTTATTTTGGAGGATTCACTATGATCTCTTTGGCATTTTTTTCAATTTCTAAGAATTACTTTAGTGGTTCAGATGCAACTACTTCAGGTCTGCTTGCTAAATTCTTATTATTATTATAGTATTCTTACTTGAATGAATTCATCTAAACCTGCCTTTCTTTTTTCTAAGTCTTCTGGTGTTTTACCAACTAAAAATGTTATATATTTCTTTTTAGGAAGTGTAGGCAATTATTCACCAAAGAGAACTTTTAGTTTTTTGGCTAAGTCTTCAAATTGAGAAAATCTATTTTAGATTTCGCAAATACCTTTTTTCTAATTACCATATATCACTTGTTTTATTTTTGACTTGTATCATATAATAGATAGTATCATCATTTGGATCATTTCTAAATGAAATGACACTTGCCTAATTATTATTATAGAAATATACAGATAATGGAGATTTCGAGTCCATATAATATAATAATAATTGAATTTTATACAATAAATTTTATCAAAAATATTTTGTCAATTAGATAACATTGTGATAAATTTATAGATAATTATATGTATTTATTCAAAATAATTTAATTTTTTAGGTATTCTTTCTTTTTATCTTCAAATTTTATTCGAATATTATGAGTTTGTCATTAGGACTATGAAATTTTAATCTTTATTCAGATTTCATTTTAAACTCTTTCGGTGTTCTTGTTGTACTTTATCTTAATAATCTACATGATTGAACATTTTCATATGGTTCACCATTGTTTGAATGCATATGAATATGATCAGTATTATGAGATGAAAGATTTCTATTGATTTTATAAAAGTTAGTAATATTAGGAGATAATGTTTATTATATTTAAACAGTTTAATTTATGGCTATTTAAGATTTGCTATTAGTTCTTGACAATCTATTAAATCTATAATTTTTATCATATTATCCAACTAATTATGGATTTGATACTTTCTTTAAAGTTCTTTTTTTTAAAGTACTAGTTTTAGGTACATCACCTAAAAATTTAATAGAATTTTTGGATAGAATAGTTTTTTTTTGAATATTTTCATCAGGAATTATTCCAATTTCAGGTTCTGAATCACTATCATCTGAAGGTTAATTTTCATCAATTTATTAATAATACTATTTATTTAATTCAAGATCTTAAAATATTTTAGTTTTTTATTCTTATTACATATGATAGATTTTTAATGATTAATGCAAATCTATTCCAATTTATGTTAAATCAATTTAAGAATATTAAATTATTTTATTATCTTATTTATAACCAAAAAATGATGTTTCAAGAGTAACAATATTATGAAAACTATTAGGATTAAACTTTTAAATTTAATTATAAACAAAAGCTCTTGCTGTTTTTAATTTATAAGATTTTAAATTAAATGTACATGAATTGAAATCGAAATATTTAGAATTTTCTGCCATTATCATAGGTAATATTCTACATTCAATAGGATCATCATTGTTTCTACAAGCATACATAAAAGTTCCTAATTTTCTTGAATGACCATGCAAATCAATAAATGTTTTTATTTATCTACCTTCATTCAATATTTTCTGAATTAGATTTCTTATTTAAATTATTTATTGATGATATTTTAATCTAGGATTTTACCATACTCTATTCAAATCTTTCCCACTTAAATCACATCTAAAATTACCCCATTTTACTCCATCTGGATTGACCATTGGAATAACAATGATATTATAAAATAATTATAATGTTTTGTCATTTGATAGTGCCTCAAGAAAACCTTAACATACATGAGAAGATACAGTCTCTCCAGGATGTTAACGTGCAATAACTAAAATAACATCACTTCTTTTAGATCCAAATTGAACCATTTTTACAGGTAATCCTGAAATTGTATATGCAAGGATTTCTGATTGAAATTTAAGTAAATATCTATCTAAATCTAAATGAGTATAAGGGATTCCAAGTGCAATCTCTAATGTCTTAGATGATCTATTTATCCAAAAAGAGAGAGTATATAATTTAGTTGTTGTAGTTTTACAGAAATTGGATTTAAAATATTAAGATTATTTGACTAATACTTAAGATTTGAGTACTTCCCATTAAGAATTTAATTTGATATACACTCCAAAACCATTTTAATACTGTAAATAATTCTTAGTCTTTTGTTAAATATTATAAGTTACCATATTAATGATGTTTATTCTGCATTTTTAATCGTTGGGATTAGTTAATCTAAAGTAAAACCATTAAGAATAGCTAGTAGAGTTGATGTCTTCTTGTAGAAGTAAATCATATTCAAATTTATCAACTTGATAAACTGCAGCTAGATTTCCACATGTAAAATTGGAATCAAATAGTGGTAACTGTTTAGTTTGAATGATTATAGGTGTTTATAATTCATTGAGATTTAATTATTTAAAATGTTGATTACTCACTTTTGATCCATATTATTTCTTATAAACACACTTAAATGAATTTTCGATATCTTTTATGTCATTTGTCACTTCTCTATTGTATAATTAGTTTATTATAGGATTGGGAGTGGGAAGAGAAGTGAATATGAATGTAGGTTACTTATCTTATTAAGTTATTAAGGTTTCAATAAAAGCAGATTCGAATCCCTCATCATCCATTTTTACCCGTTTTTGAGAATTAAATAAATTGAGAATCGTATGGCAAACACAATAAATATTAATAAATGAAAGCCACACTTGCAATTCTCTTGTTGATAAGCATTGCATCTGCAACATCTACATAAGATTAAATTATGGCTCTACTCTAAACTGGTACAAAAGCTATGGATGCCATTGATGCTGTCTATGGTTTATTGAATGATCTTGTTTAATCCAACAAAGATGCTTAATTTGCTGCTGATTAAAAGAATGAAACAGATGAATGGGTTGGAGCATAGTAATTATATTCCATAATCTTAGAACAATTGAATAATTCACAAAGATTAAGGCACTCAACTAAAAGCTTTTCTAATAATCAGTTGAAAATAGAGTCCTTTTCGAATAAGAACTCCAAGACACCAAAAATTATCTTGCTTGGAATGAATAAAGATAAGATGAAATTGTCAGAAAAATTGATGTCCTTCTTGATGAATAATGTCTTAGTAATTAACTCTTCGTTAGATCAATTAAATAAAATAGAGAAGCTCTTGAAGTTGTCAGAGTTCTCAAATAAGATGTTGCTGGTTACATCATTAATGGAGATTCATTTGAATTAGTCTAAGAAAAAACTACTAGTGTTGCATAAAAACTCAAGGCCTATAGCAATCTCTTCAATGATTAAGAAATCAAGACTTTTTTGAGTTTGGCTTAAACCAAATAAGAAGATGGAGTCAGCAGAGGTGCAACACTTGCTGAAAGAGTTCTTGCAGTACTTGAATCACTTGAAGCAAACCTCTAAGCTTCACTTGAAGCTCTTGAAGTCAATGAAATCAATGCCTCATGGGAATTAGCTGGTTGGGTTTCATTGAGTGAAGCTGAATTAGCTAACCTCAAAGTTGAATATGAAAGAAAATAAGTTTTTGCTGATAGATTAGCTACTGTATTTATTTTAATCATCCTTAGTAAATCTAAGCAGCCTTAGCCTAATAAGCCAAATCTAAGATTATCTTATAAGAATCCTAAGATGCCCTTGATTAAGCATAAGCTGATTTAGAAGCCAGAAGAGCTGATTATGCTGAAGCTAAAGCTAAGAGAGATGAAGAAAATGCCATCTTAGAATAAGTTATTATCATGTTCAAGAAATAAGTTGCCTCATGGTCTGGAAGATGATTAATATAACTAATCAAGTTATTCAAAAACATTTATTTTTGGTTTTAATTATTTCTTTTGTTTTTTATCAATCTAGAATTCTTTTTAAAAGAAACAATAAAATTTATAGATTATTTATGAATAAAGTAAACAAATATATAAGTAAGAGAGAATAAAAAAATAAATATTTATATATAATAATTTAACATTTTAGTCACCAATCTTTAAATGGATCATCTTATTATTTAATAGAGTCTGGTAATTCAGTACTATCAGGATAAGTAGCAAAATTAGAAGTATCATAATCAGATCTACATATATATATATATATATTTATACTAAATAATTGGTATATATTGTGGTTTTAATTTTTTAATGAACAAATCTTTCCAATTTAGAGTTTCATACCATTTATGTTATTTGATATCATCTACTCCATTTTTTAAATTTCCAAATCTTTTTGTTACATCTTATTCTAATAAATGTTTTACTAAACTTTTTGCTTCACTAAATTTTATTATTAATTTAATCAATACTTATCAAAATTACAAGGAAATTTAACTTTTCCTTTTAATATTTTCTAATATATCGCCATTGGATCTTCGTCATTAAATGGATCAATTCCTTTGGATTTCAACGATAAAACTAATACCTGCAAGCATCTCATATAAAAAGATTCCTAAACACCACCAATCAACAGGTTTACTATGACCTTAAATTTTGTTAATAAATACAATAATACCTTTATTTAATAAGATTTCTGGTGCTAAATATTCTGGTGTACCACATAATGTATAAGTTCTATCTTCAACTACTTTAGCAAAACCAAAATCAGTTAATTTTAGATAACCATCATTTTAAACAAGAAGATTTTCAGGCTTTAAATCTCTATAGACTATATTCTTAGTGTGAAGATACTCAAACATTAAAACAACTTAAGCTGAATAGAATCTATTATAAATAATAGTTTTACTATGCTTCTTCATTTTATACAGTTCCAGCATTTCTTAAATAAGTGAATAATTCTCCTCCTTATATATATTCTAATACAAAATATAAGTATCTTTCATCTTAAGTATACCCATTCATTTCAATCTAATATGTTTACTTATGATATTTACCAAAAATGGATGCTTTATTTACTTCAGAATATTGAATTCACTTATAATATGATCAACCTATTTTAATCGTAATATTTCAATTTTTTTTAACATCTTCAAAGCCACATATTTGTTATTTGATTTTTATTTAGCCAATCTTACCCTTCCAAATGAACCAGTCCCTAAAGTATTCATTATTTCATAATCAGCTAATTTAACCTTTTTAGTTTCCATTTATTTTTTAATAATAATTTTTATAAGCATGATCAATTTCATTCTTATGGTTAACAAATAAGGATAAACAAGATTAGCATAATATTTTCAATTTCTCAGTGTTAAGGAAAGAATGACACTTGAAGGAGAATTGATTCGTAAATGTCTTTCCAGAAATGAAACCCAATGTAGTTTTCTTGAACATAGAGGATACAAGGTAATATAATATATATATCTCATTATATAGATTATTTACAGAAGATATGCCTCACTTTATTTCATTATTGGAATGGATTTAGAAGAAGAGGTAATTCTATATCATAATTATGAAGAATGAAATGGCTTATTTAGAATTTATACATAATTTAGTTGAAACCCTTGACAAATATTTTGAAAATGTTTGCGAATTAGATGTAATCTTTTTATTAATTTAGATAATGTTTAACATTGAAAAAGCTCATTACATTTTGGAAGAAATGGTAATGAATGGTCAAATTGTGGAAACTAATAAGACTTAAATATTAGGTATTCAATCTTTATCTAAACTAAGCTCCAATTCATGTCTTAGATAAGGCTAAAGATGAATGATGATTTTTTATGTTTATCTTAATAATTGATTTTATCAGAACGTATTTAACTTAAATTAGTTTATTTTAAATTCCGAATTATATCATTATCAAAATATCATTTTTGTCTAATTAAAAAAAAATAATCTAAATAAATAAAATAATGCAGGTTAAAAAAGTAAACACTCTTATTGGCAATTCTGAATTACTCAATCTAAACTTAAACCCCTCCTTTACTTCAAGTTTAAAACCTAATAAATAGTCTCATCTTTAATTCTCCCCAGCTCTGTAAAGGAAAAATAATCATACTATATCATATCATTAGCCTCCCAATAAAGTCCATTCAGAATCAGTCCCTTAGTAGACCAGCAAATCCATAAGGGGAAGAAGTATCACCTTGAATAAATTAGATCTATCCCCACCTATTGTAAAATCATATTTTATTTAAGCAACCCATTCCATTATAATCATTATAAAAATAGCTTTTCATTCATTAATTAAAGTTTGTGAATCCATTTGAAAAAACTAAGTAAGGTAATCAATAAAGCAGATATTACATTAAAAAATAAATATATAATCAAAAAAATAACACTGGTTTTCAAAATAATCAAAAATTAAATTCAGTTCAAAACATTCGAAATCATTACAGACCATAATCATCAGTGGGATTGAAATAATTCAAATAAAATATTTATTTGAATTAACAATCTTATAAAAAATAATCATTTAAATAGTTTACTTAAATAATTCCAAAATAAAACTAAGAATATACTAAAAAATTGATTAAATAATTACCTAAATTCTTAGATATTGATAATGAGAAATGTTATGATAACTAATAAAAATTCTTAACAGAATATGAATTTGGTTTAAATATGAGTGGTAAATATATCATTTTATAATAGAAATATAAGAAATAAATGAAGATGGTCTTTCTTCAAATGCTTTAAGTACTTTTTATAATAAAGTATTTTGAGTGATTTAAAAAATCTATACTAATATTTTAATGATTAATTTCATTGTTCATCTTCATCCTCTTATTCAAATTATATATTCAATTTCCTTGATTTGCCATGTTATTCTTCATCATCTATCATATTCTTACTATTCTCCAATTTTGCTTTTTCATATAATTATTTCTATTATTCTTCTAACTATTTCAAATGATCTTCATCTTAAAACCTTGCTCTATTTTAATTTTTCACCTTAAAATAAAATTCATATATACATTCACTTCTTCTTTTATTTCTTCTTCTATTTCTTTAAGATGAGGTATTTAACTGTCTAATTTTAACTTTGAAATAGCCTTGTAGAAAAATTCTCCTGATATAGTCTTCTTTCCTTGCTCTAAACAAATTGTATTTGCTTAATCAGAAACTAATTAGATATATTCTCTAGCCATTGACATCACCTAAGTTACAAATTCATTAGAGCATTTCATATCTCCATTTGTTGAAGTCTTTATAAATTGTTAAACAGTAGCTACAATTACTTTTAAAATTTACCTTTAGGAAGTTATTCCATTTCTATTTTTTTACATTTTTATTAATCAATTTTTTCTTTTTGAATTAGGATAGTTGCAATACTTATTATATATTTAATGATTGGTCATTAATTATTGGGTAGAATACATATAAAACTAAAAAAAAGATAATTTTAATAAATAACTGAATCCTATTTCTATCAAATAAACCTATTAAAATATCTTATCCTAAAATTTATTATTTATTTATAATTATACCTTTATATAAGATTTAATTATAAGTATATTCATTAACTTATAATTAATATACACACTTTTAGAAGCTATATATTGTATAAACTTTGTAGATTTTACAAATTATTATTTATATTTATAAAATAATCATTTAGTATTTTAAAGAATTTAAGTTATTAATACTATATAATTAACTATTAAAATTCTAATTTACTCATATTTTGTTATTTAAACAATCTATTAAAATACTAATATATATTTAATAAAACAAATGAATAATTTATTGTCTAAAGTTGAATATGAATTAACAATTGATCTTTGAACATAATATCTCTAAATTTTAATTAGGTTTACATATAAAGGATCTTAAAGAAAATTCAAATACTTTTAAACATCTTTATTGCTACATATAATCAGTCCCTCTATTTTAGAACATTCATTATTGTAAAAATTAATTAAAATTTAACTATTCTAAATTTAAACAATCTTAAGATGATAATAATATATTATAAAATTTTCTAATTTAAATGTAAAAGAATATGATAAAATTGATAAAAATCAAAAAAAAATGAGCTACCATCTCGCTTAATGCGTGTCATCCTTACGCAGGGGCCATGCTAATCTTCTCTGTTACGTTCCAATTTGACGGATGACCCCGAAGGGTTCCAATTTATATGAAATTGATTTGATTATAAATTAGATAAAAATGGATAATAAATTTTATGGGTTTAATTTGGTATATAATAATTTGAATTTGCATATTAAAATAACTAATATAACTGAATATTAAATCTTATATTCAATATCATCCATCTGTGACTGTCTGGACTGCTATCTTAGTAGATCCATCCTTAAATTTATAGGTCTTGGTAATTTTGGTAACTTTTTGTCCACCTTTCATACTTACAGCAGATGATGTACTAACAGATACACATCCAGGAGGCAATTATTCTATATTATAAATTAAAAAATACCTTCTTCTTCATCCTCTTATTAAGGAGCTGCACCAACATGACCTCCTTTTCCTCCCAATACAACTGTTTTTCCTTAGTTATTTGATTATTATTTAGGCTATTGACCTTATGGAGTAAATTCTGTAGCAAAATCAAAAACACATTAAGTTTAATATGTTTTATGATCTCCTGCAGCAATTCCAACAAGATTGAAATCTTAACCAAAACAATTTTTTCTATGTCCTCTGGAACCAACTCCATCATCAATTAATAGTTAGATTATAACATCTTCTCCAGATTTTTATCCATAACTAATATTCTCTCCAATTTTGCCATTCCATTCTCCATATCTTTCTATTCTATCAGAAAGTGATGATCCATCAGTTCCAGTATGTCCACAAACACCTTTTGGTCCAGTGTCTTTAACATGATCAGAACAAGCTTATTCTAATCCTTTGTCATATGTTAATGGATGAAGAGGTTGTTGTTTTTATAAAAATCCAATTAATTCTAGTTCTTTAATTAAAAAAATACCCTATATGACTTTTGTGCCTTCATTAGTTTAAAGAGGTGTTTCACCAGGTTTATATAGAACACTACCCTTAAATAGTTTCATTAAATTTTATAGTTTTGGAATAGGGAGAGTTGGGTTTTATCTTACTTAATTTAAATAGTTGAAAGCATCTTAAGTTATTTTATCATCAGGGTCTTTAACTTATGGTTTTGGAGGAGGACCATCTGGTTATTTATTTGATGATTGTTCTGGTTATTGTTATGAGACATTCTGTGAAGGTGCACTAGCATCAACTCCTGGTTTATCTTCAAATGATCCTGCAAAATCAAAAACGCATTATGTTTTGAATTGTTTATGTTCTCCATCATATATGCCAACAACTCCAAATTCTGGTTTAAAGCAATTTTTTCTATGTCCTCTAGATGAAACACCATCATCAATAATTAATTGAATGATAACTAAAAATGATATTTAATTAGTACCATCTTCTCCTGTAGTTTATCCATAACTGATATTTTCACCAACAGTAACATCCCATTCTCCATATCTTTCTATTCTATCACTCATGGATGATCCATCAGTGCCTGTATGACCTGTGACTCCTTTTGGTCCTGTATCTTTAACATGATCTCTAGCTGCACATTCTAATCCTTTACTCCAAGTTAGAGGTCCAAGTGGCTTCTAATTTTGCAAGAATGAAATGCACTCTAGTATATATCCTAAAAAAATTACCATTGACAGCTTTTGGACCTTCATTTGTTTGGAGTGGTATTTCTCCAGGTTTCTATAAGACGTTTCCTTTAAAGAGTTTTAAATGCTCTTGCAATTTAGGGATGGCTAATTTTGGATTCTGCCTTAGTTTATTAAGATACTCAAATGCCTCTTAAGAAATTTTGCTCATAAAAATTAATGTTTTGCCATTCTAAGAATTATTGAAAAAAGTGATATTGAAATATAAATGATATTAAAATTTTTAAATTAATTTTAAAATGGTGAAGAATGTTGCTTAAGAGAGTGTGAATCAAAAACTTTAATTGGTTGTCAGATCAGGAAAGATCACCATGGGATATAAGCAAACATTGAAGGCAATTAGAAATGGTACAGCCAAATTAGTGTTTATTTCTAACAATTGTCCCACAATCAGAAAGACCCAAATTGAATATTATGCTATGTTGGCTCAAATTACCATTGTGTTATATTAAGGAAACAACGTTGATTTAGGTATGGGGGTTTAGAGGGAGACATTGTTCTTCTTTGATTGAATTAATGGGCATGAGTGATTTAATCTTATTATAGGTACCGCCTGTGGTAAATTACACAGATGTTCAAGTTTAGCCATTCTTGATGCAGGTGATTCCGATATCCTAACCCAATAATGATATCATTTTATTTTAGTACAATATTTACATAAATATAAATTATTTATATCCTAAATTATATAATTTTTCTAATAAATTATTTAAATCACTTTCTGTTACCTCCTCTTGTTCTAATTTCACCTTACTTAGTTCTGATTTCAACTTACTTATTTCTGATTTCACCACTATTCTTTTATTAGAAATTTGAATTAGACTAATTATATTGTGGTTTTGGCCTCGTTATTTTTTATTGATCTCTTTTTTAATTCTCCTATTAAAATCAAAATCATAATACATTATATTCTGGTTAATCAGGTTTTCTTCTTTATACTTAAGCATTTCCTCTACTCTTCAATTCTCCCCTTCCTTCATAGGATTGACCAACTTTCTCATTTTATTAGCTCTAATTTTTATACTGTCTTTATCTATTTTCTCCTCTTAAAAAAAATAAATTCTTTGTATAGATCATGACATATTAAAATAGTTCAAATTTTTTGTCATCTTTCACATCTCCTGGTGCTTAATATCCAGGCTATTACAATTCTTCTTAACTTGGATTGCATCTAAAATATAAAAATTAAGTACGTCAATTTAATTCTAATTGCAGAGATATAAATTTTTGATTTTACTCCATTCTCTTCAATTTACTGCTCTAAATTCTCCAATGTTGTAATTGAACTCAATCCCTACCATTTATTATTTTATTACCTTAAATCTTGCTCTAATTATTTCAGCAACCAAAATTACATTTGGAATAGCTTTTCCACACCCAAAAAGTCTGACTGACTCACTCTAATTCTCTCTATCTCTTAAAAGCAAAACAGCCTTCACCAAATATTCTGCTATTTGATCCTATGAAGACTTGGACTTTATCATAATATCAGAACTCTCTCTTTATGCCATAATTTAATGATAATATCTAATCCCAATATATTAAATAATCTTGTTTTATAATTGTTTTTGATATTGCAAAACAATTAAATTCTTAATTATTATTCTACTATCATGTAATAAACAATATGCTTAGCTTTTATGAAGTATAATTTAATTATTTATACAATGATAAGTTATTAATTCTTATTCATCAATAATTTTTAAATTATAGATTTACTTAATATATATGAAGGAATATTAAATCAATAGAAAATCTAGACCATTCATTTAATCAAATGAATATTATGTATTTAATCAATTTTAAAAAGTTGATTATGGCAATGATTCTTAATTAAGAATAATAATAATAAATAAATTTAAATTATTGTTTATTTTTGAGTTCAAAATTTATACAATTTATTAAATTAATAGTTGAAATGATTAGATATAATAGTAAGAAAATCTAAATTTTCAAAGTTTTAATATTACTTTGCACAAATTCTCATATTTATGGTCTTATTAGATTTTAAATTTAAAATAATTTATTAAATTGAAAGCAAACAATTAATAATATAATTTCTAAAAACAATTAATCTGTATTATAGAACTTCAAAAAGTTTAAGTGAAGTAGGAAAACTTAAATTTTCTTAGGGTTCTATATAAGATTACATATTATAGTATTATTTTAATAATAGTTATATTATTCAACTTTTTAGCTTATTAACTATATTTTTATAAATCTGTAATCCACTCTTTAATGAATTGATTTTTCTAAGTATATTATTTATATTTTATCTTTGATAATCATAATTTAAATTGATTATTAATTATATTTTTAACGATATATGGGGAACAATTCAAATAAACAAATAACAAATGATTTACGATATGGAAATATCAATAAATTTATATTTGAAAATTAATTGATAATTTAAAAGGATATTGACTTTAAGGATTGCCCTGATTAATTAGCTGGTTGTATTCATAAATGCTAATTAAGTCAATCAATAATTCATAAGAACATAATAAAATTGCACAAATATGAATTAGATAAGCTAAATGTATCAATATATTTTGAACATTATGACTATGATTTATAATAAGACATCATAAAAAGAAAATTGAATAATGTAATGATTGATCAAATGTTATTTAGAACTATTATTAAGAACATGAACTATTATAAATGCTTGATCAATTTGTCTCAGCCTTAGCCTACCTTTAATAATAATAAATTTTCCACAATGATATTAGACCTTAAGTATTACTTATGATAACTAGAATATTTTATTGACTCCGAATGATACAATTAAATTAAATTAATAATGGGTGATAGATAATACTCAAAATTAACAAAGATACTATGCACCTGAATAAATTTATAATGTGCAATCTAATCCTTTTAAAAGCACATCATACAGTTTAGGAATAACAATGCTTCATCTAATGACTCTAACATCCATGGAAATAGTCTATTTAAAAAATTAAGTAAATTTAACATTGGTGAATGAAATATTAAGATGCACAAATTACTCAAATAAATTAATTAATAAAATTCAACATTTGTTATTTTAATCTCCTAATTAACGAACTGATTTCATATTTTATGTAAACAAATAAGCTAATTTGCAATAAAAGATATTGTTTAGTCCACCTAAAACAATTACCTAAACTCAAAGATATATTAATAAATAATCTTAATCACCTTTAACAAAAACAATATAACCTCGTCTCTCTTACTCCCCTTTTACTTTCAGAACAATAGCTCAAACAAAAACTCATCCACATTAAATTATTATTGTATAGAGCAGTGCCAGATAATTAATTACAACTCCAAGTCCAATGAAATTTATTAAACAATAAGAGTAGCAATCTAAATTAATGTTTACACCTAATCAATCGCTATAGACTAAAGAAACTATTTCAAATTTGGATGACTCAACTGCCAATACTGATTTAGATTATAAGATATAGAAGGCACTTAAATAAACAAACGAAACACTTAAAAAGAATTACATGTTGTAATGAATACTTATAAATTTCACAAATCATTATTGATTAAATTTTGAACTCAAATCATTATATTCTTTAATCAATAGGAGCAGACATATTTTCATAAAGTTTTTCTTTAGTATTAAAGGCTATCAAAATAGACATATTTGCAATAATAATAAAATAACTTATTCCTAAAAGCAGTCATAATATATTTAAATTCTTCATTAATTAAGTCAGCAAAAGATAATTTTAGATTAATTTTTACAAAAAATTATATGGAAATCTAACAGCTAATCTTTATTCTTTAGTTATTTATGATAAGGTTTAAATATTTATGTAATTAGTAAAGATACATTTCTAGTTCAAAGTTCATTCTGTCTTTATATTTATGAATTAACCATATCATCTAATTTGGACAAACTTTAAATATAATGAGATTGACCAAAAACTAAGTTGGCTTTAAGAAATTAGTTTCTATCTAATAGTTATTTAATAAAATTATTTAATATAGTATATCATCTTTCTAATTTATTTAGAATTTCTATATTTAATGAAAAAGAAAATGAAATTTATTTTAAATTTAATAAAACTTTATAAGAAATTCAATAATAATGTTAATATTGATTAAAATATCTGATAAAACTCTATTGAATTTGAAAATGAAATTATTTATAATGAAATATTTTTAATTTTATAGTATAAGAATTGTTGTATAAATAGGGTAATAATATTGAATTAACTATTTAATATCATAGTAAATATGTAAATAGAAGATAAATAAAATAAAAATTTTGAGAATGGTTTAATGATTATTTGAATGATTTATTAATAAACCAATAAAAATTATAGTTTAAACAAAAAAAAAGAGACGTTGGAAGTTATTGAGTTTTTTTATTATTTGAAATTTTAATTAAATAAAATTATGTAATAAGAGGATTAGGAAAAGATTAATCTGATTAGTGAATTAAATCTGCATAAATAATAGGTGGAGGAATATAAGTCTAAATACTTTTAAGCATAAAAGGAAATTGAAAATAAGAACAAAGAAATCGAAGGGTATGAATTAGATATATTAACAATAGTTTGAGATAAATGATGTAAATGACCTAATCTATAAGAGGATCTGATGGTAGATAATCAGAGGATTTGAGAAGAAATTTGTAAGTTTTGATGTCAGAGAATCAAAGTTTGAAATAGTAGAATCAGGAATTGTAAAATTAATTGCAACAATTTAATTAGCAAATGCAATATCAGCCTTAATAATAATAATAAATTCAATTATAACAAGAAATAAATAGATTAAATAATGATAAGATGTTAATTTAAGGTAATTTAGATATTTTATAATAACAATTTGATGCTAAAACTAAAGATTTTGATTAATTAAAGGTTAGATTATAAGCAATAGATTTTATACAAAATTTACCTTAAGGTTAAGAAGCAAATAAAATATTAGTAATGGGTAAAGAAATTTAGAGATTGAATTCATAATTAATATAAAGAGATTAAGAACTTGAAAATTTGAGATCATAATTACTTGAATAATAGAAGGGTCTTTAAGAAAGAGATAATTTATCAGCTTAATTGAGATCATATGAAGATAAAGTAAGAGGATTATCAACTGATATTGAAAGTATGTTAATATAAGTGGGAGGTTTGAAATATGATGTATAATTAAAGAATGATTTGGAGAGATGTAAATAATAGAAGTTAGAACTTGAAAGAGAATTAGTGTTATGGAAAGATAAACATACAAAATTAGAAAATGATTCTAAACATCTTTATGAAATAGAAAGAAAGACTGAAGATTTATAAAATAGATTAATAAGAACAAATGAAGAAAATGAGAGATTAGAATAAGAGAATAGGGGAATATAATTGAAATTGTAAGCATTTGATAGATTACTAAAAGATAAAGAATAATTGGAGAGAAAAATATAAGATTAAGAATCAACAATTTATAATATGGAATAATAATTGAATGAGAAAAGAAGAGAAATGGAGTAATTAAAAATAAGGAATAGAGATTTAGAATAAGATTTTATAAATTTTAAAGAGAATATATTTAGACCTAATGAAGAGAGATAAAAGAGATTGGAAATAGAAATTGAAAATTGGAGAAATAAATGTTTGGCTTTAGAAAGTAATTTTTTTGGAAATAATGAAAGATTATATGTGGAAAATGAATTAAAGAGATTACATGGAATAGTAATTTAATTATAATAAGAAAATGATGAATTGAAAAGTAGACCTAGAAGAAATTAAAATAATTATGGTGATGAATAAAGATTAAAAATATTATTTGCAGAAAGAGAAAAATTATATATAGAACTTGAAGAAGCAAGAAGAAGAATTGCATAATTAGAAAGATAACCATAAATTTAATAATAATAATAATAATAACCTTTCTAATATTTTGATGTAAGTGATAGTGATAAAGATTAATAGATTTAAGAACTTAAATAAGGAATTAATTTATTAATAGATGAAAATAAATAATTAAAATCAGAAATAGATAAATAATATTTATAAATTGAATAATTAGAAATTGATAAAAATTATATTAAAACAAAATAAATTGCTCCAAAAGAAACTGTACTTGAAATGTTATCTAAATAACCTGATTTACATAAAAGTGTTTTAGAACAATTAGCTAGAAGATTATATGCTGATCTTAAAGCTAAAGATTAAATTATAGAATAGATGAATCAAAATTTATCAGTAAGTTAATAATTATAATATGAAAAAAAGATTTAAGATCTAGAAGGTTAGATTTAAACACTTATTAATAATTAAAAATAATAGTTATCTATTTCATAAAATAATAATTTATTATTATAATAACCAGAATAATAATCTTTGAATAATTCAAGACTTTCTAGTCCTAATAAAAAGAAAATATTTGATTAAATAGATTTTGAGAAAATTATTGAAGAGAATTAACAATTAAAAAATGAGATTAAGGAATTAAAATAATAAAGAGATTATGAATTTGTAGATTTATTAGAATAAAAAGATAAAGAATTAGAATTAATTAAACTTAAATTTAATTAAATTTAAAATAATTCACATGATCTTAATGTTGATGATTTAAAAAAATTGAGAGATGTATTAGAATAGAAAGCTTATGAGGCTTAAGAATGGAAAGATAAAATGGCAGCACTATAGATGTAAGTAAGAAATAAAGAAAATTAAAATTATAATAGACCATTTAGTTAAAATATTTTAGAATAAGAATATAAGAGATTGAGTTAATTATATGAATTGAAATCATTAGAAGTTGAAGATTTAAAGGCTAAATATGGAGTTAATGGTTAATTGATTATAAGTGAAAATTTATAAAGTTAAAATTTGGATGTCATTAAATTAAAACGAATTTTAGAAATGAGAACTGCTGAATTAGAAGAATGGAAAAATAAATGTTTGAAATTGTAACAATATTAAATTTAATTATAAAATCAAAATTAAGGTAATAATGGTATATCTGATATGGAAGAACATATACGTAAACTTAAACTTACACATGATTATAAAACAAAGGAAGCTGAAGATTGGAGATAGAGATACAATTAATTACTTAAAAATTAAGATCCTAAATCAGGAAAAGCTATTGATGAAATGTAGACAGAATTAATTAAGTTAAAAAGAATTCATGATGCTAAACATTAAGAATTATAAGAAATGTAACCCAGATTTTAAAGAATGTAATAAGAAAAGGATGTATTAGAAAATGAATTAAGAAGACTTAAATATTCATTAGAATAATAAATTACAGATAATGAAATGTTGAAAAAGAAATTAGGAATCAGCACTGGAGGTAATATGAATAATTTATCAAATGATAAAATTGTAAGAGAATAATAATTAAAAATTTAATAATTATAGTAATAATTATAATAATATTAAAATCAAATGAACGATTTCAGTCAAGAACACAATAAATTAAAATAAACACATTAATTAAAATAAGATTAAATTAAATCTATTGCTTTGAATATTGATACAAAAGAATAGTAAATGAGATAATTATTAGAAGAAAATTAAAAATTAAAAAGTCTATTAGAATAAAGAACTAAAGATATAGAAGAACTAAAACTTTAATTATAAAAAGCATCATAAATGTTATAATAAACATCTAGAGTAAATAAATTATTATAATTTTTTAGGAATATTAAGAATATAGAAAATCAACTTAATCTGTTGAGAGTTATAAAGCATAATTGGCTATTATGTAAAATAAAGTTTAAGAATCTGAAAAAAGAGTATAATAGATATAGGGAGATATGTAAAAGTTATAAAATGTTCTAAGAGATAAAGCATCCGAAAATGAAAAACTGAAAGGTATTTTGAATAATTCTAAATAAAGAAAATTTAAATAAGGTGAATCAATATTAAAATGAAAAGAATATAGTATTGCAATAATTGCAATAAGCCAAGACTACATTATAAGAGAAATAAAAAGAGAATGAAAAGTTTAAATAGTAGTATTCAACATTGTTATAATAACATTAAAAATTATAGACTTAATAGGCAGAAACTAAAAGTTAGTTGGATAAACTAAGATCTGTTTTAGGAAATTTTGGAAAATGATATATAAGATATACTAAGAAATATATATTTTAATTGTTTTATGAATAAAATATTATTATTTCTTCGTTTGAAGTGTTAGATGAAGGAAATTACTAATTAATTCAATTTTTTGTTGAAGATATAATATAATCTTTAGGATTCTTAGAATTTAATAATTGTAATAGTGAAAGTAATATCAATTTAATAATGTTTTGTCATATATGGTATTGTTTCTACTGAAAAATATTTATAAAGAAATATTATATTAAATTACATTAAAAGTTATGAAAAATGGCATAATTTTAGAATAATATGAGGATGAAGATGAATATGAAGTAAATAGTTTGGTTTGATTCAGATTCAAGAGGAAAAGTAAAGATAAGAGAGGAAAGAATATCTAAGAAGAATGCAACAATTGATTTTCGATGGAACTAATTATGACATAGCCACATAATAAAATACAGAATCTGAAATAGTTTATGAATATTTAATTGATTTGGATAATGAATTTTATATAGACTATACTCATTAATTGCCTATGCCAAGTAGTTAAATAAAACTAAGACCAATGAATGAATTACAGTTAGCTTATATTTATGTTGATGAGTAATAAAAAAGTTAATTTAAAATTAGTTACCCTTTTTTAAAGATAAGAAGATTATTGATGATTACTTTTTAATCGATTAGATATCTAATGAAATATTTAATAAATCTCAAAATATTTCAATTGATACTAATGGTTATCATTATTTTGAATTCATTATGTTTAGCATTAGAGGAAGATTAATATGAGATAATCTTTATTATTTGTTATTCAATTGAAGCTATTTTCAAGATGTTAGCATTAGTTAATATATATAATTATTTTAGGGTTTGTATTCTAAAAGAGATTCATATTTTAGAGATTTTTGGAATGTAATCGATTTTATAATATTGATATTTTAATACTTGCCTTACTTTGTGAATATATAATTTAATTTTAATGCTTTAAGAACAATAAGAATATTAAGATCTTTGGATGCAGGTTAAAGTATTCCTGCTTTAAAAGTAATATTAACTTCGTTATTTTAATCAGTTTATTAATTGAAAGATGCATTAATAGTCTTAGTATTCTCATATTCAATATTTGCAATTGTAGCTCTCTTACTTTTCAGTGGTGGATTAAAGAGAAGATGTGTAAATCTAGAAACAGGGATTCCTAGAAATGATGAAGTATGTTCAGTATGTGCAGGAGAATTTGATTGTGTTAAATAGATAGCTAATCCATTTAAAGATTTAATTAACTTTGATACATTTGGTTGGTCATTAATATAAGTCTTTATATGCACATTATTAGAGAGTTGGTCTCAGATATTAGATTACACTGTAATAGCATATAATGAAGCAGTTTATATCTATTTTTTTATGGTAGTGATGGTTGGAGGATTCTTTTTGGTCAATTTAACTCTAGCCATTATTAAACTTAATTTTTCTAATAATCAGAAATCAATAATACCACCAATTATTGAGGAGAGTTATGATTATTGGGAATTGAGAATTATGGGAATATATGAACCAATTAAATTATAAACATAAGCAGCTATGAGAAGAAAAAGTGATGCTCAATATACATTCAGAGAAAGATCATAAAGATCATAAACTAAAATAAAACATAGAACTACTAAATATCCTAGCTAAATTTAGAATCCTAATTTAAAAATTCATCCTATTAAATTTGCTAACAATTTTAGCACTACTTTTATGAAATAAGACAAGAAATTTATGGGAATCTATGGAATGGGTAAGAAATTATAACCAATCATTGGAGGTGTAACTCCATCTAAATAGACTAGAAATAAAATAAATGTCAATTATGAATAACCAGGATATTCTATTTTATAAAGTCCTATAGATTAAAATATTAGTTTTTCATATAATATATCACCTACTAATAAATTAGGTAATATGCTTTTTAGTCAATCTAATAGATCTCTTTTGAATAATTAAACTAAATAATTATCAAGTAAATCTATTTTAAATAATAATAATAAATCTCCAAATAATCATTCTAGAAATGTTACTCCTTAAAATTAAAGAAATCTTAATGAATTAAATAATGGATCTCCGAAATCTTAATTTAGTAAGAAAATATTATAAAGAGTAAGACCTTCAATTTCAGAATCTGATTAAATTCTAGTAAATGATCTAAAAATGATTGGGTAACATCAATCAAAAAAGACTATTACAACACCTAAAGGTTCTGATGAATAACTCATAGATTTCTTATCTTAAGCTCATAATAATAATATACTTACAAATGAAAATTAAAGTAATGGACTTTTAACTCCTAACAATTAATTTAGTCAATTGAATCCAACATTTAATAGAATTCCTATTCAACATGGTACTTATGCTCCAAGAACATCTTAATAAATATAAATGTTACAAGAGGTTAAATAGAGATCTTTCAATGTGAAAAATAAATAAATAGATAATGTTAAAAATGAAGTATCTATATTGGATAAGAGTGAAAATTCCATCATTAATTCTATTCCTAGTGAATAAGTTGATCAAGAATTAATGGATTTAGGAATATTAGAATTAAATGTAATCAAAAAATCTAAATCTGATATGTAATAGAATCCATTATCTAAATTAAATTTCATTCGCAGAAAGAAACCTCGATTTACTAGAAAAACTATGAAAAAATCTACTTATTTAAGTAAGACATTTAATTAAGCTAATGATGATAGATATCAACAATTAAAAATCAAATTATTTAAAACTAAATTTTATAAAGAAGTTCCATATTTAGCTTATAATTCAAATTCAGAATTAGATGTATTATAAGTTTAATAAATGTAAAAGATACAATAAAATCTTAAGAATAATGAAGAAATTAATAGAAAGATCAAGAAATAAGTTAAATATGTATTTTCTAATTAGTAAACATAACTTATAAATTAAAAATCTACTTCAAAAATTCAACCTTCATCAATTCAAATAAAAAGTACAAGTGTCAAACGATCTTAAAAGTAAGTTAAATTTCAAGATTAGGAAGAGTAATAATAATATAAAAAATTAATATTACATGATGTATAATTAAACTTTTAAGAGGCTTAATTATTAATCAGGAAAGAAGTCTAAGCTGTAGATTTAGAATAATATGGTTAAGTAGAAGTATAATATGATCTTAAAGAACAATTAAGATATTTGAATTATGATCAAATTACAATCACTACAAGTACTAATTATTAAGATTATGTAAGAATGATGGTAAATCTATTATACTGATTATTTATTAGTCTGATGCAAGTTCACAATAAGAAATTGTTCAATAATCTTCAATAGAAGATGTACTTCCAATGAGTGATTATGTAGATGATTAAACAATAGAATTAATGAATAAAATCATGCTTGCATTAAATTATACTATAAATATTTATGAAATCTGGTTGCCAGGAATATCAGGTATTATTAAAGTATTTAGAGTTAAATTATTAAATTTAATTTCTAGTGAATACTTTAATCGATTAATTAATATGTGTGTTACATTCAATACAATTGTATTAGCATTAGATGGTCTAGTTACAGATGATAAATTATTATCTGATTTTAATTTGGCATTTACAATTATTTTTATAATTGAACTTGGATTTAAATTGATAGGATTAGGAATTAAAAGATACATTTAGGATAAATTTAATATTTTTGATGCTTTTATTGTAGGAATCAGTTTATATGAAGTAATAATGAATTAAGAGAATGGTGGAAAGTCTGGTTTTAGTGCTTTAAGATCTTTACGTATCTTTAGAGCCTTAAGAGTATTAAGAATATCTAAATTAATCAGATCTTTAAAATTTATGGGATTTTTATTAAAAGTATTAGGAAATGCATTTGAATAAATATTATGGATGTTTATCTTAATGCTTTTTTTCTTATATACATTTACTATCTTAGGATTTTCATTATTTTAAGGATAGATTTCAGATAAAAATTATAGGTATACTTTTAATTCATTTATTATTTCATTTGAAACTGTATTTTAATTATTTACAATTTCAAATTGGAGTGATGTATTGTATTCTTTATTTTTATCAGATGCTAATAATATTGTTGTATTCTTATATTTAGTTATATGGATTGCAATTGGTAATTATATTTTTTTGAACTTATTTATGGCAGTGCTTTTAGATAATTTTGAAGCAGAATATAGAAGAGATAAAAATTAAATAGATAATAATATAATTATTGGTAGAGATTAAATATTTGAATCTGCATTATCTTCTAAACCTCAAGGAAGTAGAAAGTCAAGTAAATCTTCATTATAAGATGATGTTGAAGAATATTAGAAATTATAAACTTAAAAATTTATTTACTTTTAAGAGAGAGGTATAGGTGAATATGCTTTAATGATATTCTCATAGGAAAGTACATTTCGAAAAATGTGTTATAGAGCAGTAAAGGATAAAATATTTGATATATTTATTTTGATTTTAATATTGATATCAAGTGCTAAATTGATTTTGGATACTTATACTTTAGGTAATTCTTATGATGTTGTATCTTATTGGTTAGATTTTTCAATGGTTATTTTATTTGGTTCAGAAGCATTGTTAAAAATAATAGCATTTGGATTTATTGGAGATGAATTGAGTTATTTACGTAATTCTTGGAATGCTCTTGATTTTATCATATTAATAGGATCAATTGTAGATGTAAGTGTAGCAGCAATAGATTTGAGTTATTTAAAGATATTAAGATTATTTAGAACATTGAGACCATTAAGATTTGTATCTCATAATAGATCAATGAAGATAATTGTATCAGCATTATTGTAATCAGCTGATGGTATTTTAAATGTTGCAATAGTAATAATACTTGTTTGGATGATGTTTGCTATAATTGGAATAAATTTTGCAAAAGGGAAACTTTATTATTGTGATATGTAAGATGGTATTATGCATTATGTAAATAAAGAAGAAGTAAAATATATATATTATATATATATATAGTGTGAAGGAATATGGAGAATATATGATAGTAATTTTGAGAATATCTTTTCAGGAATGTTAACATTATTTTGTTTAAGTACATTATTGGATTGGCCAGATTAATTATTATATTTTAAAGATGGTACTGAAAATGGTTTAGTAAAGAATAATTCACCTGAATTCTTTCTATTTTTTTTGGCTTTTATTTTGATAGGTTCAATTCTACTTAATAATTTATTTATTGGAGTTATTTTAGTTAATTTTCATATTGCAGAAGAAAAGGCAAGAGATTCTTCACTTACTTAGGATCAAATATAATGGATTGATACTCAAAAATTAATAATTGAAGCTAAACCTGATTTAAGTTTGTATTATATGCCAAAGAATAGAATCTAAGCATTTTTATTTAGAGTTGTAAAAGCAAAGAAATTTGATTTGATAATATCTTTTTTCATTATAATAAATATTGTTGTTACTGGTATGTATATGGATGGTAATTTAAATATTATTATTATTTAGATGCAAATTTTGAATATCTTTATGTAATTGATTAAATAAACTTTGCCATATCAATTATCTTTTGTTTTGAAGCAATCATTAAAATTATAACATTTGGTCCATTGGCATATTTTAAAGTTAATTGGAATTAATTTGATTTTGTTATTGTACTTATATCTATTATTGATTTTGTTACAAATGAGAGTGGATTATCTATAGGAAAAGGATTTAGAATATTAAGAGCTATAAGATTATTAAGATTAGTTAAATAATTTAAAGGTCTTAAGAAATTAATTGATACAGCAGTATTTTCAATTCCTGCAATTATTAATGCAGCTGCTTTATATTTTTTAATTCACTCAATTTTCTCTGTTTTAGGAGTATTTTTATTTTCAGAAATTAAGTAAGGAAAGATTATATCTGATACTAACAATTTCTAAGATTTTCATCATTCTTTTATTTTATTGTTCCTATCTTAAACTGGATTAGATTGGAATAGAATAATGTATGATACTATGAATTATGGTTCATATTATAATGCTTTATTTTGGGTTGTATTTATTTTGATATAGAATTTTGTAATGCTTAATTTATTTATTCTTATTGTATTAGATTAATATGATATAAACTATTTTCATGAAGATAATCCACTTAATAGATTTGATGAATATTAAAATAAAACACTTGATGTTTGGACTCGTTTTAGTTAAGATGGAACAATAATTAATTAGAATAAATTGACAGATTTGATACTATCATTACCTAAACCATTAGGTTTAGATATTTTGAAATCTATGCAAAAAGGCATTGAAGATTGGAAACATATCAATCCATAACATACATAAGAAGAAGTTAATCAACTTAAATTTAATATCAAAGCAGATTTAATAAAAAATGCTCTCTTTAAAATTATGGATATGTAACTCAAATGTGATTTATAAGGCAATATACCATATAATCTAGTTTTATTTTCTGTAATAAAAGAGGCTTATTTAGAAAAACTTGAAATCAATTTAACAGAAGAAGGAGGGAGAAAATTAGCTATGAAAGAAATGGAAACAAGATCAGAAATTGAAGAAGAATATGGAACTGATTTAGATTAAGATGTTAATCCTTTAGTTTCTTATTTATATGCTTAAACATGTTTTAGAGCAATGTAAAGATATGTTGAAATTTCTAAAAACAAAATATTTGATGGTGGTATATCATTTTTAGCTAAGACTGATTCCTCTATTGATTTTGAAGAATATTTAGATAATGATTTATCAAGAGATGAGTATGAAAAACCTGATTATGAAGAAGTCTATTTTGTTGAAATTCCTATGAATAATAAAATTTATAATGGTGAATAATATAAGGTGTAAATTGCATAAGAAGAATCCAATATGGATGAAGAATCTAATAATTAACCAATAGATGATGAAAATAATATAGAAGAATTGGAAGAGTATAAATTATAAATTATTGATTTTAATAAGTATTTAGGAGATTGATATTTATTAATTATATATTATTTTTAATATTAAAATCAATAAAATACATAAATCTTATTATTATATTAAAATATACATAGTAAAATAACATTATAATAAATGATTTTAAATAGATTGGTAAATTCAAGTTTACTACTGTTACAATATATATTTAGATTATATTTATTAATATATAATCTTAGAAGAATGGACTTAAATTTATATGCCTGTAACTATGATTAAATATTATTATTCTTTATATAAATTTATATAAACTTAAATATCCATTTATTCTTTAAATTAAATATCTTAAATATGTTTAGAAAAGTGCTTGGAAATTCTATGAGACATAATCCAACTCGTTTAAGATACTTAAGAGAGTATGTATGTTTAAGAGAAGCTGCAAATCCATCTGCTTAATAAGCTTAAACTGCCTAATTCTAATAAGTGGCAAATAAATATGGATTGACAACCTCTCAATTAACAACACTCTCTGGTATTTATTAATTGAGTTAATTACTTCGACCTTAAAATTTCCCAAATCCTAATGATTATAAGGTTTACTAATTTATTTCTATTAATTTAGGTTCATGTTGAGAAATTAGAATTATTATTCAGATAAACTCAACCAAATACTGAAAACTTAGAACAATTCGCTTAAAGTCTATAATACAGAATACCAGAAATAAGCAAATTTACAAATGAAGCTAGAAAATAAGCAGCTCAAGATTTGTTTAGCATTTATTTAGAAGGAATTCACTATGATAATTTAGTATCACCGTAGAGATTATATAATATTTTAGAGGATATGTCTAATAATTAGAATCAATATACAGATAAAGAACTAATGCAGTCATAAATAAAATAAAAGCAGAAGTCAAAGATCCAATATTGGCAACTTAATTAGCATAATCACTTGAATCAATTTTCTAAAACTATTAATTTAATCAAGGAAGGTATTCTTTATCATATTTAATAAATAGATATGTTGGTTTGATCAAATCATTCATTGAATCAAATCAAGAAACTGAAGTTTAAATTAGTCAGAAGATTGATTAATAAACATAAGAAAAATAACTCTTTATTTAAACTGTTGATAGAGCAACAAAGCAATTTTCAGCTGAAGATCAAGAATATGCTAGAAATGTTGATGGACATGATTTCAAATTATTTTTATAAGAATTATATGAGAAAGAATATTAATCAGGATTTGCTTAAAATAGATTTAATGAAAAAGGATAGAAATTAGTTTATGAATCATAAGCATAAGAACATCATGTTTTAAGATATTAAATATTGGCAGGAGTCTTTGCTGGTTATTTCCTCTACTTATTTTACAGAGGTGATGCATATTATTCAACAATATTAACAGTGCCAACTGTTGCTGCTGCATTCTTTTATTTAGCAAAATAAGGACAAGTAAATATTTTAGTATTAAATTATTAGGCAAAAAGAGCAATTCCTTTTATTAGACAAGTACTCAAAAATAATGACAATACATATGAAGTAGTTTTTGAATAAAATCGTATTATTAGTAGAATTGAGAATGTATAAGCTTCATAAATTAAGTAAAATGGTCTATATTATGAAAAGATTGGCTTAAGACACTACATTCTCAAATACATTAGTATTAGGAAATCCTACTGATTTTGGATATCATGTAAAAGTTGCGGATAATTCATTTATTGCACCATACTTATATAGTGGTAATGGTTTAGATTTTAGAGCATTCATAAATATTTGATTCAATATAATAATAAAAATAAAACAAAACTTAAATGTTTTAAATATCTAATTATTCTAATATTTTTATTAAGTTTCTAAAGAATTCTATTAGTTTATAAGTGTCTAAATAATTTTTAAACATTTTTTGTATATATTTATACACTTTAAAATCTAGTATAATCAAAATTATAATGTTAAAATAGTTTTTATTTTTTTATAATACTTATTAAAACAAAAATGAATAATTTAATATAATTTATTTGAGATTATATTATTTATAGATATCATTTAAATCATTGCTTTTATGTTTCAGGTAGTTCTGTTTCTTTTGCATCAAAACTTTCATTATATGGAGCAGTAGCATCAACAATTTTCTTTCTCCAAATTAAATATTTAATTTTATATCCCCATTTCTTTATTAAATAATATAAAAGAACAACTAACCAAATACCAGCTACAATTAAGACATATATTGTAAGAGTGTAATAAGCATATGTATTATAATTCCCTTCTAACTAATAATATTAAATGTCAAATATACTTCTGTTGTTGTAAAAGTGAATGAATGAGATATATTACATAAAGTGAATTAATAATTTAGATTATTTTCCTTATCTTTTTTTGCACAATTTGTTGAATTAATCATAACATAAAACTATCTCATTCCTGCATCACTATATTTACATTCAATTTTAGGCATATTCATTATTATATTAATTAATTAGAATTCATATTTACTAATTGCTGCAAATATTCTTTGATTAGAAAACTCTTCTCCATCAAATTCAAATTCTTTTACTTTTACTAAATCTGGTTAATAGAATGTTGTATGAGATATTAAATTTTCATTTAAAAAACCTTTTAATTTATTATATTAATGTATACCTTAATAAATTGAATGATAAATAATTTTATGACCATCATCTCCTATCAAAACAGCATAATATTAAAATACATTCACATCATTTATAGTCATTTCATCAAAAAAATAGTTATTAATATAATAATCATAAGTTACTTAATTAACAAATACCTCTATTGCAAAATCTTATTTATTAATTGTTTTTGCTACAATAAAAAATGTATTCTCATAAAAATCAAAACTTTAACCATTTGATATCATTATTGTAAATTAGTAAATCAATTCCATCATATTTCTAATCCAATAAAATTTTAATCCTCTCTCAAAATCTAATACATATAATCCATCTTCTCCATTACTATTCACATCAACTATTTAACTATCAACTCCTAAATATGATGCTGAAATATCCTTCAAAAATAATAATGTTCCATTATTTATTTTGTATATATCTATACCTTCATATCCACAAGCCACAAATATCAATTAATGTTTTTCATTATAATGAACATTGTAGATTTTATCTCTTTTTTTTATTTCCTCTTCTACTTTAAATTCTAAGTCATGCTTCATATTACTCTCAAAACTCAAACCCCCATTTGTTGTGAATATAAATATTTTGTTAGATTCTCTATCTCCCACCAAATATGGATGATAATCAGTGTCCTCCTAATCATAATTAAGTAAATTGGCAAATGAATATCTTATAGGGTCAAGTTATAATTTAAATAAACCTTAATTCAAATCCACTTATATAATTGTAAAATCATTTCTGACAACATAAGCCTTCCTAAATTTTTCAGCCAAAGCTACATCAGTACAATATACATCCCTTGTTAAACCACTTTTGTCAAGCCACAACTTCAATTTCATACTAATTTCAATGTTTCTCTATATTGAATAACAACCATCTTCTTCTAAAAGATCTTCTTCTACTTTCTCAAAATCTCCTAAATTAATGCTTTTATTGCTAATTTCCCCTTTAACTCTTTAATGTAAGTCTATAGCAAATACTCCTGGATAACTATATTAATGTGGATTATATAAATTACGCTCCATAGGGTATTTCAATAATCTCAGATGCTTATCTATAAAAATCATTTGATTAAAACGTCTCATCTACAATTGTCACACTTGGTTTAGTGATTCTATTACTCTGAGTCTAATTTAAAAGAAGTAATATAAAAATAATAAACATTATTAATAATTTGATATAAAATCAATTGATTTATATATTTAATTTAAATTACCAATAATGTAATTAATAAAATTTTAGATAAATACTATGATATTTTAAAATATTATCAAATATAAAATATAAAAACAATCATTATTGTACTTATTAATGAACCAAAGGTTTCATACCAAATTGGGAAGAATATATCTGATGGTAACTAAGGTATAAAAGGTGGATCTTATGGAACAGAGTTTTCGATTTCATCATGAGGTAGACTGATAAATTTAACTTTTAAATTAAATCTATAAAGTTTTGTATTAGTAGGTATAGCTGTCTTTAAAATTCCATTAGAATAAACAATTTAAAAAGATGATATATAATTTTATCTACCTTCTTTCATTCCGAATTCATCTGTAAAGATTAATACATGCTATGTAAGATAAATATAATCAGTTGAAGGTACTGCTGTTGTAGTATTAACAAAATCTAAACTACTAGTTCCAAATAAAGGAGTTCTTGCAAGTCCCAACAAAGTATTGTATGGAAAACTTTTAAATATGGATAATCCAGACCAAGAAAATGTCGAGATAGTAGTTTAATTAAGTGAATATGAGCATGAAAATTATAAATTTTAACCAAACCTAAGAGGTTCATAATTAAGTGGGTTCTGATCATCAGTTACTGAACAAGTTGAATCTGTAAGTGATACTTTACCTCTATAAACTTTGTAGCCGAAAGGATTTGTTTATAAATTTACATGTCCTTGAACATATTATCCATAATCATATCCAGCCTTTCCTTAGTAATTAGAATTTGTAGCTATTAAAATAGATTGTAATTTTTACAAACATTAGCATATATCACTTCACTAAAATAAGTGTAAAGAGTTTAATCATTTGAAAAGTATGCAAATGTATTAGATGTAAAACTTGGTGTTGTTTATACTGATGAAGTTCCCATAAATATTGATTAACCTATTAAACATCCAGTAGGCTTTGTTCCTGATTATGCAAATACATCTGTTGTTTTTGCATAAAACTAAGTCTATACATTATTAGCTATTATGGATTGTGTAGTGGATTAACATGTAAGCATTAGACAACTCTATTTTTGAATTTATTTAAAATTTATAAACCTTTTAGTTTGTTTGCATATTCCATTTGAATCTCTATAAAAGAGTATATTAGATTTATCATTAGTTTAATAAATTGCTACTTAAAGGGAATCTGCTTTTGAGACTTTAGTTTCAGGTATAATATTAACTTTAAAATAATCTTACAAATAAGTTGGATTATTGTATGTTAATGGCATTGTTACACCAGATGTTGATAGACTGCTTTTTTCATAAATAAAGCAAATTTAATTGGCTTGTTCTTCAACTTAGATCCCTAAAAAATAATTTTGAATATTACATTTGTCAACATTTTATCTTGATAAAATATATTTTTTAATGCATGTCCTTTTTACAGATCCTAATAAACAATCACTTGGAATTGTGGACGATGAATTTTTAATGTCTGGATCACAACAACATCTATCATCAATCTCTCTGACTTTCAAATTGCAAAAACAATATTCATCATTTTAAATGTTAAATGTGCTATTATCATTTGTTTATTTTGCATCAGTGAAACTTTCTAAAACTATTTCTCCTCTAACAATTATATTGAGGAAAACAAAAAATAAAATAAAATTAATCATATTAATGAAAAATATCAATAAAAAAATATATATTTATTACTTTTCTAATCTAATACTTCTAAATTTGTATCTTATAAATATTAATATTATTAGATTTATATTTATAATTTATCATTTTCACTATAGATATTTAATAGTCTCTATATAATCTTAAAAAACAGTCTATTGCTAAAGGGAAAGATGAAATGTAATACTATACTCTTTAATTAAATATATATAATCTAAAAAAATTTAATGTGACATAACTTCCTCAGCCTCATTATTCCAAAAACCTGTAGAAAACTAAAAATAAATGTAAGAGGAATTATAATAATAAGAACTTAGACAAAAATTAATAATTAGAGAGTTGAATCAATTAATTAATTACTTATAAGTGATAAAGTTAAGGTTAAGAATAAAAAGAAATTAAAGAATTAACAAACAAAATTTATGAATTAATGCCTGAAGTAAAATAGAAAAAAGATTAATTCAAGAAAATAAAGAGTTTAAAAAAATAGAACAGAAACTGGAAAAAACTTTAAAATAAAGAATTTAATATTTTTGTTGATTTTTTTCAATTTTTGATATCAAATTTTATTATTTGTTATTTAACGAATATTTTTAATGAACACCATGAAAAAAATGTCAGAAAGCAGGCATTTCTCATCTTAATAATAAGGTATAATTCAATTATATAAAGAAGAAAGTAGTCCATTAATGAATTAATCCACAAATTAATCAACTAAAAAAAGAAACAAAAACAAAGAAAATATAAATTTGTTTAATGAAGTTAATTCCTTACTCTAGTATTACTAAAATTCAAATATCCTCAAAAGTATTTCAATATATATGTAAATAAGAAAAAACATCATTGCCAACTTCGATGGTATCTCCTAAGAAAATGATGGATGATATATTTTTGAAGCAAGTACTTTAAACTAGAAAAACTAATAGCAGAAATAAAGTCAGTGTTTCATAAAATGTAGGATAGAAAGTTTTAAGCTTATCACCAATAGAATAAAAATAAAAATCATTTACAAAAGGAAACTAATTTCGATGTGCATATCATGCTAATAAGAAAGTATAAAAATCTGTTAAAATAGGCAAAATTTTTTGAATATAATCGCAGTATTGGAGCTATATTTTATTGTTCTGAATGTTCTGTTGGGAAACTAATTAAAGGAAATATTCTTTTTCCTGTTGAAAACTATCAAGTTAAACAATCAAATAAAAAAAGAGAAAATTAATCTGTTAGTAGAGCTAATTTTTGGTCTGTGGATGAAAATTCATTATTATCTAATTCTCCCTTTCTATTAGAATCAACTGATACATTCACTAGTATAACTGATGATACTGAAGATAAAGCAAAGGAATTAAAAGATTTTTAGAAATCATTATCATCATTATAATAAGAATGCTAATCAATCATTGAAATTTCTAAAGGAAATTCTTATTAAACTCAATTCAATTCATTAAACACAGAATTATAATAATTACTATATATGATAAATATTCAGTCAATGAAATTATTGTAACAATTACAATCATAAAATAATTTATAATAAGTCTATGAAGTACAAAATGAATTAAATTCGATATTATCTGATATTTAATCAAATGAATCTAATATACTTAATAATATGTCAATTAAACCATTTAAATAAATTATGAATGTAAAATATCTTTATTATTGTAGAAATATAAAGAAAAATTAAAAGGACATACATAAACTATTAATAATTGTTAAAGTAGTCAATAAATCTTTGAATTGGATGATAGATTATAAAAATTAAATAAAATTAAAAAATTACTCAAAACCAATTTTAAAATAGAAACAGATGAATAAGAATTGTTAAGTACTAAAAGAAAACTTAGCAGTAATGTTTATATTTCTTTCGAAAATAAAGAAATGTTCTTAGCAGCAGCAGCTGCAAATAAAGCTAATAGTATTCATGCCAAAGATGAACCTGATTTAGTTCAAATTGATGATAAATGTCATTTACTTGAATCTCCTAATTTTATTCAGAATTGAATTAAAATATAGTTTTTATTTGATTTATATTATTAAACTTCAAATATTATTTTATTTTATTACACATAATTTTTTCAAATATTGTTTATTAATAATCTCAAAATTAATTAAAAGTGTATAATTATCTTATAAATCATTAGAATTATTTGATCCAAAAATAAACATTATTCTATTTCATTCTATTATTCAATATTATTAATTTGGAAAGTAGTTTTGAAAAATAATTCAATATAATTGCCTAAACATTATTACTTTGAAAAAAATCAATACAATCCATCAAAGGTTATATTATAAATACAAGATGTAAATTTATTTAGATGAACTCAAAATTAATAACATATTATTATTTAGATTTCCAAAATTTGAAAATCCCTAAAATGATTTGTTACTTTCTGGCAATCGAAAATGTTAGTTATTTTTTAATCAATAACACGTCAAATTATAATGCTTCATTTAATAAGTTACATTTAAAGCAAGAAGTTTTAGATTAAACTCTTATTTTTTAGTCATTATAAAATTTAGACATGATGAAAAAACAAATATATAAAACAAAGTGGAGAAGCCTTAAAACATTACTAAATACTTTAATTTGCAAATATGAATAACAGTAATTTTACTTTTTAAAGTTATATAAACTTTTATAACAAAAATGAAAATATTCACTTTTAGATGCATAATATAACTTGTTATAGTAAAAAGCAAAAACTTATATTTGGAGATTGGTTTTGTTATAAGTTAATGAATAATTTAAAAAATATAGATCAAAAGATGTTGTATTAAGTAAGATTTTAATAAACTTTTTATTAATTAAAATGATGATGGTTTGAAATAACTGAATAAAAGAAAAAACTGAATTCATATTAATAACTCTTTCCTTCAAATTTTTCAAAAATTAATTAAATGTCAATATCATCATCAAATTCACATACACCAATACCATAAAGAAAACCATGGACCACCAAGGAGGATGAACTTTTGACAGAACTAAGGAAATAAAACAATTTAGATTGGATTGAAGTGGCAAGAAGAATTGATGGAAGAAATCCATCATAATGTGCATAGAGATGGAAAAGGATCAAAGGATTCAAATTAAGAAAGCAATGGACTGAAGAAGAAAATCAAAAACTAGTTGACTTAGTGTCTAAATTTGGTTATCATTGGAGTAAAATTAGTTCTTTTCTTCCACAAAGAACTGGAAAACAGATTAGAGAACATTATCTTAATCAACTACATCCAGATATTAATAATGAACCATGGACTAAGGAAGAAGATGAAATAGTAGTAGAATTTTACAAAAGACTTGGTGGTAAATGGAGTTAGATTAGTAAGAATTTAAACAAAAGATCAGAAAATAGTATTAAAAATCGATTCTACTCTTATTTGAGAAACAAATATCTAAATATCAAAAACCCATATTACATTGTACCAGAAAAAAAATAAAAGTTAAATGAATTAAATGATTCTGAGCATAAATTAGAAAAACAAATAACTAATCCAATAAAATAAGAACCTTCATTTTAAACTAATTATTAACAAGTTTCAAAAGAATAAAATATGCAATTGTTTATGCCATACTATCAAAGTTAATTCATCTAATATCCTATGGCCTATCCTTGTGCTATGTTAGTACCAATCTATTTGTATTAATAACAAGGAACCTAAGTAAACTAGGTTATGCGATATTGATTATTAATTTTACATTATCGAGTTTTATTAAAAATAATATAAACCTTTTTTGATAATCTTTATTGTATTCAATCATAAAATATCTCTATAAATAAAATTCATGAGGTAGTTGCTCTTAAAATCACATCTCAACAATTAAAAATATACTATAGAACTTGTTTTTTTGATTAGAAATGCGTTTTATCACTTTATTTTTTATGATATTTATATAAATTTAAGTAAAAATGAAAATAACAATATATTTATTTAATATATTTATTCATGAAATTAATTTTTATTTAAGTTGTACATGAATCTATAAATATTAAAGCTCTATTTATTTTATTTAATCTATTTATTTTTTTATTTCTAAATTAAAATAACTTCTACTTTTGAAACCAAGACTGTCATAAATATATAAATGAACATAAAATTATTTCAAAATATCTTTCCAAAATTACCTGAATAATAATAAATAAGATAGCTCTTAAACACTGTTATATTGACTTTAATTGTTGTATTTTGTATAAAAGTTATTATATTTTTTTTAAATTAAGCATTTTCTAAAAACAATCAATATATTATATATTGTTTATTTAAATGTCTTTTTTTATTATAATTTCAGTTGTCAATTTCAATCACTATTTTAAAGAATAGAAAATATGCAGAGAAAATTAAGCATAATCATATTAACTTAAAATAACAATATACACTTTAATCAATTATTCATTATTATTAATAATTATAAAAATATCAATATAATATTAAAAAGATAACTTATTTTTTATTTATTCACTATTTTATTATTGCTTGTATTAATTATAAGTTTTCCTTTTCTAACTTCTGTAATTTATTAATTATGTAATGAATTAACATCAATTTTAAGAATATCCTTCTGATGTTAAAATTTGAAGAATTCATGGCTATAAGATGTATTGATTTTAAATAATATACTTATTAAAATGGGTGATTTAAAAATATCAACTCTTAACCTCACCAAAAGGTACAGCAACTCTTTTTAACTGTTTCTGATGGTGCACAGCCATCGGGTCTTCAGAGGGTTTTTCATCATGCTGTTATTGTTTCATATGATTCTGTTGCTTGTACCATGGATTGAGATCAAAATACCGGCATGGCCAATATTAAAAATAATATTTGCAATAGGGGCTTCTTTATGGCCATTTCCAACCTTTGATATGCTATCTGAAGAAAACCTATACTTAAGACAGGTATTAATGAAAACATTGGAGATTTCAGTGATTATGTTATATGCTATAGATTTATTGCCAAAAATATTTATTTGGAGATAAAATGTGCTTTGGAAATTTGTCAACATTGTTATTTTATCTTAAATGATGTTTTTATTGCCTGTGTCAATAATTGCATATGATAAAATTGCATTGCCAACTGATACTATGAAATTAAGAATATTTTCTATTAGTTTTTGTTTTGTGATTGTATGTGAAATTCTTAGTATCAGAGAATAAAAATCATTAAGATTCTTAAAAATAAATTAGAGGTAATAAGAAAAGCAAAGATAAATTAAATAAAAAATATAGGAATTTAGTTGGTGTGAAATAGTGAAACATGATACTCCTAATGATTGTTGGATAGTAATAAAAGATAAAATATATGATGTTACTTAATTTTTATAATATCACCCAGGGTAACTAGATTTCTAATTAATTTAGTGGTAATATGATTCTTGATGGAGCAGGTGGAGATTGTACAGCTCTTTGGTATTCTTATCATCCAAGTAAATTAATAAAATAGGATCCCCCTTAATAATATATGATAGGGAAGGTCAGAGATTATTAATAATATTATTCATATGATGATGATTTCTATTAAAACATAAAGGAAGAAGTTGAATAAATGATACCAAGAAATAATTGGTAAAATCATTGGATTCTATTTGTAAAAGGATTTTTGTGTATAATTGGATATTTAGCATGTTTATATTATTATGTAAATTATTGTACATTATTGTCTGCAATATTATTAGGATTCTTTGCTGCATAAGTATTATAATAAATTAATTATTAGGCTGATGTAAATATAATGCATGATGGAAATCATTATGCTTTTTCATCAAATAAAACATTATCATTTTTAGCTGGTTATGTTTTGGATCTAACTTTTTCTACAAGTGTAGTTTATAGAAGATCTCATAATTTTGGACATCATAGTTGTGTTAATCATTTAGAATTAGATAGAGCATTTGATACTACATTTCCATATATAAGATTACATCCACTTTAATAAAGATTTTGGTATCATAAATATTAACATTTGTATATATGGATTATTTATACATTTGTTAATTTTACTGATGTATTTGGTACTTTTGATGAAATGCAATGGTTCAGTAATTATCCATGTAGAAGAGGATATGTATCTAAATTGTAAGTATTCTTGTAAATAATCGTTAAAATTTTATGGATTTCATTAACTTTAATTTATCCTTCGATAAAATTTTCTTACAAGGTTGCCTTTGGAATGTGGTTTGTGTATAATGCAGTACACAGTTATAATTATGCTTTGTATTTTTCTGTAAATCATTGGACTTTAGAGGCTGGTGTAGTGGATAATCAAAATATCAATTAAACAAATTGGGGTAAATTGTAAATTTAAAATTCTTCTAATTTTGCTCTTGATTCTTTTATTTGGACTCATTTATCTGGCGGACTTAATTATTAAGTAAAGCTAAATAGTAATTACTTAGATTGAGCATCACCTATTTCCATAGTTTGCACACACTAGACTCAAGGAAATAAAGAGCACTATTTAAGTGAAAGCTTAATAAGCCAAAATAAAGTAAATAATAGATTAATATATAATAGATATTTTGAGTTCCCATCATTTTTAGATGCTTTAATTAGTCACTATAAATTGTTAAAAATTTTAGGATCATAAGATAAAATTTGAAATAATTTAATAATTAATTAATTAATAATTAGAAAATGAAATTCATCATTGTTTTTTGTTTAATCTCTATAGGTTAAATGAATGATTCTTATATTAATGAAAATATTTAGCATTAATTTTAACTCTTTATAGAAAATGAAATAAACATAAAAAGTCTATTAAAATCGTTTTAAGAAGAGTTTTTAGAAGTAAACATGAAAAAATTGAATTATTAACCAAAACAAATGTTTATTAATAATATTTTGAGTACTTAAAAACATACACCATAAGGTTGTTTCTAAGAGATAATAACATTAAATTCATAATCTTAATAAAATATATATGATTAAGATTAATTACTTTAATAAATGGAAAGAGTTGTATTATCATGCTACTAATTATAAAAATGTAAGATATTAAGATAAATATTTAGATTGGGATTAAATTTAAACTTGTTTTGTATAAATGAATGTTTTATAGGGAAATATTGCTAAATTAGAAAAAATAAATAAACACTCATCAAATAGCTACTTAGTATTAAGATAATTGGTTGAGAATGTATTATTAAAATGTCAATATAATAATGATATTATATTGAATAAGAAATGTTAGAATAGTTTATTGATTATTGGAGGATTGAAGGAGAATGAGGCCAACTTTGGAGAGATTTACAATGGTTTTCTTTCTAATTGTTGGATATGAAATATTATAAATTTAATTATTAATGTCAAGAACAAATGATGAAGATTATGATTACTTATTTAAAATTGTTTTAATAGGTGAATTTCATGTTTAAAGATTTTAGGTGATTCAGGAGTAGGAAAAACAAATATTTTAAAGAGATTCATAAATAATGAATTCTAATTAGAATCAAAACCTACAATTGGAGTTGAATTTGCAACGAAGACATTTCAATAATCAGGGAAATCAGTTAAATGTTAAATTTGGGATACTGCAGGATAGGAGAGGTAAGACTTATAATTATGAAATTAAATTTTAGATATAGAGCCATTACTAATGCATATTATAGAGGAGCAGTTGGAGCATTTATATGTTATGATGTAACAAGAGAAGTCACATTCAAAAACACAGAAAAATGGTTATCAGAGTTAAAAGAACATGCAGATGGGAATATTGTGATAATAATGATTGGAAATAAAATAGACGCAGTTGATTCAAGAGTATATTAATATTTTCATATAGACTGTTAGAACAGATGAAGCCTCAAATTTTTGTGAATAACAAAATATAGGATTCATTGAAACTTCAGCATTAGATGGGACCAACATAGATGTTGCATTCAACAAGATTGTAGCAAGTATTTTATTTTTATAACATAAATAGATATTTTTAATACAATTGGTTCTAAAAGCGTTAAGAAAGTAGTTTAAGTAGAATCAGAACATGTAGTATTATAAGAAACAAAGACGATTTAGTCAAAACCGAAAAAGAATAGCGAAGGATGCTGTTGAGTATATTTCATTGTATGTCTTTGATTATTTATTATAAATGCTCATTTTTATTCAATTAATTATATTCAATCATAAAATATATTAATCAAAGTTTACAATTATTTTATAGTTTCATTCAAGGTTACTCTAAGTTTCATAATGAAGAACTAATTAGATAATATAAAATTAATTATACATATAAATTAATTGCTTAATTATGTATTCAATTAAAACAGAACCTTAACCAATTGCAATAGTTAATTTATAAATGAATGATAAAGATGAAGAAATAAGAGTTTATGAAGGGGAAAATGTAGAATATATTGTTAGATTATTTTGTTAACAAAATTAATTGGGATAAGATTGTGTTCTCTATTTAATAAATCAAATAAATGAATAATTACAAAGAGAATCTTCTCCTAGATTTGGAGAAAGTTTTGGTTAAAATAATATATCTCATTAATTACTCTAACCTAGTTATAGTTAATAAAGTGACTTTGCTTTTACAACCTAAGATAGTAGTGTTGATGAAAAATTAAACTCAGCATAAAAAAGTTATGAAAAATGGTAATAAATCATAAATAAAAAAACAGATCTAAGATTATTAAATAATGTAAATTAAAATACAGTTTTATGGAATGTTCCTAGTTCAGCCAGAAGTAAATAATTTTAAATTTAATATAGCTTTCAACGATAATAAAAAAATCTCAATAAATGAAAAACTTTATCGAGATGGTTTGGATAAGTAAAAAATAAAATTAGAAAAGACTCAATAATATAAACTCTAAAAATCTTAATTAGAATAATAATAAGCTACTTTCTAACCTTTAATATCTCCTAGATCAAGATAGATGGCAGAGTTAAAAAAATTAAGTAGACCTGATTGTTCTGTTAATAATATTGGAACTCAATTATATTAAAAGGGTTTGGATTTGAATTTAAAGAAAGAAAAACATCGTATGTAAATTTAAGAATAGGAAAGACAATTATCTCCTTTTAAACCTAAAATCATGGAAACAAGTAGAAATCATTCTCAAAATAGATCAAATACTCCAATTCATGAAAAACTTTATTGTTAAGCTCATGAAGATAAGAAAAAAAAAAAAGAATTTTAAAATAGAGAGTTTTCTAAAATTCATCCATTCCATCCTAATTCTTCAAAAAATGAAATTAAACACACTCCAATTTAACAAAAGAAATTAATTGATAAATTAGTAAAGGAATAAGAAGAAAAATAAAAAAGAATAGAGAAAAAAAAGTAACCTTAAGATTTTATTTATTAGACAAGAGTACTAAATTCAAACTTAAAATTAAGTCACTTTCAAACCAAATATCAATAAAGATGCTACATATAAGAAGGTTAGTTAAATTAAAGAACATGAAGATCTTAAAATTGCCATTGATTTATAAAAAATGCAATCATGTTTATATAGCAAGAATTCTTTTAATTAATCTGAAAAAAGAATTTAATCATAATAAAGTTCTCAATCCTTATTTGATTTGAATATTTAGAGAATTTTCAATCAATTAGATAATGATAAGGATGGATTTATCAGCAAAGATAATCTAAGTCTAAATGAATTGGATTTTGAGACTATGAAAATTATTGAAGTGGTTTTAAATTAAATTGAAGAAGACTCATATACAGAGATTAATTTAAAAGGATTCAAGAAACTTTGTGAAATGCATCATTTGCATTAATAATTAAATAGTTTATGAATGATTTTTGGATTTTATTTATTTATATCTATAAAAATTGTTATTATTATCTTATTCATCTCTATTAATAATTTAATTATGTTCTTATTTATAAATAGAAGATTATGGAGATTTGCTACTCAAAAGTATTCATGATAGTTTATCAAGAATATATAAGGATTCCACTAAATTATCTTAAGAAGAAATATCGAAAATACTATTTAAAGATGAGGAGCCTTTTACAAACAATGTTAATTAGAATCTAGATAATCAAGTTACTATTGACACTTTGTATGAAAAATCCAATATCAATGAACTATTGGATATTATACAAAAAAAGGCCTAATAAGAAATTACTCCGAAAGAAGAACCGAAACCACCTACGAGATAAGATTTACCATAAAAATATGGTTTACCTATAAAAAATGTGGGTTTAGATCTCACAGTTGAGAAAGTGGAGTAATGAATTTAAGTCAATATTAATTTGCAGACCTCCTAAGACAGTGACAATGAAGATGTTTGAAATTCTTAAATTAAATGAACATACTTCTTATTAAGAATATGAAAATGCTATTTAACAATTTAAAGAAGGCTTGTATGGAAATGCAGTCAGACCTTTTTATGAAGTTAGAAATGAAATGAAAGAAACATTAAAAGAGGATGCTATACCCTATGCTTTACTGAATAATAATAAATATATGGAAGAAATAAGAGAGAATAGGGCACTTAATATATCTATACCTGGTACAATAGAAACTGAGCATGCACATAGATTCTTGAAACTTAGACCTGTAGAAGAATTTAGACATACTCCTTTAATCCCTATATCTGATAGATAAATGAGAGAATATTAAGAAAAGGTAGAAGCTTATCATAGAAAAGGAGTCTATTNATAATAAAGTTCTCAATCCTTATTTGATTTGAATATTTAGAGAATTTTCAATCAATTAGATAATGATAAGGATGGATTTATCAGCAAAGATAATCTAAGTCTAAATGAATTGGATTTTGAGACTATGAAAATTATTGAAGTGGTTTTAAATTAAATTGAAGAAGACTCATATACAGAGATTAATTTAAAAGGATTCAAGAAACTTTGTGAAATGCATCATTTGCATTAATAATTAAATAGTTTATGAATGATTTTTGGATTTTATTTATTTATATCTATAAAAATTGTTATTATTATCTTATTCATCTCTATTAATAATTTAATTATGTTCTTATTTATAAATAGAAGATTATGGAGATTTGCTACTCAAAAGTATTCATGATAGTTTATCAAGAATATATAAGGATTCCACTAAATTATCTTAAGAAGAAATATCGAAAATACTATTTAAAGATGAGGAGCCTTTTACAAACAATGTTAATTAGAATCTAGATAATCAAGTTACTATTGACACTTTGTATGAAAAATCCAATATCAATGAACTATTGGATATTATACAAAAAAAGGCCTAATAAGAAATTACTCCGAAAGAAGAACCGAAACCACCTACGAGATAAGATTTACCATAAAAATATGGTTTACCTATAAAAAATGTGGGTTTAGATCTCACAGTTGAGAAAGTGGAGTAATGAATTTAAGTCAATATTAATTTGCAGACCTCCTAAGACAGTGACAATGAAGATGTTTGAAATTCTTAAATTAAATGAACATACTTCTTATTAAGAATATGAAAATGCTATTTAACAATTTAAAGAAGGCTTGTATGGAAATGCAGTCAGACCTTTTTATGAAGTTAGAAATGAAATGAAAGAAACATTAAAAGAGGATGCTATACCCTATGCTTTACTGAATAATAATAAATATATGGAAGAAATAAGAGAGAATAGGGCACTTAATATATCTATACCTGGTACAATAGAAACTGAGCATGCACATAGATTCTTGAAACTTAGACCTGTAGAAGAATTTAGACATACTCCTTTAATCCCTATATCTGATAGATAAATGAGAGAATATTAAGAAAAGGTAGAAGCTTATCATAGAAAAGGAGTCTATTTAGAAGTTTCAAGAGAATAACTTTATTTTGCTTCATTTGTTGCAGGAATTTTGTATATTATGTTTAGAATGTTTCAATGGGTTCTAAAGAAGGAAGAAGAATCAGGCTTACAATTTTAGAGACTCAAATTAAGAAGAATGGGAATGGCTTATGAGGTTGTTTGATATATAAATTATAATTAGTAATTTCTTAATGTATAAAATAACACCTCCTTCTCAATAAACCTATAAAGGTCCAAAATTACAATAAAGTCCAATAAGACAATTGTAAAATAATGAAACATTAACTGAAGATGTTTTGTAGAGTTCATCTGAATAATATCGAGAATAATTAGAATAGATGCTTGATCTGAAACCAAGTATAAGGAATTTTAAATAAAACAACAATAACAATAAATCTGATTTGTGGAATACTATAAAATAAATTGAAAAGAGAATGCAAGAATAAGAACATAATTTATAAAGAGTCAATAATGAATAACAAGAAGAAATTAATAAATTAAAAAGTGAAATAAAATAATAGAAGCAATAATATGAGTAAGAAATAGAAGAAATTAAATATTCATCAAGAATTTAAAGCTAAAAACCTTAATCTTCTTATCATTCATATACTCCAAAAAATACACGTGAATACAGTTATAGAAGTGTAAGCAATAATAATTTAGAGGATTTATAAGAAAAAAATTATTTATAATAAATGATACAAGATTTAAGATAATAGATCTTAGTTTTACAACAAAAAAATTATTATACTCCTATTTAAAATACAGATAATATTTGGGAATAGAAATTTAAATAATTAGAAAAATAAAAAGAAACTGAATTGTAAATGAAGGATTAACATCATATAGAACGTATACGTAATTTAGAAACCTAATTAATAAATCAAAAATAATCATATGAAAATGAGTTATTTGCAATCAGAAAGATTTTGGAAGAAATAAATAAAGAAGATTCTCTGCTTAGAAATTAAAATTAATAATTCTAAAAGGAATTAAACTCTTACTTAAATTAAGTAATGTATTATAATAAATTAGTTTAATATATTATCATAATAGATTTAATAATAAAATCAGTAAATTTAGTAATATTAAATATAAATATAGTAATTATCTAATCAATTATAACAGCAATAACCAATTAATTATTAGAATCAGAATCAATAATTATTAGAATTAGCAAATCAACTACAAGCTTTAACTCATCTTTTAGATAAAAAGAATCAAGAATGCGAATATTATAAATAGAGATCAATATAGAATTTGTAGTCTCAATAACAGAATCCATAAATAATATCTTATCGTTAAGCCCTAACTCCTACAAGATAAAATACATTATAACAATCTTCTGATTCAATTGTCTTTCCTACTTTAAATAAACAATAAATCTTATAGCAATTTTAATGATGTTAACATAAATATTAAATTTCATATAAAACTGTTGTATTTTGTTTTTATGGGATCTGAACTAATGTTATAGTTATAACAATGACTTAATTATTATTTATTGTTATTTTAACAACTTTAAGTAGTAAAGTCATATTAACAATACCTTATTGAATTACACAATTTTTTACTTAAGATTGAAGAACAACTATTATAATAAAGAAATAAATTTACATAATGTTTGAACATTCTGAATTTTACCAAGTACATTTGTTTGTAGCTATACAATCATTTCTATTAGTTTAGTAAGAACATTATGTGCATTTTCCTTCTTTTAAGAAACATCTTCTTCCATTTCTAAATGCAGGACAATCAGAATTAGTATTAAATAGGCAATCTTAATTTCTACAAGTTTTATAATCAAAAATATCTGTAGCAAATATTTAATCCATTTGTTAATTAGATGCTATGTTATTAACTACATATTGACATCTTAATTAAAATATAAATTTGAATACCTATCTCTAATTTTGGCATTTCTACATTATTGGAAGCTAGTAATTTAAGAACATTTTTGTATAGTTTAACAATGATTGTGATTCCATGCACAAAGTAATGCAATTCCAATTTAATTACTACATTAAGAATAATTATCTATATCTTCACATGTTTTATCACCAAAATTTATATCATATGTACCTTTAGGTTTATTTCTTTTTAAACACTCTCCATCTTTCCAATAACATACATAACTTTAATATTAATAATTTCTTTAACAATCCAATTCAGTATAAAATTAATAGCAAGAATTTTAGAATTAACTAATGCATAAACCATTCCAAGAACATTTTAAATAAGGATTATCTGTATTCTCACATTATAATTTAGTATTTAAGTTTTTGCAAGATTATTTTTGTAAAATGCACTCAGTTCCTTTTATTAAAACAATAGAAAGAGCAAGAATTTCTATGATCATTAAATTTATTCAAACAATTCTCTTAAAGGATGATAATAATTATTTGATTTATGTAACAATATTGATTACAAGTCTATGTTGATTTCTATTTTTTTACAATATTTAATAAATATATATATATATATAATAAAATGGAAGAATAAGAAGAATGTTTTGATTGTAAAATTATAATTGCCAAAAAAGGTAAAAATCTAAACAATTTATAAATAGAATTATATTGTGAAAAATGTCTTTAATAATAAATGAAAAAAGAAGAGGAAGAAGTAAAATAATTAGAAAATGAAATTAATGAATTATAGATTCAATTAAATTAAGTTAGAGATGAAATATCTAAAATGGAAATAAATTCAATAGAAAAAAAGAATGATAAAATAGAATTAGATGTAATTCATTATTGTTTATAAACATAGAAAAAAAATTTAGATAAGGAAATTTAATAATTAGAATTAGATGAATAAAAATAAAAGAATGAGTTAATCAAATTAAAAAATTAGATTCTTGAACAAGAACATAATGAAGATAATTTATGGGAACACATCAATAAATTTACTAGAAAACTATATTCTTTATTTGAATCAAATTAAATTGCTGATAATAAATTATCTTAACTAAATAATGAATTAGATAGATTAAGTAAAGTATAAATAAATAATATTATGTAATTAGTTAGATGTTTTAAATGATTTATTTAAGATATCAGTTTAAGATGAAGTAGCAACTATTAATGGATTATAAATAGGTAAGAAAGGAGAATAGCCTGTTGATTGGGATGATATATCAGCCGGAGTTGGTCATTTAACATTATTACTAGTTTACTTAATGAAGAAATTTATGTATACATATTAAAAGTATGGATCATTATTTTATAAGTATATAGAATTGAATCAATAGAATTGAATGGATCATTTTCTAAAATCAAAATCAAAGATGAATATCAAAATGCTCTATGTACAAAAACATTAAATTTATATTTGAATAATAAAACTTCTTAAAAGGATGAAGAAGAGTTTAGTGATGCCTTTCTATAGTTATATTTAGAATTTTAATAGTTTTGTAAATATTTATAAGATGGAGATATCTTAAAAAAAAGAAAAATTAATTTAAATTTACCTTTTAGTATGAATGGCATGTCTGTAGACAATAAAATACTTAGTTTGAAGTAACCTGCAACTTAAAAATGGTAAGAATGGACTAATTCTGTAAAAAAGTTTTTAGCAAATGTTAAAGCTCTCATTGTTGCAAATGCATAATTTGATTTATCTTTATGAAATAAATATATAATCATATTCACATTAATAATTAAATTAATTCTTAAAATAGATACAATATAGCTCTAGTTTAGATCATGATTAACATTTTTCAATAATAGACATTTTATTGTATATAAATTGATATGTAAGTAGGTGAATAAAATGATAATAATATATAAAAATGAAGGTATTAGAGGCACCTATAAACTTACTATAAATTTTCTAATCCTTCATATATTTTTTTTTATTTTTATTTTCTAATTAAAAGCAAAAATCCAATAATTTTATACTAAGATTAGTATTACACGCTAGGTTAGTCAACTTACATCATTCATACTTTCCTGTCACTAATCTTATATTGATAATACGAAAATTTCAAAACGATGGCTACTTATGCTCTTTAAGATTTTCACAAAGCCTATTCTATTATTTTATTTGAAATAAAAAATCATGTATGAAAAAATTGATTTTCCATAAAGACTTTTCTTTCAAAAATTTGATTTAGAGTTACTCTCTAATTCATAGAGAAAGCTCAAACAGGGGGATTTTTTGTAGGATTAGGGTGTTAAATTATTATTTAAATTATAAATACAACTATACTACTAAAATAGGAGGGGAATTTATGATCTATATAATTAATATTCTACATATTATTTATTCATTTATTTCATTTATTTATAACTAAAGTATTGATATTTCTAAAATGCATTTAAATTTATTTACACAATTCTGATTGAGTGTTATCTAAATAAGACGGCAATTATCATATAATAGATATTGAGATTATTATTTATAAAAAATGTAAATCTTTTTTATGAAAATAATATAAATCATTTCCTTACTATATAAGCCAATAAATTTTGTGTTCGAAAGGTAATTATTTATTAAATAAAAATTTAAACATGCTTTAATAAGACCCTAAGCCAGATTAGAATCTCAAAATATTACTTAAATCAGAATTTAAGTTAGAAATACCTATCTAGCCGAGATGGGTTGAAAGAATTGTTCCTTTAAAATATAATTTAATTTTTTTATATTTTGAAGGAGGATCATATCTTCAATATAATATAGAAAAAAACAAATTTATGGTAGAGGGAAGGATTTCTGATAAAATAAAATTTTTCCATGAAGTTTACACAGAGTAATTTTTTTTAATAATTAATAGAGTTTTGGTTTATCACGATACTTAGGATCTTTCTCTAAAATTATTAGACTTAAGAGAAAATATAGTCAATCCTAATTTCTCTGTTAGATCAAGTGACAAGATAGATATCAAGAGTGATGAATCAAGTAGAGAAATGATTATAGATAGTAACATAACATTTAATATTTAGAATATCGCGTATTCTTTCTTGATTGTGAAGAGAAAGGAATTAAATATATGATAACCTAGGATTTAGAAAAGTACTACTCAAATAATAATGTCTGCCATTACACAATAAGAGTTTTACCTCTTGAATATGATCCTTAAACAAAATTTGATTTATAACCTATTGCAAAATATGATTATCCTAATAGTCTTGGATAAACAGAGTTATACTTTTGGTTAGTAGATAAAGAAACTATAGCTGTTTTTGGATAAGACACTGACCATAATAAATCTGAAATACTTTTAATAAAACCTCATTTAGCTGAAAAGGCCTTTTATATTGTTCATACATAATTTGCTTGTTCATACACAATCTTGAACGTATCAAATTGGGTTAACCCACATCAAGTGGCTATTTGGGTCAATTGTAATGATGGTACCACAAAACCAAGCATTTTTACTTTTGACTTAAGAAATTATTATGATGGCATAAATTGGTTACCTGAACCTGAATTTACATCAACTTTGGTAATTATTTAAACATATTAATCAATTAGGCTAGAGATGAATATATTAATGATGAACCAACAGTTTTTATGGATATTTATCAATTTAATTTAGATTCTACTTATGCAATTCAAATTAGACAAGTTGGAAATGAAGCCAAAATATCTATTATCAATTATGAAAATGTTTAAAAACCAGAGATTATTAATGAAGTTGCTGTTGATTAGTTTTGGATTGTACCATCTGCTGACCATTCTTACATTCTACTTTATAATGATATGGCGTAAGCATATATGTCTTATTCTTAGAATTCAAGATCGAATTGTCAAGTTCTAAATTTTGTTTCCAGCTGATGCAAGACATTAATTATTACAAATTATTGAAAAAGCAAAAGTCATTGAAAAATATGGTATCAATAATGTTGAAGAAATATTTGAATTCTATTAATGAGTAGCATAACAATTTAAAAGTTGTATTTTTTTATTCTTTAATTTTCTATTAAGATTCTACATATTATAAATTAATTATTATCATAAATATAAAGATAATTAATTATTAATGAAAATCTTTATTATTATCTGATTAAAAGAGTATATTTAATGTTTAATAATAATTATTTATATATAGATATTTTTAATATTCTCTATTATTTATTATTTTTCAATTTAATTCAGGATATGGATATTTAGAATTGAATTACATAATAGACTCAATTTACTTCATTACTTTTAAGACCATTTCATCTTAATTTGGTAAAGCTGAAACTTGAATATTGACAGGAAGACCTATGGCTCCTTATAGATCTTTTTTCATAAATCTATAAACAAGATCCATAGAATTCTCTTAACCATCAATTTTCAAATCTTAATCATTTTTTACAATTGTAACAGGTAAACTGCCTGAAGGAAAATCTACTACATTCCACATCCAAGTATATAATCTAACATAAAAATATAAATATACGCTGTAAAAGCTAATTCTTTAGAACCTCCATGTTTAACAGCAGGTAATCCAAATGCAGGAGAGATTATAACATCTATTCCTTAATCTTGAACTGCTTAACAAAATTATAAATTTGTTTATTTTCTAATAGCTGAATCAACCAAATATTGATAGACATCTACTTTAGTATTATAGTTGTATTCTAAAAGTGTTTTTTATCCAAATAATTTAAATAATGGACCTAATACAAATTTTTTTATTCCCAAAGATATATTTGCATCTTAAACTAATAGGTCATACTCTTCAATAAATTTTTAACCATGTAAAGCATCAATGTAAGACTTCATTCCTCCATCAGCAACTACTATCTTTAAAAAACAATTAGCAATTATGCTTTATATTTATTTGTCTACTATAAATTCAACTATTTCATGTCCTTAATGCTTTAATGCTTCACAAACTTCATTAACTGCTCTACTCATACAATTAGGAGTTACTAATCCATTAAATATATTAAAATATCCAATTCTTAATTTTTATTTTTTTGGAAATTCACCTAATTATTGAGGATCAAAATAAGGATCCTTTATTTATTAAGGAATTTTAGAATAAATTTCTTTATCAAATAGAACCTTTGTTAATACTATCAAATCATCAACACATCTAGCAATAGGTCCTCTAGATACTTTTAATTGCATTCCTCCTTCAATTGCTAGTGAAATTTTTGACTCACCATATTCTGGGATCCTTCCACTATAAGGCTTGAATCCATATACACCACAAAATGCAGCTGGTATACGAATGCTGCCACCTATATCTGATCCAATTCCTAATACACTACCTCTTGCAGCTGCTAAAGCTCCTTCTCCTCCTGAAGATCCTCCAACTGCTCTATTTGGATTCCATGGATTCTTGGTTCTCCCATAAATATGATTAACTGATTCAAATGTCATAGCAACTTATGGAACATTTGTTCTCACTATAATAATACCTCTAGCTTATCTAATTTAAGCAACTTATATTCCATCTTCTTAAGCAGGCTTAAAACAATTAGCTCCTAATCCATAAGTAGAGTCAAAGTTTTTCTGAATGAATGTTTCTTTGACTGATACTGGAATGCCAAATAAAGGATATTTATTTATTATATTTTTATCTGCTTTGATTTCCTAATCTTAGATTCTAAATTATCATTAATCAATCTTACTTTGCTTATTCCAATGCTTCAATAAAATTAATTTCTGTTATTATATTAAGTTTATCTGAACAAGCTACCTTAAGAATTCTTTCAATAAAAACTAAAACAATTTATTCGACAGTAGTTTTTTCTTCATATAACAATTACTTAATTTAAGCTACATTACTGTTAAGTATTTATTTTTAAAGATCTTGACTCAATTAACATGGTTGATGTATTAGTTTATAATTATTTATTGCCTCAATTGTTACTTGTCTTTTTCTTTTACAAATCCTATCCATTTTTTTGTGTTTGATATAATCAATAAATCTACCTAATGTCCAAAGTCCAAACCCACCAGAAAGTGCTAATACGAATCCACCTTTAATAATTTCTTTTTTGTTATATTTTAATAAATCTTTGAATTTCATTTTTAATAAATTAAATTTATGAATAATATAAATGAAATTAATAATATTAATATATTATATCTAAATATTTTATTCAATTAGATATTTAATTTTAAAATAAAGATGAATAAAGAATTCAATTCATTTGGATTTATTAAAATATGTCATCACATTTTGATAGTAAATTATGTATAAATCCTGGAAAAATGTATAATTAATAAAATAAATATATTCTAATTACCTGGGAGTTAGATTTAATTCTGAAAATTTGATAGCTTATTCATAATCTGCTTTTTCACATTAACCAGGTTTTAAGTGTTTTTTTTTGACAATTAATTATTGAATGGTATCATTAAATTAAAATTGATATTTCTCAAATATAAGTTTCAATTCATTTTCTATTGAATATATTTCCTTTTTTGTAAATAATTCATATTTTCCAATTAATTACTTAAAAACACTTAAGACAATTTAGATTTCATTACTTCTTAAAGCATCATATACAACATAATCTTCATTATTATCTTCAATTAAATATCTGGCAATAAGTTTTCTCTATTCATAACTTTAAATTTTAAATGGTTCTTAAAGCAATAAATCTAATAATTCATGTATTTTAATTTATTAATCATATTTTTCAAATAACATTTCAACATCTTAGATTGAAACTTCTTTACTTAATAACTTAAATTTTATTTCTAAACCAAATTATGCTACATCATATTAATTAACTCTTATAACTTTTTTTTATTTTCTATTACTTTATTATAATTATTTTTCACTTTCATCAATTTCATTACAATATTTAGTAAATTCTGTATTTTATATTTTAGATAAATCCATTTATATACTCTATTTATATTATTAACTAGATTATCTTAAAACTGAATAATTTTATTGTTATTAAGATATACCTGAATTATTAAGTGATATTTTTAATTTACGAGTAGAATCTTATCTAGATTCCACTTTTTATATATCAAACTAATTGATTTTTTATTCTTATGAAATATATTAATATTTTTCTAATTATTTTTTTAATTCTTCATATTCTATCAATTATTATTTTAAATCAATTATTTCTTAATCTCTATCTTTTATATCTGTTTAATAACGAAATTCTAAATTTTTCAATTACTCTTATAATTAAGCATTCTCAATTGATTCTCTAAAAATTTATTATCTTGATTTAGTTATAGAATTTTAAAATTATTAATTCTCCTCTAATTATTTTTATATTGAGACTAATCTTTTAATTTCTTTTTCTTTAATAATCAATTAAGTTTTTAAAGATTCAATTTATCCATTTTAAAAATATCTCTCTGTTTTCATAGTAGTATTTTCTGATTTAAGTTCATGGTTCTTTTATGATAATTTCTAAATTATTTTTTCTTGCTTTTAATATAGATCATCTATTTTAAAAGTTTAATTTTCTTATAATTATTCCTTTAAATCTTTTATCTCCTATTATTATAAGAGTACTTATTATTAATAATTAAATAATTCAACCTAAGATCATAAAATGAATAATACTTGCAATTCTTAATATTTAGTGACATTAATCATCTTTTTATATTCTTCTATTTATTTGATTTTTTCACTTAAATCTGATTCTAATTTTTTCAGTTACTATTTTAGGGAAATTAAAAATGTTTTGCTATTATCAAACATCAGATTTTGAGTAGAGTCTCTCTATTCTTAAATCAATGAATACTTATAGTTATTAATATTTTAATTTCCAAACTTAAACTTCATCAGATAAAGAGTTGATCTAGGATTTCAATTAATTATTCTAATGACTCAAAGTTTCAGGATCTATTTTATTTGGATTTATTAGATTATTATGAGATTTATGATTTTTATTAGATTATATTCTAATTATTTTCACATTATCTGAACTAGACACTTTTGTACTAATGCTATAATATTTATGAGACATCAAAATTTAATAATTAATATACAAATTAAATAATAAATATTATTCAATTCAATTAATAATCTAGGATTTCTTATTAACAATCATTCTGGGTTCAGCTAAACAATTTTTAATTAAAAAATATCTAATAGGATCTACAATAAATAATTCTAAAACTAAAGTAGGTGCATAATATTGTAAACAAATAAAATTATTAATTTAATAATACATGATTCCTAAAATAAGAATAGTCATAGCACTTCCCCAAATGACATAACATATTAATTTAATAAAACAACCACTTCCATTCTTACATATAGACTATATAATGTAATAATCATATATTTTCATTATCATATATCCTCCACATGATGATCCCATAATATAATAATATTATAATTATTAAACATATAGAAGTAATACTCCACATATTTCAAAACAAATCATTTATCTAAAATAAATTTATAAAAGCATAAATATTCTTGATAATCCAATTTTATGACTGTAAAATATTTTAGCAAACAAATTACATTTCTAATTAAACTCAATTAAGTACATAATAATCCTTGGTTGGTTTTGGAATTTTACAATTCTAAATAGTAAGTGAATTTCCACTAGTCTAAAAACTAGAAATAGAATGTATTTTTGGTTGATTGAGAACTTTTTAATCTGGACTCTATCCAAAAATACTGTTTCTTTCACTATTATTGCCTGACTATCTTGATCGTACACTTTTTCTGTTTGTTGATTATACAGTCTCTATACCTTCTAAATTACCTACAATTTGTTTTCTTGAAAAAATTGTTTATGTTGTTATCTATCTCTATTTTTTAGTGATCGGTTATTTCACAGATGTTTCCTTTTAACCTTATTCAGTATCAATTTTAATTCCATTCTCATGATTATGTTATTATGAGAATATTCTTTGATTGTTAATTATTTCTTCTATCAATTAACTGTCATTCTTTTACTAAGACTGTTTCTAAACATTAGATATTAACATATGATTAAGAAAAATCACACTATTTTAAGGTGTTTAACTTTTAACCTAAGGTGTTATAGCTGCTAATTTATATTTTTTTTCTAAAAAATAGCCTATTAAGATCAAAAGGATAAAAAGGACACTCCATAAAGCAAAAAATACTATTATTAATAAGTTATGAATCATTATTAAAATTAATTTTATTATAAAAATTCCCTATAAATTTATAAATTAAAAAGACTGTTGGATTTTAATAATATCTTTATTATTACATTATTTTTATATCTTAAATGTATATTTACATCCTTATAAAAAAGTAATACACATTCATTTCTTTTAAACAAACTTCTTTATTCATTTTCATAATCAAAACTAAAATTGCTCAAAATATTAAATTTTATCAGTATATGTAACTTATATAACACTTCCTTATTTCATATTTAATTATAGATACTCATAATTTCACGGTTTTATTCTATTTTTATTCACATTTTTGGAATTACTCTTTGATAGTCTTTATAATTAAAATATTTAAAGACCAAATACTTCTTAATGATGAGATTGATCTTAATACTTATCTTATATAATTTCTAATTAATCAATTAAATAAAATAAAATTAATCATAGTAATTCTCAATTTATTACATCAATCAAATTTCTTAAAATCTACATGGTACAACTCTCTATAAACATCTTATATTGATTTATCCATTGTAGATATTAAATGTCCAGATCCTTAATGTAATGTAGGAACCTTAAATTTATTATTATATGTACTTTAGGATTCTTATCTTTAACAACATTGCACTTTTTCAATATTATTTTAGATGTCTCAACAGGATTAAATGTTTCCATTTCATTTCCTTATTTTTTGTCTTTTTCACTTCCCATATCTTCAAGTCTTGCTGGGGCCTCTTAAGATATTAATCTCTGTTTTTCAGATGATTGTAATGGTTTTTTTCTATTTTCCTCTTAAGTATGTAAAAAAGGTTAAGATCTTGCATGTTCCATTAAAGTTACTTTAATATTGTATATACAATATACATGGTAAATTATTAAACATAGTTTAGGCTGCTTAGAAATGAGTTTTATTATGTAATGATGGTAATAAATTCTTTGCAATCAATCTAGATAAATATGCTCTTCTTTCTAATGGTGACATTCCTTCTGAAAAGTTTTCTAAACTAATTATTTTTTTATGATCAATTTTCATGTTTTCTACTTATGATTATGTATGATCTTTTAAATATTATTCAATTCTAGCCAAAGCAGTTTTATCTCTATATCTGAAAATATCTCTTTTAATATCTTTAGATGGATCTCTTTCTCTAAAGGAATGTTTTCCTACTTTTAAATTTGGTAGAAAATCTAAATCCTTATTTTTTTCTTATGCTTCTAAGATTCTTTCCTTCTCATGTTTGAAACCTTTAACATAAATTTAAGGATCTCCTAAGTTTTTTGTTACATCCTCTTCTCTAAACTTATAACTTTCAGGAGGTTTATATTCATTACAAACAACAGGGTTCTCTAACATATTTATGACAAAGTTCTCAACTCTTTTTTTATAATTCTTTGACAATCTCTAATTCATATCTATTATTTATATAACTCTTCATACCTTTTCTACGTTATCTTTCTGTAACATAATCCTTTTTTATTTTATCAATATCTTTTGTAAACGCAAGTTACTTATCATATTAATATCCATTAAACATTATATTATAATATATAAGAGATTTAGAAATATATATTTTAATAATTCCATTTGTTATTAACATTCATATTTTTGAGTTTGAGTTTTGAATTTGATTTTTTATTTATTATAAGAACTCAATTGTATTTTTTTGAAGCTTTTATAATGAAATAGAGAAAATGAAATATTATTTTAATTAACTTCATTCACAATTATATTATTTTATGCTGATTGAAAATTTAGCAAATGAACTACAATGCTCAATTTGGTTAGTTATCATATCTATTATAATAGCTTAAGTTTATTTAGTGTTCCATTTGTTATTCCTTGTGGACATAGTTTTTGCCGCGATTGCATTCAAAATTATGGAAGAGCAACCAAATCTGCTAAATGTCCACTATGTAAATAACCCTTCAATCTTAACAAAATAAATCTTAATATATCATTATAAGCTGTTTTGAATGTGATGGATCATGATAATACTAAAGTGAAAGGAGATGTTAGTAGATAAAAATCAAAATCTACTAATTTTTTTATATGCACTTCAAATTTATCTGATGAATAGAAGGTAATAATATTAATCAATTAAGGAATGCATTGAAAGATTTCAGAAATAATTCAAAATAAAATCAAATTCAAACATCAATTCTAAGATTACACACTTGATTTCAGGTCCTGACAATCCAAATAAACCTTTTATAGCCAGAAGAACTTTAAAGTACTTAGAAGCATTAGTTAGAGGAATTTGGATTGTTAATATAGATTGGGTTATTGAAAGTCTTAAATGTGATACAATTTTAAGTGAGGAAGATTTTGAAATTAGAGGAGATGAATTTCCAACACTTACTCCAAAAATATCAAGAACAAGAGGTGGAATGTATGATTTTCTAAGAAATTATGAATTTGGTATTGAAGTGGGAAATATTAATAAGACCATAATAAATCAAGACTATATTGAAACATTAATATCACTTTGTGGTGGTAACATTGTAAGTCACAAGGAGAAAACTTAAAATACTATTATAATTAAAATAGTGTAAGATCCTCAAATAAATCATACACGTATAGAGTGTATTCCAATGATAGTCAATTAAAAATGGTTATTTGATAGCATTAGCAAATTCAACATGTAAAACTATTTTGGTTATTTAATAAGTAATTGAAACTAATTAATAAAATTTACGTTTTTATTGTATTATATATATATAAATTATATGTTCACAGATTTGTCGGTATACTTAATAGTCTCAATATTCTGTGTGTTAGCCATAGCTTTATTTTTATTAGGGTTTTTAGGGACAGTAAACATTATTGAATAGTTATATAGAACTTTTCAATAAAGTAAGAGGAAGATTATTAGAATTTGATTATAGATTATGGGAATTTATATGATGAATAAGAAATAGATGAATAGAATTGGAAATAAGAATTGCCTGCTTATATAGCAACATATTTATAAACTATAGAGATCAGTCTTAAAGAGTTGTACCTGAATTAGTTAATAATAACAATAATAACATCTGCAGGCTTCTTGTTGATCATAGCCGTATATATATAGCACAACTAGTTTAGTCTTGGTTAACACCCTCCGGAACTTTTTGGGGTTTCTTCATCAGTTTTTTATGGGGCACAATAATAACATGTGTCATAGCCTATTTGATTATTGCAGTTAAAATAGGTACATTACTAAAAATTCCAATTAAAGCTAGCATAGGGAAGGTGAGAATTATTTTTATATTTAGGAAGATATTCTAAAATGGATATATGGTAATGGATTCTTTACAGCTTTATTTATGGGTGGAATTATAACTTTAAATTCCTTATTTATTGTATTGATAATGAAGGCAATGTCAGTTCAATCAACAAAACCTGAAAATTATGCAATTATGGTAAGTGGTTTTCCATTAGGAATGTTGATATCTGGTATTTATTTTAGAGAAGGCATGTCAGTTACTGGCAGAGGAATTTAAGCAGCTTGTGATTTGATGATAAAGAAAGAATAATATTTTGGTGATATTGGAAATAGTTTATCATATACAACTAAAATTGCAGCAGGAATGTCTTCTTTAATGGCAGAAGTCAATTTCTTTGATTCTATGTTAGTATTGTCATTATTTGTATCAATGCCATCAATTGTATTAGTAAACTCAGTTGATTATCATTATTCAGATAATTTTATTGGCAAAATATTTGGAATTTAATTAGTATTTATTCTTAGTTGGATTGGCTAATTATTAATATCATTTTTAAGCCATATTCTCAAAAATGATGATGCTGTTGCTTTTACTGCAAATAATGTAAGATGTTAAATATTGATGTCAATATTTTTAAGTTTATGTTTTGTTATCTTTTCTTTACTATCATTACCTAAGGAATTTGAATTTGGAGATAAAGAACATTCATAAATTTATAGAGAAAAAGTACTTAATAGAGATTTTATGGGTTGTGGTTTTATTGGAATTGTTGTATCTGCCATTCTAATTATCTATTATGAATATCTAACAAGTCATGGTTATTCAGTAGCATAGAAGGTAGCACTCATTTCATACAAAGCACCTACTCTTAATATAATTTAAGCATACTCTATAGGAAATATTGGATAAATTGTACCTGCTCTTTTGATTGCTTTATCCCTTTTCATTTCTTATAAATTAGCATCCTTAGTAGGAATTCTAGGATTGTTTCTGGGATATATTATGAATATATATATTTTGATGGGAATATCAATGCTTGGTACACTTTCTGGAGATGGATTAAAATTATCATTTTTAGCCTAGTTTGCTAATAATATTAAAGATCGATTACATTCTATAACATGGGCTGCTAAAAATTATATCGTTTGGTTAAAAATTACAAATGCAGGAGCCCTCATTATTGCAGCCATTTTAATAATTGGAACTGCTATATTTTTTAGTAAAACTTTTATATTGTTATTGAATGGTTATAATCTCTTTGGTTTCTTAATTGGATTTGGATTAGCTTATTATAATAAAGGAATTACCATCTTTATTGTTAAAACTATCTGTGAAGAAGCTGTAAATATTTATATTTAAAAATTTTAGCTTTATGATGAAAAATCATTCTAATTAAGAAAAAATAAACCTGATGAAGAAATTGCACTTGAAAATTTTTCATATACATATTTTCCATTAAAAAATAGATAAGGAAATTATTATGTACTTGTCAATTTATTATCAGTATTTATTTTTTAAATAATTAGTGTACAATAGCAGTTTTGTTTACTGGAATAATTTTTGGTCATGGAGCTTCTATTTCATTGGCTATTTCTAATTTATTCATAAATGCGATCATGATGTTCCAATCCATACTTACTGGAACAGTATTAAAAAATGCTTTCATTTATAATTCTTGTATTGTTTTGATTAAAAAACTTAGATGATCAATAACAATAAGAGACATCTTAAGTCTTGAGTGTAAATTTGTATGGCGATATTTAAGGATAAACGGTTGAAGAAAGTTAAAATATCTAAAACCCATATTATATGATCTATATTATGTTAATAACTTTAGTAGGTATAGAATTATTCAAGCATGATTGATTATTGAAATTATTATAAAGTATAAATATAAGATTATTATTATTATTTATATTAAGTATATATCAAATGAATTAATTCTTATACTCTATAATTTAATTGTTTTTTATTGACTTATAAAATAAACTTAATTTTATATTATTTTATATATTAATTAAATATTTATCTTAATATATCTTAAATTTTGCCCCAAATTATTATCAGAAATCTATAATTGTATTATAACTTAATTAAGTTTAAGTGATGTTTTTAAATAAAATTAATCTATTTATTAAAACACCTAAACAAAAATTATTTATTTTAATAATATAAAAGAGAGTCATAATAATATTACTATTTAATTACATAGAAGAAATGGATATAACTTGTATTTATTCTTTGAATATATTAAGATGTTTCTATAAATATTTGAAATATAGTTTATATAAACTAATTAAAAAGTTGTAAATATATGATTAAATGATTATTAAAATAAATAGCTTTAGCTAAACTGATTTTGATTTATATGAGTATTAACATAATAGAAATTTGTATTACTCCTAAGTTTCAAATTCTTAGAACTAACTTTTCAATCAATGATATTTCATTCGATTTTATATGTTTTGTTATAATAAAATCAAGATTTTAACACTAATCCTCATTTTCAGAGTATATTAGATATGGATATTTCAGCAAAAGCATCGTTTACTATTTTCAAGAAAAAACGAACGAACATTTAGACAATTGAATCAACCGAACCTACTTCGAAGAGACAAATTTCACCATAGCATAATTAGCGTTTCTTTCAATCAAATTTTTCATCTAAAGGTAATAAAGACATTTATAATAGCCATGATTACAAACATTAATAAAGAAAAATAAAGAATCAAATAATTACTTGAAGAAAATGTGAAGTTGTTAGAGTAATGCTCTGAGAAGGATTTATAAATTGGAAGATTATAAGCTAAAATTTAGAAAAATGTAGATTTAAGAACTTAAAGAGTCTAAACTCTAAATAATTTATAAACAATTGAAAAAAAGAACTATTTCTTCGATAACTAAAACCCATAAAATATTTCAGACTTACAATAAAATGAAGATAAATAACTTTTCACTTTTTATAGTCCAAAACAAAAATAAAATTCATAAGTATTCAAACTCCCTAAAGTTTTCAGAGCATTTCCTTAGTAAAATAAATATTTTATATGATTTTTCAATTTATTATAACAAACTTGATAATAGTTTAAACTAAATTTTTTATTTTATCTGTTCAGTTCTAAGATTTTTAGATAAATATTATAAATATATTCAAAATTCTTAGACATATTTATTCCTATTAAAATCTTAGAATTATATTAAGTTAAAATTTACTTAAAATTAAATATGAATTTGAAATCTATTTCTGTAATTTTTTGTGTATTTAATCAACTATAATTCTTTAGAAAAGATTAACTCTAAATATTTATTATAATTATTACTTATTGTTCAATTTATAGTATAAATATTATAATAAATGATAAATACATAAAGTGAAGATGATGAATAACCTGTTTCAAATGTACAAGAAATTCAAAAACCTTAAAAATTTAGCTTATTTGATTTGATTGTTGGATTGTCAATATTCAGTATTCTATTTTTTCAATAATGTATGGGTGAAATATTATTCCCAATTGGATTCATTTTTTTGATGAATGGAATACTTTATAAATGCAATAGAAGAATTGATTAATTTATGATTGGTCTATTTTATGTAGTTTAATTATTTGCAGTTTGGGCATTAACATATCACGATTTCGAAGAGTGTCGAATAGGATATGTATTAGTCGTTATTTACGTAGTTGTAATATTTTGCTTCATTACAAGTAGCATGATTATATTAACATGACATCAATTATAGTCTAAAATACATATAATTAACACTATTCATTAATTTTTGTATAATATCATTATGAGCTTCTTAATATAATTATATAATTTAATATATAAATTTTTAATATCTTACTTATTATATTATATTTAGATCAAAAATTCCTTATATATATGTAATATCCATAATTAAATATAACTCTTTGATTTTAAAATTTATTTCGTCAACTTCTTAACATGTTAATCTCCATTCATCAGTCATAAAATATGATAGAACAAGAGGATATTTTTTATAATTGAAAGGACCATGATTTTGATAAGAGGGACCCTAGACCAAACCAACTTTTTTAAGAATCCAAGATTTTTTTATAAAAAGGTATATAATATGATGAAACCTATCTTTAGGTTTTTAGTTATGTATTTGTTAGTTTATGCACTTGATAATAAAAGAAAGCCTCTTCTATTATGAATATTTTGTTATAATCAATAACAACCCATGAATTATTGTGAGTTCCACTTTTATATTTATTAAAAAATATCTATTCATTCTTAAGGAGTAATTGCTATTCCAAAAAAACAAAAAAATCATCTTTGGATTCTAAGTCTACTGGTCTTGCTATAAAAGATAAATGTTGATTAACTATATCTTTTTCTTTTAATGTAAATTATTCTCAAATAGTATTAATATAGCTTTTATAAATTTTGAGGATAGCTTAATGCTCATTAAAAGTAGTATATGCTATTATACCATTACAATTGCCAATCTCATATATTACTTAGATAACAAAATTAATCAAAGGACAAGGTTCTTTCTGTCTTATTATTAATAAGTATACTATTAAATATTAATATTTTATAATATCATCACATACATAATATTAAAAATCTAGAGAAAATGTATTATTTTAAGTAGTTATCAAAAACATATAATCAACAAATAATTTAATTAATAGATTATATATGTTAATACATAGTTCATTTCTGAAAGAAAATAGTCATTAAAATTATAAATTAATCTTTTTATAAAGGTAGTTATTTCTAGAATTTATTATTATAAAGTTAAGTTTGTTCTTCAAAATTTAACTAATTAACTCATTTTATGATCTCCAATAAAATGTGGTCTTTCTCTTTGAGAATTGATTTTAGTTTTCTACTTTATGAACTCATAACATTAATTCTACTTTAAATTTTGAACTTTAAAATAGTTTCCCATTTAAAATTTATTAAATCTTAGAATTATTCTTAGTATTTAATATATCTTTCCTTTTTAATTTATTTATAATAAATTATAATCCTATTTTGTTAATAATGTACTTACAATTAATTTATTTATATATTTACAATTCAACTCCTTTTGATACTTTTTTTAAGGATAAATTCTACAAAAAACTTGTTTAAGTAGAATTAGGCTTATAGATTTTGTAATTATTTATTATATATTGAATATAATTTAAAATCAGCATCATTAATTAATAATTTATGATCTTTTTAATTCTTTGGATTTTAATCTTTAAGTAATAATTTCATCCAAATTAACACAATGAAAATCAAAAATTATATTTACTTTTTCTAATTTATTTTACAAAATAATCAATAAAAAAAATCAAATGAATCATTAAAATTGATTAATTCTGGAATCTTGTTTATAATAATATTTAAATTCTAAATTTACTAAAATAGAGAATGTTTGTAATATTAGGATAATAAGAATAGTTTATAAGGACTAATAAATATTTTATATAATAATATATTAATTTTCATTAATAAAATAAATTTAGAAGATGATTGATGAGATCTCTTTGTTTGCAAGTTTCATTTAGTTAAAAACAGAAACTCGATATCAAAGATCAAAATTTAGTGGATTATGTTTATACCCTTTTATCGTATTATCGATAGCATTTGATAGAAGTACTGTAAATATAGGAACTGTTTTGATAGCATTGATTTTAACAGCTATTTTAAAAAGTCATAATAAATTAATTTATTTCTTAAGAGTAATATAATAAAACATAGTTATAGGTTCTCTTATTATTTCCAGAGCTACTTCTTTAAAATTAAAATCATGCATTAATCAGTTCATTTTTGATTAACCAAATATATGTGCCTTACTGGCCAAGTTAAATTGTGTTTTAGATGATTTTGGTTAGGTCAGTGAATGGATTATATTTGGGATTTGGATTATTAATGTTGTCTAGATATTTTGAAATTTTAAAGAGAAGATTCTTTATATCATTTTATATTCAAGAATATGATTAACATTAGAAAGAGTATGTATTGGAAAAATTACCGATAGATATCTTCCTGATTAATAGTGAAGCGAACATTCTCTATAGTAATAATAATGTAAAATAATTTGATAATGAATTGCAAAGGAAATTGTCAAACGCGATTCGAAAGAAGAAAACAAATGAAATAACAATAAACAATAAATATTACAAATTGGAATAATATCATTCTGATTACATATTGACATAATCATAATTTAGTTGTGGAGATATTGAATTATTTATGAAGTTATCTTAATAAATAGATTAATTGTATAACTTAATATGTTAGGACTATTAGAAATGGAACAATTTAAGAGCATTTAAAGTAGTGAAAGAGAGTGATTTAAGTATATTAGGTTAATGTACCACAGATTGTAGATTATTAAAACAGTAAATAGATACCATTAATATTCTAAATCATGATTGTCAATAAATAAAATACTAATCATCATAAAAAGATGAGTTTTTTTGTAAGTAAATTGTTTGATTTAGTGAAGAACTATGTAGTGAATGTGATTGAATCAATGGTTAATCGACTTTAAGAGCATTTCAATTTAATTCAACTTGAATTTGAGGAAGGTATTCCAGAAAAACTTGTAGGAAACAAACATGGTATTCTTTTTAGTCTATATGCTTTCTTAATGAGTGCCATGCTTGTAGAATAGAAATCAGATATTTTGACTATTAATGTTAGAATTGCTCAGGTATATTTAGATAAATCAGAATATGATCTTGAGATATCTATAAGTTTTCCATGTTCTAACAAATAAATGAAATTATATTGTTAAGATGAATTTGAGAATGAAAATGAGAAATTCTTGTTAATTATGATCAATTAATGTAAATAATTACTTTCAATTGATTATAAAACTGATGGAGATAACATTATTATCTTATTAATAACAAATGTTTAATTGTGTAAAAAGAGTGATAAATCTTGTGATAATATTTAGATGGTTGATTTAACTTTTACAAAAAATGTTATTGATGTAAATCATTACTTTTGGAATGCCAAAAGATTTGCATCTCCAGCTATGACTTATGATAAATCTTTAAGATCTCCATTATAAAAATGTACAGCCAAATTTAATTATGCTGCTGATTCATTGGCTTCAACAATTAAATTATAATCAATTCCAAATTCAGCATAAGCTTCTGCTGCCAATTCAAATGCTTAATCTCTTGAAAATACATTAATTAAAAATGAAGACATAATCAAAGAAGTTGAAAATGCTTTCAAATATACTATATAATTTCCATAAATATAAGATGACATAATGAAATTACTTGAATAAACATTATAAGCTGCATATAATGAAGGTATCTTAGATCATGATAAAACTATACTTGATATTGGATATAATCATATACATTATGATAAATACAGTCAGATAAGTGTAAGATCAGATACACCATTTGTTTAAGATTATGGTGATCAATTAATTGATTAAAATGATAATGAATTTTAAAAAAGTAAATCAAAATAATTCAAAACTCCATAATTAAAACCTAGAGATTTAATAAGAATTGATAATTTGGGATAATAACTTATCCATGAATAAAATAAAAAATAGGAATAAGTAAATAGGTCTATTTAAGGAAAGAGAAATAAAGATCAAAAATAATTAAATGTTCTATTTAGTCCTTCTGTAATGAGCAAGTTTAGTAACAATTTAGTATCTAAAGTTTAAAAATCCAAAACTTAATTGCCTAATATAGATGATAATAATGGTATATATATATATATGAGATTATAAAGATTAAAAATTTCATATTCGTGTTAGAGATCATAGATTAAGAAAGTAATAAAGAAAATGGTCATGTAGAATTAGATTGGATGAATTACCAAAATAATAACCCAACATACTTTGTTTGATTCCTAATACTTAATTTATTTAAGTTGCATAAAGATTTGGCAATAGTCTTTATGGAGATTAAATGATTGGTGAACCAATTATTACTTATTCAGTTTCAGAATTGATTAAGATCTATAAATAGCATTTTAATGAAGGAAAATAATTTTGCTTTATTTTAATATACATTCATAAAATTAGTGAAATAGAAGAATTGAGTATTGCTTTATAAAGTAATGAAAATTAATGGTCTCAAGATCCTGATTTCAAAAAAACAGTTATGATAGGAGTTTACAATTAAACTTAATTGAACAAAAATCTTTATTAATTTCTTAAATATACTATTCCACTTAGTTAGGATGCAGAATAATTAGCTAAATCAAAAGAATGGATAGCAGAAATAAGTAAATGATTATAAATTATTATTAAAATTAAGTAATTAATAATGTCTCACCACCATCAAAAGTATTATGAAAGACCAGGTAATTCATTCATTTTAATATAAGATGGATATGTATACTCACAAGAAGAATTAGATGCTCATAGAATACCTTTACCCTTTAGAGATAGATGTGTTAATTTTTATGTCCCATTCTTCAAGTGCTAATAAATTAAAACAGACAATTTATTCAAAACAGCTCTTGCAGCTATTGATTAAACATTAGATCATTGGTATTTCATTACTTCTATTATTAGGGGTGGAGAATGTTACAAAGAAAAAAGAGATTATCTAAATTGTGCTAAAGCAGCGTATATTCTTTATCAAATTATATTTCAGTTATCAATATTCCTTAGCAGTACCTGTCTAAAATATTTATACTGCTAATCCATGGTATGCTAGTCAAGAAGGAGTTTCAGCCGAATTAGAAAAAAATCATTTTAGTTCACCAGTCTTATATTGACAAAATAATCAAAATTTAGTACAAAATAAAACATTATTATTATTTACATGCATTATTCACTTGTAGAAGGATCTTAATAAACAGATTCCATTCATTATCCTTCTAAAATTCATGTTAGATATCCTTCTTAATTACATATGGGTTCTCCTAGAATAATTCTTATGCAAAATCACTTCCCTGTTGTGAAACCTATAATTGTAAGAAAATCTTAATAAGGATCAAACTTAAAATAAATTAAAAACACTTACTACACTAATCGATAACCAGTCAAAACACTATGTAATGAATAATTAGAAATACCAAAACAAGAGAAAATATTAAAAGAAAAAAATAAAAAATTATAACTGAGGAAAAATATGACCAGAAAATTATTGAAAATTACTGAGTATCTAGCTTCCTACAGAAAACCCTGAAAATATCTTCCTATGATTATAAATATGATAATAATTCTTTAACATTATATCATCAATTATAATACCTATAATACCTATTCATTCAATAAAACCAGTATTTTTTAAATATTCAATATATATATATGAGTTTTTTCCATTATACAATTAAAATAGAACAAATTTAAAAGACATAAATTAGAAGAGATTGATATTATTTTTATTTTTCAAAAATATATAATTTTCCAAATTTTTCAATTGGATTCTCTTAATTCTGTAATAAATCATCTAATATACTTAGGTTTATGACTACTATATTAATATTTTATATAATATAATCAAGAATATATATTGATTTATTAAAATAATAGAAAAATCAAAATTTTTGAATAGATTTTCAAATAAATTATAATTTAATTTCTCAATCTGATCAAAGCAAATTAAGTTTTACAACTTAGAATTTTTTTGTTTTATTGAAGTGTTATATAAATATAAGATAGAGAAGATATATAATGTAACAAGTATAGTTTTAATTTAAATCAAATAAATGAAAGCAATAAATAATCTATATTTATTTCAATAGAGTTACAATTAGATTATATTAATTAATAATAATTATAGATTATATTATAATTAAATATATGATAAAAATCTTATCATCTTCTTAAAGAGTTCTCAACTCTGTTACATGTTTCATCCAATAATCTAAGCATAGTTTCTTCTGTAGATTCTCTTTAAACTTTCTCTTCTTATAACTATAAATTTAAAATATTATTCATCTCATCTATCATTCTATACATTTAAGATTGAGATTCTTGTCTTTATCTTTTCTCCTTAGTTAATGTCTCTTATATTTAAAATACAGATTCTCCAAATCTTCTAATTAACTCTTAACAAGCAGCTTCTCTATTAATTATTTATTATTAAATATTACCTTTCTCTTCTTTCATTTTATACATCCTCTGCTAAGTTTAAGACTCTTTCTCCAATTTCATTAGAATATTATTCTTCTGTTTCTTCTCTCATTTTCTTTTATTTAGCTAATTCCAATCTAAATTAATATGATTTTTCATCAATTAATCTAGCCACTTTCAATTCTGATTCTCTTCTTAATGTTTTATCTTTTTACAATTCTTTAACTATATTCTACTCTAAACCTTTAATATCTCTCTACTTAAAATTATCATCCCTTGACTATAATATAAATTTGAATTTAAACATCTCTAATTATTTTTTCGTTAGTTAATCCATCTTCTATTTTACTCAATTGATCTTAAATTATTTTGAGTCTGCTTAAATCATTTTAATAAGCCTTTTAAAATTTCTCATCAAAAAGCTTGAGCTTTGATTCATAAGCTTCCTTTTTTAAGGTTTTATCCTCTTCAATCTGTAATCCAGATAACTTTTCACTTAACTAAGCAATCTTAGCTCTGCTAGGAGATACTATAAGGTTAAAATAATCACTTACAATTCCTATCAGTAATTGAAGATTGTGGAGCAATCACACTTTTCAAATTTTTTGTTTAAGGTGATTAATATAACGAGCTATTTAACATTAATTATTTATTAATTAAAACTAAATGATAGCTTTAATTTATTTCATAATAATTTCAATCTAAATAAATATATTTATATAATTATTAAAAACTCTAAAGAGTATAATAGCATTATTATGATTTTAGTCAGCAAATTTATACTTTATATTATATAATTGAATAAATAATAATTTGAAATATTTAAGGATTATTTTGGAATAAAAAAATCATAAGATTTATGTTATTTATCTTTATAAAAGGATAATACTAAGGTCTAATATGTATTTGACATTCATATAATTAAAAATATATATTATAGTAATTTGATTAAATAAGAGATATATAAACATGAATAAAGAGATATTATAATAAAGTAGTGAAATTTAACATAGCATTATTCTTCATAATTTATCATCAAATGATAAAATAACATAATATTAACTATTTTAAATTCTAATATATTAATTTAGATAAGCATATTAATACAATAAATAAAACAAAAATGATGTTAGTTTATATCTTTTATTTATAAATATTATGATCTAAGAAATCAATATTTTAATAACTGATAATACCTTTTTATTTGTATAAATATTTTTATTATTTAAAATGGCAGACAACGAAAATAATGATGATTAAGTGAATTTGGAGGAAGATCCAATGGCATTCTTACCAGCAGATCATGTATTTTGACTAATGTGATATAATTAGCATTTGCTGGCTCGTTTGCAAATTGCATTACAAAAATAATTGAATGATGAACATTCAAGAGTAGAATTAGAACTTGTTGAAGTGGAAGATTAATTAAAAAAGCTTGATAGAGAAAAGGAAGATATTGGTATATGAAATTATTAATATATTAGGTGTTAGATTATATGGAGTTTAATAATAGTTAGCAGAGAATTAATAAAATTTTGAAAAAGCACATGAAAACTTTAATTTTGTCTAAAAGTTGAGAATAGAGAGTGAGCAAAAACTTAAAACAATTAATGACTTACACTTATAAAAAAAGAAAGAAGTAGATGAATTAAGAAAAAAATATCTAAAAGCTCAAGATGAATTATCGAAACTTACAAAAACTTTACATACGATTGAGAATTATAATAATTAAATGCAAGCAGAAATTCAATAGACAAGAAGAATTGTCTATAGAGGAGAAGAAAATGTGCAAGCATTAGAGAAGGATAAGAAAAAATAAGATTACTTAATTGATTAAATGAATGAAGAAATTAAGAGATTAACAGAATAAAAGACAATATTGATGGATTAATTGATATCTTAAAGTAAAGAGACAGAAAATGCAAGACAAACTATGAAGGATGCTTAAGATGAGATGGAAAAGATTATTGCATCTAAAAAGAACCTTATGGAAAGATGGTAAAAGAGTTTAGTAAGAATGTAGAGAATGGACAATGCATTATAAGAAATTAGAGAAGCTTATAAGTATATTTATATATAAATATTATAATAGAAAAGAATCAGAAGTAAATATTTAATTAGGAACTGAATTATAAGGAATTAATAATGAAATTAGAAAAGAAAATACTAGATCTGAAGATTTGATTGCTATGAAAAGAAAATTAGAAAATTAAAAATTGAATTTAGAAAATAGAAGATAGGAGTTACTTGAAGAATAAGCAAAACTTAATGCTTAAGTGTTATTATTAAATGAATCACTTAAATAAACAGAAAATGAAACAAAAAAAACTGATAATGAATAAAGAAATGTAGATGAATAAATGAAATTAATTGAAACTAATATTATGAAATTACATACTGAAACTAAAAGTTTATTAGAAGATTTATTAGATTCAAAGAGTGAAAATACTACTATTGAAAAAACTGCATTAAATTTATTAAAATAGGCTCAAATTATATAATCTGAAATTGAAGAAAAGGAAATTGAATTAGAAAATCTTAATAATGAAATTGCAAGAGTTAAAATTGATTAATTGAATACAGAATAATAAATTGAATAATTAAAAATAAAAAAGGCTGCTGTTATTAAAGAAAGAGATGATAAGAAAATTACAGTTGCTACTTATGAAGTATAAATTAAATAAGGTCATGAATTAAATGAAAAAAAATAACATGAAGTTGGTAGATTAAATAAAGTACATGATGAATTAACAAACAATTCTTCAGAAGTTAGTAGAGGACCTTTAGAAGCAACAAAGTCTAATCTAAAAAGATAATTTGATGAAATGATTTAATAATGTGAAGCAATGCATAGAGATTGGATAAAGAAGCAAACTTAATTGGTTGAAAAAACTAAAGAGTATGAAACATGTTCAACAGAGGTTGATGAATTATCAAATAAATAAGTTATTTTAGAAAATAAAAAAATGAGATTAAATTCATAATATAAATCTCATGAAAGAGAAATAAGAGAAATCAAAAATAGTCTTAAAAATTTATAGAATGATATGAATAAATTAAATGATGATTTAGCTAGATATTAATTTAAATAAGAAAAATTAACAAATGAAAATAATCATATTTAGAGTGAATTCTTAGAGAAATTAAAAGAATTAGAAAAGGAAGCAGTAAGATATGAAGTCTAAATTGATAAATTAAAGGATAGCAAAGCAGATTTATTAAATGATATAATGGAAGCAGAAAAATAAATATTATTATGGGAAAGAAAGATTTAATTGGAAAAAGAAATGTAAGAAGCTTTAGATCCAAATGTAGGACAAAGTGAATTAAAACTATTATAAAAAGAAATACATAAAATGGAATTAAGATAAAAAGAATAAAAGAAGAGTTAAGAATAAATTATAAAAGAAATGGAAAGAACTGTATTTAAGAGAGAAACTATCTAATTAAAATATATAAACAAAGATAAATCATCATCATCAGGACCCAAAGAACTTAAACTTCCTCCTGTTGGAGCAAGTAATAATACAACTTAAGTTAATAAATAAATCTAAACATTAAAGAATACATTGAATTAAACATTAATGAATGGATAAAAGATTGAATAAGGTATTAGAGCATAAGAAGAATAACTAGAAAATGTAAATATTTATTAATTATATATATTTAGCTTCAACAATAAATCTAAGAGGCTTCATAAAAGTAATAATAAATGGAATAAGAGACATATGAAAACAAATAAAAATTATATTATGCTAAAAATGAAAAACTTTTGAATGTATTCAAAATAAGTTAATTATAATCTTAAGCTAAAAAATATGAGGAATTATTAAATAATCCAAAATTACCTTTTCCTGAATAATAAATTAGATAGTAAATTTCATTTAAATAATTATTAGAAAACTTGAAGAATAAAAGAATTTCACCAATAATATTAAAAGTGCATTAAACAAACTTGTTGATGAATAACCATAATTATAAGAGATCTTAACTCCATTGTTAGAATTATGAAATATATGAATTTAAATATTAATCAGATAGAACAATATTTAATTATTATTATCATATTTTATATACTATCTAAACTGTAATTTAATATATTAATATATATTTAATATGTTATTTAATAATTATAAATATTTTAATTTGTGAAATGGCAAAGGATAAAATACTTTCTGCTAAACTTAAGTAATAAGAATTTAAAACCAAATCAACTTAATTGAAGACATAAAAAATAGCTTAATTACTTGAGCCATAGTTTTAGTAGAGTGTAGAAATAGATGATGAAAGACCATTATTAAAAATTTCTAATTTTAAGGATTATTTACCAGAAGAGAATGTGCAAAATGTAGAACTTATATTGATTAAACAAGATTATCAATCTAAAATTAAAATAAGGACCATATAAACTTTCAGTGACACCTTAAACAACTTATTTGGCAGGAGAATCTGGTCACATAGCTGCTTTTAATTGGAGACACAAATAATTGGAATGTGAATTTGATGTTAAAGAGAAATGCTATGACATAGTTTCTATTGCATAAAGAAATTTTGCAGTAGCCTAAAAAAGTTGCATCTTTATTTACGATCCAAAAGGTGTTGAAGTTCATAAAATTCGTGAATGCAAATAAGCCACAAAATTAGAGTACTTGCCCTATCACTTTTTATTGGCTGCACTCAATTAAAATGGATAATTGACTTATTAAGATATAACATAAGGAAAAATAATATCTAGTAAAATATTTTATGATTATTTAGCCTATAGAACTACACCATCTCCTTTATGTTTAAAATAAAATCATAACAATGCAATATTAGGTATAGGAGATCAAATGGGAGTAGTAAGAATGTATGCTCCAAATACTGGGACATCACTTACATCAATGTTATGTCATAAAGGAGGATTAATGTCTATGACTTTCTCTAGAGATGGCAATCATTTAATTACAAGTGGATCAGAAGGAACAATTAAAGTTTGGGATCTAAGAACTTAAAAATTATAATCTTAAATTGGAGTCAATGCAACTAATTTAGCATTAAGTGATAAAGGTGTTTTAGCAGCAGGGAGAGGAACAGATATTGTTATGTGGAAAAACTGTTTGATTGGAGACTTAAAAACACCCTATTTAAGATATAAAGCTTCATCTATGATTTGTGATATTGACTTTATTAAGCATGAAGATTATTTATCAATGAGCACTTTTGATAGTTATGAACAAACAGTAGTACCAGAAAGTGGAGAACCATTTTTTGATACTTATGAACAACCAGATTTATAGAATAAAAAATAAAGGTTAGAGACAAATGTAAAATAATTAATTGAAAAAGTAAAATATTAATGAAATTAATTTTATAGTTACCTCCAGAATCTATATCTCTTTAATCATATAGGATTGGAACAATAGATAGAACTTCAAAAATTATAATCGAAAAAGAATAAAAAAAATAAATTGAAGAATAGGCAAATAAGAAAATAAAGAAACAAAAGAAAAAAATGAGAGGAAGGTATAGAATTTATTTGTAATTTTTTTAGAAATAAAATTGGTAAAAGAGAGAAACTAAAGGAATTAGAACGAGATTAGAAATAATAAGTTAAATGGTAAGAAATGTTATCAGATGCTCTAAGAGTTAAGAGAGCTGAGAAAGAAAAGAAAAAGATTGAAACTAAATTATTAGATAGATTAGAATAGATGTCTAGTAAAGAATTTATTAGAGTGGTTTCATGAATTTGTATAATAGAAAACTAAATATTTTTAATTATTAAAATATCCTAATTATTTCATTATAATAAATGATAGCATTTTAATTAAAAGATGTGGATAAAGGTTTGATCCCTGATAGAGTGATATAAGAAATTATTAGCAGATTGCCAAAAGAGTCAGTTGAAAAAGCTAAATACTTCTCTTAATTATTTGATTAGGCTACACAAATTCTGACAGATGAAGGAAATGATGAATTTGTAAAAATTGAAAAAGCTATAATTAATGATGATTTAAGAAATTAAGTTTGGGAAGTTAATTTTAGAGGAGAAGAAAATACAGAATATTAAGATAAAAAAATTCTAGGTATTATACATTTTCAATTTTTCTAAGGTTATTTGATTCTACCTAATGATTATCCTACAGCTGCTCCTAAATTCTATTTTTGGTTTTTCAAAGATAATTCTAAAATAATTCATGAAAATATCTATGGAGGTTTTAATAATAAATATTTTTAGATGGATTACTTTGTATGCCTATGGTGACAAATAATTGGAAAGGCAATGAAGGATTAACATAAGTTTTGATGACTATAAGAGATATTTTCAATCATCCAAATGATAAAGATCCAGCTAATCCTATTTTTACAAAGGCACCTAATGTTGAAAAAAATAGAAGAAGAAAAACATAATCAGAATTATTAGAAGACTGGGAATGATCTAATTATTTTAAATATATATTATGGTATATATCTATAATTTTTAGATGTATTTTTATTATATTAAGTATATAATCTAAGAAATATATATTAAATTTATTCTATTAATAGTTTATTATTAAGAATTGGAAATAAGATTAATTATAATGAAGAAAAGATTTATCTTGAAGTCTTTAATAATTAAAATTACAATGAATTAATTGTAATCAAAAAATGACATTTAAATAGAATGAAAAATTAGATTAATTATTTAAATAATAAAATATGTAATAAATTTAGGAAGAGTTCGCCAACTTAAAGTTAGATTCAAATATAACTGGCTTTATTCATTGTGATGATTTTGATAAACACTTTTCAAATAAATAACATTATGAAAATCCAAAGCGAACTTAATCCATAGATAAAACCATTTAAAATTATTTAGCATAACATGATGTAAAGAAGTAAGTAGAATAAATGTCATAGTTTAATTAATGGTATTTAAATTTGTTTATGATTTAAGTGAGATCGAATATTTAAGATTAGTTTATGATTAAGATTATATAGATTTTGTAGAAGGATTATTTGAAGATATAGGTGATCAAAAGAATACAAAAGAGGTTGTACATTTAAGTGATACTTATCTATGCAAAACATCAGCTTTTACTGCTAGAAAATGTGTATAAGCTGTATTAGAAGGAGTTGATAAAATATTAACAAAGGAATGGAGGAATGCATTTTGCAGTGTTAGACCTCCTGGTCATCATAGTGGACATAAATCTAAACCAACAGGTTTTTGTATTTATAATAATGTTGCTATTGCTGCAAAATATGCAAGATAAAAACATTAAGTCAATAAAATTGTAATATTTGATTGGGATGTTCATCATTGTGATGGAACAGAATCTGTATTTTATGAAGATCCAAATACTTTAGTCATTTCTATTCATAGATATGATCAAGGTAACTTTTACCCTAGAAGTGGAGATCCTGAAAAAATAGGAGGAAAAAATGCAGAATTTAAAAATGTTAACGTTGGATGGAATGTAACTGATGATGGACCTGCTCCAGGTTATGATGACTATGTCTATGCATTTGATAGATTATTAGGTCCAATAATCAAAGAATTTTCACCAGATTTCATTATTATAAGTGCTGGTTATGATTCAGCTAAAGGAGATCCTCTTGGTTGTATTGATAATACTCCATAAGGATATTAATATATTACTGAAAAGTTATCCTAAATTTGTCCTAGAGTCTTGGCTGTTTTGGAAGGAGGTTATAATTTAGATGTCACTGCAAATTGTGCATTAGCAACTCTTAAATAATTAATGGGAATACCTTAAGAGTTTCCAGCCAATATTGAACCTTGTAAATGTGGAATTAGTGCAGTAACAACTACTGTGGATAAACATAAGGAATTTTGGACTTGTCTTACTTCAAATGATTTGATTGAATATTAAAAAAGATTTATCGGATAAGCAGCTGATGTTATTACAGGAGGACATTTATAATCATTTTAAATTAAAGATGATCTAATTATTAAGACTACAAAAAAAGGGGAATTCTAATTCTATTCAACACTAAATGATAAAACTAATCCATTCTATGAAGAAAATCAAAGACTTATCAAATTTATGCCTAAATTGATTTCTCTTGATGAAAAGGCTTGTTCTATTACTATGGTATTAATATATCATTATTATATTATAGGAAAATTTATCATATGGATTAGAAAATGGATCTATTATAGATTTAAAAATAGGTTATAAAACATATAATCCAAATGGTCCAGCAATAAAAAGAGAAAAAGAACTTAAAAAAGCTGCTCAATGTGATTAGAAATATATGGGTTTTAGAGTTGCTGGAATTAAAATTAGAGATTAGATTGGAGCATTAACTGTTAATAAGAATGGATCAGATGCTTATAAATGGATAAGAAATGATAAATAAATGAGAGAAATTATTGAATAGGTTTTCTAATCAAATCTAGTTGAAGAACCTAATAAAGAGGCACTCCAAGGATGTATTAAATTTATCTAAGAATTAATTGAAGTACTTTAAACTAGTAAGAGGTAAAATATAATATTTAATTTAGAATATTTCGAAATACTTCTATTCTTATTATAGTAGATAACATGGCCAAAAAGTATAGAATCAAATGGATTGATTTTAATTATGTTATGAAATTATCAGATGATTGTGAAAATCCATAAGCATAAGTAGATGATAATATAATAGGAGGACTTAAATATTTGACATCTATGTTAAGATAGATAGATTCAAAATGATTCCATTAAAATATTATTAAAAAAGAAAGTTATTAAAACAAGCTTTCTTAAATTATTAATATTTATCATAGATAATATATTAATTTCTCGAGATTTTCTCTTTATTATCCTATTATAATAAGATATAATGTTTAATTAAGAATATTAATTGAATGGATAATATTTTAAAAATAATTTAATGATCAACTTTAATGATTACTTTAATTAATTTCAATCCTGCAGATAGAAATTGTTTTATTGATAGCCCTAGGTCAATTCAAGTTATTAGACAAAGAGGTATTGCTTAAAATGAATTATTTTGCATTAATAAAGAATAACTTTAAGCAATGGCAAAAAAAGAGAAATCATTAACAAATGAGAATTTAGATGATTTTCATAAACATTTTGAATATCGAAGATAATAAAAAGTCTATACTTTAGTAAAAGATAGAGAAGGATTAATTGAGAAAGAAAAAAGAAATAAGATTGAATAAAGTACATATAGTTTGAAACTGCTTAGACCAGCTAGTAGTACAACTACATCTAAATTTATGGATTAAGTTCAGAAGAGAAAATAAATGGAGGAACAAAGACAAAGGCATTTATAAGAGATGATGTTAAAGAGAGAGGAATAAACATAAATAAGAGAAGAGAAGATGTAATTATATGAAGAAAAGAGAAAGAGGATATAAGAGGAAAAGTAATTAGAGTTTTAAGAGAAATAAGAAAATATTACTAAATAAAAAAGATAAAAGGAATTAGAAGAATAAAAAAAAAATAAATAATTATAATAAGTCTATTTTGAAAGAGAATAAGAACGTAAAATGTAATTAGAATTTGAAGAGTAATAAAGAAGGGATGAAGCAGCAATTAGAGAATAATAACAAAGGGAATTAAAACAATAATTAGAAAGAGAAAAAAAAATGAAAGATAAATAGAAAGAGTAAGAATATTTGATAAGAAAATAAGAAGAGGAAGAATAAGAACTTAAAAGATAAATATTCTTTAAATAATAATAAGAATAAAAAAAAGGAGTTGCTTAAAAAAGAGCATTATCTGCTAAAGAAAGATAAAGAGAAGCTTAGAAAAGTTAAATTGAAGGTTTGAAGAAATTAAGAGAGGATTATTATAAAAAAGAAGAAAAAATTGTTGAGAAGTAATATAAATATTAAGAATTATAAAAAGAAAGATAATTAACTATAGAAGAGAAAAACAGAATTAAAAATTAAAAAATTAAATATACAGCTAAATTAAAAGAGCATGAATAAGAAGAAGTAAGGAGAGAATTTATGGAAAAGGAAATGGATATTTAATTAAGATTGTAATAGAGAAGTTAATCAAAGTCTAAAGAATAATATATGTAAGAAGAAGCAGATAGAAGAACTAAACATAGAGAAAAAGTAAAGAAAATGAATATGTTATAATTGGAAGAAAAAAGAAATATTTATTTAAGAAAGATTGAAGAATAAGATGAAAAGGTATTATATTGATAATAATTTTAGATTGAAAAAGTAAAAAATGAATAAGAAATCACCTTATAATAACAAGCATATATGAATTTGAAAAAAAAAGTTGATTAACAAGAAGCTATAAAACATTAAAAGTAGTTAGAAGAATATAAAAGAGAGAAAATTAGAGAAAAATTAAAGTAAGTAGATATGAGAATGGATTAAAAGAAGGAAGAGTAAAGAGAATTAGATAGATTAAGAGAACAAGCAAATAGAATAGAGATGATGGGAAGAAAATAATGATTTTATATTGAACTTACATTATTGATAATAAATACTCCAAGCATTTATTAAATATTGTAAAAATAAATTCAAATTTAATTTATATTCATATTTCTAAATGATGGAGGCATTTTATATTAGAAAAATAGATTAATATTTTGATTAAATTCAATTTTAGAAATAAATTAAAAATAAAATTACAATTAAAATAATTTTATTATTTATTGATTTGACATACCTTAAACATGCCCTTAATAAAATAGCTTTACTTTTCTGAAATAGATCCATAAACTATTTAATAGAAATCCATTCTTTACTTTATTTAAGGCTCAATAAAATTATTCTTCTTTAGTTGCTTCAGATTTAACAACTTACATTTAAATTTAAGTTAAATTATTTATAATTTTTAATTATGACAATAACTCAATATGGTCTAAATCCTCCATAGTTTACTGGATAGGGGTTGATATTGGAGTAATTATAAGATGGAATATAAGATTATGCTGATCTAACTCTTGAATATTATAATGGCTGTTGGTTAAAAGATTAAATGGCAGGTTATTAGACATAAGATTAATAAACTTGTTATTGAATGTATTAAGTTGGTTATGGTATGTATTATTAAACAAATGATTATTAGATTTCTACTTATTATGGCTAAGAATAAAAAAATGATATACTCTTTAAATTTCTCTTTCTACTGCTTCATATTCTACTCTAGGTACACTTTTTGTTATAGGAATGTATTCTGTTTATTATTCATAAACAGTTCTTGGTATATATTCAGTTTAGTATTCAATGGGATAATAATCTGTCACATATTTGGTTTTTGGTACTTAAACTTAGACTGTTTCAGTCTCCATCTCAACAACTTATCTTTAAAATTCTTTGTATTAAATTCTTGATTCTCCTCGAATAGTTTATTGAACAGGTTAAGACATCACTTATTAAACAACTGCAGGTTGAGCAATATAAGATTATTGCATAACTGGTTGAACTGCCATACGTGGTACTACAGATTATGTAAGAGGGGAACTATATTGGACTGGAGCATAAGATCCTCTTTAGAGATATTAGTTAGGATATGCAATAGGTTATCCCATAGGAAGGCTGTATGGATTGTATCCAGGGTAATAGGACATTATTTTTTGGTTATTTTTAATAATGAAATTTAAGGAAATGAGATTTGGTTTTAAATTTGGAACAAGATACTTTTATAATCTTTTTAATTAAATAAATTTTTATATATTAAACATAACATTAATTATAATTAAAATTTGATTTGTAATTATAAAATTTGTCTCTATATTTACTATTTTTTTATATATTAATAAATAATTATGAGTAAATATCATTGTTATACTAAAGGATTGGAATAGAATTAATTAATTAATTTAAACTTATTTGTAAATAAATAATAATTAAAATATTATAGTAAATAATAATTCTATTTTTGATCATTTAAAAGTAAGAGATTTTGGATAAATTAGTGCTTTTCTTCTTTCAAATTTTCTAAATGGACCTTAAATAAATTTAATTATTACTGATTTATTTATTATCACTTTTTTCATCATCAGAATCTTTAATCTTTCTATTTTGATAACTTTCAGCTCTTTATTTTAATAAATCTTTTTTAAATAGATAAATAAATTCAAGAGGAAAGAGTAAATATTTACTTAATCTTTTGATGATATCTAAATAAAGTCTTGAATGTTCATATTTGCAATTTAATTATTCAATAACATTACTAATATTCCAAAATCTATCAAATTTTGTGAATTTTATAACTTTCTCAAAATTTCCTATTCCTATATCTGCTTAACTCTAATTTTCAAGAGTTTTATATAAAATAAATAATTCTTTTTATTATTTTTAAGGGTATTTTTGTATATTGATCATTTTTAATTAAAGTTCTTTTAATATATCAGGTTCTTTAATAAATGGTGAGATATCTTGATTACGAAATGTTAATGAGAGATTATTACAAAATTTATCATAAGTTCTTACTTAACTAGTTTTTATAGTTTCAAGTAAATAATTTTATTTCTATGGTCGATATACTTCATTATCTTTTGGAGATTCAAATATTTTTTAACTAGAATTTAATGGTTTTATTAATGCTTCATAAGTAAGTTCTGGGAAATATTATTCAATTTCTCTTTCATATTCCTATTAGATTAATTTACAAGATGCATCTAAACATACTTATTGAATCAAAGTCTGAAATTTTTAAAATCTATTTGATCTTTTAATTTTAATTCTTGGTTGATTATCAACTAATAAATAAGTCTTAATTGATTTCTCTTTATCTGCAACATAATGTACTAATTTGCATTATTCAATTGAATGTTTTGTACTTTTACATATATAACAAAAATGAAATTTGGTAATCTATTTCTTAATCTAAATCTTTTCAAAGTCACTCTTACTTTTTTTAATAGCATCATTTAAAATTTAATATGGGATGCATAAAATACTTGTGTAAGTAGTTGTTTAATAAATAATATCAAGATTATATTGATTATTTATATATTCTTAAAATCCAAATTAATCAAAGTCTTTTAAATCAGAGATTTTAGTCTATCATAAATATTTCATAAATACTTTATTTTAAAGTACTTCAATATTTCCTCTTTCAATAACAAATACTCCATTATTAGATGGAGTAATTTAAATTATTGTTCCTGGTTAATAAGATGTAAACTAAACTCTTTAAATTATATATTAAATTGTAGATTTTGCAAAATGTTACTTAAAAAATGTACATTTATTTACAAGTTATTTAGCCTATTCTAATTTAAGATGATATTATAATTCATCAGGTAATTCCTTTATTAATAATTATTATTCATTTTTCTTTTGAATTATGTCTTATTCCCAATAGAAAGTACAAAATTCTCTAATCCTTAAATATATTATAAGATTACTTATATTGCAATTACTAACTGATATTCTTATCCTTTAAAAATTCATTCATGCAAGTCATCTTCTATCTGAATATCTCATTCTTCTCTTTAAGTAAAGTAAGGATTGCTCCAATAGTATTTACAGAATAAGATAATTACAAAGTAGATAAAAACATATAACAAATACAAAACACTTTCTCTAATGAATTCTATGGATTAATATCACCATATCCAACAGTAAACATGGTTACACTCATAAAATAAAATGCTTCTAAATATTGTACTTCCCAACTTTCAAGAAATACTTTATAAATCCAACTTTAATGATGTTATGTTAATTAATTCATTCCAATAATTAACCTAATTTTATTATTATTTATACCATACACATGAACATAAATGTTATATTAATAGAATTAATCCTACTAATTTTATTAAATCTATAACAGATGACATTTCCTTATTAGGTTTATAGTAATATTATATATTGTTCATAAATTTAACTACATTCTTAATTTATATCAAAAATAATATTAAAAGTAATTTAATCCAACCATTTTCATCCAAAATTGAATAATTAAATTCAGGATCACTAAATCTAATTGATAAATAAATTCCAATAAATATACTACAAACTTCAAATAAATTACTTAATTTTATTTATCTTTTAATTAACAGATAGCGATTATCAACAGGATATCCTTTATCATATACAATTGTAATACACCTTAAAAATAGATCTATTAATAATAGAATACTTGAAAAGAGAATCATTATTCTATTATTATATTCTAATTGTTGATTTTAAAATACCATTATTATTGGAATCCAAATTATCAAATAAATTCTTATTAAATTCAATAATATATCCCAAATAAATAGTTTTTAACTTTCAGGTTCTATTAATGGTATTTATTAATATTGATAATGAAGATATTCAACTAATCTTTTTTTAAATTTTCTTAATTATAAACGCCATCTAAATTAAAAATCAATATCTCTTAAATTTTGTTAAACAAAATGTTTAGTAGTTTATTTTTTTGTTTATAGATTATTATTGAAAAATGATGCCTTATCATTAATCATATTAAATTATTCAATTGAAAACTTTGAACATGGTTTTATGAGTGAAATTAGTCTATTGGCAAATTTCATAGAATGGCAATAAATAAGTAATTTTGAAAATTGTTTTTATCTAATTATTGTAGTAATCATTTAATTCTTATCTGATAGATTCTAAGATGATAAAGAGTCTTTTCTTTTTTAGAATGACTCTTAAGCAAATGAACTATCAAATTTCAATAAAGTTTATTTATTTGATGAACTTATTAATTGTTCAGCCTAAGGACTTCTTATGATTGAATGATCAAGGCTTCTTTCCATTTCTAATCCACTCTCTTAGATAATTAATTCACATTTATTATTCATATTGTTAAATTAATAATAAATTCAAATATATATTTAGATGACAAATCTCTATATTTTTATTATATACTTTTTCCAATCAAATCCTATACTTATTCCTTGGTTGTAAAATAATGTCTTTTATTTTTGATATTGAATAAAAAATTTCAAATTATTTAGAATAATTCTTAATTTTTAGAATTTATTATATTTATTACAAGAGTTTATAGATGCAAGATCATTTTCTTTTACGAGTAATGAATTTAGAATAAGCACTAAAATAAGAATGGGATTCTTCTTATTGGATTTGGGGTTTATTGATATTCTTATGTTTAATGGGTTAAGTACTTTGTGTTTACATGCTTGCTAAACCTGACACACCAAAGGAAGATTCTGATTATCATATTTAGGAATAAACACCATAAATAGATAATGAAAATTAACCTGAATAAGAAAAGCTTTTGCAGACTAATGATTAATAATAATGAAAAACGATAAAAATAAATAATTGATTGCCTTTATAAATATAATTTTTTTAATTTTCCTGAAACTTATATATTAGAATTTTAGAAAGTCATCATCTTATAACAATAAACATTTTTTTAATAAATAAAATCAACTTTAAGTGTTCAATTAAAATATATTCTAATATAAACACTAAAATAATTTTATTGTTATTAAGATATCTAAAGTAGTTATTAAAATAAAAAATAAATCTTTAACTTATATTCAGAATGTTATAAGAAAATCTATTTTCAATTTATTTTATATAATAAAAATGAATTAAAAGAGAGGAAGATAAGCAATAAAAAGATTGAGTCCAGATAAGAAGGATGAAGTCTAATAAAAGGATGTTGTTAAATCAAAAGGAAAATAATAAAAGGAAGTAAAAAAAACAGAAGATACTGTAGAGAAAAAAGGAGAATAGAAAATTGAGAAATAATAGATAATTAAAGGAGAGGATAAAAAAGTAAAATAAGTTCTAGAAATTGAATAAAAATTTGAATTGGGAGATGGGAAATTTAGTACTCCAACAATAAAAATTGCAAGTTGGAATGTTAATGGAATCAGAGCTGCTACTAAACGTGAATAAGCTGTACAATATTTACATGATAATAAGGTAATTTATAATATATAAGTTTAAGTTTGATGTAATTTGTTTGAATGAGTTAAAAGCAGATTAGGCTGTATTTGATAAAGAAAACTTAGGATCTAAATTTGGAAAACATTATGTTCTTTATCTTAATTTCTGTAAGACTAAAGGTGGATATAGTGGTGTTGCTATAGCTTCGAAGTACTAAATACTTTAATTTATAGAGTAAAACCTATTTCAATCAAATGTGATATTGGTATAGATAAACATGATAAAGAAGGAAGAACACTGACAGCTGAATTCGAAAAGTTTTATTTAGTTGCATGTTATGTACCAAATGCAGGATAGAAATTAGAAAGACTTGATTATAGAACTAAGGAATGGGATGTTGATTTCTAAAACTATCTTGAAGATTTAAAGAAGAAAAAACCTACTATTTTATGTGGTGATCTTAATGTATCTCATCATGAAATAGATCTAGCTAATCCAGCTGGCAATAAAAAAACTGCTGGGTATTTCAATTATCTTAATTTTAGATTTACCTAATAAGAAAGAGATCAATTTACAAATTATTTGTAAAAAGGATGGATTGATACATTTAGACATTTGCATCCAAAAGAAGTTAAATATAGTTATTTTAGTGCTAGAAATAATAGCAGGTAAAATAATAATTAATTAAAATTTAGATAAGAAAACAAGGGATGGAGATTAGATTATTTTATAATTAATAAAGAAGTTACTAATGCCATCATTGTATCTGATATCAATACAAATATTGAGGGAAGTGATCATGTTCCAATTGAATGTGAAGTTGATCTTAGAAAATTATGATAGAAATAATTAATATATTTCATATTTAAATTTTACAATAATCGAATCATTATTTTTAATTTCTTCAAATAATAAATTTTAATTTTTTTATAGATTCCCCTCATCACCTTATCTACCTATTTAATAATATAAATTACGGATTAAATTAATATATTAATCTCATAATCTCTATTATTATAAATAAAAATTAGTTTATGTATATAGAAAGAAATAGTAATATATAAGTACCATAACCTTATACTAAATACATAAATTAAAAATTATGGGAGGAAGCTCTTGGATCAAAAGGCAATCAGGCTTATGAATTAGAATAATTTTTTAGGAGGTATCATAGAGGACCATAAGAACTAAAAATGGCTATAGATAATGTAAATACAAAAAAATTTGATAATATTTTATAATGTTGCCTTGAAAGCTTAGTATTTTTATCAAAACCAAATCAAAAATTCTATAATTACTATCTGGAGCAAATTTTGGATTCATCATCATTTGAGAGATAATTTGATTAAGAGCTTGATGTTATAAACAGGTAAATCAACTATACTGAAAGTGAATTAACCAAATATAAATCGTTTATTAATTACTTTCTAAAGTTTGTACGAAATTCATTAGAACTATAATTAAAGTTATTACCAAAATATATATAAAAATTAGATCAAATAGTTTCTAATATAATGAAAAAAAACTAAAATTTCAAAGAAGAGTTTGAGAAAATTAAAGATTTGTAAAAAAAAATGGAATATATATATTATCAAAAAACATCTAATCATTAACCATATATCAATAATAATGTCAATTAGATAACTTATTAATAAAAAAATAATATAGATTAATATAAACCTAAAAACTATCTAGTTGATCTTTCAGAAGATACAATGAAAAATTAATAATATACAAGAAATGGTTTGGTTGATAACAATCTAAACCTTCAATAATAGAACTATTTCCCAAATCAATAGTATGGAAATATTGCTTAAAACTCTCAATAAGATTAAAATAATTTTTCAGAATTTGAAATCTTTTTATTAAATCCATAACCATAAACTCAGTAGATTCAACATCTACCATAATAATAATAATAAAATTCATATTAATAAATTCAGTAAAACTAATATGTGCCATAATAATCAAAATTACATTCATATGAACCTTAATAATCATACTCATATTCATCAACTCAGCCAAATCAAAATGCTCCTTAATAATCGAATTTATATTAATAAAATCAACAAAATCAACTATCGCCTTAATAATAATCAAATTCATATTCATAAAGTCAGCAAAATTAACATGAACCTTAATAATCAAATTCATATTAATAAAATCAGAAAGATCAAGCTTAATATTCCAATTAATAATATAAACCAAAAAATTGGATGTAACAATAAGAAATATGGGTTGAAAAATCACAAGTTTTAGAATAGAACAGTAATATAGCTAGATAACAACAAAATAATTAAAGATAATATTATTAGAGAAATTATGTAGAGTATGAAGCTAAAGAGCCTACCTAATTATAAAGATAATCATCCAATTCTGATTAATAACCCTACTAATAACGAAGCTAACATTCTTACAACTCTAATTAACCTTATATTGAAAACGAAATTAATGGAAGTAACTTAAACGATTCACAGTAGTAATAGAATCTTTCAATTAATAGAAGTAGTAATTAAGGATCTTAAAATATACCTTTAAGAAATTATAATTAAGATGTAAAATATTATGAATCAATGAAAAAATTTTATGAATATAAACAACGTAATGAATAGAGATAAAGACCTAGATAAATGGATTAAGCTCATGCCAGTTATAAGAATTGTCCTATAGAACCTATGATTGCGGAATTTGATAATGTTCCTGATAAAAATTTTGTATATGGAGGATGTATTTTCGAAATTCCTTTTGGAAAACCTTTTTTAAGTACAGAGTTATTTTTGAATAACCACTTTTTCATTCTTAGAGAAGATTACTTAAAGAGTTTTAGATTGGTAGTTGCCTAATTAAAAAAAAATGGATTTGAATAAATAGGTTATGATGTGCTATAGAGTGCATTTTTATATTATAATGTTCTTATAGAAAATATTACGGTTACAAATCGAGGATTCTAATTTATTGCTACAATGAATGCATATGATCCAAGGAATGAAAGAATAAATTGGCAAAAATCAACTAGACTTATGCCAGGTTCTTTACTCTTATTAGTAAATTTTATTATAAAATTAAGTCAACCACAACACTTGAATACATGTTATTTGGAACTGTGGTCGAAAAACCTAAATCTGCATAAAATGGTAGAGTTAGTATTGCTATCATTTTGATAAGTCTATCTATGAAAGAATAATTAAGATTTGTAAATAGTTTGTTAAGTTAAGGTAAAAATTAATTTTATATAAAAAGAATAATAATTGATAGCAATTGAGAATAAAATATATTTTGAAACATATACTCATTTTTTAAGTTGCTTATAAATGATTGAGCCATCCCAATTTCCTTTTGCAAAATAAATAGTTTTTGGTTCAAATGTAATGCCTTTGCCAGGATATTTAGATAATTAATAAACTAGAAATGAAGGTATTGTTTATGATATTGATCTCAAATTTGACTTGCATTAATAGAAACGAATTGGATAATTACAAAGAGTAAATATATTGAGGGAATGGCCTAATATTAATACTGAGAGTTTAGATCCTTCTTAATTAAAAGCAATTTAGTCAATACTGAAAAATGGTATCTCATTGATTTAAGGACCACCAGGTACAGGTAAAACTTTCTGTGGAGCATTGGGTGTCAGAATATTATTATAGAATTAGTTTAAATGGAATTAAAATTATAAATATCAAAATAAACCAATTTTGATTGTGTGTTAAACAAATCATGCATTAGATCAATTTTTGTCACACATTCTTACTTTTTGCAATATGGATGATATTGTAAGAATAGGAGGTCGATGCAAAGTGAAAGAATTTGAACCAATGCTTTTGACATATAACTAAACTAGTAGAAAAATTCATTTTAATTGGAGGGATTTCTTAGAGCTAAGAGATGATTTGGATAGAAAGTTAAGAAATTTGTTAAATTTGATTGATAATGTAATTTACAAGGATGTTTAACAATATATGCCTGATTTAATGGATAGAGTAATAACCTAATATTTAGAAACTGAGGATCTTAACTTTAAAAAGCCAATATCATCTGAATCTCAAAAAATTATAATGCATATGTGGTTAGATAATTTTAAACCTCAAGAAAAATAAGTTCAAGATATTATTGCGATTGAAAATTAGTGTGGCAATTTCTTGTTAAAATAGTAAATTAATAGAAAACGTTTTAAGCCAATAATGATATACAAATTTAGTGATTTAGAAAAATAATTTCATTTGACTGATGAAGCTCAATAATAATTAGAATAAGAAGATGAAGATGATTTTATAGATGAAAATGAAAATCTTGATTCTGATGAAGAAGAAAATAGGAAGATTTTGATTAATTAAGATTCTAAAGGAAGTGACGATTTTATATAAAAGCTTATTAATGATACAAGAACAATAAAGAGGTTGCTAAATAGGTTAAGCAAAGATAATGAAGTTAGCTTTTAGATAATTATGGAAGAAATCAATAAAAATAGAAATTTTAATATATGGGAACTATCATAAACTAAAAGGAATGTGATTACAAGATTCATTTTTAGCCAAAAATTCCAATATTTATTTAAAATTATGGAAGAAGATGTAGAAATATATGAATAATATATATAATAATTAAAATAGGCATATATTGATAGAGATATAAGATTTATATAAAATAAGAAAATAGTTGGAGTAACTTTAACCGGATGTGCAAAATATGCAGAGAAATTATCAAATTTAAAATTTAATATACTCATAGTTGAAGAAGCTGGTGAAGTATTGGAATCTAATTTAGTTGCTGTATTGTCCTAATAAATCAATCATTTAATTTTGATAGGTGATCATTAATAATTAAAACCACATATGGAATGCTATGATTTGGAAGTTAAATTCAGAGCAAATATTTCATTGTTTGAAAGATTAATTAAAAATGGATTAGAATATGTCACTTTGAGATTTTAGAGAAGAATGAAATCAAAATTTGCTGATTTTATTCGTTTAATCTATAAAGATTATTAAGATCATAGTACAATATAAGAATAAAACAAAATTCATATAGAGGGATTAACAACTGATTTGCTCCTTTTCGATCATATGCATTAAGAAGATAAAAAAGTATCCTCAAGTTCCAAATAAAATAAATTTGAAGCTAGAATGATTGTAAAATTGGTTGACTATTTACTAAAAAATGGATATCAAGGTAAATAAATTACAATCTTAACTACTTATGTAAGATAGGCATTATATATCCAAAAATAATGTGATAGAAATGTAAGAGTATAACCAATAGATAATTATTAAGGAGAAGAAAATGATATAATATTGTTGTCTTTGGTTAGATCCAACGATGATTATAAATTGGGTTTTGTTGCTATAGATAATCGTGTGTGTGTAGCTTTTTCTAGAGCAAGGTTGGGATTATTTGTATTTGGTGATTTCGGTTTTATTAAAGAATGCATAAAAGATTACTAGAAAAAGGATCCTCAAAAAAGAAATCCAGATGTTTCAGATTTATGGTTAAAAATATTAGATTTAGCAAAATAAAAAGGTGTAATCTAGAATAGCATCGATTTGAAATGTTCTTCTCATAATTATGTTACAAAAATATATGAAGAAAGAGATTGGGATTTAGTAAAAGGAGGTGGATGCACAAATACATGTAATGCAAATTTCCCTTGTGGTCATATTTGTAAAAAAATTTGTCATAAATCTGCCCACAGTCAATACGATTGTCCTGAATAATGTGAAAAATAATTAACATGTGGTCATCAATGTACTGGAAGTTGTAGATAGATTCCTTGTCCCCCTTGTAAAACTAGGATCAAGATATAAATAAAAGAATGTGGCCATGAGACATACATAACATGTTCTGAATAAAATAAAAAGATTGAATGTTAAGAAAGGTGCAATAAAAAATTAATGTGTGGTCATTAATGTTCTCTTAAATGCATGGATGATTGCAATAATAATAGATGTTTCGAAAAAATTAAATATAAAATGATAATATGTAAACATGAAACTACTATTTCATGTGATGATATCAATTACATTGAAAAATTGGTATGTACTGAAAATTGCTAAAATTAATTAATTTGTGGACATAATTGTAGTGGAAAGTGTGGATTATGTTTTGAAAAATTCCATTAACCATGTTAAGAAAAATGTAATAAAACATTATTATGTGGTCATAAATGCTCATTACTCTGTTCTTCAGAATGTTATAAATGTGAAGATTAATGTCAAATAGAATGTAATTGTTAAATTAGATGTAAAAAGAAATGTTCTGAAATATGTAATCCATGTGTAAAAAAGTGTTAATTGAAATGCTAACATACTTAATGTACAAAAGAATGTTCAGAAATATGTGATAGAAAACCATGTAATTTCTAATGTGATAAAAAACTTAAATGTGGTTGTAATTGCATGGGATTCTGTGGAGAAGTTTGTCCTGAAATTTGTTAAGTTAATGAACATGATACGTAATCTGCTGATAAAAATACTATTTATTATAAATTAGAATGTTAATGTAATGGAATTTTAGAAGCAGAATTTTTAGATTAATATTTTAACAGTTAACAATAAAATTTAATTCATTGTCCAAAATGCAATCAAATTATTTGGAGAAGTAGTAGATATTAAGAACAAGTCAAAAACTCTTTAATTTAGTTTAATAATGAAAAAGAAAATAAATTAATGAAATATTTTATTTCATATGAAAAAATAGATAAAACTTATAAACTAGCGGAAGAAAGACTTTAATTTAAAAAAAAAAAAAATTAAAAGGACAATAATAGCTTTTTGGATAACATAATTTAGGAATTAAAATAATAAATATAATTAATTAATTAAAGGAAAGTTGCTAAGATTTAATATCAATATTTTAGATGTATCAAAAGATAATTAAAATACTATGAAAAAACTGTGGAGTTGATGAACAGTTTTAATGATAATAAACTTTTCTAAATTCATAAACATAATTTAATTAAGGAATACTTAATGAGTGAAGATTTTAGAAATTCTTATTCAAAAAGTTTTTGGTGGAAAGTAACATAAAAACTAGAGACACTATTGCTATATTAAGAAAGCATTGTTAAATATTAGAATACAAAAGATATAGCATTTCAAAATATTTCTTATGCAATTGAAGATTCAAATTTCTTTTTGGATGAAACCAAAAAATAAACATTTGAGTTATTCTTAAATGATCCTATTCAAAATTGAAAGTTATATTGGTTTCCTAAACAAAAAATATTAAACTCATTTTAAAAAAATAAATATAAACATAATTTCCAAATGCTCATGGTTTCTAAATTAATTATTTCATGAATCCCTAAGTTTTTTGTTTTTTGTGTTTTCTTTTAATTAATCCAATATCTAAAAGTACCTATACTAATCTTTACTGTTTTCTACATTTTTGTATTTCTCTATAGAAATTATTTATCAATCCCCTTTTTATAAACTCAATTACACTTTAAAAATCATTTAATTTTAATAAATAATTTTCAAAATACTTTAACATTGATAATATCATCTTTGTTATTATGTCATCCCCTTCAATAAAAAACATAGCCAATATAACCAATGAAAATTATATTGGAGCATGTTACATACATAAAGTTAAATAGAATGCACTTACAATCACCCTCAAATCTTCAATTCCAAGTCTTAGAAAATGATTATATAATGTTGGCATTCTTTTTCTAAATTTAAAATTAAATTTTGCCAATAATTAGAATAGTCCAGGAGTATTATTAATATAACATTATCTCCATTCCCTATCCATAATTATAGTTCTTAGAATTTCAAAGATTGCTTCATCATTATTGAAATCTAAATATATAAGTGCTGCAACAATAAAATTCATTCCCTACCCATAAGATACCTCAGAATCCAAATTACTATAAGCCACTAGTATATCCTAAAGTCTTTAAAGTACTTCTTCTTTTTAAAAGTAATTTGAACTCTTAAAAGTTCTCTTAACATCCTTAAATATGCATTCATAATCTTTTTCTTTTAATTACTATCTTAATTAATCAAATTAACAAGAAATTTGGCATTACATTGTTATGAAATCAAAAATTTGCTTTACTGTTAATGATCTTGTAGTAAATATTGATAATAATAAATTTTTGTTTGAATCATATGTTCCTGTTTATAAAAGAGTTTACCACTCAGAATTGGATAGTACTTAAACATCTAAATTATAATATTTTAACTCTAATTTCAATTATTCATAATAATCATCTTCCCAAACATATTTTGGAATAGGTTTCAAAATAGATAATTCATCCTCAACTGTTATCTCATGAGAACTTTTTTCATCAAATAGTAAGAATACCTACTAATTGCTTTTTCTGAATGGATTAAAGTACTGTTAAATCATCTTACTTAAGTATTATATATATTAAAATTAATATTATGAATTAAAAAATGTATAATTAGCAGCTAACACATCCAACAAAAATTAAGAATTATCTAAGTAAATATATATTTAAACACAAATAATGAAAAAGTAATAAATTTAGTAAATATTAAGTCTCATCATAGTTTATTACTTAAGATTATTTGTAATATTAGATTTCAGTTTTAAAGTGTATAAATTAAATTAATAAATAAGAAAAAGTATTTGCTATATATTATATTTATTTTATAATATAAAAATAAATATATATAAATTATATATTAACGATTATAAAAACAAAAATTTTATAATAAGATACTATTTTATATATGATTTTATTATAAATGATCATAAACTTTGATTTCTATTAATCTTTTTCTCTTTTGAAGTGTTGGTTCAATCGATTTAATGAAATCCTAAGTTTTTTTAATTTAGTATAAATTGAAATAGAATAGTTAATATATAACATAATCAATTATTGTTAATTCAATAATGTAATTACAGAACAACTTCGGAATTGATTTATTCAAAAGAACTATTATAAAGAGAGTCAAATAAATTATGCTTTGAATTTTTGTAAGAACAATTTATTTATATAACCATAATTTAGTTGAATTAGGAGGGAATACCAATTAGGTTATCTAGATTAATGATCTAATAAAGTTTTGAGAATGAGGAAATTTAAAAAAGGACTTTTTAAATGTCTCATTAAGTTTGATTAATTCATATTAATATGTAATATATTCTTTATTCACCAATCAAATCTTATTATGATGTTTTAAGTTCACAAAATATTAAGTGACATTTTTAATAATAAAAATGGCAAGAACTAAATAGACTGCAAGAAAGAGTACTGCTGGCAATAAAAAACCAACAAAACATTTAGCCACTAAGGCTGCTAGAAAGACTGCTCCAGCTGTTGGAGCTGCAGGAGGATTAAAGAAACCACATAAGTTTAGACCTGGAACAGTTGCTTTGAGAGAAATCCGTAAATATTAAAAATCAACTGAATTGTTGATTAGAAAATTACCATTCTAAAGATTAGTTAGAGAAATTGCTCATGATTTCTAGAAGGAACTAAGGTTCTAAAGTTCAGCTGTATTGGCACTTTAGGAAGCAGCTGAAGCTTACTTAGTAGGATTATTTGAAGATACAAATTTATGTGCTATCCATGCTAGAAGAGTCACTATAATGTCTAGAGATATACAATTAGCTAGAAGAATCAGAGGTGAGAGATTTTGATATTCTTTTACATAATTTAACGAGAAATAATATATTTTATATATATATTTAATGTGGTTCACAAATTCATACACGTTTATTAAAACACGAATAGATTATCATATCAAGAAATCTCATTAGATATAAAAGGAACAATAAGAAGTAATTCAATAACCAAGTTTGAATGAAAAATGTAAATTAAGATCAGTAAGTGTTAATAGTAAAATGAAAATTAATATGATAAAAGTAAATATGTTATTAAATGATAGGATTTCAACAAGATCTCAAAGGATGATTAATGCATTAATAATATAAATGAGTTTAATGATATTAAATATATTGAAGAAGTTATGAAGGATGATAAAATTCTAGTAAAGAATGATTGGTAAATTATCCTAAAAAATAAAACATTCTCAGGATATAATTTTTAATAAATACATCAATCAATTTTATTATAGACAATGGAATATGATATGTAAAGTAATTTATAAATTTTAGACGAAGACAATGGTGGATTTTTATCAGTAATTAAGAATAGAATAAAAAAGAATTAAAAAATCATAGTTATTCAATATTGAAAAAATAAGAGACTCTGCATAAGATTTAGATTGAAAAAGATGTTGAAGGAACTATTATTCATGATATGTTTAAATAAGTATTAATCTAAATTTAGAATAGTATGAAAATTAATAATCATTAAAAAATATTCTAATTGCTTATGCAAATTATGATAAAGAATTGGGATATGTTTAAGGACTAATAATAATAGTAGCAAATTTATTAGTTTGTTATGATTTAAGTGTTAATGATTAATAATTAAATGATTTTGAAGTTATGGATGAGGATAGAGATGAAACTGTGTTTTTAATCTTTTTATATATTATGAAAGATCTAAATTGGAGAGTTGTATTTTTGGAGGGTTATGAATATTTAAGACTTAAAATAGATGTGCTTGAATAGATGATGAAAAAAAAGATACCTGAATTACATAAACATTTCTATGATGAAGGGATTGTAAAGATGAATTTGTATTTAGACTGATTTTTTTCCTTTCTTTTCTAGATTCTATATGACATTATTGATGTACAATATCCCTTGGAGATTTTCAGCCATGATTCTTGATCTCTTTCTAATTGAAGGTGAAGATATCATACACAAATTGATATTAGCTATGTTGTTATATCACAAAAATAAGTTAATAACCAGAAACTATAGTGACATTAAAATATTCTGTTAAGAATCTCTTGTTAATAGTTTTTTAGAGATATTTGATGCATCTTAATCCAATTTAATGGCAATATTACAAAAACTTAATTTATTATGATATTATATCTATATTTTGTGTAATTTTAATACTACTTAAGTAAATCAATTTAAAGCTTTTTTACCAACTATAATATAATCATCATAAAGTTTCTTTTTAGCATAAGGGTTTTTAACTTTAGGTTTAATGTATGGTTTAGCTATTGGAGGTAATTTTGGACATAAACAACCATCACAAACTTTCTCATTCTCATCATCAGATTAATTCAATTTACTCTCCATTTTCACTTCCAATTTTATTGTACCTGGATAAATACCCTTATTCAATCTCTTCTTTGGCTTTGTTATACTAATGGCCTTTCCAAATTAAGTACTATCACTTGATTGAGACATTGGAGCATCCCAAAATTCTTCAAAAAATTCATGTCTAAGTGCCTCTTCTGCACTTATTCTTTTAATTGGATCAAGTTGCAATAATTTATAAAGTAAATCTATACAATCAGATCCAGCATGTGGAGGTACTAATCTTTCCAATCCTATACCTTTTTATGGTTTAAAATTAAATTCCATATGAGAAGCTTAAGATTTAAATCTATTCAATAACTCAGGTTCAGGAGTACCTAAGATTTTAAAGATTTTATTAATTTAATCTAATTCATTTTCCCCTTGAAATAGAGGTAACAATGCAATAATTTCAAACATTACACATCCAACTCCCCATATATCCATTTTTTAATCATAATAACCATCTGTCATTAAACATTCAGGTGCTCTATACCATCTTGTACTTATGTATTCAGTATATGGATGAGTAGAATGTATACCTTTACAACTTCCCAAGTCAGCTACTTTAACATTATCATTTTTTATCAGAATATTTTCAGGTTTAATATCTCTATGAAAGAAGTTTCGTTTGTGCATATAATCCAAGGCTTTTAATACTTAATGCATATATTTTTTAACTTTGGCCATACTCAAATAAGAATTTCTATTCTTTATGCAGTCATAGAGATTCATTTCCATTAATTCACATACTAATGCTAATCTTCCACTTGGTTCATCATAGAGGACTTCATGTAATTTAACAATATTAAGATGTTACTATAATTAATGTAAAGCTTAGATTTCTTTTAAGTTCTTTACTTATTCCTTATAATATTTAAAGATATAATTACCACACTTTCAAATCTATTTTTCATGCATTTAATTGCTACTAATTATCCAGTTATCATTGATTTAGCTTTTAAGACTTCTGAAAAAGTACCTTCACCTATTTTAACCAAAATATAATATTGATTCATATATACTCAATAAAAAAATAAATTTGATTTTTTTTACTAATAAAAATAATTATGGGGCTCATTGAGAAAATCAAGGAAATTGAAGAAGAAATGGCCAGAACTCAAAAGAATAAGGCAACAGAGTACCATATGGGTTAATTGAAGGCTAAATTGGCCAAATATCGTACTCAATTATTAGAGCCACCTAAATCTGGTCCAAAAGGTGAAGGATTTGAAGTTTAAAAGTTTGGTAATGCAAGAGTTTGTATGATTGGATTCCCATCTGTTGGAAAGGTATTAACATAATCTATATTATTAAGTCCACAATTCTTTCAACTTTAACAAAAACATAATCACTTGTGGCTGCATATGAATTCACTACATTAACATGCATTCCTGGAGTAATTGATTATAAAGATGCTAAAATCTAATTGCTTGATCTTCCAGGAATTATTGAAGGTGCTTCTGAAGGTAGAGGAAGAGGAAGACAAGTCATTGCAGTCGCTAAAGCTTGTGATCTTGTTCTTATGGTTTTGGAAGCTGATAAAGCTGAAGATTAAAGAAGAAAACTCACTTTAGAATTAGACAAAATGGGTATTAGACTTAATAGAAAGAAACCAGATGTGACTATTACACCAAATAAATCAGGAATGTATTTATTGATTATTATAAATTTAGGGTTCGTATTACATCAACTATAAAATTAACAAAAGTAGATGAAAAGTTAATTAAGAACATTATGTAAGAATATAAGATCCATAATGTTGATATATTGATAAGAGAAGATATTACAGTAGATGATTTGATTGATATGATTGAAGGAAATAGAAAATATGTTAAATGTCTTTATGTTTTTAATAAAATTGATAAGATATCTATTGAAGAAGTAGATGAAATTGCTAGAAGAAAAGATCATTGTGTAATATCATGCAATTTGAAACTAAATTTGGATTATTTGTTAGAATGCATGTGGGAAAAATTAGATTTAGTTAGAGTCTATACAAAAAAGAGAGGATAATAACCAGATTTTGGAGATCCTATAGTACTTAGTAATGATAGAAATGGTTTGATGATTAGAAGTGTTTGTGCATAAATTCATAGAGAATTAGTTGATGAATTTAAGTTTGCTATTGTTTGGGGAAGAAGTTGCAAGTAATATATTTAATTTATTTAGATTTAATCCATAAAAAGTTGGTTTAAATCATGTATTAGCTGATGAAGATGTTCTATAAATTTATAAGTCTAAAACTAAAGCATAATTAGCCAAATAAAATAAATAAATAAAGGGAACAAAACATGATAGAAAAAAAGAGGAGAAAGGAGACAAAAGTTCAAAAAAATGAATGCTGTAATTGGTTATAAATATATATATATAATTAATTAACATAAATTTATTCTTATAGGTTTATTATATATTTCTTATTATTTGATTATCAACATTTAATTACTTAAAATTAATATATGCGTTTCTAAACCATTCCTTATAAAATTACTGTTTTCTTACTTTCTTTTAATGAACTAAAACAAATAAGTATGAATTATTATATTTGACTTTTTTACAATAAAAAATTCTTAATCTTAATTATTTTTGTAATGTCTATAAATATAATCAAATCTCATAAAATTGAAGTACCCAAGCAAAGAATAACATAAAATTATAGCAGGAATTGTATAACAACATCCAAAAAATTTCGATGTATCATAGTATAGTATATCAAATAGCAAAGAGTTTGGATGTGTTTATTAGACTTTTATAATAAACATGCTATCAAAAATCAGAGCAATGTATAGATACTCAATAAGTTTTTTCAACAAGCAGATAATTTAATACATAAAGGACTTTGATGGAATTCGAATTCATCAATGGAAGAAACTCTCCTAACAAAAAGAATAAATAGCCTCAGAAGAGTAGATAAAAAAATTATAAATTTCCTGAGTTATAGTATAAAATAAGGAGATTAAGTTGTGGATGTAGTGAATGTGGTATGGTTGGACGAAAAATTAGGAAATTTCATGATATTCTTATTTCAAAAGTTAAGGAAGTTTAAAAATAATCAATAGTAGGAAATGGGAATAAATTAAGAGGAATTTTTAGTTAAGTGACTAAAACTGCAAAGGCATGCATAAGTTTGAAAACTTTGTAATCAGAACGAGATAGAGATGAGAAATTAGAGTTTAGTCCTGAGGGTAAAGGAAGTGTTTTTGATTTTTAATGTAAGTAAGTGTCTCGAAAGATTATTTACTAAAATTAAATGAATCAACTACCATTAATAAAGAAGCCTTAGATGAAAGATTATATGAGAAAGATAAACAACCTTAATAACTTAATTGAATAAACTTAAATGATTACTAGTCAGTCTTCTACTTTAATCAGGAATTCAGCACCAAATTTAGATGCATTTGAAAAGAAACAAAAAGAGAGTCCGATGTCGAAAAGAGAACAATCAATGCATAGTTCTCGGTAGAAACAAAACATTTACTTATTAAAAACACCTCTGAATGGATTGAACTAATCGAAGTTAAGAGAGTTTAAAATAAAATAATGAAATATATTTAATTTTGGAATTAAAGCAACGATATTGAATAACAATCTGATCCTTAAGAGAAATCAGGGTTCGTGTCTAAGTTTTCTTAATCTATTAGATTTCTAAAACCATGTAAGATTTATAAAATGAAATATAAAAGAAAGTGTAGTAACAAAAGTGTAAGATGTATAATAAGCAGCATTAAATTGGAAGAATTTTACAATATTTTTTGGAGTGGGAATATGTTTTATGTTTGTTGCATTTACATTTTTACCATTAATAATGGTATTTCCAGCAAAATTTGGTGGATTATTTAGTTTAGGGTATGTGTTATTTATTTAAATATAATATAGATCATTAAGTTTGTGGATTTCATTGTTTATTATAAAAGGAGGAAAGAACTTTATGAAAATGTTTTGTAATAAGGATAAATTCATTTATACTAACATTTATGTGATTATGCTAATAGCAACATTGTATTTTAGTCTAATCCATAAAAATTATATTTTGGTGTTAATGTTTTCAATTGCTTAGGTATTTGAATACTTAAAGAATTTAGATGATATCTTTAGGATGGTTATTTGCATCTTCATTTCCAGCTGGGATCACTGGTATGAAGTTTATTACAAAATAAATACTTGCACTTATTAAATAGATAATGTCTTTTTGTTTTAAATCTTCACAATCGAATTCATTTCTACCAATATGATAGAAATTATATGAAATTGCAGTAAGAAAATGATGGATTTATATATCTTAATAATATTTTCACCATGATATGGGATTGTATGGAGATTCCTCTAAAACATAATTCATCATCACAACTCCTGGTACTCCCATCATTCTCTAGATCTCGAGTTCGTGATTCACCATCATTACATCCATTGGAGGTGTATTATAATGAAATTGCATGAATGAATATTCATCTAAGTTAACATCCTATTTCTCTACTCATATCAAATTGCAGCTATACCAAATTATTGGCGTCCTCTTAATTGGGATTAGGCAAAACATATAGATGCTAATATCAGTATGATAAACACCTGTCTCATCTTTGCTTTTTTTCCCCTTTTATTATTAATTATTCACTTATAAATCCGTTTTAAATTTTATATACTCTAATAATCTCTTTACAATAGAATTATGAACACTTCACTAAATTGTCTTTTTGATGGTTCTATACTTCTTCATTTCACACGTAATTTTAAATTTTATAATTTGACATAAAAATGATGTTGGTAATATAATACTATTAAATTCTTATATTTATTAATTTAATTATGCGTCCTCATTATGCTAGTAGTATTGCAAGTATACCACCCCCAAAATAATAATAGTATTTTGAAGGTAATCGAAAAGGAGAAGTAAATGAATTGAAAATGTACAATTATTCAATCCATATAGATTGGTCAAAAATACCTTAAGTGAAAAGGATGATAAAAAGAAGAGAGAAGTTGTTAAAAAGGTTATAGCTTATATGACATTAGGTATTATCTTATTTCTATAATTAGGAATCGATGTTTCTAAAATATTTCCAGAAATGTGCATGGCTTCATATACAAATGACATGGTATAAAAGAAAATGATATACTTATATCTTACTACATATGCTGAATAAAATAAGGATTTAGCATTTATGGCAATAAGTACATTCTAAAAGGATTGTAAACATAGTGATCCAAAAATCAGAGGATTTGCATTAAGAAATCTTTGCTCTTTGAGATTTAGTGGTGCTATTGAATATTTGATGCCTGCAATAAGAGAATCCCTTTCTGATATAGATCCATATGTTAGAAAAACAGCTATTATGGGATGTGTCAAAGTTTATTATATGCAACCTGAATTTCTGAGTAATATAGAAGAACAACTATATAAAATGATTAGTGATAATGATCCTTTGGTTATAATCAATGCAATTCATGCACTCAATGAAATATTAGCAGCAGAAGGTGGAATGGCTCTATCTAAGAAATTAGTAGATTACTTATTAGGTAGATTGAAAGAATTTAATGAATGGGGATAGGCTACTATATTAGATGAATTATCAAAATATTAACCAAAAGATGACAAAGAAATGTTTAATATTATGAATCTTTTAGAAGAGAGATTAAAACATTCATGTTCTGCTATTGTATTAGCAGTAATTAAAGTATTTATGAATTTTACAAAAAATAAACCTTAAGTTTATGAATAAGTAATTACAAGAGTAAAAGCACCTCTTGTTACTTTAGCATCTATTAGTGAAGGTAATTTAGAAATTATGTATACAATTCTATGTCATATTAAATTTATTGCATCAAAAGGATATAATTAAGTATTTTCTTAAGATTATAAATGCTTTTATTGTAGAGTAGATGAACCTACTTATATTAAATTAATTAAACTTGAGATCTTAGCTTTGATAGCATGTGATTTCAATTTAGGAGATATGTTAAATGAATTAGGAGAATATGTTACTGATGTTGATTAAGAAATTTCTAAGAAATCTATACAAGCATTAGGTGCTATTGCTCTTAGATTACCTGATTTAGCAAATGCAATTGTTAAATAATTATCTTCATTTATTACTTTATAAGATTATATAACAAATGAAGTTATTATAGTATTTAAAGATATACTTAGAAAGGATCCAAAACATATAAAAGATTGTTTGGAAATTATTTAATCAGACAGTGTTACCGATCAAAATTCTAAAATTGCATTAATCTATATTTTAGGTTAATTTGGATCTTAAATTCCTTTGGCTCCTTATATTTTATAAACATTTATAGGTGTAGCAGAATCTGTTGAACTTAAACATGCTTTATTAACTTCATGTTTAAAAGTATTTTTTTGTAGAGCACCAGAAATGTAGGAAATTTTGGGATAATTATTTTACAGTATTATGAATAATGAAAATGAAGATATTGATTTAAAAGATCGTGCTGCTTTTTATTATAGAGCATTATAAAATAATCCTAATGAAATTAAGAAATTATGGTAAAATGGAATCAAAGTGGATAAATTCTTAGAGGAATAAAATATCAATAAAGAAGCTTTATTATTTGAATTTAATTCTCTTTCTGTCATCTACGAAAAGAGTGTCAATAAATTTATCAAACCTGCTGAATATTTTAATAATCTTAGAAATAAAGAATTATAAGATCAAATTTAAGAATAATAACAATCTACTACTGCTGAAAAACCAGATCCAGTTTAAGATGGATTTGATATTGAACATGATATAACTGTACCAAATGTACCAATTGTATAAAATTAACCTAATTTACTTGAGATCTCTGAATAACCAAAATAAAAATTAATTATTGATAATTTTGTACTTGATTATAGAATTGAAGTTGAATATTTTGAAAGTATGTGGACTAGCTTAAATAATGGGTATTATATATATATATATTTATAAATTTAGAGCTTCTATAACAAGAACATTGGCTAGAAATGATATTGCAAATGAAAATGCCATGGAGTAGTTATTTAATCGTTATAGATTGTATAATATTGCTGCTGGAGAAGAGGATAATGTACTTTAGATGTACTTTTATGGAGCACATAAATGTTAAGTGTTTTTTGAATTCGAAATCAATAGAAATTTGAGCACTGTTTTACTAAATACAAAATCTGAATTAGAAGATTATGCTTATTTGGCATAAAAATATGTTGAAGATTTCCTAAAACAATCAAATTTAATTGTTTGATATTAATATTCAATTAATATTATAATAAATATTCAAATAACAAATATAATACAAATTAAATTAGAATTCTTTGTAAATCATATTTTAATTGGAAACAATAATTAAAATAATTCTATTATTATTATTTATTTAAATAGAGTATCAAAGTATATATTAAAATACTTATCTAAGCTAAATTATTTTACCTCAATTATTAAGAGATTTTAAAAGATATTTTTTAATATTTATATAAACTAACAATTATTTTCATGGAAAAAAACTGATTATAGACTTATTATTTTTATAAATTAAAATATTTAAAAAGACAATTTACATTCCTTTTACAAGTTACTATCATTTATCTTTATCTTTATTACTATATTATAGTTTACTATGTTATTTTGGTTATATAAATTATTTTGAACTTATTTGTTTTCAAAGTTTTTGTTGTTTTATAAAATTTTTATTTTGAATAGGTATTAAAATCTTTTTTAATTTATCTTTTCATCCTGAATTTCAATTAATTACATAGTTGTATATTGTTTAAGATTGTCGAATTTTGAATAAATATATTCTAGTAGATATTTGATATATTTTAATAATATATTAATTAGTAAATATGAATTATATATATTATTATTAATGTCTTAATATTCATATTCCTAATCTCTTAAGATTATGTTGATACCATACTTAATCATTGGAATATTGTGGTATTATTCTATTCTATATTTAAAGGTTTCCATTGACAATTATGATTGAGAAACATTATGATTCCATTTTGATTTCATAATTTATTGTGATTTAAATAACGACAGCCTTCTTATTTTTGATAGGTCTCTATTATAAGTATTCACTTTGATTGAGAATAGCAATACATCAATTTATGATATTTATTGGAAAGTAGCACCAATGTTTTTTGTCACTTATTGGTCTAAAGAATCTGGAAATATAATTCTCCCTTTCCTTGTATTCTTTTACTGCATTAAACAAAATTATACTTATTTTAGATTCTGGCCAGGTATTTATATAGATCATAATAATTTTTAAGGTTTATAATATGAAGATTATAGAAATGTGGCAGTAAAATAATAATATCCAAATCCTTTAATTTTTTGGTCAATTATTTATTTGGGCTTTGAAGTTATACCTTCAATAATGATCTTTTTAGGTCATTTACCACTTTATTATGTGTTCAATTCATAAAATCCATGTACTATTGCTTATAATTTTTCAATCATATTTACAATTTGTGCAATATCGATAGAATTGATAGGTAATAATAATAAATAATAGTTAGCTGATTATCAACTCTATCCTTATAGATCAAAATTACTAAAAGGTGATTGTGATGTTGGATTATGGAGATATTCTAGACATCCTAATTATTTTGGAGAATGTATGTATTGGTGGGGATAATATTTATGTTAATTATCTTTTGGTTTTGAAAATGCTTGGACTATTGTAGGAGCTGCAGCTATTTAAGCATTATTTTCATTTTATTCTATACCAGATATGGAGAATCATTTATTAAAGAAGAGAGAAACTTATGCAACTTATAAAAGAAAGGTTGTAAGTTCATTTATCCCTTGGTTTAGAAAGGAGAAATGAATAAATAGATTAAATATAATTATAATATAATTTTTTATATAATATTTTAGTATAAAATATAGTAATTTTAGAAGGATAAATAGTTAGAAAATGATCACATATTCTTTAAATAAAATAAAAAAAGAGTTTCCATATTTTAATAGTTAAGAAATATTTATTATAGTGAAGAAAGGAAAAAGAAACATAAATAATTTGAATAATGAATGCAGGTTTTATGTAATTCAAATTTATTAATATACTTATTTTATAATAAGCTGATCATTTCTTTTTATTTCCTCCTTTAGCTTATGTTTAAGCTTTTCCACCAGTATTCTTTTTCAAAGATTTGAGTTAGGTGCTAAGGAGGGCACTTCTCTAAAATAATGATTTATTGATAGCATTACTCTTTTTCTAAGAATCATGACTCTGAATCTGTCAAAATCGTTTAATTTAGCTCTAAGTGCTTTCTTAGCAACCTTCTTGGCAGCAACAGTTTGAGCATATTGTGCAAATGGATCAGATTTTTTAATTGCCTTGGTAATGACACCAGTTCTGGCTCCTCTTGTTGCACCTTTAAGATTGAATTTGGTAAGTGTCAATCTTCTAATTGGAATGACTTATCTCTAAACTCCAGTGGTTGGTCCATCGATTAGGACTCTTTTATCATTAAGGATTTCAACAATTGTTGCCAATCTGCCTTCTTAAGGACCATAATTGATTTTGACAACTCTTCCAACTTCAACGAACTTTGCTAATACCTAGAGAGAAAATGAATGCTATATATACCATCTTTAATAAAACAAATTTTTTTTTTATTATTTAAAAATCCTTTTAATCTTTTTAAAAAGAGAATGAATAAATATAAATTATATTATATATTTATATTTATTAATATTCATTCAACAGCAAGACTTATCTTTTTTCTGTTATTGGTTTTATTAACTTTGAACAGAATTTAATTGTACATTTGTACTTTATTTAAAATTCTTCTATTGATTCACAAGTAATCCTTTATCAATTATTTCTTAAATTAATTCTGTGAATAGTTACTATAAATCTATTTCATTACTTTACCTTTAATCCTGTTCCTTCTTTTGCACTGGTTTGAATACAAGAGAAAAATTTATTTGTTTTTGCAAAACCTTATAAAGTATGATAATAAGCAGTCTTTTCATCATCACTCACTAAGTCGCACTTATTCTACACCAACATTATTGGAATATTATTTTAATCACTATTTTCTTCAATGATGCTTTTCCATTTTAAAGTTTCCTCCAATGAATTAGGATCCTTAATGTCACAAACTATTAAACAACCTACTTTTATTTATTTAAATACCCAATGCTCCTCTTACATACAACTTACTTACAGCATTGTATTTTTCTTAACCAGCAATGTCCCACAATTATAATCGAACAGTCTATCCATTTGTCTAAGTCACCTTAGTCGTAAAATCACATCCTATCGTTGGAGGACTATTAGCTTCAAATCGCTCATAACAATATTAATTCAGCAAGCAAGTCTTGCCAACTCCTTACTCACCCACAACAATGATCTTAATAAAAGGATCTGCTTCCATATAGAAAAAATTATAATTATTAATCGGAATTACGAAATCAAAACAATATATACTTACAACCTATGAACTAAAACAATCTCTCAATCAAATCAATATCCTCTTCCAAGATCTAAAATCTATATACAAAATACTTTAATATCTCAATAGTCTCACATTATAAATATAATCAATTCCATTGAGAATTTAAGAATTACTAAATTTCATTATTCTAAAAGAACATGATACTATAAACCTTATTTTCATATATATTAATTACAATAATCATAAAGTAATTAAATTTCAAAGAGTAGATAATTTTTAAATATGCAATATTCTTAAGCTACAATAAAGCAGTTTAAATTGAATATCTAATTTAAGTTAATAAATTACAAAAATGAGAATATAAATCTTACTATAAATTTATAGCTAATTTTTAAAGAATATAAATGTAAAAAAATAAGAAATTGATAACCTAATTGTTAAATAAATCTTTTTAAAACACAATTTAATGATAAAAATAAGCATAAAGAAAAACATCATATTTTTAGATTATCATTAATTTTACTTATTTATTTCTGAAAATTCATATATTTTAAAAATAACTTAATCTTCTTTCCCTAAGTACTTTATCAAAATGATGTTTATATTATTATTATTATTATTATTATTATTATTATATAATTCTTCTAGTACAATAACAAATTTATGAATATTAATTGAAATTCATTTAATGAATAGTTAATAATTGATACCATCATTTCTTTGAAATACTTCAAATTTCAATATGATTCTTTAAAATTGAGGATGAAATCTATTAGAAATCCATGAACCAATATATTATATGAGGAATCGAATTTAATTTGTTGAAGATTTTGGATCATATATTGGCTTGATTGTAAAGAATGAATATATATAAATAAAATTATTTAATAGATATGTCTAGAGCAAATAAATAAGTCGAATAAGCACCTGCTTAAAATAAATAATAGAAAGGTGCACCATCAGCTAAACCTTCAAAACCTAAAGAAAATTATTTGACTCCAGAAGAAATTAATGATTTGAAAGTAATTATATGGTAAAAGATTATAAGGAAACTTTTGATTTATTTGATGATGATAAGAGTGGTACAATAGATGCTCATGAAATAAAGAAAGTACTTGAAGACTTAGGTGTTGATGCAAGAAATAAATTTGTGTATCAAATGGTACAAGACTTAGAAAAGTAATAATCATCATATATCAATGCTAGTTTTGGAGGTTCAATTAATTTTGATACATTTGTCGAAATTATTTCAAACAGATTAGGAAATAATAAAACAAGAGAAGGAGCATAGAAATTGTTTTAAATTTATGATCCTGAAGATACTGGGTTATTATTTTAATTATAAGATTAGATTCATTGATTTTACAAATTTAAAACGTGTTGCTAAAGAACTAGGAGAAACTTTAAATGATGATGAATTGCATGAAATGATCCATCATATTCATATCCTCAGAAAAACAGAGAGTCCTGAATAAATCTCATTTGAAGAATTTTATGAGATTATTACAGCTCCAAGAAGATATTGATAAAAATAAATAATACATATATCTATAGATATCAGTTGATTCAATCATCATATGGAACACATTTATCGAAAAATCTAGGAACATACTTATTCAAAACTCCATTGAAACCCAAAGCATTGACACGATCTTTTACATAATCTTCATATTCTTCTCTGTATTTTTAAGGATCTCTAGTTAATACCCACATAAATAGCATTTCAGGTTCACTTACGATGACCCATTAATATTTCTTATTAATTACTGGTCCTAATTCAATAATCCAATAATCTCCTCCTCCTACTTAACCTCCATTTAGAAAAACCTTAAGTTTAGCTTTATATTTCATATCTGGAATTCTAGCATATCCATCAATAGATTTTATTGGTCCATCACCAGCCCCATCTCTTTAGACATTATAAACACTTAGATCTCCACTGGCTAAAGTACCATATCTAGCTCTATTACAGAATCCATTTTTCTCGAATGTTGTATGAACCCAAGGACTACTAGCTACCTCAAACCAATCTCCCAAATAAGATTCTATGTCGTAATCATCAACTACATCAATAGCTAAGCTTAATGTGATGATAGCAAAAATAAGAACTATTTTTTACATTTATTATTAGATAGAAAAATAGCAGATTATAAGTCTTAAATTCAAAATAAAAAAATAAGAATATTCTTAAACTTAATGATTATACAATTTATTTCATGATTAATTATAATTATTAATGGAATCTCATAAATAATATTAAGATTGAATTTCACATTCAATATAATACATTTATATAGGAATTATATATTATACAAACTAATAATTCTTATATTAAAATTAGATAACTATAAATAAAAATAATATTTATTTTTAGATTCTCCAAAAACTATTAATGAACTATATAAAACCATATCTGTTAATTTATATTGATCATTATATCTAATAATAAATCAACGAGCACCCTTTAAGACATTTAATACTGCATCAACAATTTATTCAGTTTTAGGGAATGACATAGCTTCTAAATTAAAAGCATATGGAGTAGGTATCTCTACACCAGTCACTCTTTAAATAGGTGCATCTAAATATTTAAATGCTCCTCCTTCCATTATAAGAGCAGTAATTTCAGCTGAAATACCAGATTATGGCCATCCCTCTTCTACACATACTACACGACCAGTTTTTTTAACACTTTCAAGAATTGTTTCTCTATCTAATGGTCTTAAACTTCTTAAATTAATAACTTCACAATTAATTCCTTCTCTAAACAATTATTCAGCTGCTCTAAGAGAATATTAAACCATTTTTGAAAATGCAACTATTGTGACGTGATCTCCTTATCTCATAATCTTAGCTTTTCCTATAGGTGCTAAATAATTAGGATCTCTAGCTTCTGCTGATAGTTCAAATGATTCACTATATAAGATTTCATTCTCTAAGAATACTACAGGATTTGGATTCCTTACAGCTGCTTTGAGAAGTGATTTAGCATCATCACAATCATATGGAGCTAACACAACCAATCCAGGTACATTACTATACCATGAAGCAAAACATTAAGAATGTTAAGCTGCAACATAAGCCGTAGCACTAAAGGCTTATAAATTTTTGATCTTACCCATTGATTCCTCTAAAGACAATAGATGCCTTCTAATCACCAGCACTCATATAATGTGCTTTAGCAGCAGAGTTTATTATATGATCAATAGCTTGCATTGCAAAATTCCAAGTCATAAACTCAACAATAGGTTTCAATCCATAAAGTGCTGCTCCTACAGCTATACCTGTAAATCCTGCTTCAGTAATTGGAGTATCAATAACTCGATCACCTCCATATTTTTAGAACAATCCTTTAGATACTTTGTAAGCACCCTAATATTGTCCTACTTCCTCTCCTGATATATATATAAATATAAAATCATATACCAAGTAAAAATACATTAGGATCATGAGCTAATTCTTCATCCATTGCAAGATTTATTGCTTCTCTGACTGTCATTTATATTGGAGTATATTAGGATGAAGGATGGGCATGAGTAAATTTAATACTTGGTTGATAAGCATAGCGCAATTTCAATAAATGTTTATACATTAAATTTTATGTATTTTTTAATATGCATCACAACAGTTTTAGCAAACTATAATACCTAATATGTTACTGATTAATTAAAAATAGAGCATAATAATCTTGATGCCTAAAAGACTTATTTAATATAGATGATCATTACATAATTTCCAGTAGACACTTATTGCTTACCTTTGATGAAAGTTTAAATTGCTTCCCAAAATTATTTTGATTCATAATCATACTCTATCAGATCTAATGTCTAATCTATCTTCATTTAATAAACTCAAAATATTGTTATAGAAATAAGTTGTCATGTTTTGGATCATTTTACAAACATTAAAGATTTCAACAAAACAATGCATTTTAATTTAACTATAAATGAAGCAGTATTAATTTATTTTATAATATTATATATAGGTAATAAAATAATAGAAATCTTGTCACTTTCCTTACTATGGATAGGATTGTTCACTTCAAATGTAAAAAATATAAACTGATTATTCAATTACTATTAATGTACTTAATAATTCATGGTTCTATGCTTATGTAATACTTGATAATAAAGATTATGATGTATGACTCTTATAATAATAATAATAAGATTCTAATTCAAAACTAACAAACATTATTTGGCATATCCTCTATACCAGCAGACAAACTTAATATTACAATATTACCAACATTCTTTACAAATTTTGAAATACTTGAATAGAGTTAAAAGGAAAAATCTATTAGTTTGACAAGAGAAACAGATATCTCAGATTATATATTTATATTTGGATTATTCAATTTTAATTCAAAACAAATTTAAGAAATCACAATTTCATTTATGTATTTAATAATTATTATTATATTAGATCTTTAGAGGATATTCATGAATTTCCTTATTGGGCAACCATACTTTTATCATCAATCTTTCTATTTGGTATCCTTGTGGCACTCCTAATTTATATAAGTTATAAAAGATAATATAGAAAATTAACTTAAATTAAACCTGCACTTGATAGAAAGACTTTAAAAAAATATATGGCAACTTAAAAAATTGATTCAAAAATGATACATGAAACATGTGCAGTATGTTTGATACAATTTGAAATTTAAGAGAAATATAGATAAACACCATGCAAACATAATTTTCATGATTAATGTTTATCAGATTGGTAGTTAATTAATCTATTTAGGACTATTAAATAAGCAAATTGTCCAGTTTGTAGACAAAGTCTACAAGAACAAGATATTTAAAAATTATTAGAATGCAAAACTTAATTACCTAAGTTAAATTTAGAAATTAATGAGAAAGTTGAATTAAAAGAAGGTGAATAATAATAAAGTGATAGAGGTGCTCTATATATACATTTTGTTCCAACTCCATATAGAACTACATGTAGATTAGACTTAGACAATTCTCCATAAGGAGAACATTCACCTTAGACAGTTTAATTTGATGGAACACCAAATCATCAAAGTTAAAGAGATCTTTGTAAAAATTAAGATAGAATTGTTGAATCATAATTATGATAAATATACTCATATATTAATTCTTTGAGATTAGAGCAATTATTTTAGATAAGAGAAAATATTTAAATTTATATTATAATTCAATGTCAAATATAAATAATTTTTATAACAAATTAGATATTGGTTCCTTGAAAGTTTTATACATTGATAGAATGATAAAAGTAAGACATCTTTGATTGTTTGTATATTTTATATAAAAATTTATATTATCTTTCTGAAATCTTGCGTCATAATCTATCTTAATACCTCATAACTTAATCACTCACATTTAGCTCTAAGTATGAAAAAAATAATAATATAATGAGCATGTTAAATAACGAAGATAGATCAATGGATTCACCAAAAAGGACAGAAAGTACCGATATATAATCAGACAGTTAAAAAGTTAAGAAGGAATTAAATACTTTTTTTTTAGGTGTTCAATAAACTTCTAAAGTAATCAATTATTAGTATATTTAAGGTTACAAGAAAGTATATAGATACTAGAACACATGGAATACAATTATATTATCAAGAATTCACTCCTTAATTTGTTGATGCTTAAGTCATTATTGTACATGGATTTGGAGAGCATTCTGGTAATTACAAACAAGTAATACTAATAATTGATCAATTTTTAGTTGACAGATTGTTTTTTACTCAATAATTTTAAAGTTCATCTTTATGATTAAAGAGGTTTTGGATTTTCAGGTGGAATAAGAAGTAAAGCAACTATATAAGAGATGCATATGGATTTAGAAACTGTATTAGATTAAATTGACAAATCAGTCCCTTTGTTCATATTTTGTCATGCATTAGGGGCAGCAATTGTAATCAGTTTTTGCTTAATGAATCCATAATTTGAAATATAAGGACTTATATGCAGTAGTGCTCAATTTAGAGTGCCTCCAAGATATGGTAAAATGAAAATGTTTACATTACAAATGATGGCTAAAATATGTCCAGATTTATAGGTTAATACGTATCATAATTTATCCTTTGCATCTAAAAATAATCATCATATAAGAAAATTAGCAACAGATCGTTTAATACATCCATATATGAGTGTTCAATTTGCATTGAATGTGTTGTTATTTTAATAATACATTTTACCTAATGCAAATTAATTTAAAATTCCAATCTTGATATTACATGGTAAACAAGACAAAGTTGCTTCACATTTAGATTCAGTAGATTTCTATATGTAAATTCAATCTAAAGAAAAAACAATTAAAATATTTGAATAAGGTTTTCATGAAATGCATAATGATTCTGAATGGCCAAAAATGAAGACACTTATTACATAATGGTGTTAAAATATGATAAAAAAAGATGTTAAAATGAATTACTTAAAAGAATATAATCATGGAGTTGTTGTCTAACAATATAGATCTAAAATAAGACTATTAATATCTATTCTCTTAATAATAATTAGAAAGTATAATATTAAATTTATATTATTAGAAAAATTACTTGTTTAAATGTCAGTACTAAAGTAAGTATATTAATATTTATGGAATTATTACTAAGAATGTTCACATCTCAGTGATTTTGATATTATGTTTATACTAATTAATACATAACTATACAATAATATAATTCATTCTCAAATATATTATTTTATAATTATTTTAATAATTTAAATTATTTATTAAAAATTTTATAAATTAAACATAAAAAATTAAAATAAATTAAACTTATATTATATTATAAAAACAATAATAAATTTCATTATAATATTTGATATATCATCATAAGATAATAACTATATTGATCAAATATAAATTATATTAAAATCTTTTAGAAATCAAAAATGATTTATAGATTGATAACTAATATATCATCATTAAATGATATACTTATTATATATATTATCTAAATTTTAGAAAATACCTTCTATTATATAAAATGATAATTTTATGTATTTTTCTTTAATTACTTTTGAGTTTTTATACTATAATAAATATTCAATTTATTGTGATTGGTTGTAATCTAAAAAAGTAATCATAACAAAAAGACTTGAAGTTTTATGATCCTAAATTATAATAAATAGTCAAAGTTCCAGTTTTATTTGAAGCAAAAAACAATACTATTGTACTTTTATAATAAATATCTATTGATGTTGAATTTTATATAAAATTTATTTGGAATAATAATTAATAAATTTCCTTGTTATTACATTTTTTAAAATAACTTCTTTAAATATGTATTAATAAATTAATGATAAATTATTTATTTAAATTCTGAGAGAATCATTTCTATTTGTATTAAAATTCTAAAAAAAAGCAATTGATTTTATAATCTTTAAATTTATTTTATATATTTTAATTATCAATTCAAATTTGTTTTTAATATTAATCTAATTATTTCTTGATTTAATACTTCAACCTTTTCCTTGTAATATTGTTCGATAATTTTTAAAGTATTTTATTCTACAAATTCACTTTCTATAATTATTGAGACATTATTAGATTCTAATAAAATCTTATCAAAGCTTTATCTTACTTAGTTAAAAATACATTTAAAATCTAATTTTATCCAATCTTCTTTATCTCCTTTATAAAATGTAAGGATATTTGCAATATATCGCTCAATCTAATTAAGAATAAGATTTTCCACATTTTCAATCCATTATATGGTTTCTTAATTGTATAATTATTAAGACGAAAATTTTTATTTCAGATGATAGGTTGGAAATGCCAAATAGAAAATCAAGTTGTTTATACATTATAAACTTTAAAGTTAGTNTATTTGATATATCATCATAAGATAATAACTATATTGATCAAATATAAATTATATTAAAATCTTTTAGAAATCAAAAATGATTTATAGATTGATAACTAATATATCATCATTAAATGATATACTTATTATATATATTATCTAAATTTTAGAAAATACCTTCTATTATATAAAATGATAATTTTATGTATTTTTCTTTAATTACTTTTGAGTTTTTATACTATAATAAATATTCAATTTATTGTGATTGGTTGTAATCTAAAAAAGTAATCATAACAAAAAGACTTGAAGTTTTATGATCCTAAATTATAATAAATAGTCAAAGTTCCAGTTTTATTTGAAGCAAAAAACAATACTATTGTACTTTTATAATAAATATCTATTGATGTTGAATTTTATATAAAATTTATTTGGAATAATAATTAATAAATTTCCTTGTTATTACATTTTTTAAAATAACTTCTTTAAATATGTATTAATAAATTAATGATAAATTATTTATTTAAATTCTGAGAGAATCATTTCTATTTGTATTAAAATTCTAAAAAAAAGCAATTGATTTTATAATCTTTAAATTTATTTTATATATTTTAATTATCAATTCAAATTTGTTTTTAATATTAATCTAATTATTTCTTGATTTAATACTTCAACCTTTTCCTTGTAATATTGTTCGATAATTTTTAAAGTATTTTATTCTACAAATTCACTTTCTATAATTATTGAGACATTATTAGATTCTAATAAAATCTTATCAAAGCTTTATCTTACTTAGTTAAAAATACATTTAAAATCTAATTTTATCCAATCTTCTTTATCTCCTTTATAAAATGTAAGGATATTTGCAATATATCGCTCAATCTAATTAAGAATAAGATTTTCCACATTTTCAATCCATTATATGGTTTCTTAATTGTATAATTATTAAGACGAAAATTTTTATTTCAGATGATAGGTTGGAAATGCCAAATAGAAAATCAAGTTGTTTATACATTATAAACTTTAAAGTTAGTTCAAAATCTAATTTGTTTTTAATATACTAAAAATCTAGTTTACATCTGACCATTAAGTAAAAAGTTTATAAGATGCCTCTAAATTTAATTTTAGAAATATATCTTTAATAGTAACATTGTCATTAAATCTTGAATTGCTCTTGATTATCCAATTCATTAAATTACCCCTTAATAATCTATAATTTTGTTAATTCATTGATTCTGATATTTCATTTGTTTAATTTAAAATATTGTCTATATGCTATTAGACAACAGCTTTATTTTACTATATCTGTAATTTTTAACAATCTGTCAAATTCTTTTTTATAATATTTTAGATATCATTAATTTTATTGCATTTTAGTAATTATTCCTAAATTTCCTTGGGTTTTTAGGAATTAGTTTAACATAATTTTAAAAGTTCTTGAATTATTAATTATAATTATTGAATATTATGGTTAGAATTTTATTTTTATTCTTATATAAAATTAAATTAAGTAAATATTACTTGAACCTATTTTTCAGATTTTAATTCATTACCAATCCATATTTCATTAAGATTGAAATTAACATCTTCTGTATTTTTGCTATAATTATTTTAGAATTCTGTTAAAATTGAATTTATAATGATAATTGCATAATCTAAATTAATAAATTCATTATTTTAATTTTATCTCTAAATAATATTGATTAATCAAATTACATTATAGTTTATAAGATCTGATAGACTGATAAATTTATCTCCATCAAATTCAAATTATATTAACAATTCATTTTGAAATCTCTCTAAAGTAGCATATTTATTAATGTTCAACTTCTTTAGTAATTCATTAATTTCATCATCAGTTATATGTTAACTTAAAACAGGTTTATATAAAAATTATGGATATTCAAGCCCTTTCATCTTTATTTTTTATAAATTTTATAAAATAAAAAAAATATAATAATCCTAAAATACATCTTATAGAATAAAATAAAAAAATCAAATAATTACTCTAACATATTCTTCTTATTTTCTATTTTTATATTAATACAGACTTTTATAATTTAATATTGAACCTTAATATAAATTCTTATCATTTTTAAGAAGGATTTAGTTAATAAACATTTAATATCTTTCTTCTAGAAATAAAAATACTATCAAATACAAGTATCATACAGAATATATTTAAGTTTCTCTAATAAATTTATAATTAGTATAATTCAATTTATACTCTAATGAAAATTTAATTAAAGTGATCATAATTAATCAGCCAAATAAATGATAATGAGAGACATAGATATACTTATTATCGCCTTATTTATTACTAAATTGATTCTTAATATATATATTATTAAATTAATTATTATTAAAAAAATATAAGTATTTTCAATAATCATAAATAAGTTTATACCTCATCTAGGATTCCATTATATTTATTACAAAATTTTCTTTAAACAAAATTAAACTTTTTTAACATTTTTCTATAGGTTTGTCTTTCTGTCAAACATAAATCATTTATTGATTTAACAAAATCTTTATGTGAAATACTTCTTCTACTTATGTCAAGTCCATCATGAGATTTTACATTTAATTTTTCTAAATTTAGAACTGATATTTTATGATTTTATTCTTTGAAGAATTTTTGATCATGTTATACTTATTTTTTATATATCAATTATCTCTAAATTCTTTCTGTTAGAACTGATTTTGCAAATTCTATAGGTTCCTTAAGTTTTAATTTCTCCTTAAATGTAAGTTCCTACCTTAAAGTTTTAATTATTTAACAATGTTCTGGTGTTAAATTTGTTGAAAATTTATGATCAATAATTTAAGAAAATGATTCTCTATTTGAATGTACAATTTAATCATGTAGTGAATTTCGAATTTAATTCATTTAATCAGAATCAAAGATCTTTAATTTTTATTTAAGGGCAACTTACTTTTAAAATTCATTATCTATTTATTTTAAGACTTTTTCATCACTATTTTTTCTCATCTTTAATTTTATATACTAGGGCTTATGTGCTGGATTTGTTATATATTCTCTATCAGCATTTTATTTACCAAAAATCTTGACTAGATTTGGATCTGTTTGTTTTGGAGAAAGCTTTTCCTCTAATACATTCAAATAATATGTTACTTGATAAATAATCCTTAAATAACATCATAGTTTGTATAAATCTAGGGCTCATACGAATATTCTCCTCCTTCATAAAAATGAGTAGTTTTAATTTTATAATGCAAAAACAAAAAAAATTTCATTTTACTTTCATAACCTTTTTCACCATTAAAGCATTACTTCAAATATTAATAATGTTATTTTTACTGAAATAATTTAATATTAAGTGTTGTAATTCATGTTATTAAGTATTGGTTAAATAAATATAAATGGAACTAATCCTAAAAATATAAAATATGATTTTTCCTTTTTTAACTAAATCAATGCTATACTTATCAATAAAATATAGAATCAATTTTAAAATAAAAAATTAACATAGATATATTATGAGATATTAAAAAATATACTATTTAAATAATAGATATTTAAAAGCAAATTGTGATATAAGATAATAGAAATAGCATTAATTTATCTCACTTATTCTCTTACATGATTAAATGACAGTAAAGTTTTTATAGATTAGATCACTATAAATATAAATAATCATAAGAAATTTAGAGGATATGATAGATTTTATTTAGTATATATTGTCTAAGACTGTATATATATATTAACGTGATTATTTTGTTGAAATATTAAATTATACTGAAAATTTATTAGCAATTGTTTTCATATATTAATTTAATCATGAATTAACAAATATTACTTATTATTAATTGAATTTCTTTATATTTTTAAAAACATAATATTTAATTTTAATAATAATGATTACAATTTTACAAAATACATTAATAATTTATTTAGGCCTTCTTAGTCTATTTATGATCAGTATATTGGTCGTATGTTTAGATTCTGAATATGAAAGTCAATGTCCATTAGTAGGTATTAGAATTTTGAGAAGTCTTTCAATTATACCAATTGTGAATGAAGTGAAAAAGTCTATTATTCCAATGATCAAAGAGTTGCCTCCAAAATGTATTCGACCTTTAATTTTAAGTTCATTTATGATGGCTATTGCTTTGATAATATCTTTGATTTACACTCTTCTGTAAATTATTATACAATTAATTTATATAGTAAGATCACCTTAATATTATTGATGAACCTATTCTATATTATATTAATAGTACTTATTCTATTAATTAGCTTTGGTATTATTAAGAATACAATACATATTCCATAAAATTTATAACAATACTTTGAGTATATAAAATTTATATATAAATGAGTTTCATAATCAAATAATTTCTCTTATTGTGATTTTTAATTGCAAAATATTCATATATATATGTTAAAATGATTCATTATTTTATTTTCTATTTATATAATTTTAATATAGTAAATGTTGATGTTTTTGTTAAATTAACTTTATTAATTAACTGCTAAAAATGGAAGTCAATTCCTTTATATTTCCTGCTCCTAAATGTGAATACACTGAAAAGAATTTCAAAGAACTTATTTGGGTTCCTGTCTATAAATCAAAATAAAATAAACAACTAGGTGTTTAATCTGCCAATCAATCTAAAAGACCTAGTACACAATAAGACTTATATTTTGAGGAATCCAATTATGATTAAGATGTAGATGAAAATGTTATTGTACATAAATCTCCTCCAAGATTATTAAACAAATATAAGTCTAATAATGTTAAAACTCTCTTATCAAAAAAACATTAAAATAGATTATATGAATCATTAGCAAATGTTTGTTTGACATCAACTCCAAATGAAAAAATATAACATCCTAGATGTAATAAATTACCAATAAGGCATTTAAAATAAATTACATAATAAGATGAGGAAGAATGTGAAATTATTAAAAAAATTCCTTGTGCTTATATTAATAATCAATCTAAATAAACTCTTGTTTATTTTCATTCAAATGGAGAAGATTTATATTAAGCTTATGAACTTATGTGGCGAATTGGAAATTCATTAAAATTAAATATTTTGGGTGTTGAATATCCAGGTTATGGGATTTATAAAGGTGATTCAAATGAATAAACAATATTAGAAGATGCTGACCACATTATGAATTATTTAATAAATACAAAAAAAATAGAAGAATCAAATATTATGATATGCGGAAGATCGATTGGAAGTGGGTGATTTTAATTAATTTATTTTAGGCCTGCTTGTTACATTGCTAGTAAATATAAGCCATTCATGTTGATTCTTATTTCCCCATTTTTATCTATCTAATAATTAGTAGAACATAAATTGGGGAAATTTGTTAGTGTCCTAATAAAAGAAAGATTTCCAAATTACAAACATATCTCTGAAGTTTAATGTCCAATATATATTTTACATGGTCAATCTGATAACATGATACCATTAAGTCATGCATTAAAATTGTAGAGACTCTGTAAATGTAAATGCAAATTGACAACCCCATATCATATGACACATGCAACTTTTAATTTGTAATAAGATTTAATCATACCCTTATTACGATTTATGATGAATTGAATTAAATTGAATTGAAGTAAGAATTATAAAATAAACTTTTTTATTTTAATAAATATTAAGATTCTTTTAATATATAATTTATATTTACTAATAGGATATTCTATTAATACTTTAATTTAAAAAATAATTTTGTTTTATAATAATTATTGATTCAAATTACTTAAATAAAGATTATAAGATAAAATAGATCAACTAAATAAATTATTTAAATTAAATTTAATATAAAATGACTCTTATCTTTTTTTGTAATATTTAAATGAATGAGATAATCAGATTAAAATAATAAAAAATCTTAGATCGATATATTACTAATCTTATATCAATTTATTATAATTTAATTAGATTCTTTAAATAATAATATAAGTATAAGTTAAAATATAATATATATAGAAGAATTATTTATTACTAATTTGAATCCAACTTTTATTTCTTTAAATAATGTACTTATAACAAAAGTATATTATTTATTAAATTAAATAATTATTAATGGTTTGCATTCCTTGTTTGCTCTTACCATTAGCAGGAATATTAGTTATGCTATTCGATTTTATTAAACCTTATCTAATAAAAATTGGATTGATTAAGGCTTCACCTAAAAAAGATGATAAAAATAATATTTAAGAAAATGGAACAAAACTTTCAGACACGTCAACAGAAAAATAAAAAATTAAATAATCATGATTGACTAAATATGTGTTTGAAATATTTTAAATTTGCAAATATATTAGAATCCAATAGCTGAAGACCTTATCATTTCAAATAAAGAATAATATGCTAGGATTCTTTCAAAAGCATGACTTTATTATAATTAAGAATAGTTCCTAAAAAATGATCAATATTACTCTTCTATTAAATTTAGTTCTTATATATTAATATGACTAAACAATTAAGTGTGAATACTCATTTAATTTCTATTGCAAATTCTATGAGTTTTGTAATATAATCATTCAACCTTAACAATATTTACATCTTTACTCTTTCTTTAAGACTTATAGAATTAAGAGTGACTATTATTCTACCAAAGATTGATCAAGATAGTAGAAGCTATTATTAAATTGTTTTCGAAATTTTATTGAGAACACTATCCGTTTCTGTGTCTAAAAAAAATAAAGGACTAAAACGATTTCATTATTAATAATGGTTTAAGTCAAGTTCATAGTCTTGTTAGTCTGTGCATTGACACTGACCTAAGGTACCTCTTCAATATATATGTCAAGCTTTCGAAGCTGAGGGCACACTCTTGTCGATGTCATTAAATGAGATCAACAACCTCAATTTAGGGGATGTTAATTGTTAAAACACATCTTAGCAATAGTTTGTGTAATTGGAATAAAATCTCGAGTCATGGGCCGACATCATCGATCACAAGGATGACATTTAAAAAGATATCAATACTTTAAAACAATTAGAAGTGATCTTGCTTTAAGTTAAGAAATAAACATAAAAGAAGAGTAAATTACTTTATCATATTCCTAGAAATTGCTCCCTAATAATTGAAATAAATAAATTAGGTTGTGACAAAGAAAATCAAGTCTTTAGTTCTTCCATAAACAGCAAGCAAAATTGGATAAGCTCATTGCGATGAAATTGAAAGACAATTAGAGAGATTAAGCAGTGATAATGAATCAGAAAGAAGTGAATGTTGCGATGCTCTTCTCAAATTAGCCACCTTCCTCATTAGATAATTATCTAGCATTAATTAATAATGCCATTAAAATCCAGTCACTGTCATTAAAATCAAAGGATAAATCAAAGAATTACATATCATCTAAGGAGGATGCGGAGGAGGACAAACTATTGATATCCCTATGGGAGGATCTGATGAAAAATGTGATAAACCAGAAACACCAACTAAACCTACAGATCCAACTACTCCAGATACTCCAACAGACGACCCAGTACCAGATCCTGAAAAAGAAGAAGAAACAACAGATGAAGAAACCACAGATGAAGAGACAACAACTGAAGAAGGAGAAACTACTCCCCCAGGACCAGATGCTGAAGAAGAAGGTGAACCAGCACCACCTGGACCAGATGCTGAAGAAGAAGGAGAAACCACACCACCAGGACCTGATGCAGAAGAAGAAGGAGAGACAACTCCACCAGGACCTGATGCTGAAGAAGAGGGAGAGACAACACCACCAGGACCAGATGCTGAAGAAGAAGGAGAGACCACACCACCAGGACCAGATGCTGAAGAAGAAGGAGAAACAACTCCACCAGGACCAGATGCTGAAGAAGAAGGAGAGACTACTCCACCAGGACCAGATGCTGAAGAAGAGGGAGAAACTACTCCACCAGGACCTGATGCAGAAGAAGAAGGAGAGACAACAACACCATCGGCTGAAGAAGAACTTCATGAACCAGCTGAAGAAGAAGAAGAATCATTTGAAGGGGGTGAAAAAAATAATACAAAAGGACCAGGAGATATTCCAGATGAAGGAGAAGAAGAAGGATTCTTACCAGAGGAAGAGTTTAGCCCTGAAGATGGACCATAACCAGAGGAAGAAGGGGCTGCAACTGAAGAAGGCACCCCTGCAGGTGAAGAGGAAGGAACTCCAGCTGGAGAAGAAGCAAGTGAGGAAGAATAAGAATAAACAGTTCCTGGAGAAGAAGGCTTACCTGAAGGAGAAGAAGAAGAAAGTGAATTCCCAGGAGATATCCCATCAAATAAGAATGGAACTTCTACACTTCCTGATTTACCTGAGGGTGAAGAAGGTGCTGAAGAAGAAGGTGAGGAAGGAGGTGAAGAACCTGAAAAACCTGTAAAACCTAGAAGTCGTGCATCTAAACCTGCAAAAAGGAAAGGAGATGAAGGAGAAGAAGGAGAAGAAGGTACTCAAGAAGGAGAAGAAGGTACTCCAGAAGGTGAAGATGGGGAAGAAGCTGGTGAAGAAGAAGAAGGATGGGTACCAGGAGATATTCCAAAAGGTAAAAATGGAACATCTACACTACCTGATTTACCTGAAGGTGAAGAAGGAGCTGAAGAAGGAAGTGAAGAAGTTGGAGAAGAAAGTGGAGAAGAAGGTGGAGAAGAAGGTGATGAAATCCCAGAAGAAGACACCGAAGAAACTGCAGATTAACCAGAGGAATAAGAAGAAAAGTAATTTACATTAGAAATATCAATAGATGTTAAGAAACTGTTGAAATTACTGCAACCAATGCTGCTGACATTATGTGTGCTTTAGGATAATATTTGAGTCAATTGGCTCATGGAGGATCACCTTCTGATAGTCCTAACGCTAAGAAAGTTTGCTTCTGCTTGAAATATGAACCAGGTAATTATAAATTTTAATTTTAGATAACGCTGATCCTTCATTGCTTCAATTAACTTAAAAGGTGAGCAAAAAATAAAGAAAAGAACAAGATGGCATTTTGAAAGCATTAATTCCAAATAGGAGAATCTGAATATGAACAAACTTTTTTTATTTATTGATCTAAATAAAAAAAGTAAACTTGTCGATCTATTCCATTAATCTTCAATCAATTTTCTTTCTTTCATATTTTAGTAGAATTTATAAATTTTTCAAAATTAATGATAAGAAATTAGAAAATTCAAAATTCATCAATTGTATTTTTGGTATCCAATTAAACCATATATCTAAATTTAACCTTGGTTTCATCATATACTATATATTCATTGTGTTGTAAACAGTATTAAATAGGATTGCCCTCCTTATCTTTCTTTTTAGGATCTGGATATTCAATGCATTATCCAACAGGAACTTTACAACCATTCGATAAAATAACAGATTATTTGTAATCAGGGCCTCTTTTTCCACATCCCTTAACAGATTAGTATTGTTCTTATAATAATATATTAAAAATACTTGGTAAATTTTCAATATAATCTGCCTGATACAGTTCTTAAGATTTACCTACTGCAACTTCACATAGTAACATATATCTATATCTTTAAATTTCATCTTGTTCATCTTTAATTACTTGCTATTATTTGTACCAAAATCCTCCTTACTAAAATAGGCCATTATAAGGATTATAATGAAGTGACCAATCATCTGTGTATGCAAAGGACTTTTAGAACATATCAGCAAAATAGATACCCTTACCAAACATTGCTCCTGTGTTAAGTGCCCAAGGTGGTGCAACTAAAACAATTAGGTGATTTATTTTTACCTTTGAGTCCTTATGCTAAAATACCCATAAAGTTGGAAATTTTGGAACCATGCCAAAGTAATAATCTATTGTATTTTTTATTGATTTCAAATCTTTCAGCTTCTCCTCTTCTCTCAATAGCAAATATATTAGATATTTTAGGAGTGGCTGATTAATGAATATATTATTGAATTAATTTAAATTCTGGATGTTCATGATTAAGAGTAATGACTCTGATATTTAAAGCATTGAAACAATAAGTAAGTGGATTCAAAGATTATTTGATCAAATGAGCTCCCAATAAAATTTTAGAAGTAATTTCAAAATTGAGTAAAGTTTCAATAAGTAATAATTTTTAATTAATAACTTCAATTGAATCTAATGGAGGAATAGGTTCAGTTCTTAATTCAATAATTGGAATTAATTCATAAAATCTACTAGATTTATCAGCTATTTCAGATGATAGATTAGATATCTTTTTAATGTCTAAATCTCTGTTCTATCTAAGCTATTTTAGTTCTTTAACACTGTCTGTTAATTCATTAAGAATAGCTTTGGCAACTTCTAATTATTTTCTATCTAATCTTTCAATAGGCAAAAAGTCCATATCTACATGGAATTATTGTAAATCTTTCTAATACAATTTTACTTAAATAAACTATAATATGAATCTTTTAATAGTGTTATCTAATATTGAAGGTGGATAAGGAGAATTTTTACTGAAATCGAAAGGACTTAATAGAGTTTTGTAATTCTTCATCTTTTTTACATTCATTAATTAATATTTACCAGGTCTTTTTAAAAAATCTTCTTCACCTGTTTTAATCTTTCTCCAATCATTTCCCCCTGTTTTTGTGTAAAAGATCTTATTAAATTCTTTAATAGCTTCTTCAGAACTTTCAAAAGGAGTTTATTGATGCTATCCTCCAGTACAAATTCTACCCCATCTTGTGAATAGAATATAAACATTTCGATTGATTTCATGAAGAACTTACATTTTATAAAACACATTTTCTGAATATTATCCATTACCAATATCAACTTTTGTCATTAATAATGAATACGGACCAATATCCTTATCTACTAAAATTTCAAGTTTTCCAATTCGATTTGCATATTTATCAACTAAATTTTTATAATCCTATTTTGAATCATCTAATTATTCTCCATTAAGGTCTAAAAATCTTTAAGCATCTGCCTCAACATCTATTTCTTCTTCAACCCATTAAGCTTAAGATATAATACTAGTTGGTAATCTAGGCTATTTAGATTTGATATTCTAGACTGCTTTAAGATTTTTTAGAACTCTTGCCATAACACCAGAATCTTAATCAATAGCATAATCTAAAGCAGTTTTTCCTTTTTCATCAATTTGATTGACATCAAATATATTTGCCAAAACTTCTAACATTTCTGTGTTTTCAAATGAACCAAATTCTAATGGTTAGACTACATGATGTATGGGAGATCTTTTATTTTAATCTAGAATATGAGCTTCTTTTGTAAATTTAGGATGATGTAGAATGAAATTAACTAATTTCAAAGAGTTATTTTTAATTGCAAGAATTAATGAGGTTTCTCCTTTATCAGTTTTTTCATTTATATCACATCCTGCATCAACAAATTTAGACAAAAGAATCTCATCTTCTATATGATATTCTTATATTAAATATAACAAAGGTGTTAAATAATAATCTTTCTTTTCAACTTTAAATTTTACATTAAAATTAACCTTGCTATTAGTCCATATACCTAATTCTACAGGATCTGTTAAAACCCTGTAATTAAATTGCAATCTAATTGAAAAGGGAGTATTTTAATCATTATTAAAGGCATTAGGATCACTGTTTCTATGTAATAAATATTTAATTAGTTAAATGAAATTATTTTTACATGCAAAATGCAATGGAGTATTCATTTCATTATCATTTGAAATTCTATCAACTCCTCTTCTTGATAATTCTTCTGCAATTAAAATTGCCATATCTTCATTACAATTTCTTCCTTTTATTGCAAATATGTGAAATAGATTTTAATGTTTTTGATTATACTTTTGAATAACAGAATCTTCTTTGACTTTCAAAAGTAATGTTCTAACTAATTTGAATTGGTCTTCCATCATTGCATCTTCTATGGCTCTTTGAAGATCATATCCATCACTTATCAATAAATATGCAACACCTTGCCATCCTTGTTTAATTGCTAATTTAAAATAGGAATAAGTTCCAGGAGGAAATGTTATTGGTTAAGATAATTAATTATTTTATCCAAAAGCACTCCTTGTAGCTATTTTTTTAGAAGCCTTTTAAAGTCTATTACTAGAATAAAGATCATTTCCTTATGTATTATATTCATTTTCTATTTGATTTGAATCCATTTCATCTTCTGTTTCAATTTCTTCACCTTAATTTCTTCTTTATTATCTTTATTTCTTCTCTTCTTCTTTAATCTTTTCAGTATCAATAATTATTGCATTTAGATTTACATTTACTTTATTATCTATTAGCATTGTACAGAAATTAGAATGACCACTTATGAAAGCTAGACCTAAAGGAGTATTACCATATTTATCAATATCATCTACAATAGCATTCATTTTAATCATATATCTACCAGAAATGACACTACCTCTTAGGGCAGCATAATGTAAAGGAGATCTTTTATAAACATCTAAACAATTAACAGAACAATTCTTATCTGCTAATATAGAGGAGACAGTTTCAAAAGGATCAATTTCAGAGAATTCATTTTATTAATTAATTTTTGTGAAAGCATAAAAAAGGGGAGTTCTTTATAAAAAGTCCTATAAACTTGTATTAGCACCATTCATAATTAAAAGATGTTCCATTTCAAAACTAGCATCTGCTTAAGAATTAGATGTATTGATTGCATGATGTAATGCAGTTCTATTATGTTTATCTCTAAAATTAGGATCAGCTTTATATTTAGTCAAAAATAATTCAACAATTTTAATATTATTAGCTTTAACCCACTTTTAAAGAGGTACTTCATTATTTTTGTTTAAATTATTAATAGAACCTCCATTATCTAATAAGGTTTCAATAAACCATTTCAAATCATCACAATAACGAGATGCTAATATACTAGTAGGTGTATTTAAATATAAATCCTTAACTTTGATATCTACATGATTAAGAACATATTTTAAGAATGTTTCACTTGTTTCTTACGCTCTTCCACATATTGCTTATAAATTACATGTGCTAGCAAATAAATGAATTGGATATATATTATTATGTGTTGCTTCTTTGAATGAAATAATGGTTATTCTTTATAACCCTTAGAGAAATGAAACACTATGAAAAGCCTTAAACAAAAAATGAGCTATTGTATAATTACCTTCACTTATATAAGGATCCTCTTTTTTATCTTACTATGTTTAATCTGGCTATCTAAATTTCTTTCTTTTTATTACAACACTATTAGAATTAGCTCCAAAATTAATTAGTTATTAAAATAATTTTAGAACTGCCTCTTGTAATAAATATGAATCTTAGAGTGTTTCTTATTTCAAAATATCAACTTATTCTTTAGATAAATGTACAATAATAGGTTTATTTTTATAATAAAACATTCTCTGATGATAAATATCTTAACCTATTACACTAGATGTTACCTATTATTATTATTATTAGAATTAATTCTAATATTAATTAGTAAATAGTGATGTTTAAGTACGAATACCTGTTTTAATTCCATTATATTACTTGATAAGTGATGGATTTTTAAATCCAGCTTTCTTTCTCTTAAAATGAATTACTTCTTCTTCATCCTCTTCTTCACTTTAATCCTAATCACTAAGTTCATCAAAGTCTACTGATTTACTCTCATATCTTTCTTAATCCTCTTCCTCATTATGTTTCTCTTCTTCATTTATATTATCTTTTTCTGGAGGTAATTCTTAAACTCTCTATTCAAATAGCTATACTTAGAATCTTTTAACCTTCTTTGTGTATATTCTATCATGTTATTATTCTGCAGACTTAGTATATTCTGATATCAAATATAACAATGGATTCCAACCATTTTCATCGTATTAATTAATATAAGATTAATCTACTGTTTTTATTACATTCTCTAAAATACTATTTCCTTTTGGATTCAAAAATAATTTGCATTCTATTAATTTATGCAATATATTTCTATCTTTTTTATCAATATAATCAAATTTTGGTGTAGTCAATTACATTAATTGCTCTGCTGTTCTGAAATTCTGGCTCATTAATGCTTAAACAAATGGAGTCTAGCCATTAGTATCAGGAATATTAACATCTGAACCAGCATTGATTAATAATTCTATCAAATCTGATAAGAGTTTTTCATACTTATTTTTTATATCTCTTTTTTCAGCTTTCATCATTTCATTCCATTTTAAATAATATTACTTAACATTCTTCCTTGAAATCTACACAGCATAATGAAGTGGAGTCTTTTCCTATAAATCAGCTATTTTCACATTAGCATTCTTCTCCAGGATCAAGTATTTTATATATTCAAAAGAATCTGCAGTAAATCTACTTAAACTAGAAGAAACTAAAGTTCTTCCCTAATCATCTTTACAATTTACATCTGTACTTGGGTAATTTAATAGAATTTTTACTACACCCATATGATTTTTTTATAAAGCCACAGATAATGGGGTAAGTTTCCATGAATTAGGCAAATTCTAATCTGCACCAGCCTTCATCAATTCTTCAATACATTCAGGGAATCCATATGCAGCAGCATAATGAAGAGGAGTATTTTTTGAAGAATCAGGCATATTGTATTCTGCTCCATGATAGAGAAGAAGAGATAAAATCTTAACATTACCGTTACGAGCTGCCATTACACAAGAAGATCTTCCAAATTTGTCTTTGCTTACCACTCTAGCTCCTTAATCAATTAGGTACTTAACCAGATCATAGTGTCCATAAGCACTTGCAATTATTAACGGAGTCATTCTATATTAACCAGGCTAGTTGATTTATGCTCCATTTTATAAAAGTGTTTAAACTGTTTCCAAATGACCTCCAAAACAAGCTAAATGAATTGCTGCATTTCCCTCCTTATTCTTACTATTAATATTATTGAAAGCTAAAAGTTCAACATTATGTGTTCTTCCAAATTAAGCAGCAAGCATCAAAGGAGTATTTTTTAATCGATCTCCTTCTCTAGCATCAATTCCATTTTCTAATAAATACTTTAAACAATCATTTGTTTATGAAACAGCAGCATAATGAACAGGTTTTCTATGAATTTCATCTAAAATATTAAATTCTTATGTAATTTCAACTAATTTTTATAAACAACTATGATTAGGATTGATGGCTGCACAATGAATAGGTGTAATCAAATACAAACCGACTGTCTTTTTAGTTGCAGATGCTTTTTTGATATTACCAATACGACTAGCACTTGTATGATTTAATACATCAACATGTACTTAATTAAATCCATACATGTGACCCTTCTCCATAGCTTATTAAACTAGATAACCAGCAGTTCTCCAATTACCACATCTAACGGCTATTGCAATCATCTCATAATATTAATGTTCATTTCCTAATTGTGCTATCATTAAGCCAAAGAGTTCAGGATCAGTTTCAATTTTCATTAGTCTTTCAATTTAATAACGACCAAAAGTATCGTCTTAATTTAAGTCATAAACAAAAGCATTATTACCCTCTCTTCCACCTCTACTCATAGCAACTTTCCTAGTTCTTACTCCATAGGCATATTTGTCATTGTAACCTGTATTTACTTCTTTCAAAGAACAATTCTAAGCCACTCCTAATTTTATATTACCCATAGATTTTATAAATGACAAAAGCATATCTTTGTCTTATCTTAAGAATATAAGTTCTAAAGCATTTATTTCATTTTCAGGTCCCCATCTCTAGAATAGACTACTAATCTTTTAAGAATTTGCAAATATATCTTCTAATAATTTTTTATTGCCTGTTTTAACAGCACGAATTAATTCTTTATTATTCATAACAATGCTAGTATAATCATGAAATTTAGAATTTGGTCCTTCTAATTAATCACTAATATTTCTTAATTCTCTGTAATTAGGATTAAATTTTCCTTTAATAAATTTAGTTTGTTGAGTAGTTTAAGATTTTGATTTTTTAGATGAACTACTTTTACCTGCTTTCTTTCGTTTGCTATCAACAGAAAATGATTATGATAATGATTATGATTATGATTATGATTATGATTATGATACAGATAAAGATTATTCTTCCTCTTCTTCATCTTCATCCTCCTATTGTGATTATACTGTGCCTCTTTATCTAGTTTCTTTTATAATATATGAAGTATCTTAAATTTTTTAAGATTACTAAGTAATTTGTGAATTTTTATTTTATTTTTTTTTGGCTATTTAAATAACTTATGATTCATCTTCATCATCTTCATTTTAATCACTTTCATCAGTATTATCTTTTTATTATTTTTTATCATTCTTTTTATTAATTTATATATCTTTATGATTTTAAAGAGTTTCAATTTTACTTTTATATTATTTTTACACAGATCCTTTTTTATTTGGTTTTACTACTTCTACCTCTTCTTCTTCTTCTTCTTCTTCTTTTTCTTCTTCACTTTCTTCTTCACTTTCATCTTCACTTTCATCTTATTATTTTTGTTATTTATTTTTCACTTATTTATTTTCTTGTTAATTTTCAACTTGTTTCTTTTAACCTTTTTTGATTGTGTATTTTTTTGGTGGTTCTTATTCTTGTTCTTTTTCCTAATCTTCATCTTCACTCTCTGAACTTACTTATTTTTTTTATTATTTATTGTTGGCGGGAATTTATTTCGTATTTTTAGCAATTTCTTAGAGAGTATCCTGGGGGAAAGTAAAAAAGGTAACAGATGTCTTAGTTTTTGGATTTGGTTTAGTGGATTTTACTTCTACATCATCAACCATTTTTCTAATGTAAATATAAATTTCTTACGTGCGTTCTTTTACAGGCAATAAAAGTTCTTCAGCTTCTTTATAGACTACTTTGCCATCTTTCAATTATTCTTATTTTTCTAACTTTACTACTCTTAATTAAGATCTATGATCATTTGTTTTCATATCTTCAACTACTTTATACAAAATTGGTTTGCCTTTTTCATTCTATCCTAATATTTAATCTTTTTTGTAATGATATGCATAATGTGGTTCTGATTTCTATCCGCGAGTTTTCATTTTATTAAAGGATATTGAAATTATAATAAAATCTGATAAAATATGTAATTGTTCTGCTAAAAGGAATAAATAAATAAATAAATATATATCAATTGATCTTTTCTAAGCTAATACATTCAATTTAACTCCTCAATTCTTTCACTTCTTCTTAAACATTATCGAAATTTGGATGATGATGAGCATACTCAAAATTAATTGGACTATAATCCATTAAGATTCTTCTTTAATGGAAAGGAGATATGTCTTAAGAATGAATACCTTCAAATTATTTTGAATCAAAAGAATCTAATCCTTAAATTAAATTAATTGATGGTTGAATTCTATGTGAAGGAGTTCTATTTTGAATATTCATAAATGAATCATTCCTTATTGAATCATTCTTTGTATTATCATGTTCCTCCTTAATTGATTAAATAGTTTCTAAAGGTTAATAAATTGGTATAGGTTATGGAATGTTAGGTTATTCAGAAAATGAAGAATCACCATCATTATCATCATCATCTGATTTCTCTTCTAACATATGTACTCTCTTAATAAACGAATAAAATCTATTCTTCACTTAGTTTTCCTATGTTTATAATAACATAATTACTGGTCTTCTATCTAACATCTTAGCAATCTCACTCCATTTTGGACCATATATTCGATACTATTCTAAAATTATTTTATCTTCCATAGGTGTAAATTTTTAATGATTAATCTCTGGATCCAAATTATTTAAAAATCTTTCTCTAATCTATTTACTTGACCTGCCTTCCATAAATCCTTCTATAACTTTCCAATTCCGACCATATTATTGAACAAAAAGAATCACACGTTTGTCCTCTTCATCACTCCACTATTTACGTAATTTAGTCTATATATATATAACCTTTCAAATTCTACCTTATTTGGATTTATACGCTTCCATCTTTGTTAACATTGACTTAAGTTCCTTCCAGTGATTTCCTCTGCAATTAAACGCCAGTTGCCATTATGTTTAGTGTGTAATTCAATTAAAAGAGCATCCTCATTAGGTTTCCAAAATTTTCCATACCTTCTTTCTGAAGAACTTGAATCTGAATCCTTACTATGTTTTCTAATCTACTTATTTACAGTAGGTGACCTATTTGTAATAATAATTTAAATACTTGGAGTTTACCCTCTGTCTACTCATTTTTTTTATTTATATAAATGACCCTCAACAAAAATGAATTTTTGAATTAAATCTTTGTATGTAACATTAATCTGAATAATTATCAAAATTAATCATCTTAATTTGTTAAACTTGCAAGAACAAAAATTTATACATTCAAATATAAAAATCAATTTGTATTATTTTATTAATGAATACACATGTTCCTTTAAAAAATAAATAGTTGCATAAAAATTAGAATAATATAATGTTTTATTTATATATGATTATAGATTTTAAAGTAATGTAAAAGTTAATTAAAAAATACAATTTTCCTTAGATTATAAATTAGGAATTTTCATAACAATATATATTAATAATAAATTGATTTTATTTATTAATTTTTATATAAATTTAATTATTGAATATAATGTCTAGAGTATAAAAAGATAGATTACTTAAATTAGGATTAAAAGAAAAAAAGCTAATTCGTTTATTATATCACAAGGATTTAAGTGAAGAGGATACAATATTTTTAAATACAATATATGAAGAAAAGTAAAAAGAATCTAAATATATATTTAGATAATATTTACATTTTACATATGCACTTGCATTACCATGTATGATAGCTTTAAGCACTAATTATGCATTATTTAGATAGAATTCTAAATGGATGTAGGTGGGTTATGTAGCAGTAATAGGATTATCAACACATTTATATTGTAATTCAAAAGTTAATAATCGATTTTATAATTTAACACAGCCTTTTTTCAAGAAATATGAAATAAATTGAGTTAACTTATAATCTTGTAATTTATAATAAATAATATTAATGACTAAAAATACAAAAATAATGATCATCAAATTCTTATTGCTTACTCTTTTTTTCTTTATGTGATTCCATTTGTTAAGAAATTTAGTAAATTCTTACATGAACATTAAACAAATCTATCTTTTTTTGGAGAAAGTAAATCATCATCAATTAAAGAATTCTTATTTGAATTGGTCATTACTGATTTAATAGTAGATGTTTGATTTTGAACTGCAAATCTTTCGAATGTAGTTTAACCAAGAAATATATTTTAAAATTATGTCACAATAAGAGCTGTAATTCCAATAACAAAAATAATTTCTATGAATATATTTAAAGTTAAGATTATCCAAAATGTAAAATCTTCATTAAAAAACTCTAATTCATTCTCATTTCCAATAAAACATTACATAACTGTATTAACTAGAGCATATATTAGTGATGTATCCAAAGAAATTAAAAAAATAATAAAAATCAGATGATTTTCTGCACCAACCTAGAATATATTGGATTTTTTACACAATTATTGATCCAAGGACAATGATGATCATAAATTAATACACATCTTTAACATATATCGCAATGTTTACTCCTTGGTAATTTCACAACATTACAAATAGGACATACATCTTAATGATCATAAGTTGTTATTAAAGTATATAATGGTTCCTATCTTCTAATTTAATATCCAGGATTAGAACATACAATAAAAATAAAGAATAACAATGTAATTCCAAATAATATATAATCGGAGATGATTGGTATAAAATCATCAACCATATATAAATAATAAGAGAGTAATAGAAATATCATAAATCCACCAAATCTCATTAATTCTAATCCTGTTTTTCTAACTCTCTTAATACCTTATTTCAAATTAAAGTATGTGATTAAAAAACCACGTTCTTTAGTTAACATATTATGAATATTCTTAAAGTCATTTTCTTAAGCTAAATCAGCTGGTGTTTTATTTCCATATCCTTTTATTGTTTTATCAGCTCCATAAATTAACAACTTTTTAACTAGTTTTGTATTTCCACTTTAAACAGCTAAATGTAAAGGTGTAAATTAATGAGAATCAAGAGAATTTAATGGGTAATATGGTTTTTTTTTTTCTATTAAAGGCAACAAATAATTTATTGAGTGCTCTTAACCATAAAAGCATGCCCAATGTAAAGCAGAACCTCCATTCAAATCTAAATCGGTCAATTAAATTCCATTTACTAGTGCAAATACAATAGTATTAGGTTGATCACCCTATGCACCTATATGCATAATATTCAAACCTTATTTATTAGTTGCTTTTAAGTTGGCTCCTTTTAATTTTAAAAGAGTCAGTATTTATACATTCCCTCTAAAAGCAGCAAAATGCACAGCTGTAAATCCATCATTAGTTGTAGAATTGATAAAATTCTCCATATTCTGTAGACTATTCTCTCTTCTATCTTAATGGTTTATTATTAATTCACACATTTGAAAACTGTTATTGAAACAAGCATAATGAAGAGCTGTAAATCTTTTTTAATTCTAAATAGCAGATAGATCAAATGGTCCAGATCTTAACAAATTAGAAAATTGTTCAAGATCATTTGATTAAGCAAAGCATAGTAAACGCATCTCTGGAGAAGAATGATCTATTGGTAATTATATTTGAGTTCCAATTGGATTAGATGGAATGAGATTATTCTCTTCTGAATATGTTGTTGATTTTGATGGACTTAATTGCATTATTTATTAATATACTAAATATATGTCACTTCTTCTTGCCCTTTTTTCCTCCAGCAGCTCCTTTATCTCCAGCACCACCAGCAGGGGCAGAAGCAGCAGCAGCTGCAGCTTTTGCAGCTTATTATTTTTTGATTGCTTCTAAGTTGGCTTTAATCTTAAATATAAAATTAAACAATTACTGTAGCCTCATCCATTCTAAAGGTTTGGTGACAAGTTCCACAATAATGTCTATCAAAGTGTTTAGCCATGTACACACCTTATGGACATTAAGGACATTATTTATGTGATCTTTAAACTACTCCTTTGTTGTCAACATTATACAATTTAAGAGTAGCCAACTTAACTTTTCGGTGTCTATGCTTCTTCTTTTTGGGCTTTGCAAAATTCTTCTTCTTCTTCTTCTTTTTCTTTCCACCTTCTGCATCAACTGTGACATAATAGATTCTGTCTCCAGCCAAAATTGATGATGCATTTACTAATTCACCACATTAAACCAATTGAACTTCACATGCTAATTCACAGTTCAAAACATTCATTAATTCATTAGCAGTGCATTAATCTGCCAAATTATATGTTTTCACCTCTCCATTAAGGTGACCCACCTAGATGATCATAATACTTTTAAAAAAAAAGATTTAATTTATATATCAAATTTTCATAACTATGCTATATATTATTAATTCAACTTATCTCTTAAAATACCACTCTAATTTATAACTATTCAATAACTTACCAATTCTCTTGATCATATTAATTAAAACTCAATATGCTCATAAAATCAATACCCAATTCCATTAATAAATTAAGTCATCCTCTTTTTTTTATGCTGATTACACTCTCATTAATATATAAAAATTTATCATTTCCACATTAAATTTTAATAACTTATGTGTAGATGCCACAAACTTTTAAAATTTATAAATATTAACAATCTATTTTTCTGAAAATAAAAGATTATTGTAAAAATGAACATTCTTATTTTACTAATTATTAATTTGTATAACACAATTTTAAATTATATTAATAAGGATAAAATATATATATACCATATACTTATAATTAAATGAACAAATATACAATTGAATATGATAGAAAAATTAATAGAAATTATACAATGAATTAAGAATAATAAAATTGAGGAATATATTGTTAAATAAGAATCAATCATTTTATTTAAAATATTTAATTACTTATTCTATTAATTATAATTAACTTTGCTTTTGATTATCAATTAAATTATATAATTGAATTTTCCTAGAATTTCTAAGAATAATAAGATTTATTCAGCATATAAACATTTAAACCATTTTCGTATCAATAATTAACTATTATCTTTACTATGAGTATATCATTCTATACAGATTCAAAGTTTAAAGGATGAGAATAATAATAGTTTTAGTAAAGTGTTGAGGAATTTTGAATAAAGATTGTTAATATTTTAAGAAACAAATAGATAAAATCTAAATATATTAATTCATTGTGCTTTGTTTTAGAAGCTGATTATTAGTCATTTCATTAACCTAATGCTTCATCAGGTAGATTTATGTATTAACTATAAGAGTCATGAAAATTGTATTAAAATTCATTGAATAGTGGAGGTGAATATTGATCTTAATTTAAATAATCGTCTTAATATTATTGCATAAGACTTATTGGTTCTATATATTATTAAGTCTAAATTTGGTTCTATTAGGGATTTCTATCTATTTCAATTAATGAGGGTTTAGATTTTGGAGTCTTTTTTACTAGTTTTTTTTGTATTGGAATCAATTTGTTCTTTTGCAATGTTTTTGGTGCATCTTATTATTATCGATAATTCTTTAGTAATACAAAAGGTTCTGAAAGCATAATTATTATTTTAATAACTGTATATATATAAAATGAAATAGGATAAAGAAATGCCATTTAATGGTGATTTTGAAGATAGTGATGCAGATGAAGATGATATTTCATAAGAGTCTGAGAGTGAAGAAGAACAAATATAAATAAAAAAGAAGAAGAAAAAAGTTGTAAATTCTAGCAAGAAGTTAATAATGAATGTTTCAGGTATTCAATTCATAATTAAATAGATACTTAGTATCCTGTAGTTAAATTTGTTGGAAAAATGATTTACAAATTTAAATTGTCTTATGTTCCTTATCTTGAAAACAATAATTGGGATTTTTGTTGGACTGATAATGCTGTACTACCTGAAACACTCTCTAAAATGCAACGTATAGATCTAATTTTTATGATAAGCTCATTAAAGAATAAATCATTTTCCAGGTATGTATTCTTTGGCAAGAAAAAATCATCTTGGTCGTAATCTCAATAAAATGCAAAAATAATATCCAGATGAATATGATTTTTATCCAAGAACTTGGATGTTGCCAAGTGAATATGGTGATTTTAAGGCTTAATTCCAAAAGGGCAAAGCTAAAACATTTATTGTTAAACCAGAAGCATCTTGTTAAGGGAAAGGTAATCAATTAATTAAATATATAAAAGGAATATTTTTAACTCGTTCTATTGATTAGATTAATCCTCAAGAACATTATGTTGCTTAAAGATATATTCATAAACCATTATTAATAGATGGATTAAAATTTGATTTAAGAATGTATGTAATGATTTGTGGATGTGATCCATTAAGAATCTATTTATATAAAGAAGGATTAGCTCGTTTTGCTACTTAATAATATTCATCACCTCATTCAACTAATCTTGATGATGTTTGTATGCATTTGACTAATTATGCTATAAATAAAGACAATCCAAATTTTGTATTTAATGAAGATGAAAAGAAGATGGATGTTGGACATAAAAGAAGTATGACTAGTGTTTTTGATTGGTTAAGACTTTAAGTAAATATAATAGCATTTTATATAGAAATAAAATGTAGATTAATTATTGAGTGATATCAAGGATTTAATTATAAAAACATTTTGTGCTGTTCAACCAATATTATAATAAAATTATACTTAAGTAGAAAATTATGCAAACAATATGTGTTTTGAAATTCTTGGTTTTGATATTTTAATTGATAGTTCTCTTAAACCATATTTATTAGAAGTCAATCACACTCCTAGTTTTACAACTGATACTCCTCTAGATTCTTACATTAAAAAAAATCTAATTAGAGATGCAGTTACATTAATGAATATAAATGTGAAAACAAAGAATGAAATCATTTCATAGAAGAAGGATCAAATGTAAAAAAGAGTCTTTACTGGAAAAAAGGCTAAATTATCATATGAAGAAAAAAGAGTCTTGAAAATGTAAGCATAGAAAGAAAGGGATGAATATGAATTAAAAAACAAAGGAGATTTTGAATTGATATATCCGTGTGATAAATCATATGATGAATTCCTATAACATGCTTAGAAATTATATGAAGACTGGACTGGAGCAAGTATAATATATTTTAATGACTTATTAGATATTAGAAGAAATTTAAAAAGAGATACTATTTCTGAATAGCCTAAACCATAATCTTGTACATAGAAACCTATACTTACATAGAAAAGTTAATTGTATAAGCATGTTTAAAGCAAAGTCAATACTAATTTATATCCTACTAAAATTACTAAGGCTGATTAAGAAGTCACTTAAGAAGAACCAGAGTAAACTTTGTAATAAGTACGAGAACCTATTTAATCCTAACCCTAGCTTGAACCTGATAATTTTGTAACTTATGAAGATTATCAATAATCAGAATCATTAAAAGACTTATATAATTTTGCTGAAAAGAGAATCCCAGAAATATAGCTTATTGACTTAATTTAATTTAGAAGAGCAGAAAGCAAATAAGATAATTCTAGTTTCTAGATTATTTAAATGAGTCAATAAAATTCCTTATCTAATTTATCTCCATTAATGTAAATAAAATCAATTTAAGATTAAAAAAATGAAAAGAAATTTTCAATTAGAAAAAAAAATAAATAATCTAAATAGATTGATTAAGAATAAGTAAAAAATAATATAATTTTAATTATAGTTATACTTTCAACAATAATCACATTATTAACCACCAATCTAATAGCATTCAATTTCTTATCAATAATAAGTATAGATGCAAAATGGTTCATTTGTAAAACCAAAAGTTTTTAGTATAAAATTGTAGCATCCTCCAAAGGGATATAAATTGTAATCACTTCCTATTTTAATGTAATAAAATTATACAAAATAACGGTAAGAGTAAGGAGTATGAATTTCGTTTTTCTTAAATAATTGTTATCATATATTTTTTATCTTTCTTTCTCATTCTTTTAAATTCTTTCAGTATAGAAATCAGAACTTTAATTTTTAATTTCATTATTAAATCCTTATTTTTATTACAAAATTAATTATATTACTATAAAGAATAAATTATACCAATATTGTTAAATATTTAGAAGATTTATTATGAATCTATTTCATTTATATATGCTATATAGTATAAAAATAATTGATTTTTTAAGTTTATTCATCTCTTTATATATTAAAAATACATAATTCTAAAAGAATATATAGCCGTTATGAAAGTTATTGAGTTCGGTTGCTTTTTTGAAGTAAATAACAATATGATTTAGACATTTAAATTTAAAAAACGTATTTTTAGTATTCAAGTTAAGTTCTGATGTTTATCAAAGATTTATTATTATAATATGATCGAATAATTTTAAGTTTAAGGATCAAAGGATAAGTATATTGTCTATAATAAAGTATTGGGAAAGGGAGCTTATGGGGTTGTTTTGTTAGCCAAAGCTGTTATCTTAGGTAGTTATCATGCTGCTAAAATTGTAATACCTTTTTAATAACTTCTTAAGATTAGTAAAAAGTCTCTTTCCTAGACAGACATTTCCAATTTAAGAAATGAAATTAATATATAATCCAAACTAACTCATCCAAATGTTGTAGCTATGATTGAAGCATTTGAAGACAATGAATATTTATATATGTTACTTGAGTATTGTAATGGAGGATGTCTATTTACTAATATTCAATTAAGTGGACCTTTAAGAGAGGATAAAGCATTATAATATTTTGTAAAAATTGTTAAGGCAGTTCAATATTTACATTCAAAGAATGTTTTACATAGAGACATAAAGGTAAAAATATCAACTATTAGAGTAGCTATCAAATTTACTTTTAACATCTGAAGATCAAATTAAATTAGCTGATTTCACTTGGAGTACATCTCTTTAAGGTGGTTATGTTAGTCCTCAAATTTGTGGAACACTTGAATATATGCCACCTGAAGTGATAGGAAATAAAGTCTAAAATGAAAAATTAGATATATGGAGTTTAGGAATTGTATTATATGTATAAATCATAAATAAATATAATAGGAAATGCTTCATAATGATTTTCCTAAAATTGGATCATTGTTTTTTAAATTTGGAATTAGTGATGAATGTAAATTATTGGTCAAATAGATGTTGGAAAATGATCCATATCGAAGACCTACAACTGCTGAAATTTTAATTAGTCCTTGGGTTAGAAGATTTCATAGATATAAAGAACTTTCTATTAATATCATTAAAAGTTCAAACAATTTATAGGATCAAAAAGGAATAAATTAATACTCTTTTTAAACAGGTTCACCATTAGGTTCTCCATTAAGAGCAGGTTTAGGAACTCCTTAAATAAATGGATTAGGTTCTCCTTTGAGAAATCAATTAGGTTCTTCATTTGGATTTTCACTTAATAATGGTCTTGGATCTCCACTTGGATCTCCTATACAATCCCCTATGAATTCACCTCTTGCAAACATTGGTAAACGTGTTGCTACCGAACCAACTAGAATTAGTGCTTAAAAATTGGTATGATTTTGCTTTTTCAATTTCTTTAAATATCAATCTTTAGTGTTTAAAATATTATTCTTATTTTCTTGATAATATTAATTCTAATGTTAAGAAATAATTCGATGAATTATCTCTTTATTCTTAAATCTATATTTTAAGTAATGTGTTATGGAATTGTTTAAAATTAAATTATGAGTTTGAGTAATGAATGAAATCAAATAAAGGAGTCAATATAAAATATTCAAATGTGTAATTGAAATTTAGTAATTTTATATATGTACTTTTTATGTTTGTTTCTATTTTGATATTGAATTCATTAAAATCTATAAAATATTTAGTTTTATATTATAATATATTTCTAAATATCTAATGAATAGATATTAGGTTATTAATAGAATAATAATAATATATATACTAATTTTTGTTGAGAATAAGTGATTAAAAATTTCATTAATTAATAAGTATGATGTATATAGATTTCATTCTTTAAAAATCTGATGATAATTAATTTGATTTAGCAATATTTAAATTTTTAATTAATTAAGAAATAATATATAATGTAATCTGGAAACAATATTTTTGTTTTCACTCAACAAGACTTCTAAAAATGTTTTGTTGTTAATTTAAACCCTCCTCTGGGTCAAGGACATGATGCTAGAGTTTATTTGGCTATGCATAAGAAAACAGGAGAAATGTTTGCTCTAAAAGTGTTAACTAATTTATCATAGGATCACATAAGAAATCTCCAGGTTTAATTACAATTTATTTAGCGAACGAAATACAAATTCTTAAATGCATAGATCATGCAGGAACAGTTTTGTTGAAAGGATACGCTTAAGATTATACTTGTGTTCTATTAGAGTATATGCCCAATGACACATTTTTAAAAGTGTTAAAAAAAGGTCCATTCCAATTGTCATTTGCAAAGACTTTGGCATCCTATCTTACAAGAGTGCTTGTTACACTTCATGCAGCTTCTATTGCCCATTGTGACATAAAGCCTGAGAATATTTTAATAGCCGCAGATTACAATTTGAAACTTTGTGATTTTGGTTTTGCTCGCATCTGTAAAGAGCCTTTAAGACCTCCTGGAGGTACTCCTGGATACACTGCACCTGAGATGTACATAAATCCATAAGTAAATCTATTTAAATGTGACGTATTTGCTTTGGGTGTAGTATTATTTATTGTAGTCATGGGATTCCCTCCATTTTAAACAAATGATCCTAATGTAAAAGATGGATGGTGGGGTTTAATATAGAGTAAATAATTTGATCTCTTTTGGAGCAAATGCGAATAATTTAAGTAATAACAATTACCATAAGAATTCAAAAATTTGATAATGTCAATGTTAGAATGTGATCCAGAAAAAAGGATATCTTTGTAATAAGTGTTAGAACATGAATTTTTAATGAATGGAGCTCCAGAAGAGGAAGTTTTGTAGGAAATTGAGACAAGAGTGAAAGAATGATTGAAAATTTAGAATAATATTCAAAAATATACATAAATTTAATAATAAATAATGAGTTTATCACAAAACTCTTATGAAAGTGCATCATCAGCATAATCCAACTCTGAAGACTTAGCTGGAAAGTTATCTTGGGGAATTGTAGAAGTTTTAGTTAAGGGTACAATTTGTGGAATAGTACATTTATTAGTATTTACAGTATTAAAACAAAATATTATTACCAATAAAGTGAGGTGAAAAAAGAATATCATTATTATTAAAAATAACATTATAATTATTTTATTATCATCCAGATGTAGAGGCTCTTGAAACCTATTCAGATATAACAGCCTGTCTTGTAGAGAATGGATAATGCAAGATCAGATTGTTCGGCTGATGAAGATCTTAGTTTTATAGAAATTTTAAGAGCCGAAGCTCAAAATCCAATGATAAAAAACTTCTCACAGGAGGATTCTATTGTAGATGACACAAAGGATTTGGAAGAATTCCTTAATTCTCTTGATTGAAATCAATGATACAAGAGGAAAACCACTTCATAGTGCAAACCTCTTTTTCGACTGATTATAATACATAAACTTTTAATCAAAAATACCCATAAAATCTAATTATTTAGATGAAGCCATCAATTATTTTACTTCATATTCCAATTAATAATAATAGGAATTTCCAAAATTTTATCTGAAAACAATATTATTACCATTATTTTTGAACTATAATACTTTTCCACAAAATTCCCATATTTTCAAAAATCCCACTAAAATGACTATAATTTATTCCTTTAAAAGTTTCTTCATCTCCAATAGTGAATATCAAAATTCACTTTAAATTAGAAGTTTGAAGTGTATATCATAATAGACAGATTCGTTTTTTGATTTTGAGTCATTAAGATGTATAATAAATTGAAGAAGAATTACAAAATACATAAATTAGAATATTTGAATTGAAGAATAATAAATTAAACAAGTACTATAAATGGTTTGAAAATATCAAATAATATAAGTTAAACAACTAGTATTTATATTGATATTTTTGCAATGAAATATACAATATAATTCTAATTAATTCATGTTAATAATTGTCAAATATATTTTTGATCAATTATTTTATACAAATTCATCTTATTCTAATTATTGTATTCAACCTCTTAATTAGTAAAGCATTAGTCGTTGAATGTGATATAATATATATATATATAAATATAAATTAATTATTAATGAATAAAGATAAATATAAGAAGGTAAAAGGAGATCCAAATCGTTCTAGGTCACGAGACAAAGAAAAAAATGAAGTACTAAGATTTCCTCCAATAAATTAAGAATAATTTAGAGCAGTTGTTATTGAATTTATGCTTAGTGATTAATTTGATTACCCTATATCAGGTGGTGAATTATACACTTACATAAATACAATATTTTTAGTATTGCATTAATTGATTCATTTAAGACAAAAACAAGTACTCCATATTTGAGAAATCTCTAAATTGAACCAATCTTAATTTAATTGTCTGAAGCTGGTGCAATCAATCTATCGAAATTAGCAGTAGGTACATATTTACAGGATTTCATTTTATCAATCTCAAAGGAGAAATTGGGTTAAATGAATATATAATATTCAAAGGATAAACCAAAGTAAATGCCAACAGTTGAAGAATGGATTAAAGAGGAAATTAGATCTATTACAAGTGGATAAACATTTTTAAAAATTGATCATTTATTAGATGAAGCTAGAAATTAAAAAACTAATGTTAGTTTATTACCAAAGATTGCTGCTTAGAAAAAAAGATTAATTGAGAATGTAGGAAATATTAGTTTAAAATATGAAGACAATGTTGTTTAATTAGCATTAGAAAGGAAAAGAGCAGCTTTATTGAAAACTGAAAATTATGATGAAGAAGAAGCAAAAAGAAAATTTACAGAAAGAGGATTATAAATATGTGAAAATTTTACTAGAGATAAATGTAGAAATGTTTAATGTTAAAAAACTCATTTTAGAAAAATACTAAAAGCAAATACATAAACTAAATTAGGTAATTGTACATATTTGGATTAATGTCCTGAATAAGAATAATGTAAATATATACATTATATTCTTGATGGAAATGATGTTGATTGGTAAAAAAAAATATAAACAGCTTTATCTAATCATAAGAGTATGGCACCTTAATGGATTAATTGTGATTTAAGAATCTTTGATTTTAGAGTCCTTGGAAAATTCGATGTTATTATGGCTGATCCTCCTTGGGATATACATATGAATTTACCTTATGGAACATTAAAAGATAAAGAAATGAAAGCATTAAGAGTAGATTTATTATAAAATGATGGAATCATTTTCTTATGGGTCACTGGAAGAGCAATGGAATTAGGTAGAGAATGTTTAATTCTTTGGGGTTATAGAAGAGTTGAAGAATTAGTTTGGATTAAAGTAAATCAATTACATCGTATTATCAGAACAGGTAGAACAGGTCATTGGCTTAATCATAGTAAAGTAAATTATCATCTCATCTTATAGGAACATTGTTTGATTGGAATCAAAGGAAATCCTCAAATAATCAAAGGATTAGATTGCGATGTAATTGTCTCAGAAGTTAGGGAAACTTCCAGAAAACCTGATGAAGTTTATGGTATTATCAATAGAATGTGTCCAAATGGAAAAAAAGTAGAATTGTTTGGAAGACCTCATAATTGTAGACCTAATTGGATCACTCTAGGCAATTAACTTCCAGGAGTCTATCTCAAAGATGAAGGTATAAGACAGAGGTATTTAAATCTATTAAATTATTATAGATTCATGGAAGCTTATCCAAGTGTAGATATTTCAGAAAATAATATGAATGATAATTTGAATTAGATGTCTAATTAGGAAAATCTAAATGTAATCTATAATAATCATATTGGAAAAAAAGAATGAATTATAAAATAATAAAATTAACAGACTTTTAGTTATTTAATTGCAAACTAATCATAAACAGTATAATCATCAATTAAATCTCAAATACATCAGATCTCTATGACTTCATATTATTTTAATCTCTCTTCATAAACTTCAAATACTTCTTTTTAAATGAATAATTCATAATTCAACATACTCAAGAATTCCATTTCTAATTCATTTATCTCCTTTAATGATAATCCTCCAACTTTTGCATAATATTCATTCTTATAATATTCATCATCATAATACTTTATGGCAACCATTATAGAAACTATCATAAATCAATTCATAATTATAATATCATACCTATGAATACAATTTGAATTAAGCACTACATCTTAGTGCAATTCCTAAACTTTATCTAGATAAATTAATGCAAAAACAAAGCAAACACTATTGCAATGTGTATATTTTGCAATCCTCTGAATGTAATTCTGAATTGATATAGATGGAGCCCGTGATGTATGAAATACAGAAGCCTATTACAAACTCAGGGAATCTGTTTCCTTTAAAATTTCTTCTAAAATTTTTGCTATTGTGATAAGCAACTAATTTATTGGTTGCATTTACAAATTAGATATTGATCAAATAATTATATTTGTTAATATAATAAAATATATCAATATATTATCCTCATTCATAATTAATGTAACTCATCAGCATCTCATAGACAGAAGGCTAGTTGTTATTATTTGAATTCTCTTATTAAGGAACCATTTAGAATTAAGGTGCAAACATTGAGCTTTTAAATTATTAATTCAAAGGTTATGGTTATGATTAATCTTATAAGAGAGATTGATTTTAATAATTGAATTATTATGTTTAATTTAAGAAATTTTTCTATTATTCTTATCTAATTTATTCTTTTTTTAATTCTTCTAATCGAATATTTTCTTATCTAATTTGCTCATTTTTTATTTGTTATTTTATTTATTCTTATCTTAATTCTTCTTGTTTTATTTATTCTTATCTAATTTATTCTTATCTAATTTATTCTTATCTAATTTATTCTAATCTTTATTATTCTTATTTTAATTAATTTTATCTTTATTATTCTTATCTTTATTATTCTTATCTTATTTATTCTTATGTTATTTAATCTAATCTTTATTATTCTTATTTTAATTATTCTTATCTTATTTATTCTAATCTTTATTTTTCTTTTTAAATCTAATCCAATTTAATTTATTCTTCTTATTTTTTTAGTTAATCTTATGTTATTTTATTTTAAACAATACAATCCTATTTATTTTATTATTGTTATGAAACCATAACTTGTTTAAATAGATCTGTATTTGATTATTAATTTATCGTTTCTTAAGTATTTCCATTTAAATTTTATTCTTATTATTTTTGATGAAAAACATTCTAAGTTTAAGCTACTACTGATTTAGGCACATATGGACATTCATCATCTTCATGTTTTGGTACATAGATATATTTAGGTTAATATGTGTTTTATAAAGGGATATTAGGTTTTTAATTTAAAAACTATTTTCTACGTCCATCATTTTTAATATTGTTTCTATCATTATCAAATTTCTCATATTTTCGATTTTGATAATTGAATTTTCTTGGAGAAACTTCTCTTTTTCTATCTCCAGAGATATTTCTTCTTTAATTTCTTTAATTTTCATTAACATTAGACTATCTTTATGAATCATTTTCTGGCTCTTGTTTATTAGTCACAGATTATGATCTCTTAGGTTTTTAATTATTTTTATTTGATTGAGACATCTTATAAAAGAGAGTTTTCCTTTTACTAGTAATTTCAATCCAATCATCATCATTGTCTTATTAATTTTGATTTTAGATTTAAATGCTAATGAATTCATTCGCAATCTCTCTATTGAAATCGAACTGCTTATAAATTTTGTACAAAGCAAATTTCTTTTTAATTGTAAATTGAATTTACTTAGAAACTAGGATACTATTGAGAGATTAATTTAATGTCTTATTTGATTTCCTAACTCAATTTATTTTTGTTTTCCTAATATTCTGTTTCATACTTTTCTTTAATGGCTTTATTGCCTATTTTCAATTATTCTTCTTATTGTAATCTTTTCTTTTCAGCCTCTTTCTATAATCTCTCTGCAATATTCATCTTCAAATGTTAGAAATAATTTAAATAATTTTTAATTAATACACAATAATATTTTTAAATAATCAATCATAATAATCAAATCCAATTTAGATATCATATACAAATAAATATATTTCTGATTATATTCTACATTAAATGTATATCCAAATATATATATATATATATTTGTATTATCAAATAAATATAATTATGATAAATATTTATGATATAAATATGATAATATTTTTCTAACATAAAAATCATAAATGTTGAGATAATCATTTAACAAAATATGTAGAAAAACCAAGTTTTAGAGATTCACATGTTACTTTAGTAATTATTCTTAAAAGAATCCTGCAATGAAATATGATGATGAGTTTAGAACAACTATAAATCATGAAGGCAAATTACTACCAAATTCAGATCATTCCTTTATAGCTGATCATGATGACAAATATGGATTATAACATATTAGAGATCCTGCAAAGATATTAACACATCTAAAATCAGTTGAATTTAAATATTCATTCAATGATTTGATTTATTTTTTGCGACATCTAGTTCACATTTCAGAAGAACATGGTATAAGATCATAGATAATGAACAATTATAATTTTAAAGAATTTTTAAACCATATTAAGAAATGTTTAATAACAAATCAACATGATAAATTTCCATTAATTGGATCCTATGCATATTGTCTAAACAAATTGGATATTAATGATAGAGAAATGTGGAGATTATTGGAATACAAAATATTAGAAGATTAATATCATACAACATTTGATGAAAGTGTCTTTGCAGCATAAGGATTTTGTAAATTACCATTGATGTATTATGGTTAAAGTGAAGAAACCATATAAAATAAGATTGATAAGGTTTATAAAAAATTAGAAAGAGTTATTCGAATAACTATTTGGGAAGTCAACCCTATTCATTATCACTCTATAGCTATGGCATTAGCCAAAGTAAATAGATTTGATCCTGAAATGTTTGCTAAATTAGAATAACATATATTAACTAATTTATCCTTAAATTACACTACTAAAATGATGGTTGATATCTTATTCTGTTTTGCAAAGGGAAAACAAGGATCTTTGGAATTTTATGATTCAATGTAATATGTGATATTTAAAGGTCATATGTTCAATAGAAACTTTTTCTTATAATCCCTTTCTGAATTAAGTTATGATGGTCATCTTGTAGCAAAATTATTAGGAATCTACAAAGAAGCATAGGATAAATATCATGAATTTCAATTGCATCCAGATTTTTAAAACAAAGTTCATAATCTAATGGTCAATAGATTAACTTATTATGATTTAGAATCTCTAGTAACTACTATGACTCTTCTTCCAACTTTTATTAAAGATGATTTTAAAAATATTCAAAATAATCTAATAAATCGAGTAACTTAAATTCCAGGTTAATTCTAAATTCAAGATATTATTAAATTTTATGAGTTCATTGAATAGAACTATGATGATATCAAGAATGCTCCAATATAATAAATGCATTTTGTTGAAGATAATCTTTACAAATATAGTGATTCTGTTAGTATGGATGATTTAATTATCATATTGCAATATTTGGTATAGAATTAATTTGATTTATTTTTTAGTATGAGAGACCCAAATTCATATTATAGCCAGATAAATTTATCAATCAAGTTATTAAGACTTTTGATTAGAATATAAATTTAATGACTGCAGCCTAGATAGATATGTTGACATCTCTCTTTTAGCCTTTTTTGGAGTTTCAATAAAAGTAGATAGGAGATTCTTTAAATATAAAGAATACTTTAAAAAAGTTAAAAGATATTTAACTAATTAAATAATATTATTAGAAATAAATTGAATGAAATATTTATTGTATATAGATATTTACATTAATAAATAATTATGGTTATAAAATTACTCAAATATAATTTATTAATGCCATTTAACAATAATAAAAATGGAAAAGAAATTTATCATTATTTCATTAGAAGGTAATATAGGAGCAGGTAAATCAACTTTATTTGAAATCTTAAAACAATAATATCCATAAGCTATTTTTCTTATGGAACCTTTAGAGTAATGGCAAAAAATTAATGGGAATTCTAACCTTAATATTTTAGAGAAGTACTACTAAGATGTAGATAGATGGGGTTTCACTTTTTAAATTTATGCTTATTAATCTAGATTAATGGCATGGGATAGATAATTATAATAAGTGTTACAAAATAATTAATAAAGCAAAGAACCAGTATTAGTATTTACTGAAAGAAGTATTGAAAGTGCAAGAGAACTCTTTTTTAAATTATGTTATAATGATGGAAATATTAGCTAAATAGAATATGAAATTTATGAAGAATTTTATTAATGGTTAATGAATCATTATCCATAATATTTGATAGATTGTGTAATATATGTTAATACTCCACCAGAAGTATGTCTATAAAGATTGATAAAAAGAGGAAGATCAGAAGAAGTATCTGTGCCACTTGATTATTTAAAGAAATTACACTAAAGACATGAAGATTGGTTGTCTCAAAAATCTAATAGATTCTAAACAATTAAAATTGATGCAACTTTAAATTATGTATAAGATTAGAAAATAAAAGAGAATATGCGACAACTGTTAGTATTGGAGATATAGAAATTATAGAAGTTGCTCAATTGAATTGGAATGTACTTGTGATTTTATTATTATAAAATATCCCATTAACCTAATCGTTTATACCTAAATAATTTTTAATTTATGAATAGATTATCCTAGTTGAGTGGACAATTTGATGAAGAATAGAAATTGCTGTAGCAGATAACTGAATTGGAAAAGTAATCATTCAAAATATTCTAATCTTTTAGTTGGTTCAAGAGTCCACGCTTCAATAATGTCTTGCGTCCATATACAGCCAAATAAGTTGCTGAAGTTAGAGGATCGATTGTACCTAATCAATATTCTGATTTCATGTCAAGAAAATTCTATAATCTGATGATGGATTTAAAATAAAGCAAAGGGTATTTGCTAATTATGATGATAGTTTCTCTCTTGCATGTGGAGCTTTAGATACTGTTTAGGTTATCAACATGTCTAAATACATGACATCAATATATGTATCAGGTTGGCAATGCTCATCTACAGCTTCTACTACTAATGATCCAGGTCCTGATTTTGCTGATTATCCATATGACACTGTACCTAAGAAATGTGATCAGTTAGTCAAAGTAATCATAAAATTGATGGTAGATGCAAAGATTTTAAGACAGACGGTAGTAATATGAAAGAAGTTTAATTACTGCTGAATAACGAAAATAAAAAAAACCTTATGATTATCTAGTTCCTGTAATTTGTGATGCAGATGCTGGATTTGGTGGTACAAGTAGTGTAATGAAATTGACAAAATTATTTATTGAATCTGGTGCTGCAGGAATTCATTTAGAAGATTAAAGACCTGATTTAAAAAAATGTGGTCATATGGCTGGAAGAGTAGTTACATCTACTAATACTCATGTCTAAAAACTCATAGCATCTCGACTTTAAGCTGATATTATGGGAAATGAGTTATTTATAATTGCAAGAACTGATGCATTAGGTGCACGATTCATTGAAACAAATGTTGATTTAATTGATTAACCATATATCCTTGGTGTAACCAAATTTCATGATAAACCTTGTACTTATCCAGAAGCAGGAGTTTTTATCATTGAATAAATGATAGACAAAGAAAAAAGAATATAAGCAACTAATTAATGGTTGAAATAATGTGAAACAGGTGGAATCAAGAAAGCTAAAGAATTAGCAAAGAGATTAGGATTTGAATTAGATTTTGATTGGGAATAATGTAGAAATCCAGATGGATTCTATGCACTTAAGAGTAGTGTTCATTATTGTGCAATAAGAGCTAAAGTACTTTATATTTATTAATATAGGAATACTTAAAATATTCTGATGCTTTATGGATGGAAACTTCAACTCCTGATTTAAAGGTTGCTAAAGAACTTTCTGATGAATTACAATTTGAACTTTAAAATAATAAAGTCCTTTGTTATAATTGTTCTCCAAGTTTTAATTGGAGTAAATTTGGATTTTCAGATAGTGAACTAAAAAATTTTAATTCAGAATTAGGAAAATTAGGATATACTTGGCAAGTTTACATTTACTAATATATATGTAGTTTATTACGTTAGCAGGATTTCATTTAAATGCATTACAAAGTGAAAGATTCTCTAAGGATTTATCAGAAAGATATATGTTGGCTTATGTGGAAGATATTTAAAGAAAGGAAGAGAAACATAATGTTGATTAATTGAGACATTAAAAGTAATCTAAATTATCTATATTAATTTAGATGGTCTGGAGCTGAATTAATTGATCATGTCATGACTATTGTTAATCAAAGTACATTGATATCTTCAGGTGAAGACTCAACTGAACATTAATTCGACAATAAATGATTACGTTTTAAATAAATATATAATGATATCAATATGTCAAAATATAAGACAGGCAACATATTCATCAGCTCTAACTGCCTTATTCTTCTCAAAATTTAATAAACATTCTTTTAATATATTATCTAATTGACTTTTACTAGTGATTGAACCTATTGTAGTTGTTTATGTTTATTTAGCTTCAAAACTAGAACAATCATTAAATTTATGATCCATATTTCTTGGAGAATAATATTATGATTAATCATATATCTATTTTACTGTTAATTATGAATCCTATAACTAATTTTAACCTAGTTTTGGCGTTTCAGCATTTAATTAATTATCTCTTTCTTTCCTTATACATTCTAATATTCTTGTTGTATGGACAGTAATTGTTTTCTAATTTATTAATTCTCCATCAGATGCATTGTATTTGTGATCTTTTTTTATTGTTTCAGGTTCTGTTAAAGAAAATGCTCTCTTTTTAGATTTTTACTAATTTCCTAACTAATTTAAGTGTTATTATTCCTCTTGTCTAGGAGATTGAGCAAATGAACTAAATATATGTGAATATTTATTATCACTCACACTTTGAAAATTATCTAATGGGGCAATCTTAAAAACGGGATTCTAACTATTATAATTACATATTTATAATACAATTGTGTTTTATCAATATTATGTATTACATTTGATTGAGATGAATCAATCCTTATACTCTCATTTGAAATTGATTTTGAATCTTTTATTTTCTAAACAGTATTCATTATTTATAGCATTTATCAGTTAGATTTATGGATTATATTTATATTATAATCTGCATTTATATGGTTTTATTAAAATTTACTCAATTAAACATATAATTAATCATATTTTCAATGAATTCATCAAACTTATATAAAAATATTTTAATATGCATTTATTAATCTCTAAATCAATTAATTATTATTCATACTATTTTCAATTCCTACATAAATTATCATTTTATAATCAGGCATCAACTCAAATTTTATAATACCTTCTACATTATACTATTTTAATCCAAACTATGCAATATATTTTATTTCATCCAAACCTTAATTATAACTATTAATTTTATCTCGATTTTTTATAATAAAACATTAATTTAATTTAGTAATATCTTTATGATCAGTTAAAACTAATTGATTGTATTCAAATACTTCAGACCTATATATTTTTGAAGTCTTCCATCTAGTTTGATATCTATTTTAATTTATTTAATGATATTATATCAAACATAAAATTTGAATTGGCAATAAAATTTATTCAATCTTATTACTATTTCATTAATATCATAACTTACTTATAATTTATTTCCAATATTGGCACTTCATTCATTTCTGTTTCTCTTACTTTAATACTTACTTCCAAAATCATTTATTATTTATAATATATATTTTACTATATCTCTGGAAAAGATGTCCAAATAGTTTTAAAATTCATTAAATTTTTAATACATGCTTTTAACTTCAAACATTAAAAGCCAGTTTCTAAATATAAACCATAATTTATATAATAATTGAAACTATTCTATTGAACTTATTTGATAACTCCAATTTTTAGATCTTAATTATCAACAAAAATTGTATGATTGATTCTATTCAAATGGTAAATTTTATACAATGTCAAATTATTTTGATTTATAAGTTAATTTTATAAAAAATTATGAAATTTAACAACAATTCCTTTATGAGGTTGAACTTTCTTTTTATAATACGATTCTGCAGTTTTATAAGGAAATATAATTATTTCACTTTTCACAGGTATCTTTTATTATTGAGTTTTTGTAAATAAATTTTGGACATTTTCAACAAAATCTATTTGTTTATTTTAAAAGTGCTAATAATCAAAATATGGTATACTAGTTTAAGTTTATTCTCTTTTATTTGAATTATTTCTTTAAGTAGCCTAATCAAGATTATTATTACTTTTAGGTATTTGATTTTCAAATTATATTATCTATTCCTATCCTGATTGCTTTTTTTATTTTTATAATTCTCTATGTAATTCTATATTTTATTGATTAAGAGAAATAGATTAAATTTAATGTTTTTGACTCTCCTTTAATTATATTTATAATTGTTATTCAAGATTATTTATTTTCTCTTTATACTAATTTTCTTCTTTTTTTTTCAATGCCTCCAACTATCGTAATTATTATTTATAGTTTATTAATTCAGCTTAACATTATTATAAATCTTAATTATNAATATCTTTATGATCAGTTAAAACTAATTGATTGTATTCAAATACTTCAGACCTATATATTTTTGAAGTCTTCCATCTAGTTTGATATCTATTTTAATTTATTTAATGATATTATATCAAACATAAAATTTGAATTGGCAATAAAATTTATTCAATCTTATTACTATTTCATTAATATCATAACTTACTTATAATTTATTTCCAATATTGGCACTTCATTCATTTCTGTTTCTCTTACTTTAATACTTACTTCCAAAATCATTTATTATTTATAATATATATTTTACTATATCTCTGGAAAAGATGTCCAAATAGTTTTAAAATTCATTAAATTTTTAATACATGCTTTTAACTTCAAACATTAAAAGCCAGTTTCTAAATATAAACCATAATTTATATAATAATTGAAACTATTCTATTGAACTTATTTGATAACTCCAATTTTTAGATCTTAATTATCAACAAAAATTGTATGATTGATTCTATTCAAATGGTAAATTTTATACAATGTCAAATTATTTTGATTTATAAGTTAATTTTATAAAAAATTATGAAATTTAACAACAATTCCTTTATGAGGTTGAACTTTCTTTTTATAATACGATTCTGCAGTTTTATAAGGAAATATAATTATTTCACTTTTCACAGGTATCTTTTATTATTGAGTTTTTGTAAATAAATTTTGGACATTTTCAACAAAATCTATTTGTTTATTTTAAAAGTGCTAATAATCAAAATATGGTATACTAGTTTAAGTTTATTCTCTTTTATTTGAATTATTTCTTTAAGTAGCCTAATCAAGATTATTATTACTTTTAGGTATTTGATTTTCAAATTATATTATCTATTCCTATCCTGATTGCTTTTTTTATTTTTATAATTCTCTATGTAATTCTATATTTTATTGATTAAGAGAAATAGATTAAATTTAATGTTTTTGACTCTCCTTTAATTATATTTATAATTGTTATTCAAGATTATTTATTTTCTCTTTATACTAATTTTCTTCTTTTTTTTTCAATGCCTCCAACTATCGTAATTATTATTTATAGTTTATTAATTCAGCTTAACATTATTATAAATCTTAATTATGTTGACCAACATATTAATTGGTCTATTATGTTTAATCTCTAGTACTTAATTATTATTGAAGACTTAATATCGTTTAATTTATCTGCTTATTCTCATCCATTAATAAACCAGATTTTTTCCTCTCAGTCTTTAATTGTTATTTAAGTTCAGAAATTTCCCTATTTAATTGATTCTAATCCTGAAATTAATTAATCGTTCGATTATAATTTTCTGTTAATTCTCTATTTTAATTTATTAATTAGGTTATATCACTATTATATTAGCTTTATAAATTTTCTATTTCCTATTATATCTTTTGTTTGTCCTCTTTTAATTTAGATATTTTATATCGCTTATTTTCTATTTTAAGGCTATTTTCTTCACTCTATCTCTACAGTTATAAATTCAATTATCTTATTTATTCAATTAAATTATTATTCATTCTTTCGAGATCTTATTATTAAATTGAATTATTTTTCAACTCTCTATAGTTAATTTACAATTACTTTAATTAGCCCTCTAATAGATTTCTCTACTAATTTGATTCTGTAATTTATTGTTCTAAATTTGATACTTTTTTTTCATGTTCCTATTGTATAATTTATTTTTCTTTTTCTTTTTGCTCTATTTCATTATATTATATTTAAAAATCTTCCATTTATTATTCATAATTTAATTTATCTTTCTATTATTCTGGAACTTATTTTGTATATTTCTCAACTTTATTTCTATAGTTTTATAGAGTTAATTCATTCTTTTGTAATTTTTCAAATAATTAACAGAGAACCTTTAAGTAATCACTAATCTCCATAAGTTCCAAAATAATATCTTCATCACATTACCTTAAGAATTCGTCAAATTTATTATCTAAATCTTTCATTAGTTATTCTAAGCTTTAATTGACCTCTGTTAAATCTTTAATATATTATTAGGTTGATTTAAATTCTTTTCTTAAAGCTTTTTTTGATAATTAATTTTTCAATTAGTTAAATGTATTTTTCAATTCCTGAGCTTTTGAAATTATTTCTGCCTCTTTTTGATCTATAGGAGTAGAAATACTGCTAGATTTACGAATTAAGATTGGTTTTTTAACTTTAATTTACTTTTATTGTTAATCTTACTAAATTATTTGTGAAGTTTATTACTTTCGATTTGATTTATTTTCATTTTGATTCTTAATTAAATTTTAAAAGAGTATTTAGAATTAAGAGGAGATATTTTTTTAGATTTCATCTATCTTATAATATTTATATTCATGTGGAAATTTTATTTTTTTCACACAAAGTTTACAATATGTCTCAAAAAAAAGTGTTTGTGTAATTTAATCACTTTTAAAAATATATGTTTTCGCCCATACTTCTATACTCTCTAAAATAATTCTCAATAAACTAATTCCATAACTGGATTATTCTTTATTTGGAGTTTCTGAGAAATAATATCTCCCTCTGTCATCACTAAGATCGTCCTTTTTGAACTCAGCTATTTTTTCATATTCGGGCAAACAAACTTCTTAAAAAATAATGTTAAAATCCATATTTTGTTGTTCTACTGAATCTTTACCTAATCTAGCAGCCATTAAATTTTAAACATGATCTTTAACGTTCAGACCTTAAATTATCGCATCACATATTGGTTAATAGACATTCCTAAAATGATTTATAGTTTTACTCATCTTGATCTCTTAATCTTATTATATACTGCTTAATTTATTTGTATGTTTCTAGTGTCCTTAATAAGCTAAAAATTTAATTTGATAAAGACATTATAAAAAATAATTTTTAATGTGGTTTTTTTTGAATAGATAGATAAATAAATTAAATCAATATATTATATATAGTATACAATTAAAAGTTATTGCCTTCTATTTAAGAAATTCTATTAAAAGGATTGAGAATAATATTAATTAAAATTTATATAATAATAATATATTTTTATAAAATACTCAATTATATAAAAGCTAATTATAAAAGGTTCAATATTTTTTTGTTGTCAAACCAATTGGAAAAATTGCTTTATAATACAATTTATGATTTAAGTTGATTGATATTGAATTAAATTAATTATAAAAAGGCACTCAAAATTAGAAATATCTTAATTGCTTAACAATATTATAAATGTGACATTGAAGAATCTACATTATATTTAAGATGGAGAATTCATAAAAATATTTATAAATAGCTTTGTAAGAGACAATAATTATAAGGATTCATATATTTTTACTAAGAAGAATCAGCCTAATTTAAGAAGGAAGTAATTTGAATTTAAAAATAAAATATGTAATTATATTTAGTTAAGAAAATCAAGTAATTTTAAAATTTTAAAAGAAACATACTATTACATTTAGAATTAGAAGTTTTATCTTAATAATATATATGTATCAATATTTTATTCTAATCTATTACAATCAATTGTTTAAAATTGATCTACATTATATTCTGTCAATTTTTTTTGATATTTCCTTATATTTTTCTAACATTTGTTATAATGATTTTTAGTATTTAGAATTAAGGTACTAAGAGTCATCATATGTTTCTTGTTAAATATTCTTTTCTATTGTTACAAGTGATCTAATAATTGTAAGAATTTATTCTTCTGCCTCATTAAATTAAAGATCAACCTTTTCTGCACTAATTATAGTTCTTTTTCTCTTCTTGATTATTTTACGAGCTGATTAAGACATAAAATTCAAAATAATTAAAGATTTATAAATATTAATTATATATGTAAACATTATTAAAATGCCAAATTTTTGAATAAGACTTATATGATGTCACTTTTTAATAAGAAATTGTACAAATCTAATCTTGAATATAATTCTTTAAATTAAATACTTAAGCTTGCTATTACATGAATAATCTAATATATATAAGATCAATTTCTCAAACATATCACATATATCTAAACAATACTATAATTAAACAATGTCATATTAGAAATTCAAATAGAGATATATAGATTCTTAAAACGAAAAAAAGATTAACTTAAAAATCTGTTATAACTGTAATATTAAAAGAAAAATCATATATATTAATATCGAATAAATTAGGAAATGAAAAAATTCTTATTATTGATGACATCAATTATCAGTAGTTATTGCTTTAATCCTAATGACTATATTACAATACCTTTTCTCAAATTCCCAGATTCATTGAGTTATAATGTTTTAGAGATAAATTCAATTTTTGAATATTTGATAGCATGTATATATATAGGGTAAATTAATAACCTAATATAGTTTATTCTACTATTCCATGTACTTTTGTATTAGTCAAATTTTAGTTTGGAGTCATCCTGCCCCAAAGACTCCTGAAAGAATAGCTTAAACAAAAGAAGAAATGAGAAGGGGATTTAAAGCTCTTTTCTATGTAATTTTGTTGACAACTGGTATAATATGGAAAGTACAACCTTTGAATCCTTATTATGGTTATTATGAGACACATGAATTTGGATTAAAAGAATTCTTTATTTCACTAATTATGTAATATAATATTATTATGAATTAAGATACATGGTGACTTTCGATGTGTGGTTTTACACATCACATATCATAGGACATACTCCCTTTTTTTGGAAGCATTTTCATGGTGAACATCATGAATTTGTTGAACCTGGAGCATATGCTTAAGATGCAGTACATCCTGTAGAAGCTTTAATTTAAGGGCCTATTGGACATTTTTTGCCAACATTCATTTATCCATTCCATCCCTTATGCCATCATATCTTTGGATTATTAACATCAATATATGCCTAACTTGCACATGATGGAAGATGGGATCCAGCTGGTCATACTTTACATCATTATTATTATTCTTGTAATTTCAGCATATGGGGATTATGTGATTTTATATTTGGAACTGGTTACAATTAAGAGAAATATCCTATACCTTATATTCCAACATGGCTTAGAAGCAAAGTTAATAACAAGAATCATGATAAAAAAATTATGTGATGAATATGATATATTTGATTATTTTGATCATAATCTAGCTTTGTTGTTTGGGAATCCTAATCCTTAAGCAATTCTCTCTCCATACTCTGGATCACATTTAGTAAATACTTTGACTTATCTCTCTTGAATTACTCTATTGGCATTCTAAATTAATTAATTTAATATATACTTTCAAATGTCCAACAATATTGGTTATTAACCATTATCTTTCAAAATCATTCATAACCTTTCTGTATAGAACTCCTGGTTAAGCAAAATCATCATTTGGATGTGATGGTTTATATCTTCCAATTAAACCAGTTACTCTATATTAACTAGTTTTGGATTCTGGAATCATTTTTAATGGTTAAAATGAATTAGGTTCATAATTTGGTCTATTCCCTTAATTATTAAATGATTAAGGTCCATCTCTTTATTAATTAATAACTCTTGCTCTATATGGACAATTAACAGGGAATTATGTATAATTAGTTCCTAATCTATGTCTATGAGTATCTGGATATGAGAATAATCTTCCTTATAACATTTTATCCAATGATGGTTCAATTCCTGGAACTAAATGTCCTGGACTGAATGCTGATTATTCAACTTCTTGGAAATAGTTTTCTGGATTTCTATTCAAAACCATTTTTCCAAAATTAAGACATGGATAATCACTATGTGGCCATACTTTTGTAACATCAAAAATATTCCATTTATATTTGAATCCATCTTATTCTGGCATAACTTAAACTTAAACTGTCCAAGTAGCTGTTTTACCAGCTGCAAGATGTTAAAATAAATCTTAAGTAGCATAATCTGGATTTGTTCTTTTTAATTCATCAGCTTCAGCACCTGTTAATGATTTATTACCAGCATCTGTTTTGAAATGTAATTTAATCCAAAATGCTTCTCCTTCTTTATTTACCCATCTAAATGTATGAGATGTGTATCCATTCATTTGTCTATATCCATCTGGAGTACCTCTATTAGAAAAAAGTATGGTAACTTAGTGAGCACTTTCAGGTACCAAACTCAAGAAATCCCAAAACATATTAGCATCCTTTAAATTAGTTTAAGGATTTCTTTTTTATGTATGAATAAAATCTGGGAATTTGCTTGGATCTCTAATGAAAAAGACTGGTGTATTGTTTCCTGTCATATCATAATTGCCTTCTTCAGTGTAAAACTTAACAGCAAATCCTCTTGGATCTCTTTCAGAATCTGCTGATCCCTTTTCACCTCCAACAGTAGAGAATCTTGTGAATATTGGTGTTCTTTTGCCAACTGTATCCAAAAACTTGGCTTTTGTATACTTTGTCACATCTCCTGTCACTTCGAAGTATCCATAAGCACCTTTACATGTCAAAGATATAAAATACCTGCTCCTTTAGCATGGACAACTCTTTCTGGAATTCTCTCTCTATCAAAATGAGCTAATTTATCAATGAGATGAGTATCCTACAAAAGAATAGGACCATATTCTCCTGCAGTCAAAGAGTTTTGGTTATCATCTACTGGACAACCTGTAGATTGGGTCAACACATTATCTGAATTGTCTGACATATTATTTATTAAATTTGCGTAATAATCAGCTAATACTCAAAAATCTTTATTTCTATAACATATCCAACTTTTCATAATGTTATTCAAATAATTTATAAAACTAGCTGATATTCAATCTTAATTTATTATGATCAATTTCTAACAAGATTCCAATTAAATAACTAACAATTTTATCAATTCATTACTTTAATATGTCATCTGATATTTTACTTAAATCAATCTAAGAAGGTGATATATAACCATCTTTATCATTATCCAATAAATTGAATAACTTATTACTAATCCTTAATAATTTATCATCGCCAAACATTTCAGTTTTGCATCTTGTTCTTCCTATACTTGATGCTCTTGAATTTGATAACTATCTCAATGGACCCATCTATTAATTTTTTGTACTTAATGCCTACTATTTGATCTATTACAACACTAAACTACTTTAGACCTTGTTTCCATTATCAAAATATCCAGACTTATTTAATAATGGACTCTTTTGAATAGAATTATGAGGAGATTTACTTTTAAGTCTTTCTTAACTCTTTTATAAAGGCCTAGTAGGTTAAAGTTTATTGAGTTATAACTATCTTTGTAATTTCGAAATGTTTTTGGTTGTTTAACTATAACTGATCATATAACTAGAATCAGGTGTTGGAGATAAGATGTTTTAATACAATTTTCTACTCATATCTTCCAACTTTTTGGAGTCTATATGCGCGCCTGTACTTAAATGTTGAATTCCATCTTTGGGACTTTTATAAATATCAATAGATGGTATAGAATTAACTTATTTCTCTTCAAGTTAAGATTCTTATTAAAATGAATAATAAGAGTTTTCTTTTTCTGCTTAATTCATTATTTCTTCTAAAGAATACTAAGCCTTTTTCTTAAAAGGTTCTTAATTACTGAAGTATTTAGAGAATTATTACAATTATTTAAATTCATCAATATAAGCTCTAACTGTTATAAGATGTTTATCTTACATATTCTAATTATCTAGTTGCTAATTGTCTTACACTTTCTCAATTCAATATTATTATCATTGCAAAACCTATGAGCAATTTATAAAGGAGTATCAAATTATTTGATTTAAATTGGCTTTGAATTTGCAACTTTGATAATCAGCATTTGATCGTTAGTTTCTTGCATTTAATTTTTATATTAAAGAAATATATGAATAACATTTGCATCATTAATTTACAAATATTACCCTCATTAATGTAATCAAAAATTATACTTTATATAAAACATTGGAATGGAATACGTATTGGTAAATAATTTATTTTATAACATGATAAATTTTAATAAATTTCTATTTAATGCTTAAATATGAAAAGTTCTAGTTTTAGAGTTGAAAAAATAGCTAACTTGGAAATATCTGATAATGTATAGACACTTAAATAGTAATTAAAAATCAAACATGAAAATTTACTTATAATTATAGATTTTGATAATGATCAAAGTTGTTATATACAAATAAAATATAGATAAATATTCCTGTAAGTTGATTGAGGAAAATGATTAATTACTTTTTAAATAAATATTATGCCCCAGACTTAGAAGATAATGAATATAAAAATAGAATGGGATCCTTTAATTTTTTTTATAATTCAAAAAAAAAATATAGAAATTATTCATTGTGATCTGAAACCTAAAAATATAATATATTTTTTAGACTAATTAAGAGATTTATTAAAATAGTAAAGTTTTTAGATTATTATCTTTCAATTTAGTTTTGATTGATAAACAAAATAAAAATCTGCTAAGTTCTAAAACTTGGATATCCTTATTGAAATAATGGGAATGAAAGAATATGATTATAAATGTTATCTTTATTAAGCAATTATATAATATTAATATGTAATTATAATTTTGTAAATTTCTACAGATCTTCAAAGATTTTATATAAGATCAATTATAAACTCTATATTAATAGTTAAATGGGATTAATAATTAAAGAATAAAATAAATATATTTATTCTATTTTTCAATCATTTGTATATATTCATTAAAAGCATTTTAATTTAATTTTATAGTATTAAATAAATGATTAGTATTAAGGTTATTTCACCTAAATTAAAGAATGCAAAGCATAAAGCAAATTTGAGTTAACCTTCAATAACTAAATATAATAATTTAAACAGCTTCAATGATTATTTTAGAGGTCAAAGAATTTATGAAAAAGGTTAGCGGCATCATTAAAGGATAAGTATTAATGATAGTAGATGTAAAACAGATTCTCGTTTATTTGAGAATTATTCAAGTAGTACAAAGAGACTTTCAATGCAATCATCTACTTTATGCTTATCTAATACAAAATCATAGAGTACAAGTCCAAAAACTACAATAAATGTAAGTTCAACATTGAATTAAAATTCCTAAATAAAAGTAAACATCAAATCTCCAAAGAAACAGAAACATAAGCAAAGTTTAGACTAAACAGTTCCCATATCAAATGATTTTAAAAACAAGTTTGATGCGTTATTTTTAAAAACAAAAACATTGATTTAGCATTTCAAATAAAGAGAATAATAATTTATTAAAAGAGAAAAGGAATTGAATCAAGAAATCTTAAAATTAAAAACAAGAATAGAAATGTAAAATAGACTTTTAATTAGTTATAACATACCTCATACAAAATTTTGAACATCACTTTGATTAAACTATATATATTTATATAATATACAATCTTATTTTTTATTAAGACAATATATAATTTTTAGGAAGATAAAGTTAAAATCATAAATTATTTTATAATCCATAATTGAATAATAAAAGTGTTTTAAACTACTATTTAATTTACCTTAATTAGTTTTATAATGATTTTATAATCATATTCTTTATAATAAATAATAGATTCACATTCTAAGAAACAATTATTTATATAATTCTTCTTTAATTTGATAATTTACATTAATTTTAGTTCCTATTATTATTTGAAATTAACATGCATATTGAAAATCCTATTTACTCTTCAATATAAACTCCATATACTCAACCTTATATGGCACCTACAGCCAATATGTAAAGAAAAGAAATTGGAGATTAAGCTATATGGACACTCTCATCTGCAAAAAGTGGTAATGGAGTAGATCAGTTAAGGGATGATAATTTGAATACCTTTTGGTAATCTGATGGAACATAACCACACTATTTAACAATATAATTTCTTAAGAAAATGAGAGTCTAGGAAATTGCCTTATATTTAGATTTCAAATAAGATGAAAGTTATACTCCAAATAAACTATCCATTAGAACTGGAACTAATATTCAAGATATGAAGGTATTTTAGATAATTAGAATAAGGAAGTTTAATTTATTGAATTGAAAGAACCTTATGGATGGTATGTATTTGCACTAAAGACTAAATTGTTAAATGGTTAAGAGAAGTAATAGTATTGATTAAGTTAGACCATATGTTTCTACAATAAATGTTTAAATTGTAGTTTTATAAAATTAACATAGTGGAAAAGATACACATATCAGATAAGTTAAAATATTTGGACCAAGAGAGTAATAAATTTAATAGTTATTATTTTAGGAAACAAAATCAAGGTTTAAGTTTTCCTGATTTTAAAACCCCTGAACTTACTTAATATGCTTCAATTCGTTGATGTTTTATAATTATATAATTATGCTTTTTGTTGTTAAGAGAGATCCTGTTTTTAAACGAAAGAAAGCAGTTTCTGAACGCATATCACCAGAATAAAAAAGTATTTCTTTGTTGTCTAATGGTTAGAATTGATGGATGACTATCAAATTTTTTCTTATCTCAAGAATGAAAGAAATAATCATCCAGCTTCATTTCATGTAACATCACTTCATTAAGTACCTTTTACTCAAAGATCTTAGAAATTGATCACTTAGACAATCTAAGAGGAAAATGGGAAAAAATAGAAAAGTGTTGATAACAACTAATAAATCAAAAAGAAAAAAAAGAGCTATTTTTAAATAAAATTAGAAAGATATCAAAAAGAAGTATAAGAGTAGCAATCCAAAAGAAAATAAGAGTTATTGATAAAATCAAAAAATCTCTTAAAAAAAGATTTAGAAGACATAGAGAAAATGACTATTAAAGGAGTTAGAGAATTTGAGGAAAGATGCAATTTATATAGTAAATATTATTCAGAAGAATTATTAACACCAACTGGAGTGTAATCTTAATTTATTATTGAGATAGAAGACAAGAGGACTTGAATCTACCTATATAGAAATATTCAACAATTGAAAACTAGAATAAATACAAAGTATTGCTTAAAAATGACCCAATTCCTCAACCAAGATTTACATCAGAATAAGTATTTGATTAATACTATAGTAATCCTGATAAAATCAAGTTGATTAGTTAATAATTGCATAAATTAAATATCAAAGTAAATTGAATAATTAATTTTACAAAGTTAATTAAAAGACCAAATGAATAAGAGAATCAACTTTTTGATGCCATAATAAATAATGATAGTTTTATAGTAAATAAATTACTTATGGAGAATAAAAACTTAATAAATATTAGAAATAGAGTATTGATAAATATAAAAATTAAAGATATAAGAAACACCTTTGCATTTGGCATGTAAAAGAAATCTTAAAGAGATTGTTGAATTATTACTAAAATATTAGGCAGATGAATCATTAAAAGATTTATGGGGACAAACTCCTAGATAACTGGCTTTAAAATTAAGACATCTAGATATTTTGAAGATTTTATCTTATTAATGAATACTTAAAATACTCTTAATATATATAATTAATTATAGAATTTATGGTATGAATAGTCTTATATAGAGAGGCTGTATTACTAAATTTGGTTTAAGGAGCTCCAATAATAGACATTTATTTAGATGGATTAGATACAAGGAAAACTGCAAGATTTAATGACAAATAATAAGGTTTAATACGATTACCTGTATATTCAGTAAAATATAAATTTAACTATTGAGGATGATGATGATATATCAGGTGTAGTAGATTTAAGAATGAATAAGAATAAAAAGATTGATCATTTAGGTATTCGAATTGAATTGATTGGAAGAATTGGTAATTTTTTGATTAAAATAATGTAGAAATACTTAATGATTAAAAATAATCATCAGATTTTATGTCAATGGGAAGAGAATTAGATGCATAAGGAATATTATTGGAAGATAAAACATACAAATTTACATTTAATAAATTTGAGAAATAATATGAAAGTTATTATGGGAAAGAGGTAAAATTGAGGTAATTTGAAGTATTAATTATATGTAGATATTATTTACGTGTTACTATGAATAGAAATTATGGATAAGTGAAAAAAGAAATAGAATTTGCAGTCTAAATTGTAGATAAAGAATAAGAAAACCAACCTTAAACTTCTTTAAAACTTGAAGTAGGAATTGAAGATTGTTTACACTTAGATTTTGAATATTTTAAATCAAGATATCATTTAAGAGATGTTGTAACAGGAAAGGTTAACTTCTATTTAGTTAAAATAAATATAAAGTATATGGAGTTGGCTGTGATTCGTAAAGAATAGATTGGATAAGGTAATAATTAGTAAACTGATAATGAAACATTGGTGAAATATGAATTAATGGATGGATGTCCTTAAAAAGGAGAAGTTGTACCTATACGACTATTTTTGAGTGGTATAAATATGTCACCAACTTTAAAAAATGTGAGTGGCAAGTTTAGTGTGAAATACATTTTGAATTTAATATTAGTAGATGAAGAAGATAGAAGATATTTTAAATAATAGGAGATTACAATTTATAGAAAGAAATGATAACTAAAATAATATATTTTATGCATATAAAAACGGATTATGTTATTAATAATAATGAAAATATTTATCTTGATTGTTCTCTTAGGATTGACACTTGGAGTATAAGTGAATGAATAAGCAACAATTTTATAAGAAGCTTTGACAAACAATTTAAAAGCCACAAGTATGGGTAGAGCAGTTCTAGCAATGGTTGAATTAGGTTCACCAAATTTCAATCCATTATTTGATGCATTAGAAGCATGGGCTTCACTTATTGAAGTATTATATCAATTAATTTCAGTAAACAATAGCAGATGAAAATTCATCATATGGAGCATTTGTCTAATAAGTAGAAACAGAAGAAACAAATTATAAATCACTTATTGCTCAATATGAAAGTGAATTAGCTGAATATAATATTCAAATAAGAGAAATATTAAAGTCAAGAATTTCTTTAGAAGAAGATCTTGAAAGGACAAGAACTGAATTAGGAGCAACTAAACAATAAAAAGCTAATATTGAGAATTAATAAAGATAAGATTCAGATGATTTCAAAACAAGAACCAATTAATTAAGTGCTGCAATTGTTGTGATTGATGAAGCATTAAAAGTATTAGATAAAGCAAAATGTAAATTATTTATTAATGATAGATTCATCATTTGTTGAGGAAGATGCTTAATAATTATCTTCTTTAGTATCAGGAACACCAGAATTACATTCATTATTACTATAATTAAATACAGAAGATTATAAGAGTGCATAAAATTTATAAAAGTATTAATTATTATAATATTATATTAGAGTCATTAATTTATTACAAAATATTAGAGATTAATTTAATTAAAATATTCAAACATTATAAGCAGGTTTTACTGCAGCATAATAATAAGCATAAGATTTGTTTGAATTATTAAATGCTAAAATAGATTAATTAGTCAAAGATGTTATACCATAATTGCAATAAGATATATAAGGAAAGGATAGTAAGAATATAGTCTATTTAAAGGTGAAATTGATTCAAGAAGATAATTAGCTAATGAAGCTTAAGCTAATTTGGATTCTGCAAGAGAAAGTTTGAAATAATCAATTTAAGAGAAAGGTTTAGCAACAAATAGCCATAACATATTAATTTCTGAATATCATAGTAATTTAGATACTGTAGCTGAATGTATAAGTGCTTTACATGGAAGTGGAATAAAAAGATAATGAAATAAATACATAATAATAAATAATTGTACTCAGTAATGATCAATTTAATATGATCTCACTAAATGATCGAAATCTATGTTTACATTATGGTTCTTCTTATATTACACGATCTACTCTTTCATAAATTGTTGAATATATCTATTATGCTGTTTACAATAAATATTTAATTGATTATTCTTTATTATTTGGTATATAATAATAAACATTAGATGTTAATTATTATTATTATATTAAAGGTTCATTATTTTATTTTTAAATAGGACTTTCCATTTCATCAATATCAAATTATTTAGATTAAGATTATTCATCTTCAATTTAATTTGCAGATGTTTATCTTTAATGACTACTACTTAAAGATGTTGTAGGTAATAAATCTTTATGATTTAAATAAAATTAATGTAAGAATCTATAATTTACATTCATCTTTTTTGCTTTCTCTTAATAACGAAGATTTGAATTTGTTAATAATTTTATTCTATGCTTAATTTATTATTTAAAATTACTTCCATCTCATCACAACATCTCTATAATTCATCATTATGAGCTTATAAAGTTTTATTTAATATCATTTCTCTTTAATGATTCTTTCTCAATTCATCCAATGCTTTTTCAAGTTTTTAAATTCTTTCCATACTTTATATATCATTTAATGGTTTTTAAGTTTGTTACATTTATCTTTTTGCATTAATCTCTTATATTTATTTGGCTCTTGTTAAATCAAGTTTAGGTATTACTGTTCCCTTTGTTGAATTCATTTAAAATTATAATCTTTTAGGTGAATCACTTGAATCTAAAGGAGCCTCTGAAGATTTAGAGGAAACTGATTCAGAAGATGAAGAATTATTAATTAATTTAAGTGCCCTTGCTTAAAAATCAACTAATTGATCTGGATCTTAATTCATGAATATTAGTTTATTACCAGCATGTGCTAAACTTTTTTATTGTAATAATTCATTCATTAATCTCTAATCAAATAAACATAATAATATTACTAAATTTAATCCTTATATGTTTGATTTCTCTTTTATTAATTTTTATTTTTGTTTCTGTTCTATTAATAGTTATTCATTTAACATTTGTATTTCATTATGCATTTTTAATCCAATAAGATCAGGATCACAAACTTCTCTAAATTTTATTACCACTCCAGCAATTTCATCATATTCTGGTTTTAATTCTTCCATCTTTGATAATTTAATTTCAGCAGACATCAAATTTTCTTACATTCCTTACATTTTTTATTGTAATGATGCAATTAATTCTTTCTCTTATCTTTATACTTATTCTGTAATTTGTTGATTGATCAATTAATCACATTAAGCTTCATTACGCTCTTTAACTAATTTCTCTATTTTCATTTATAAAGTTTCATTCTCTTCTTACAAATTCTTCAATACTGTTAATAGTCCCTTATGTTATTCATCACTTGTTTATGGCATCATAACCTTCAAAGCTTACTTATTCAATTAAAGTAATCCTTAGAGCTCACGAACTTGCTCTTACAATTATTAATTCTCTTGTTTGAGATAATCGAGAATCTCTAAACTCATTATAAATTTAATTGTTCAAATTTTACTAAATATTTGCATAAATTCAAATATATTTCATTTATTATTAATCATAAACATATATAATATATTATATATAAGACAATAATATATTAAAATCTAATTGAAATATCAATTAAAAATTACTCTGAAATCCTAATTTTTATATTACATGATATCAAGTATAAGTCTTTTAATAAATAGAAGATTAATTATAAAAATTAATTAATTTAATTGTGTATAATTAATTATGTTAAAACTAATATTCAATTTCTCAAGAGCCATTTAAAAATCTCAAAACCTTTTGAAACAAATGAGAAAGAATCGTTATTACATTGATGATCCTCTTATTAGTTAAAGAAAGGAAGCATAACAAATAGTTGAATCATTATATTTTAATAAAAAGAATAATTTATAATAGATGCTTGAGAAAGAGGAAGAGAATAAATTGGAAAATGTAATTGAAAATTTGGATGAAGAGATTAATTTTAGGAGATTTTAAACAGCATAAGAATTATTAGATTTTTATGAAGCTAAACCCTTAAAATCTAGAGAATAATATTTAGAATGGTTCAATTAATTGTCTTATTGTTTAAAGTTTCAAGAGTAAATATAATAAAACAAATTGAATTATTACAAAAAATTAGCTGGTTAATACAAAGCTTAATATAATAAAGAATATGAAATGCCAAATATAATATTCCTTACTCCTACTTAAATTTTAGAGAATCCAGTTTTTAATTAAATTATTGAAGACTTTGTATCTAATTGTGAAGTAGTAGAATGGCTTCATGTAAGAAAATAAATCAAGAAATCTTTCTAAACTCAACTTTATTCATTAGATTATTATGCACTTTAGAGATTATGGGAAGATAATTAATATCCAATCTAAACCATTTAATATCTTTCATTAATTATTAAAGATATAAGTATTATTATTATTTATATATATTATAGTTGATTCAAAATTTGAAAAAGATTAAGAACCTCAATTTATGGAATTATATGATGGTAAATTTTAATAAGGATAATCTTTATAAAAGATATTAGAATAAGTTTTAATATAGAAAATGCAATAAATAAATTTTTATGAATTAAATAATTAAGATTTTGCAGATTTCGTATTTATTTATTATCAATAATAAAAATTGCCAATATTACCTACATTCCTAAAAGAATTAGTAGATAATGTAAAAGAAAGAGTTAGTACTTTGAGTTTGTTAGAAAATATTAAAATATTATAAGCAATGTTAGCAATAGAAATAGGTGATAATTAGTCATATTGTTATCTTTTGTGGAATATTATAAGATTAAAAAATAGAATACATCCTGACTATTAAATTATAAATGGAATTATTTTCATATTGTTACATTTTAAATAAAATATCTTATTTATGAAAGCACGTAGAAATTATCCAAAACCAATAATTGTATAAGATGCAATGGTATTCTCAGAAATATTTAATCATATAACTGAGGATCTTAGTATATTTGATTTTATCCAACTTAGTCAATTACTTTCAATAGCAAATAAAAACTTTGCAGATCCTGCTAAATTAAATGCTATAATAATTTCACTTTTTTAAAAACCAGAATTGAATTAAAATATTTAAATTGATAATAAAATTGAGTTGTATTACAAAGCAACTTAAATGGGATAAACAATACTTGATATTACTCAAATATTAAAATATAAAGTATAATTATTACAATCTCATTCAATAACAGGTTTCTTTGAAAAAAATTAATAAACAGATGGAAATCAAATAATAGGATATTATCCATATTATACATTATTATTAGAAAGTTTAATAAAATTAATTTGGACAAGTATCTTATAAAATAGTAAATGTTTTGAAGACATAAATTATTTAATATTTAAAGTAAATGAATTAACAAGATTGTAAACATCTATAAAGATTGACAGAATGATTTAAAAGATGATTTCATAAATTAATTAATATATTAATTTAGTTGGAAAAACAATATTACCAAATAAAATTGATATAAAATAGATTTAAGAAAATAAAAATATTTTTTGTAAATAAGAATCATATGCACATCCTTTAATGTTACATACTAAATTATATATGAAAGAGAAATTTTATTTTTTTAAGAAATATGAGAAGGATTTAGAAAAGGATGTTTATTATGAGGATATTTTATTAGATTTTGTTTATACAAATAAGAGAACAGGAAATAAAGCATTAATTCTATTGAATGGAGTATATATATTAATTATTATATTAGTTAAGTAATTATCAAATTTCTGCTGTTGGTGAAATGGTTCCAAATACATTAATTAATTTTTAAGATGATCTCTTATTAAAATCACAAATTCCAATTATTTAAATTAATCTTCCAGATATTATTAAATGTTAATCTAAGTTATAAATTTAATTAAATATTTAGATCATTTTTTGAAGAATAATTAAAAGATATTTTAGAAGATGGATCGAATGAATATGAAGATATTGCTAATATCATTTAAGAATTAAGATATAATATAAAGAAGGACTTTAATTATTTATCAATCCATTAATAAAAAGATGAACAAGAAAGTTAGCCAAAAATAGAGGAGGAAGTTTAGAATGATGATACATATGCATTATCAGATTAGGAGAATTGATTATGTTGATTATTGTGTAATTTATGTTTTTGTATTCCCCGTTGAGATAAGATAAATAATTTTTTTATTAATGATAAGCGCTTATCGATTTAATTATGAACATTTGCCAAAAGAGGTAAAGCTAAATACTTTTGATGCTGAGAGAGGCCTAATTTATAATGAGATCATTCGCTTGTTAAAGGATTTTGAAATGAGGTAATTTGAAGTCTTAATGTTAGTTCTTCTAAGCATTGGTTTCCAATAATGAATTTGCTTTAAAGATTCAAATAAATTTACTCCTTTTTGAATGAAGAAAGACAGGAGCTTGCAGAGTTGATTCTTTCAAAGTTGGGAGGATTGAAATCTTCTGTAGGACTTCAAAATGGATTTAGTCTTGTTTGTACCATTATTTAAAATAAGCAAAAATATCTGTCTTTAAAAGTTGATTGGAGATATTGGCATTAATATTTATAAGATAAGTTTATGACAAATAAAGATAAGACAATCACAAGTTAAACATTCAGTACTCAATTATTTATGTAATTTTGTTAATTCCTTAAAACAGTAAAATATTACTTTGATGCTGATGTTGTTTAATTTGCATTCTTAAAATTTCGTGAATATTTAGGTTATTAAGACAAATAAGTAGCATGGGCTTATTTGATGTTATTTGTACCATTTAGAAATGATATTCCATAAGATGCCTATAAAGATCTTATAAAATATTTAATGGATCCCTTATTAATTTTTGGAGAAAAAGATAATTGTAGATTAAAATTTATATTGAATTATTTAAGAGTCTATCCATAATAAATGAATCTGATGCCATAAATGATGAGATTTTTTCATGGTTATTGGCGTAATGATTTAGGTTAAGATGATAAAAGTAAAAATATTATTAAAATTAAGATGAAAAATTAGTTGCTATGTTATTACCAGATGATACTTTAGGAGTACCTAGTTTATTCAAAATAATGCCATAATTATTAGTTGAATTGATAGGTAATTCAAAAAGAGAAGGATATTAAGAATATATGTTAACAATGAAAAGATTATTTTCTTTAGTAGATTCAATTACTTCAGTATATTCTTAATAAACAATGGATGATTAAATATTCAAATTACTTAAATTAATGGTTGGCAATTTCATTTAAAAATATAGAAGAGATTAATTATTATTAAGAATTTATGAAATGTAATAAAATAAAAAATATGATGAGAATGTTTCTGAATCTTTAATGTAAGAATTAATTGATTAATTTAATGATGTTCATATTCAAGATTTTATTGAAAGTGATAAATATATACTTGAATTATTATTAATTAATCCAGATTAAGGATACTCTAGTTTTTAGATCAATTATCCAAATTAAAGAAATTCTACTAAAATACATGCTACTAAAATTAATATTGATAAATTATTACCATTTTTATTGGATGAATAAGCTAAATAAGATTTTATTGAAATTGTTATGGATGTATTAGACAAAGTCATATATATGGAAGATTAAGGATATTCAACTGCAAAAACTGTTTTATATTTATCATGTTTTGAACCTAAATTAATAGATTTCTTTCTTAATAAAATGAAATAAGCTATAAATGATGTTACAGCTCTCTAATTTATTACAATTAAGAGTATATTGATATTTATGGCTATTCCAATTTTATAAGGAAAATGGTATTTATAATAGAAACTATAATTTTTAGTCCTTATTCTATACATCATCTATAAGAATTCATGGATTTGACATACAAATTATTTGAAGTCCAAGGAGTTAGTGAGAATATAGATTCATTAGAATTTTATTGTAAAATATTCATGAATGTTCCAATTTATACTCCAGAAGAATATATGGAATTATATGGAGAACATAATGAATTATGTAGATATTTAAGTGATTTCGTATCAGAAGTATTTAATTTAATTATCAAAAACTTTAATTTAATTAAATACAAAGATGTAGATTATGGATTTGTATTGCCAAATTTAATTAATATCTTTTGGCCATATATAGCAAATTCATCACAAAGGATGTTAGATAGTATTGTTGATAGAATTAAAGAACATCTAGAAAATTTAGAAATGTAAGATTTGAGTGCAATGGGAGATTTGATAGATTGTATATTATATAGAGATCCTACAATATTGGAATATATTATTGATATTTGTATGGAGAAATTATTAAAATAGAGACAATCTCCACTTAAAAAACATTATTTGAGTTTTATTGTACAATTATCAAAGTACTCAGATTATATATTATAATATGAACCAACTGCAGGTAATAAATAATCAAAACTCTTATGGTTAACACTTCTCGAGAAATCACTTACATATGCTGGTAAAGCTACATAAAAACATGATATGAAGATATAAGCAATAGTAATTAATTATTTAATGGATGAAGAAGATGAAGTTTTTACTAAAGTTAGTGATATAATACATTCTGTTATAATAACAAATTAAATCATTAAATCTAATAATTTATCTTGGTAAAATTAGAATTCTTAATTTTTTAAAAAAGATTTTGATAAAAAAACATTATATTAACCATAAGATTTAGTTGTTGAATGGATTTTACCAACTAGATAAGATTGGGAATATATTTTTGATTGGAATAGAATGTTTATGTTTGGAGTAATAGAGGAATTTGAAAAAACTTATATGAAAGAATATGAATTTTATGAAATGCCAAGAGATTTCCCTAAACTTATTGATTTAATGATTTTTAGAAATCCTCCTATGGATCCAAATTTAAAATAAATTTGTTATCGTGTATGGTTTCTAGTTTTTGGATGTTTTACTGGATCATCTCTATTCACACCATTTTAACCATAAGATAAAATTGACGGAAGCAAAGGACATATAAAATTAGAAAAGATATAATAAGATTATTTAAAGAAAGTTTGTCCACCTGAATATTGGGATTTAAGATAGAGATTAGGTACATTTGCTATAAATTCTATTTGTTATGCTATAAATACAGGAGTAGCCCATGATAAAGATATTAATGATCTTTTGGTTACAATAGCTTCTGAATGTATAAGTTCATAGACTTTGAATTAAGAATTATAATTAGGTAGAGAATTTATGGAAGGATGTAGATAATTGATGTAAGCTTCTTAATGTAAATTATATTTTGAAAGTCGAATTCAATGTGTAATTGATATTAACACATATCTTTATTAGAGACATGTGTTTATGTTACATTTACAAGGTATACCAATTGAATACAATCAAATTTACAATTATATAATTGTTCTTTATTTGTTAGGTCATTCTGAATTTAGTAGTCCTTAATATTTATTACCATATTCAGAAAGAGCTACATATACTTTAACTACTGGAGTTAGAAATAACTTTTTTGAGTATTTGTTAGGGATTTTGGATTACAATGATAAAGATAGTAGATTAAGTAAAATCAATTAATTAAGTGAAAGAAGTAAAGAATATAAATAATTAATTGATTTATTACAAGGTTTTAATTCAGCAGTTTAACATATTTCTTCTGATATTGAAATGAGTATGTCAATACAAAAATAATTGAATTAATTTATAAGTGTAATGGAATATGTTGATAATTAAAAATGTAAATATTTGATAATGGAATCATGTGTTCATCATTTAGCAATATAATATGATGAAAGTACTGTTGTTTTATCTAATGATTATAATGATAGATTGGAAATGATTAATAATAGTATAAGAGCATTATAAAGTCAGTATTTTTGGAAATGTAAAATTATTCATAGTTTATCTTTATTGAATAATATAAATATCATAAGATTTGTGCCTGAAAATTGTATTAATGCTTATCGTGATTTATGTATAAATGATCATGTTACATTAAATTAATTGGGAAGAGCAGGTTTATTTTACTTTCTTAGATTAGCTAAATAAATGATTTATAAAAAACAATAAGTTAATAGTTCATAATTTGAATAACATCTTCCATTTAATAAATTTGTTCAATATAGATATTTAACATAAGAATAATTATCAATTATAGATTAATCATATTAATCTATTTTAGAATTAGATGACATACTAAAAGCATAATAACCAATATATAGATCTAAAATGCATGAGAAATATATGTTTACTAAAAATGATATAACTAAAGTTACTATTATTAATGACACTATCACTCCATTCATAAAAGATTTAAGATAACTATTTACAGATAAATAATATATGCGAGAATTTATGGAAAAGATATTAATAGATAAAGATGTAGCTCCAACATCAGAATTTGATATTACAGATGCTCCATCATAAGAAGTTTAATTTATGTCTGCATAAGGAATCACAAGATATGTCTAAATATTTTTTACATATATTTATGGAAAAAATAGAAATAGATAATCTCCATTTTCTGCAACATAATCCTTTTTTATGTCTGATTTCTATTTTAGATTATTTAAGAAAATGTTTTAAGTTTGTGGTATTGCTGCATTTTATTCAACCAAAGAAATAATTGATGAATATATTGAATAATTTGATTAAAGAGAAAAGTAAAGATTAGTAAGTTGTTATTTAACTGCTCTTCATAGATCATTATTAAATGTTGGTTCATATATTTAAGATTCATTTATTAGAATTCTTCCTAATATTACATAAGAAATATTCTATGATTATCATTTAGCATTCTTTTATATGTGTAGAGATTAAGATTGGTAATGGATATCTCCAGTTTATTAAAAAATGTTATAATGTTGTTAGAATCTTATTCCTTAAGGAGGATTCAAAGGTTTAAGATATATTTAATTATTGAAAATTCTCATTTAATCATAAGGTCCTAGAATTATTACATTATAAGATCAAATTCTTTAATAATTTGCTACAATAATAGTCACATATCCATCTAGTGTTTATGTTGAAGAATATACTTGTACACTTGCAACAGCATTATTATAAACTATTTTAATACCTATTCCTATTGATGCTCCATATGCAGATGATCATTTGATTGCAACAACTGCTAACTTTTAAATTTGGTATAATAGTGATCTTTAAAATTTTTTCTAAAATTTTAATGAATTTCTCTCTAATAATACTTAAACAGATAAAGTAAAGTTTTATTAAGAATTATCAGCAAGAATTTTAGAATTTATTGCAATTAGTAAATTTGATAATTATTCATGGAAATTTATTGTTGAAGCTATGAAAATCATATTCTAAAATAATTAAACTGATATAGATGCTTAAGAAATTCTAAGAAAATATATTGAATGTGATTATGATGAAATTACTCAATTACTTGATATTGCAGAATAAATGACTAAAAATGATACTTGGAATATTAGAAAACGTGCCAATTTCTTTTTAAGAGATTGGTATTTCAAAGCAAGATTAGAAGGAAGTACATTAGATCAAATACCAAAATAATTACTCAATATGTTTTAAGACAATAATCTTTAATTGTAATTCTAAGCTGTTTCTTCACTTGCTGATTATTTAAAATTGTACACTAAATAAGAATTAGAAGAATTATTCAAAACAACATAAGAAAATAGAGTTTATATATTAATGAGTATGTTACTTTCACGTCAAGATAGAAATTTTAATTGGACAGATTAAGCTTTATCTGAAATATTTTAAGAATTGAAAAACAAAAGGTATTTAATTATTTTATTTTTAGAATATTGTAAGAATTTGTATCTGAATATTGGAAGAGTAGACAAGATTGGTAGAGAGTATTTAAAGATGAAATAAGTGAAGAAAATGTGAGAAAATTATAAGAAATTGTAAATCCACATCCATATTATGCATGATTGTTTATTAATATAAAATATGTAATTAATGGTAATATCATTGTATAAATATTAAAATATAATATTATATATTTTACTTAATTATTATTCTAAATAGCTATTTTTTTTAAATCAAAATTAATTCTACTTTTTGTTTGAAATTAATTATTAAAAAAATTAATATTATCAAATAAATTTAATATATATATATATATCTATTCTAAAGTTATATATAGATATTGATATATATTAAAATAAATTAATTTATTTAAAAAATTATGGATTTGATTAATTTATATAGATATTTAATTAAAAATCTAAATCATAAGTTAATGATGATCATATATTTCATAAAGATTTCATTAATTATACCAGAAAACCATGAGGAGCAAATATTCTTCCAGTGCAATCTGCTGATGTGCTGAGAATAAACGGATAGAATGGATGCCATTTACATAATACTACTCGATCTTCATGATCTGTAATTTAAGTTATCAATTTCTGTTATTCCCAATCATAAAGAGCAATAGTTGAATCAAATGATGCACTACATATATATCTACCAGTTGGATCAAATTCAACACATCTACAATCCATTGTATGATGTTTCAATGTTTTTATACATTTCTAATGTTATATATTCCAAACTGAAACTACACCATCAGAATGTGCAAGTACTGCTAATCCTTAAGATGAGAATTATGGAGCCTTTTTAGAACCTTTTACTAAATTTTATAGATTGTAATTTGTAGTTGATTCTGATAGGGAAACATAATTAATTTCTGTTTACATGGTCATAACTCCTTAGGCTCTACTAGTTCTTTAATCCCATATTCTTAAAGTTCGATCCATACCACAAGAAACCTAATATGAACCATCTCCTGCAGTCTATAAACTATTTCACTTTATATGTAATTTGGTTACCAATATATTGTTTATGTATGTCCTTCTAAATTTCTTATACATTTTTATGTTTCTACATCCCAAATTTTAATAACAGCATCTTATCCAGCTGACATTAATCTATTTTCATCACTAAAACAAACTGATCTTACTAAACCTCTATGACCAATTAAAACTTAATCTGTATCTTCTTCAACATTGTACAATTTCACCGTTTTATCATTACTTCCAGTTCCTATCAATCTTCCTGATCTACTCCAATCAATACAATATATAGATCCTTAATGATGATTTTACTTTTCCAATTACATTACAACTTAACTTTCTTATAAAACTGATTTCATTGAAAAGATTCTAAGACTCTTAGAATTAGTTCCAATTGCAAACATTTCACCATCAGATGAAAATGCAGCTGCTCTAATTGGATGTGTATCTGATAATGTAGCAACTTAATCCATCTCATCAAATTTATAATTAAAAAGCTAAGACTATATACTACTATTGCTATGAGGTGGAGTAGCATTTAAAATACTTTCCTTTTTTATCATTGATTAATCATTTTCATTAATATCTGAAATATGTAATTTTTCTATGATAATATTTTTATCAAAATCATTAGGTAATTAAGAAGAATTAGACTATTAAATTTGAAATTAGGACTTCTTTTTTGAGTAAACTAATATTCTATAAATATTATTATTACATTTTGAATGTTTATTATTATCTTCATCATCATCAACTTTTTCATATAATTATTGAAGTGTATTACCATTATATTTTTCTATTCTAAAAGTTTTACCTAAATTTTTAAGTACTGATGCAATCCCTTCGAAACAATCAAATCTTCCCTATTATTTAAAAACTCTTATCATTTACCTTTTCAACACTCCAATCACTAAATTCTGGATGATCGCGAATACATGATAATGTCAAAAAATAACAAAGATTTTTATATACTTCAGGAGATGCCAATTATTCAATTTATCGCAATAATGTTATTAATATTTCTACATCTGGTTTTGCATTTATCAATTCAAAATATTATTGTTTCTTCAACTCTAATAACACATATGAAAATTGATCATTCAGTCTTGTCTTCAAAGGTTATAGATATTGTTCTGCTCCTATGAAATTACCATCTAAAATTTGTTATCTAAGAAATTATAATTCTCTAGTGTAGGTGTCTATCGAAATCTATTATTAAACTTATTATTTTATTTTTACTTATGTTTCTAGTTCTAAATGTAAAAGACTCTTAAATAACTTTTGATCTCTTAAAAATACCATGATCATCTATAAAATTTGTTATGTTTATGGCATTTTTTGAGTTTAAATTAATTATAAGTTTTGGTTTATGGAAAATAATCAAATTATGTTTATGAACCAAGACGATTAAGTCTATATATTTAGTGATGAAGACGATTAAATATCTCAAATAATTGAATAAGATTCAACTGGTAGATTTTGTAAGGTAAATGATGAAATGTATTTTTAGTATAATGAAGAAATTGGTTAAGGAGCATATAAAAGTGTATTTAGAGGATATGATAATTAGAGTGGTTGTGAAGTTGCCTGGAATGTATTTTAATTAAATAGTGTTCCAGAAAGTAAGAATTTACAATAGTTAAGATGAAAGAAGAAGAGTAAGATAAGAGATTTCAATTCTAAGCAGTCTTAAACATGATAATATTATTAAATTCATACATTCATGGCATAATAAATCAAAAAAAGAAATTGTTTTCATAACAGAAATAATAAATGGAGGCTCTTTGAAAAAGTATAATCATTGCTATGTTTAGTTATTTACGTAGAATCACTAGGCCAAAATTAAAGGTTATAAAGAATTGGTGTAGATAGATATTATTTGGTTTAGAATATTTACATAGACAAAATATAATCCATAGAGATTTGAAATGTGAAAATCTTTTAATTGATACAAATAATAATGAATTAAAAATTGGTGATTTAGGTCTCTCAATTTAGTAATAAATCTATATTTTAATTTAGATTGTAATAATCTTTTACAACTTCTGTTTTGGGTACTCCTGAATTTATGGCACCAGAAATATATTAGGAACATTATGACACTAAAGTGGATATCTATGCCTTTGGTATGTGCCTATTAGAAATGGTTACAGGAGTTAAACCATTTTGTGAGTGTAAAGGTGGTACAGGTTAAGTGATAAAGAAAGTAATTGAATAGCAAAAGCCTCAATCAATTGATGCTATTTAGAACGATAAAATCAAAGCAATCATCTTAGAGTAAATTGATTTTTTTGCAAAACAGATGTCTAAAACCTCCAGAAGAAAGACCTTCTGCTACTTAATTGTTATAAACTCACTTTAATCTTCAAGTTACCGATAATGACAACCTTCCTGTTCCAATTAATGAGTAATTCCTTTTATAATTAAGGGATGATAGTAAAAGTAATAAAATTAATAATAATAAAAAAAGATTCATCTATTTTAAAATGTAATTTATCTAACAAAATTATGTTGACTATAGGTAGTAGTAAATTTGAAACTAATTCAGAAATTAGTATTCATAAACAAACCTAATTATTAGGTTTGGTAAAGAAAAATCTAATAATTGAATCAGAAGATGAAACTGAACAAATATTTAACAAATATTACAAAGATTATATTGTAATTTATTTTTATTATATATTTTTAGTGTTTAAAAAATGATGAATCTTTGTAAGATCTTGAATAGAGATAAGAAAAAGAATTATAAATGTTAAAATAATTACATTTATAATAAAAACAAGAATATTTGAAAAAGACTTCAAATAATGTCAACGTTAAAAGTTCATCCTAACCATTTTAAAGTTCTGGATTTCTGTCTCTTGGATCTTATTAAAATTTCTTTGAACTTTAGTAAGATTCAATTTGTCCAAAATAAATAATTGAAAGTCCATGTTTAGAAAGAAATAGCAATAATAGATTATTGAAGCTTGAAATGGTATATATATTTATATATAATTTAATTTAGATTACAGATAATAGCTCTTAATAATAATCATTTAATTAGTCATAACAAGTTGGTATTTAGCATAAAATTATTGTAGATATATAATTAGAAGTCAATAATTGACAATCTAATAAAACAACCAAAAATATAAAATAAATTAATTCAAATATCTTTCTTGTCTAAACCATAACTCTAATTTTTTATTTTACATCTCATATACTAATTGTAAAATTAACATATATTAAATGAAAGAAGAAAATCATTATGATTGGCCTGACCCTACAAGAAATGACCTCATGTACTTATCAACAATCAGTATCATCTCAACTTTAATATCAAGGAAATTAGAATAAATTACGATCCATCTCTTAGGACTATAAATATACAACTAACTTACCTAAAAAAACATATTATAACAAAGAAACCTTTATTAATAAAGTTGATGACATCCCTATCAAAAATAACAAATTTGAAACTGTAAGAGAAAGTCTCTATATTGATGATATTGCTGTAAATAATTAAATTCAAATTTAGGGAACTAGACCCTAGATTGCTAAGTTTAAAACCACTAGAGAAACAAACCCAGTTGAACCTATATACAGAATTCCTTCATATTAAGGAGCTGATATTCCTTAACCTAATAAATTTATTAGAGACACATTAAACATATCAGATATTCAAGGTACTGTCCCAAAAATTAAGATCTATAATCCAAGAAATGTAGATCCTTACACTTTTATTGAAGGCTCTAAACCTAAATAATTAAGACATCTTATTCACCCTTAAGAAGAATAAGACATGAAGAGAACTTCAATTAGATAAGTTAATCCTCTATAACCTTTTTATAAATGGGGAGAGGAGATAATAGGTCCTGTAGAGGGATCACAACCTTATAATCATTGCAAAGACAGAAATAAATTAAAAAGTCTTTCCTTATATACTAAGGACATAACCGGAGCTTAATCAGACACTGTAAAGAAAATCCCGAAAGAATCTTAGAAGATAACAAATAATACCTAAGATATTTATAGAGCATAAGCTAATACTATATAAAGAGGAATGTAAACAAAGAGGCAAACTAATCCGTTACAACCAGCTTACTAATTATTAGGCTAAAGTGAATTATACAATCTGCAATTCAAATGAATATTTATAATTGGATGAAATTTAATAATGATTTTTGATATATAGATATATATATCTATTTATGATCATCTTTATAATTGACCCATTAAATTTGCTTGAGATGGGTAAGATGACATAGGCAAAGGATAGGGATAGTTATTAAGACTTTGAAAATTACCCAACATATTTTAATTTATAATGGATCTTTATTAATAAACTCCACTCTAAATTTGTGGATATTCATTTGATTACATCATAACATAAGATCGGAGTAGTTTAGGATCATAATAATAGGAACCTATACTATTTTGATTAGATAGGTTATTTTCTTAAAATGTGCTTTGTTAACTAATTTCTGATCTATTTAAATAAATATGCAATTATTCAGGTGATACAAAAAATATTTAATTTTTTTCTTTGTTTATTAAACATGGTTATAGAGTGCTCATTTCAACTTCTGTAAGTTAACACTCTTTCACTTACAAATTGATTTTATCTTAATTATTAGGATTTGATTGCGAATGTCTTAAATCCCTTTTTAAAGGCAAATTAGATTCTACTTTAATTTTTTTAATAATATCTAAATGTTCTTCCTTAACAATATCTTTCTGCTCATTTTCTCGGAGGTTTTCGCTTTATTGGATTCTCCACTCTATTTTTTTTATTATAGTATGTATTAGTTTGATTTCATCGTGATTCAACTCTTCTGCGGATGGAAAATTAGAGATCTTAGATTCTTCTGATTCGCTTTCTTCTTCATCTTTTTTCCTTCTATAATAAATATAGCCTACCCTGCTTTTTGACTTCTTTCTTTCCTTAAGAGACAATTGAATCTATTTTTGACACTATTCTCACTTCTAGGTATTTTTAGTTTTTTTGAAATCAATGCCCATTTCTTTCCATTTTAAATTGATAACTATAACAAATCTAAATCTTCATTTAATTGCCAAGGATTTCTTTGTATTTATTAAATTAATAGTTATACCGATTGATGAAAGGATTAAGATGATTGTTCCATCTTTCTCTACACTATTTACCATTTCTATGTATATTCGATTCACTTATTTTATTTAAAGTGGTAGCAATCTAACTCCATTTATTTCCTTTGTTTAAATTTTAGTAGTCATATATTATGGACCTTAATAGGTCATCTTCAGGTAAAGTCCATGGAGCTTATTACAATGGAAGCTTAAGCATTTGTAACCACTTTTATTTGCATTTAAAGGCATCTCTCCTAGGCATCATACTGGCTATGGAATTCCAGTCATCATCGCTCTTAATATAGAGTTGAATTGTTATACAATAGATTTTATGTCTCTTCTATTGAAAGCAGTCCATTTACCAACTAACCATATGAGCACTTTTTTGTCATCATCTGTCCAGTTCTTTTTTAGTTTATTTTACTAAGATTGTAAATTTAACTTGTTATTTTGTTGAATGGTATAAACCTCTTAATTGTCAGGAAAAGTATCCACACCTAGGTTATATAATTCTCTCATATAATTAAATCTAACATTAGTAATGTCCTTGGTTTTAGCATAGAAGTTGAGAAAGTTTTAATGAAAATCTTCAATAAGCAGGTTTTCAGATGATTGCATATATTATTTTATATTTAAGTTTCCTTATTAATTTAAAAAAAATCTAGGTTTCCTAATAAAATAAATTAATTAAATGAATTTAACTACGAGATTTGTGGACTCTTTCAGTCTCACAGATGATCTGCTTACTTAAATTATATAAGATAAGTAGACAATCAGTTTATCATTGAGACAACTGAGTAAATTACATCATTTGTAAAAGATGTTAGAAGAGTTTTAATTTCTCAATATTGTATACAGTGATTAAAGTAGAGTGAGGTAAATTAAAATTCTTATTTTAGGAAGATGATGTTAACAAGAACAAAATCTAATCTAAATTTACAATAATAGTTGTGTCATTAAATAGATAAGAAAATTGAAGATTTCATGGTATAATTATTGTAAAATTTCTTAGAAATTATTTAAGAAACTAGACTCCATCCTATTTTACACTATGAATATGCAACTCATGTCTGAGAACTGTTTAGAATTCTTATAGCAAATTGCAGATTTAATTTTGGGCAGTCCTTCATTTACAGTTATATATGAGATTAACAAAAAAGTCAATGGAATGTCAACGCATATAAAAGATATTGAGAATGCCTATTAGAAATTATTAAAATTCAAAGAGAGCACAAATGTATAAGGAAGTGAACTTGATAATCTCTTTGGTACAAATGAATTATATGTGTACAAAAACAAGTATTCATACTTGATTTACGATGTGAAGGATGTACCATTTAAAGCATTCCCAGATTATAGATTGATATTAGATCAATTTATTTCACTTGCTTATGATTTTCAAAAAGAAATATATGAGTGAGATTTATATCTATAACATATCTAGCAAAGAAAATTTAGTGAGCATAATAAGAGGAATAAAATCAAGGTTCATTAAGAATTCAACCAGGATTTGTTAAGAAATTATTCGATAATAAGTTACTGATGTATTATCAAGTTAATGGTATGATTGTTCTAATTATTATATAGTTGGATTGAAATGCCTGACTAAATATAATATATGAATGATTTGATCATAGATCAACATGGTTATGTTGTATTGCCAGTTAAATTAGATAAAAAAATCAAATACTACATTAAGATTGAATCTCCAAATATAGATATGATTACTTTCAGTGATTATGTAAGATTATCTAAAAGGAATTCTAGATTCAACAATTATGGTAGAGACTGACATACTAATTGAAGGATTTGAAGAATGAAGAGTTTTTGAAATAAATGCTTGAAGTGAATTCTCCAAATAAATTATATATTCAATTAGATGGAGATGGAAACATAAGATATTAAAGTTGCTGTATACCAGATTCTTGGTATTTCATGTTAATCAAAGGAGGATCATTGGAAGATTTGTAGTTGGAATAAGTGAATAAATAGAGTCTTATATAAAAAATGTAGGAATTAAAGTCTTCAGCGAAAGGAGCTGTAAGTGTTTGTTAGATTTGTTTTGGTGATAAAGCAGTAGATGTTGATCTATTTGCCAAAAGAAATGAAGAAGATGAGATTACTGACTATTATATAGTTTTTAATGCTCCTAAAAAGTATCTAATTTATTCAATAGAATATAGGAAATTTGAAGATGATCATCGTATATCTTCATAAATGTCTAGTGAAAGTAAATTGTAAGAATTGAGCAAGGCAGCTTTAATCAATATTAAAATGGAAAAGTTATCTAAAGCCTGCAATGTGATGAGGGAGTATCTTAAAGTTAATTTAAATGATGAGGAAATCATTGATTTATTGAAGGAAAAGGATATTCTAAAAGAAGTTTATAATTAATAATCGATCACAGATGACATTAGATCATCTTATGTGATGGAATATTATAAAGCTGAGTCATCAAAAGTAATGAGAGATCCAGTCTAGGGAAGTCAACAATATATAATTGAATCAGAACTCACAAACATTAAAAGTATTTACTATATATTTAAATTAGAATTTGATCTTTATACTTTAGATGCTAATGATATTTCAAATTTAAGTGATTATTCATTTGATATTACTGTTGTTCAGGATAAAAATGAATAATTACGATATACATGGGCACTATTTCATTTATGTAATTTCATTGATCTTTATCAAATCAATAAAGAAGTATTTTATTAATTTACTGTTATTGTACAAGAGAAATATAGTTATCGATAGAATCCATTTCATAACTTTGATCATGGATTTACTGTTGCTCATGCATGTTATTATATTATAAAAAGCAAAAGCATGAATCAATATTTTGATAAATTCATTTAATTTACTGCTTTATTATCAGCATTATGTCACGATATTGATCATACGGGACGTAACAATCATTTTGAGAGCTAAAAATTATCTAAATTAGCATTAAGATATAATGATGAATCTGTATTAGAAAATCATCATGCTTCAGTTATGTTCAAGATTCTTTAAAAAGAAAAATATAATATTTTGAGTTCTCTTAGTTAGGATCAATTTCTTATTTTTAGAAAATATGCTATTGCTAATATATTGGGTACAGATATGAAAAAACATTTTGAAATTGTTAAACTATTAGAACTTAAATTATCCAAACTTCCAGATGAACCATTTATATAAAAGGAAGAAGATAAAAAGTTCTTATCCAGTGCTATAATACATACTTGTGATTTGACTATGTAATCTAAAACATTCAAAATGGCATAGAAATGGTCAAATCGTATAGCAACTGAATTTTCAGATTAGGTTGCTGAAGAGAAATAATTATCATTACCTATTACTCAACATTTCTTACCATTAGGAACTCCAAATTTCAATCAATTATTAGCCAAATAAGAAATTTCATTTATCAAGGTAAAATTAATTAAAATATTAATAAGTTTATTGTAAAACCTGCTTATGATTTAACAGCGTAAGTATTATAAACAGGTTTAGAAGTTCCATTAAAAAATTTAGAAGACAATCTTAAAGAATGGGAAAATTAGAAATGATAAAAAATATATCAGTTGTTGTAGTAACGATAATATTTTGTATCCTTATAATAATATTAATTAATATTTAAATGCAAGGCTTAATAGCATAAAATGGTTCAGATGAAGAGACAGAATTTATATTTGATCCTCATACTATCCAACTCAAGGAAACAAGAAGTAAAATTTCTAAAGCAAATGTATATCTTTGATTATTAACAATTCTATAGGAAGAGATTAAATAATTAAATGAGTAAAATAAAGAATTGATCATATAATTAAATCGTTAAAATGAGCTTCTTGAATTGAAACATAAATAAAATTAATAATTATAAGCTGAAGGTAAATATGATTGTTTAAATGTTTAGCAAATAAATTTAAAGAATAAATCGATGATAGAGAGCATAAATTATTATAGTCAATGAAAGAAAAACAACAATTATAAAATGAATTAATTGCAATGCATGAAATTTTAGATCAAACAACTTAAAGAAATGATTAAATAAATTCTGAGGTATTTGCACTTAAATTAACTTTGGAGTAAATATAATGTAAATATAATATGCTATTTAGAAACTGTAACAATGTGTAAAGAAGAAACGACTTAAGGATTGTAACGAGAGTTAAAATTGAAAGGAACTATTGATTAACTAAATAAAAATTTAAAGTAGTAAGAAGAATAGCTTAGAAAAATTACTAATGATGCTAATAAGAAAGACATTTAATTTAAATTTGAAATGCAAAATAAAGAAAGTATTATTTAAGAATTGAGGAATTAATTGTAATAGCAATAATAATAAAATAATGAGATTATTAATGAATTAATAGAATAAAAGAATTAAAATATTTAAAATTCAGTTTATGGTAAAGATTATAAACCTGAATTAAGTAAAATTACAAAAGATAATGAAGAATTAAAAAATAAATTTAAAGGTTTGACTTATTAATTGAATATATAAAAAGAAAAAGAATAATCATATATTAAAGAAATAACTACTCTGAGATAGATGTAATCAAATTTATCAACTGAAATTGAAAGGTTATTAAATAAAATAAACGAATAAAAATTAGAACTATTGAATCAATAATAAGAGAGTTAAAATGTTATATAAGAAAAGGATAAGAATATTTATTAGTTGATGAATTAATTATCTCTTTTAAAAAATTAAGATTAAAAGATAAATTTACATAAGAGTATCTCTCACAATGGAGATGAGAAATTATTAAGAGATATCCAACTGAAAAATGATCAAATAGCTATGTTGTAAAATGAAAATAATTAATTAGTGAAATTAATCGAATCTTTAAAGAATCAATAAAGTAATTTTATTCAATATATTTTAGTTGATAATCAAGGAACTGAAAAAATAAAGATTAAACAATTGGAATCAGAACTAAAGAATTTATAATCATTCATATATGATAGTCCTCTTGTTGTGTTGTTTAATTTATTAGAGGATCGACTATCAAAACAATAGTAAAAAAGCTTTGAAAATAAGAATAAAATTAAAGAATTTTGGGCAACACAATTAAAGTAATGGACAGAGGGATTTGAAGAATTAAAATAAGCATTTTCCGGTTTAAAAATTGTTTTCAAGTATGATCTAAAATATGCTAATCAAACATCACAATAATGATTGAAATAAAATTTTATATAAATCTATAAGAATAGGAAAATAATATTATCTACCTTCGCAAATTGCAAAAAACTTTCTTAGTATTGGCCATTATTACTAAGTGTAGTTAAGAATTAACCCCAAGATGAATAAATTACATAAAATAGGCAGATGCAAGAATAATATCATCCTTTTAGGATAAAATAATAGGAAAAACCAATGCTTATTCAAAAAAGAATTTAACTTTCTTTTAATTTAAAATTCCATATGATTTATGTTTAGAGGGAAAAAGCCTGTTTTTGTTCAGAAAAGTGAGTGAAAAATAAAATGATAAAATGTGTGTAATATTGTAATGATTAAAATATGATTTTTTAATTAAAATTAAAAAAAATCAATCCTACTGGAGTGTTTTATGAAAATGTAATATATGGAAAAAGAATTTGGTTAAGAAAAAAAATGTTCAATAATAAAATATTCCTTTTTTTTTGAGTAAACATTTTCTATAGTATCATTTGGAAAAGCATGCAAAGTTTATGGCTTTAAATGATTATTTCCATACACTTTTAATCAAAGGATCAATATATAATTTTTACCTGACCTCTATTGTCTATTTCCGAATAACTTTACAGTCCAATATAAAAAATTCAATGTTGAATTCTATAAATTTTTAATTACATACCAAATCAACTTTCCATATATTTGAGATCTTCTCTTTACTTAATTATTAATTTATTAAATATTATAACACAAACAATTCATTTATTTAAAATTGATTTTATTATATTCACCTAATTCTCATTTTTTAATGTTATTAATTCTAGGAATTAATTGATATTTGATTTTAAAATCTTATCTCTTAATACTCTCAACATTTCTAAAATAATTTTAAATTAGTAGTCTTAATATTCTTGTGCCAACATATTATCCCATAATTCAATTACTATTTCGATATCTAAATATGAAGTAAACAAAGTTATGAACAATCCGACAAAAAAATGGGATGGAACAAATCCTAATTAATTAATATGCTTAAAAATTTAGGATTCTTAATTATTAATCAATTCATCAAATCTATTCATTATGGCCTATAGCCCTTTTTCATTATCTGGTTATAAAAACAAATGTTTTTATTTTTCCATCACTAGTTCAAAACAGAAATAACAATCTGCTTCTTTTTAAATTACCTTAATGATTGGGGCTAATATATAATTCATTCCTGACTAAATAAAATATTAAAATTTTATACAATGTATCCAATATTAGGATGTAATAGAGAATAAATGTACAGAATTCTTTTTAATAAATCTAATTTTGTTGAGTTTTAAACACCATTATAGTTTTATTTATAAAAATCATTATCAGTATAGAATAATTATTCGATCTTGTAATTACAAGAATTATTTAAAAATTCACATTTTGACAAAATCCGACTAAAAATTATTGAATTATTTACTTATTATCTATTTCAATCATTCTGTAAACCTGCTCATTTTTTTAATATTATTCAATGTTCATATATGATGAAACAGTTTTTATTTTTTATTCTTCAAACTATTGTTTGGTTTATGCTTAATTATCCAAAGTATACTTGCTTAATTATTCAAAAATAAGCATCTCATCAGACTTTGTGATATCCATTATATATTAATTGTATTTATGTTCCATCTCACCCAAGAATTAATTAATACCATCGGATGGGAGATAACCTAAAACCTTCATCCATTTAATAGCTCTCTCAGAATAAATATTCATTTATAAAATTAAATCTGTTATACAAATATTTAGGTTATATGTTGAAGTATTAGTAAAAGTATTGAACTTATTAACTAAATTTGAACTATCTTTGCTTAAAAAATATATTTTCAAGTGAATTCCAAATGATAAGCAATACATTCTTTTTATTGCTTAAAATTTATGGAAAAATATATTGATTTATAAAATCGTTTTAAATTGTAGAATACAAATTTGATCAATAATATTGATTGCGAAGAATGATATTAACTGGATGAGTATAAATTTGTCATTTCAAATTTTTTCTACTATCTCACCAAATCTAAACCTAAATGCTAAGAGGAACATGTTACTATTTCAATTTATAACAGGTTTACTTGAGATTATCTATATGTTCACATTTTGAATATTTCTTCTCAAGGCTTTTGAAAGATCATTTCAAAATTATTTTGATCACCTGAATCTATTGTGTAGGTCTAATCATCAAAAGATGTTTTCACTGTTTAATTATTTGATACAGCCCTTTTATTTTATTGCTTATATGATTATATATATATATGAAATTAAGAATTTTTGATAGTGATTTAATATCTTTGTAGAGATAAATTATTGAAATTTTGTAATATTTACTTAAATTTATTAGATTAATCATTTTTATAACTTAATTTCAATTTCAATTCTAGGTTAAAATGGACATTGAGCTGAAATATAAAAAAAAATATATACACAATTTTGATCTTTGAATTTCTATATATTTTGGATATCTTTTTTGAAACTTCGATTGTCTCAGGTCTTTAATTTGGATTTTATTTCAGACATTCTGAAATCACTTAAATAAGTTCAAAGTTATATTCAAGTTTATTTTTTTTTAATTGATTATTAATGTAATCAGGATGAAATTTTTATTCAATCTCTTCTGCATCTAAAAGGAAGAAAGGAAATAGAATCGTTCCTTTATTTAATATAAATAAAGCGACTAATCCAAATTGATATAAATCAGATTTCATTGTTATATTTTCCATACTTTCTGGAGGGACAAATTAGTATGAAGTACTTTATTAGGTGCCTTAAAAAATGTTTAATTCCTCCTTAGCCTTTTCCTAATCTCCAATGTAAAAGTGTGCATCAATTAATTGTTCATTATCAATATAAATTGTTTACGGTGAGATATTTCTATGCATAATCTTTTCTTAGTGAAATATTTCAATGCCTAGAAGATATAATCAATAATTCACCTTTAATAATTTCCTTTAATGCTCTATAGGCTAGCTTTTTATATACATGGTTATCAATTTATTGAGTCTTTTGTAAGCTTGCAGCATCAGCAAGAGTCATGATGAATTTTTTTTAGAAAAAAAAAGCTTAATTAAATAATCTTATATAAGAAAAGTTAACTAGAATGTGGGAAGTGTTGGACAATTTCTCTGTTATAAAAATTTCTCTATTTTAGTATTCTTATAATTAATATTTATTATTTCTAGACATATCATAGCATCTATATAAGAGAGTCTTTGAATTAATTTAGAAAACAGTTTCAAATATTTTTGGTGTGTTGAATTCAACAGCATAAATATCTTCCATGCCTTATGAAGATGATATTTGCTTAATTTAAAAAAAATGATTTAATCCATAATGACTTTATTAATTTATTTTCAAACCTTGAATTATAGATAGCAAATATTTTATTATTTTTTCAAAATTGTCCATTTATATGTCTAGAATTTAATTAAATTAAGGAAAGTATTTACGTACGAAGCTTTTAAAAATATCAATGTTTGGAATATTCATATTAAAGTGTGAATCTTCTAGATCGATTAATTAAAGAAAAACACAGCCTTAAATCAAATACAATTACTAGATGGATTAAATATTCCAAATAATGTTTTTTTGACTTAATTCATTTAAGGCTAAGTTAAATATGGATTTTTTACTTATTGCCAACTAAAAGAGGATACTCTAAATGTTTTAGAGATTCAATTAATTTTCAATCAAACGATATTGTTTCCAATCCTCCATAATAATTAGAATTTAATTCTAATGGAGAATGATTTCATGTGGTTAGAGAATATTAAAAAGTCTGAGATTAAGCATAGCCTTGGCATGTGATTCGTTTCTAAAATATTTTAGATTTGTTTCTCTCATTATATAATATGCCTCAATCTATGAACCCTGTTTTTTTTGTATTTTATGGAATTTTATTGGGGAATTTTATTCATTAGCTTCTTCAATCATTATATAGTTGAACTAATACTCTTCACAATTCATTATGGTGAAATAGAGTATTTTTATATTTAAAATAAATAATTAAGATTGAATAATTATCATCCTATATTTCTAATAATTTTAGTTCTAAAATTTTATTATGACTTTGTTCCAGGTGTTCTTGTAATTGAAGTAAAGGTTGTGGCGTAGGTCCTGGCAAATTGATTATCATCTTCATTTTCTTCTGGAATTTCTATTCCCTAACTGTTTAATTCCCTCTTTTTCTCTCTATATTCCTTGTTCATACTATCTAATTATGATTTCAGTTCCTATTTCTTCTCTCTCAATTCTTTGCATTACTTTATCAGATGTTTGTTTTAGTCTTAAATCGTGTCATATGCTACTTCTCTTTAGCCAAGTTGATATTTGACTGAAGCCTCAACTTCAGAAAGACTTTATTGTAGATATTATTTCTGACTTGACAATGCTTTATAAATAGCATTTTATTAACTTTGATCAATTTATTATTATAGAGGATCCTTTTACATATCCTTTAAAGTTTCCTAAAACACTGGATTTTTAATTGTGATTGCCTTACTATTTTCTTTTTACACCATGTGATATAATTCCTCTAATTTTTCTGGCCAATCTCCAGTATCACTATTTATTAATGTTTATATCGAAGACTTAAAGTTCTCCATATTTCTTTTGGATAAAGATAAAACAGTTAAGGCAGACTTTAGTTGGTTTTTAAATATATTTAAATCTGTAATTAATTTTCTTTCTTCCTCAATTCGAGATTGCTTTAACCCTGATTCTTCTATCAATTCATTATAAAGGTTCTTAACATGTTTCTTGATGAATAATTATGAATCATTACTTCCATATTTTTTAGATGATCCATTAAAGGTTCTCTTTCATCTTTTAAAGTGTTTACTCTATAATCATACACTTTTTAAAAGTTTTATAAATGAACATTTTTCATTCTAAAATCTTTTATTTGTTATTCCCTTTAATTTATAAGTTTCTCTTTCTCTCTTAGATCTGCCAACATCATCTTATGTTTTTCTTCATACCCTTTTAATTCTTAACGCAGACTCTACAAAGATTCCTCAGTTTCTAACTTATTTTATGAAGTCTCTACCTTTTTTTAAATTATGCAAGATTTCTTTTCTATTTTAATATCTGACAATTTCTTTTTTAAATCTAGAAATACTAGATCTCAATATTTCTGTTTGAGTGTTAAATTCTTCTAATTTTGCCTTTAAGGACTGTTATGATTCTTTGTAAAAAGTTTCGTAATCTTTCTCACTTTACTACAGGACTTCTTTAAATTTTCTTTGATCCAATTTCATATTGGACATAGCTTAACTGAATCTATTGAATAAGTCTTAATATTTTTAGCAGTATTCATCATCAACCTAAGATATTGATTATTAATATTCTTAATTAACTAGTCGTCTTTCTTCATCTTACTGTTTAATAATATTTTATAATTTCTCATTCAATTTGTCTCTTATATCATAGATCTACAACAATTTCTTTGAATTTTATTCATTCATCTCCTCAATAGTTTTCTTAGAAGTTGAAATTAAATTCTTTTTATCCTCTTTAATCTTGTTGTTTTTGGCATCTGATTATTAAATTGTTTAAGATAATAAATCTTAGACTTTTTGAATCTCTTTAGTATGTTCATCTCGTATTTTCTTTAGTTTATAGTCATTATTATTCAGTTAAACCTCCTTAGCATCATCAATATCACTTTTAAAATTTTACAATCTATATTCTAATTCTTTCAGTTGCTCTTACCTTATTTCTTAAGCTGTTGTTGAGCATAAACACAAACTATTAAGTGCAAAAGTATTGGTAATCTTATTTTCTATATCACCTCTAGTTATCAAATCCAATTATGTAATCTAGTATTATTAAATATTGATTACTTCTTCTCCATTAATAAACTGTTTGATTTTACTGAAGAAAATACTGCCATCGATTGATGAACTTATTAAATAACTATTATCAGGAGATACTTTAATTGCTGTGACAGCTAATTAATGGACAGGAATTTCAATGGACTCCATCATTTTAGGATTGAAATGGTAAAATGGATAGGAGTATACTCTAATAGACCCTTAAGTAGTTCCAAAAAAGATTGCATTATATCTATGACTAATACATATCGCACTAAATTATGTAGGAGAAGTATCCACTTCTAAGACCATGTTCTAACCCTTCTCATGATACACCTTTAATTTCTAATCCGAAACTCCTATAACAAGATCGTATTCAAAGTCATAACATAAACTTTGATATTTGTTTTGCTTTTGAGCGTGTTCTAAAATTCTTTCTCCAGAAAGTAAATTCCAAACATATAATATTCCAAATTGGCATTAGGAAATTAAAAGATTATCCTTATATATATTTTATGAATTTTAATACTCTATCTATAAATAGTAGATCCTTGAGATTTGTTTGATGATTAGGCAAGACATTTATCATTTTATATGTTAACGGATTATACAATTGAATTTGATTACCATTCGCAGCAGCCAATATATGTCCTCCCTCACTATAAGTGAGTGCATTACAAACTTTGGTAGTTTCGTTATGGACTAATTTAAGATCATCATCTAGAATAAAATAGAATCGAAGACTAGTAAATAAAAATTAATAATTTCATTACCCATCCTTAAATCCAATTGCACATTAATAACTTAATGGATGTATAGCCACTGATAATGGAGTTTCATGAAATTAATGTGAGAACATTTCCTTAAAATCATTCGAATAATCCCAAAATTTTATATTCTTATCATCACACACAGATGCTATTATAGATCTCATAGGAGTTGTTGCAATATTGAAAATTGTGCCCTTGTGAACACCCTTCTCAAATAATGGTTCAAATGGATCTTTTTGAACTGACTTCAAAGCTTCAACTATAGCTAAATTAAATGTAAACAATTCTAGTTTTCCCTGATAATTTTCCAAGATTTATTCACAAGAAACAATATTATTCAGTACTTACTACGACCCTAAAGCTACTTGATATGCAGAGCGATTAAAGTAAATAACTGTTAATGCTGCATACATCTCATCTGTAGCCAAATGAATTTAATGAATTCCATAAATATGTTCATCCTTTATAAAGTAAGAACCGACCAAATTTAAGATATATTGTTCTTGTTCTGAAGCATCTTATTCAATTTCATAAACTTATAATGCAGGCTTCCCTATTAAACCAATTATGAATCCTTTGTTGGTCTTTGCTATAGTAGAGATTCGAACATTCACTAATTTCTCTTATTCAGTTGGTTTATTTTTATCCTTATTAATTTATTCTATAATTGATATCTAATGATGATTACATAATAAATGATTTGATTCTTTCTATTGTGTTTGTAATTCGAATTTTGCGACATTCTTATCTCCTTTAATCATGATGAGATTGTTTTTGCTAGTTGCAACAATGGCATATTTCTTTTCAGAATTATAACAAACTCCCACTATGTTTTCATCGAATTATAGCTCTAGTACAGTTATTAAATTATTCTAAATTTCTAAGCCACTAATATCAGCTTAATATTTATATGATGTCAGAAATTATGGTCCTATCAGAAAAAATTCGAAATCACTAATAGATTCTAGCATATTAATTTTTTATTTTATGAGAGTATAAGAAAGTGAAACTTCTTTACTAACTGCAAACAAACTCATTCCATAACCATCCTCCTAAGTTGACAATGAGATTAGATGCTAATTATCAATCTATATGGTACCTTTCCATCATTAATAAACAGAATCTCATGAATATTACTATTAGGTAATAAATGAGAGTGTACACATTAATAGAATCGCTTCTTTTTTCTATTATATACCTTGACGGTGGGAAGAATCTTGCTTGTTGATTTGAATGCTATTGCAATGAACAATTTTTATCCATGTGAAACATGAAAACTCAATGCTTAAACTACTTCATCTTCAGCGCTCTTCATTATGTATGTTTATCTCTTTCTAATTATGTCATAGAGCACTATATGCTTGCCGCTTATAAACATGAGTGTGTCATCATTCACAAACATACAGTTCTTTCTTATTGGATTCTATAAGCATCCAAATGAAGCTTCTAATGTTATTGAGACACCATTAATTATCTGATGTGATGATTTTGAAAGCATTTGTTATTTTATTACTTTCTTTCCATTTAGAAACCACTAATCTTCCATATAATTTTAGGTTAGTTATATTTATAATTAATAATTCAATATAAATCTCAATTTAATTTCTTCACAAAAGCGCATAAGATAAATGATTACAATAATTGTAATGAAAATTTTTAAAATACAATTTCATTTCCCTCTAATCTTTGTTTACATAGTTTACTCTTTCCCCCTTTTTACTAATTTTTCGACCAATAATAATTTTTAATCCAAACTTTTAACAACATCAATAAGAAAATTATTTCTAACCTCTAATTAAGCAACTGATATTGACTCCTAGCCATTAAATGCTTTTCCTCTTTCTTCTAAATCTCTTATACACTTCACTCATTTATTGATTTAAATCTAATCTTACTTCATATAATTTACAGTATCCTCCATCAAAAAGTCTAATTTGTGATTTAAAATTGCATTCTGTTCTTAATATTTTTTATTTTATATCCAATATCTAATCAGAAATCTTATTGTTATTTTTTCTGATTTTTAGTGAAGATATTTGTAAGCCTAATTCATACAAGGATTATCATCTAAATCAATCACTCTACAATTAGTTGTTACAATTAATCTTTTTATTTCTACATTATCTAACAGAACTTTTCACTCGAAATCTTTTCACATAGTAATTTTTCAACTCTTAAATTTTTTCTTTATTCTTTTTTTGAGTCTTCATCAAGCGATTAATTTGTATAATTTAATATATGATATAATATACTTTTATTGAATTAATCAATATAATTGTTCTAAATGCTTTAAAATTTTTAATTTATTTCCATAGAATTTATACATAATTTCTGTTAATTCAGAGATTTATTTATACTTTGTGTAATTCTAAATAGCTATTAATTATATAGAATATTTTCAATCATCAAAAAAGAAGAATGGATAATAGAGAAATTGAAGATTCCAATAAAGTGATTCATGTCAAATAACATAAATCTACTGCTCGTCAGGCTTATTTCAATTTTATTAAATCAAATTTAGGAATAGGTAATCTATTTTATTTGATATTCTAAGGTGTCATCGTTCTTCCTTTTGTCACTTATTAAGTTGGCTTTCTCTGGTCTATTGCATTATTCATTCCTATTGCCTTTAGTTGTTTACAGTAAATTTTTCTTTCTATAATTTATGGTAGATCTAGTCAATTTATGATTGAAATTGCAGATGATCTGAATACCGATAATATACTCTATGCAGATATTATAAAATAGACTTTAGGATCACTTTGGGCACATATTTTGGATATTGCCATAATATTCCAATTAATTGGACTTTGTATAGCCTATTTGATTTTTTTAACAGAATCCTTGGCTTAGTCTTTACTTCAAATAAGTATTCAAATGGAAAAATTGTAATGTTTGTTAATTACATTAATTATTGTCATTCCATTATCATTTGTAAGAAATATTCATTTTTTCCATTCAACCAGCAAATATGGCTTTTATTCTGCTTTGGCTTCTTTCTGCATCATATTGTACGATTGCCAAAATAGGCTCTCATTTCGAAACATTTATTTTTCAAATTTAATANTATCCTCCATCAAAAAGTCTAATTTGTGATTTAAAATTGCATTCTGTTCTTAATATTTTTTATTTTATATCCAATATCTAATCAGAAATCTTATTGTTATTTTTTCTGATTTTTAGTGAAGATATTTGTAAGCCTAATTCATACAAGGATTATCATCTAAATCAATCACTCTACAATTAGTTGTTACAATTAATCTTTTTATTTCTACATTATCTAACAGAACTTTTCACTCGAAATCTTTTCACATAGTAATTTTTCAACTCTTAAATTTTTTCTTTATTCTTTTTTTGAGTCTTCATCAAGCGATTAATTTGTATAATTTAATATATGATATAATATACTTTTATTGAATTAATCAATATAATTGTTCTAAATGCTTTAAAATTTTTAATTTATTTCCATAGAATTTATACATAATTTCTGTTAATTCAGAGATTTATTTATACTTTGTGTAATTCTAAATAGCTATTAATTATATAGAATATTTTCAATCATCAAAAAAGAAGAATGGATAATAGAGAAATTGAAGATTCCAATAAAGTGATTCATGTCAAATAACATAAATCTACTGCTCGTCAGGCTTATTTCAATTTTATTAAATCAAATTTAGGAATAGGTAATCTATTTTATTTGATATTCTAAGGTGTCATCGTTCTTCCTTTTGTCACTTATTAAGTTGGCTTTCTCTGGTCTATTGCATTATTCATTCCTATTGCCTTTAGTTGTTTACAGTAAATTTTTCTTTCTATAATTTATGGTAGATCTAGTCAATTTATGATTGAAATTGCAGATGATCTGAATACCGATAATATACTCTATGCAGATATTATAAAATAGACTTTAGGATCACTTTGGGCACATATTTTGGATATTGCCATAATATTCCAATTAATTGGACTTTGTATAGCCTATTTGATTTTTTTAACAGAATCCTTGGCTTAGTCTTTACTTCAAATAAGTATTCAAATGGAAAAATTGTAATGTTTGTTAATTACATTAATTATTGTCATTCCATTATCATTTGTAAGAAATATTCATTTTTTCCATTCAACCAGCAAATATGGCTTTTATTCTGCTTTGGCTTCTTTCTGCATCATATTGTACGATTGCCAAAATAGGCTCTCATTTCGAAACATTTATTTTTCAAATTTAATAAACTTCAAAAGTAATTATTTTAATTAATTAATTAGACACTTTTAATTATGTTGGAGTAGCTATTCTTTGTTGTGAAGGAATTTTTACAGTTTTACCTATCAGAGATAGCATGAAGAATAAATTTTAATTTAAATCAGTTGCTACCTCAAGTTTAATGACTGCATTTGGAATTTCAATATTTTTATCATTAATTAGTTCCTCTACCTATTAATCTGACACGCGATCAATTTTGTTATTTAGTATTCAAGTATTTTTTCAAATTAAAAAAAGAACCCTATCTTAGAAGTCATTTCGTTGCTTTTGTACTCAATTAGTTTGCTTTTAACTTTTCCACTTCAGCTGTTTCCAGCTGTTCAAATTGTGGAATAAATGTTTTTAAAGGATATGGTAGAATTTATCAGTTTCAATGATATTTAAGAAAATTCTTTTGAAGAATCTCCAATATCATAGAATATTGCCTCTACTAGCGATAAAATTGATGACATTGCAGTTGAAAAAGATGATAAAGTTTTTGAAAATAGATTCTTATAAATGATTATAAGAAGTATGCTGGTAATCACTATTTATTTTATTGCCTATTATATACCTCATCTATCACACTTTCTAAATTTTATTGGAAGCATCTTTGGATCTTTATTACAAGTACTATATAATTTATGATTTAGTTCTGTTTTCCTGTAATCGTTCATATTATCTATTTTAAAAATTCCAAAGCAACTAAACCTATTATTCATTATTTAATTATAATGATCGTTTCACTACTAGCAATTATCTTAGGAACAGCAGAATCCTTAAAGCATCTACTATGAACAAAAATTATCATAATAATTCTTATTATTTTTTGTAATTTATCTTAATGAGTTTTGGTTTAAATGCAAAGTTACATCCTAAAGGGATTGTGTCAAGTAATGTGAATATATAAAAAAAATTTTTCAATAATTTATAATACTCCAAAACAAAAAGAGTTAGAATCGATGTAGTTGTTGCAAATATTTTAGGTGTCTTTGATGGATACACCAATGTCAAGCAGATAAAACTAATTTTATGTAATTAGGGCAAAAACTTGTTTTTTTAATATTGTTGGCTATTGTAGTTATAAATTATCAAAGCTACATATAAAAACTGTTTAAAAAGAAATGCTGAAAAAAAATATTATGGATTATCTTCATAAGCATTTATTTATTAGACTCCTCAACACCTTTATTTTAACATATGGATTGGAAATAGGTTGTTAATATGTATAAAATATATCAAATCAAACTTCAAAAATGTTATTAAAGATATTCTTTAGAAAGATCTTTTATTCTTATGTGCTGAAAGAATCATTCTCTATTCCTAATCTTGAACAAATTCCTTATTCTAAGAATTCAATTTCTTTTTCATCAAATAACAAATTAAAGAGAGAATCTATCTTAATTTGTGCTAAGGTAACTTTTCTTTGAGAGAAAAGAAGCCTCAACTAAGACAAAAGCCATTTCAAGAATTCTTCATTTTAAACACTCGAAAAATCAGAAAGTTATTCAAAATCAACTTTTATTATAGATTACTGTTTCTACTTTTTATCAGATAGAGTCATTTGACTAAATAATACTTCTAATTCAGTCATTTCTTTTATATTTTATTAATATTCTTTTGATTTAGGTTTCTTCTTTTCTCTTTTGACCTTAGTCTTTTGTGTATCCTCATTTTGATTCAGTTGATCCATGACCCACCTTTCAAATAATGTTTAGTTCATAATAAACTTGAAATTAATAAAATACTTAAAAATAGTAAATAATTTATTAAATAAGGAAATTGAATTATACTTATTTGTTATGCATATTTTGCTGGAAAATGTTATTTATAATGAATCTTATATTTTACTTTGCAAAATACTTTATTATTTTCTCCATTAATGAAAAGGAGAGGCAAAGAATTATATGTAATGATTAGATAAAACTTTAGAAAAATAATTTTAAAATTGTTATTGTTATAAATATGGTCAAGTTATAAATATTGAATTTGCCTTGCCTTAAATGTTAATTTATAAATTAAAAAAGACAATAATTGATAATTATATTAAGTAATTTATATGTAGAGGCATAATTAAAGAGAAGTAGATAAATAAATTATTAACAATATCTTGAATTTGTATTCATTTATTTATAATATATAATTCTAGTGTCAAATAAAAGAGACTTCTAAATTTTTTAATATTAAATTGTATTCTAAGGAAAATAAGCATAAAGTGAAATTGATTTAGTTAGAGTGTTAAAGTGCTTTATTTTCATTTAAGAGAAGGAGAGAAGTTGATGTGTTAAAAGAAGTCTTAAGGGAGAAGAAAAAAGTGAAATACCATTATTTTGAATGGAAATTAAAATTTTAATCCAAATAATTGAAGTAATTCTGGAAATTATGTTTTTATTAGATTTTTTGAGAATTAGATTATTAACAACATTAAATCTTTCTTAAAGTTGAAAATAATATTTGGATAAAATTTTGCGAATATACAGAAAATAATGATCAATTTATTGTGATAATATATAAAGAAATTTGCATTAAAAAAAAATGTTCAAAAAATTAAAATAGTACCTCAATTTTCAGAAGGACAATCAGAACACCTAGCAAAATTGCTTTTCTCTCTCCATCAATTATCCTTTCAATGTAGCCAAACATACTAAATTAACACTATTATCTTCATTATTTTAGGTTTGGATGAATTTTTAAGAATTTTAAGTAAGTCTTTTCAAGGACTAAAAATAAAAGTAAAACATATACATTCAAAAGTAGTAGGAATTTTGTTATTTATTTAATTTATATTTCTTGTTTGCTGAATATATCAAAGTCAGTTCTACATCTAGTTTTGGTATGGTATTAGGTTTCTTCATGGATTAGGAGTATGTTACCAATTTATTCCTACTTTTTCTATTTCTTGTTTTTATTATTATAATTGTTATCTTTTGTTAAAATCCTAATATTTATTAAGCATTCTTAACTCTGGCCACTTTAGAAGATATCCCTAATCTTATTAAGGATTGATGCACCCCTGACCCAATCACTCTATTCCTCCCATCGCTCAAACTCTGATTTAGTACGCTCAAATTTTTAATCTCAATTGGAAGAGAAATATTTTTTATGAGAAGTAGTAATATAATTTTTGTTTAATTATTAGTTTAAGATTTTAATTTATAGAGTGAAGTAAAAATCTATTTTAGAAAATACATTATTTTTTTTTGCTCCTACCAACTCATTAATAATATTCAATTTTTTTTTTATTTTACTTTCAAATTGTTCTAAAAATTTACTATTTCTTAAAAAACATTTTGAATTTTTTTTACAATTGGCTTAAATACACAATTTAATACTTGATGGTTGAGAAATATGATGAACATTTACTCCAAATTCCATTTACAATGGGTCAAGATTTTTCTTAACTACAAAAGCCTTATTGATGGAGGGGCGCTCTCAAGACATAATATATAGATAACAAATATTGCTTGGAGTTGTTTGAGAATAAGCTCCAGAAATTTTCATCGCAGAAATACTAAAAAAATGGATCTTAGGAGTAATAAGTTTTACCAGCTCTTTGATCACCTAATAAATAAGTGATGCAAACCTAGAGTAACAAAAATAGAAGGGAAATTTTATAGAGCTCCAAATATTAACAAGTTTTAGTTAGGAAAGCGCCTCCTAAATATAAATTAGGGGATTAAAACAGTGATAAAAGCAATTATACAATTTTAAGAGCATGAAAAGGGCCAAACATATCCCCGCTATTAATATGAACTGCCCTCATTTTATAAAAAATTAATAAATTCAGTCTGTTTCTCTCCTGATGGAAATACATTAGCTTCTGGTAGTGATGATAAGTCTATCCGTCTATGGGATGTCAAAACAGGATAATAAAAAGCCAAATTAGATGGTCATAGTGATGAAGTTATGTCAGTCTGTTTCTCTCCTGATGGAAATACATTAGCTTCTGGTAGTTATCAAGAAATTCGTCTATGGGATGTCAAAACAGGATAATAAAAAGCCAAATTAGATGGTCATACTAGTTATGTCTAGTCAGTCTGTTTCTCTCCTGATGGAAATACATTAGCTTCTGGTAGTGATGATAAGTCTATCCGTCTATGGGATGTCAAAACAGGATAATAAAAAGCCAAATTAGATGGTCATACTCATAATGTCTACTCAGTCTGTTTCTCTCCTGATGGAAATACATTAGCTTCTGGTAGTGATGATAAGTCTATCCGTCTATGGGATGTCAAAACAGGATAATAAAAAGCCAAATTAGATGGTCATACTCATAATGTCTACTCAGTCTGTTTCTCTCCTGATGGAAATACATTAGCTTCTGGTAGTGATGATAAGTCTATCCGTCTATGGGATGTCAAAACAGGATAATAAAAAGCCAAATTAGATGGTCATACTCATAATGTCTACTCAGTCTGTTTCTCTCCTGATGGAAATACATTAGCTTCTGGTAGTGATGATAAGTCTATCCGTCTATGGGATGTCAAAACAGGATAATAAAAAGCCAAATTAGATGGTCATACTCATAATGTCTACTCAGTCTGTTTCTCTCCTGATGGAAATACATTAGCTTCTGGTAGTGATGATAAGTCTATCCGTCTATGGGATGTCAAAACAGGATAATAAAAAGCCAAATTAGATGGTCATACTCATAATGTCTACTCAGTCTGTTTCTCTCCTGATGGAAATACATTAGCTTCTGGTAGTGATGATAAGTCTATCCGTCTATGGGATGTCAAAACAGGATAATAAAAAGCCAAATTAGATGGTCATACTCATAATGTCTACTCAGTCTGTTTCTCTCCTGATGGAAATACATTAGCTTCTGGTAGTTATCAAGAAATTCGTCTATGGGATGTCAAAACAGGATAATAAAAAGCCAAATTAGATGGTCATACTAGTTATGTCTAGTCAGTCTGTTTCTCTCCTGATGGAAATACATTAGCTTCTGGTAGTGTATGATAACTCTATCCGTCTATGGGATGTCAAAACAGGATAATAAAAAGCTATATCAGATGGTCATAGTGATTCTATTAGACCTGTCTGTTTCTCTCTTGATGGAAGTACGTTAGCTTTTTCTAATCATGATAACTCCATCAGTTTATGGGATGTTAAAACAGTATTAATGATATTAGATTAGTCCGCTTCTCTCTTGATGGAAATACATTAGCTTCTAAAAGTGGAGATGGCTCTATCCGTTTATGGGCTGTCTAAACAGGATAAGAAATTAAAGACTTAAATAATCGATATAACGAAATATTGGAAAATTGCACGATTTAGTTGTTATAAAACAACCCTTTTACAGGTATTTAGTATTTATATTTTTTAGTTAACACTATTATTCCTATTCTCTGTATATCCTAAACACCAATCTTTTAAGCTAAAGAAGCTCTTGTCCTAAATGGAGAGTTTATTAATTAGTAAGGCTACGATTTAAGATCGTTATTAAAATCAAGAGGATGTTTCTCTCCTGATGGAAATACATTAGCTTCTGGTAGTGTAGATAAGTCTATCCGTCTATGGGATGTCAAAACAGGATAATAAAAAGCCAAATTAGATGGTCATAGTGATGAAGTTATGTCAGTCTGTTTCTCTCCTGATGGAAATACATTAGCTTCTGATAGTGTAGATAAGTCTATCCGTCTATGGGATGTAAAGACAGGTTAAGAAATTAAATCCTCTGATAAAAACTACAAAGATATTCTTGCATAATTAAAAATTCCACTTTAGAATAGTTCATTATTAGCAAATGGTATTTGTTATTTATTATTATTTAGTTAATCCTGATCGTACAATACTTAGAATTTGTTAGAATCCTTTATTAGAAGCAAGAGGTACACTTTTATTGTAAGGAGAATTTATAAATCATTAAAGAAAAGATTTAAAACCTTTATTCAAATCAAAAGGAAGTTGCTTTTTGGAAGACCTTAAGTAAAAGTGATAATTATTATTCATAAAGAACATTACAACAATTATTTTTAAAATCATTCTTCATATTTTTTTAATTATATCTTTTTTTTGCTCTATTCTTTATTTTGATTTCTTAAGATTCATACAAGTTTTTCAAAATTTATCCATTTTAAGGAAATGTATTTTATCGAGATCTCCTTAAAAAAAAACTGTTATCAATTAACATTTATAGAGATTTAATGTTAAATGATACTACATTAAATTAATAATCCAAACAAAGAACAGTAAGCACAGATTTGAAGTGATTAAAATAAAGACTAATATTAATTACTTAATTGAAAACTAAATTAACAAAACTGCATGATTATTTCATAAGATATTCTGATAATTGATTTAATTTATTACTATTTATAAACATAAGTCTTAATAGATATAATTAATAAATTTGTAAAATTAGTTTTTATAAATAGTAAAAGATATATTTAATAACAAAGATAATAATAAAAATAAGACAAGA